GGAAATCGTTTTCGAGGGGGAACCCCTCTTTTTTAGGTGACTTTGCACTAGCGGGTGGAAATGGGTGATAATGGGTGATAGTGCGTCTACAGATGACTACTCACCCTTACTCGGCTTCATGGGGCTACTAACTTACTCTCTGCCTGGGCAGAGTTGCGGACGGAGCTGTATTTTTACTTGGTTTACTCAACGGACTTAGTTGGTTAATTCCTGCGCCGTGCTCCTAATTGGAGCAGTGTTCCGCGCCAGGTCGGTGAGAGGGTACATGGCTTACTGATAGCATTGAGGAAGAGATAGCGCAGGTGATGCTGATGACCACGACGACGTGGAGCCGTGATGACCGCGAACATTATAAACGCGGTGGCGGACATTCGTCGAATCGGAGGTCTAGTAGACATGTGGTCAGGGACATAGGGGCCTATAAGTGTGGTTGGGCTAACGCGATCGAGATGTGCTGCGAGATGGCCACTAACGGGCGATGGGGGATACAGAAGAGGCAGTTGGAGGCAAATTATCTCCGAAATGTCCAAGCCAAGCCGTATACTCTAGAAAGGTATTTAGTGGAATACAGCGAATCAAGCCTGGGCTTCCTTTGGGTATCGTAGGGAGTGACAGTGGCAGATGCGCCACGGACGGGGGCACACATAAAGATCAACAGGGTTGTCACATAATATGGCAGGGGAGTTAGGGGCAGTACAGTACGGCGACAAACGTATTCATACGGGTCTGTGCTCAAATTGCAGTAAACGAGTGTCTTTTTGTATGGGAAAAAGCACAGACCCGTATGAATACATTTGTCACCGTACTGTACACATCGGCGAGTGCGGTCAGTATTCTCTTAACCCATGTTCAGCCTCCGCCAACATGGTAAGTTATATGTCTATGCTTTTAATGTATCTTACTCTGCTACTATAGCTGCAGTACTACTTGCAGCGTGGGTACAAAGGACATTATTTGGGCTTGCGCCTCGCAATGGTGTAGTACAGTACGTACCATCCCACTAGATCCTCTCCAGTTTCCTCCAGGCTGACCCATCCATCGCCTTTCCGGATCCAAACTAGAATTCACACACCTTAGCGATCATCAGTGTCCACCACGGACAGCCTTATTGTTGTACTGTTCGGTTCCTCATATGGCCCTGAATAGCTCCATTAAATTATAAATGTCTGCACTTCCCCCTCTTCATTGCTCTTGATACCACCATATCTCCATCGCCTTCATCATCAGTTATTATAACTTTTATCACCTTCGCCTTCTCACTGCTCTCCGCTTGGTCTTTGTCCGAACCCTGGACCCGTTCTCACATTGCAACAACCTCCCCCGTTGCCCTTCGCCCTTCGCCATCATGACAATGCCGTCGCAGCAACAAAACAACAAATACCCAGGCAGTAATGCCCCATATATCGCGGGTCTCAGTACTGGGTATGTGTATACATCCCCCATCCTCTCGTGAAGTTCGCTGGTGCAAATGTGATACTTGTTGCTCTCCACATCACGTGATCGCCATTACCACCCACCCCTGTCACCGCCCCCCCCCCCAAAGTCCCCAAAGTACCCCCTCACACCCAGCCTGCGCCCATACGTGTGTACCAATCTAACTGAACCTCCCTCCAGCTTCTCCCTCGACACACTAGCCACTGCTCCTCTCGGCCCCACGTACGACCGTCTTGCTGAGTGGGCGGACAACACCTCAACACGCGATAATCCGGTCACGGATTTTCTGTTCGAGATTGTCCCTGTTGAGAATCCGACTGAGAAGGGGACTTCTGGGAAAAAATCGACCCAGAAGAAGTCGACCAACAAGAAATCGACTCAGAGGCAGGACGCGGCTCACAATAAATCGACTGAGAAGAAGCCGACTCAGAAAAAACAGAAGACGAAATGACGACGCGTCGAAGAGCGCGTTGTGGGACGAACGGCGGCGGGCTTGGGTTTCCACGTGTGTGATTTGGGACGTCTCTTGTCTTGGTGCCTTAGATGGAATTTGGACGGTGATGTGTTATTTCTGGGCGGTGTGTCGCAGGGTGTGTCGCGTGGAGTGAGGGGGAATGCCGGGATGCCTGGTCTGTTCTATTCCTTAATAAGAAAATATTGTCCTCTCAGCTCTGCCCGATTAGCCAATGCTAAGTCCGTGCTAGAGAAACTGCATCTTGTTACTGTATACATGGTTTTATGCGTAGAATCGGAGTGCTTTGCCTATTGGCGCAAGTACTAGGTACATGTGTAAGCATATATTCTCGACGAATCGATACCGAGTCCTTCATGGAAGAGACCTGAGACCCCTAAGGATAGTCGACGCTTAACCAAAACCACCATAGCGCGAGTCTAAGGGAGCGGCACGGAGCCGTCGCCGGAGAACTCCCGTCGCCGCGAGACATTAAGGCAACCACAAGTAGAAGTGGCGAGTGCCAACAAATCGCCAATTAGACAAGCTCAATTCCGCCACTGGGAAGGCTGTCGTACCTGCCTCTTTGAGTCGTGGGTGCACGTGCAGTAGTATTATGACATGAATTTATAAGATCTAAGTTATGGGTCGTACTTGTGATATCGTGATATCGTGAGGTACGGCTTAGAAAAGACCCACCCACTACTTCTAGCTTTGGAGATCAGGGACTACTAAGCGGGGACAGCGGAGACAGCGGAGACAACGCGGCAATCCGTCAGGTTACGCGCTCAAGATAAATGGGCCGCGGCGCTAATACGCGCTAATTGACTCTAGTTAGTCTAGTCTTTGTCACCACATTGTTCCGTTCCCACATCATGTCTTGAAACACAGCTTCATCGCCATTGATTTCCACGCCGCAACCCATTCAAATTACCTCCCCTTTTTGTCTACCTATAATTCGTTCTCTTCTTCAATGTCCCAAGTTAGCCCTCCTCTCCAAATCGCAGTGTACATCGCGGCACATGGATTTGGACATTTCACCCGCACACTCAATCTTCTCTCTCTCTTATCACATTCTAAGAAGTACAACTTTCACATTCGCACCTCATCATCACTACACACGGAACCACTAGCATACGCTTTACACCCCAGCATCGTCCAAACAAATCCCTACCAGCTAGACGCGGAACAGTCACTCCACTCTCTCGCCAACTTTGACCCCTCCCTCCCGCTAGCAGAAGAGACCAAGTTCCTAAAAGAGCACAACATCCAAGCCATCATCGCAGATGCCCACTCCCTACCATGTCTGCTTGCACAGACCGTTGGAATCTCGTCAATCCTCATCACCAACTTCACTTTCGACAGCATATTCCAAGCTATCCTAGATAGTGACCCAACATGCACGAACAAGGCGGCGCTCCAGCTGAAAATCGACGAGATGACGCATCAGTACGCACTTGCGCACTCCGTTATTCGATTACCAGGACACATCTCCTTCCCCTTCTCCGGCCCGCAAATAATAGACGCACCAATGCACTCCAGGAAAGCGCTGCAGACTCGGAGCGAGACGTTGGCTGGGCTAGGGCTGCAGTGTCTGGAGAGTAAGAAGATCTTGCTCAACTGTTTCGGCGGGCATAATTCAGATTCCCTTTCTGGGGTTCCAAAGTTGCCAGAGGGGTGGGCGTGCATCAGCCAGACGATCCATTCTCCGCCGCTCTTCTATAAGATCTCGCATAATGTGTATATGCCTGATCTCATTGGGGCGTGTGATGTTGTGCTTGGGAAGCTTGGGTGGGGGACGTGCAGTGAGGTCATTGGGAATGGGTATAAGCCATTTATTTATGTCCCGCGGAGTGCTTTTATTGAGGAGGCTGGCTTGCTGAGGTGGATGGAGAGCGCGCATCGAAGGATTGTGAGGCTAGAAGTGGATGAGTATGAGAGCATGGACTGGCGGGGGGCGATTGGAGAGGCGGAGAAGGTGGTCACTTCAAGTTCTGTGTCTGCGAAGAATTGGGAGAAGGATGATGCGGAGTTGGTTCGGATTTTTGTAGACGCATTAGAAGGTGCATTGAATTGAATTGTACGTGAACAGCGCCCTTTGTAAGAAAAGTAGTCCAGGCCGTGAATTCATCTTGTAGGTAGGTGGTACTGAAGAACAAACGGAACAAACAGAACAATCAATAAAAATAAAACCGTCGTTCTCATGTTGAGATGGAAGGTGCCATTTTCAAATGCAGTAGCACTGGATACGCTGCTGCATGAATGCGCAACATGAGTATCAGTCATCCTCAAACAAAATAACCACTGCCTTGAGAAGTGGCTTGAATACCCGCTTATCATTTTGATCCCTGGATATGAAGTTCACCATTGGAACTATAGCTTCTTCTATAGTAGCACCCATGGGCAGCTCTCCTCGTGGATGTATAAAAAATGCAGCTTCGACGCAAAGCTGTATTGCACGTCCTTGATGGCTTTGAGTAATATCCATCGAGCCATCCATAGCTTCGACTTTCATAGTAGTTTCGTCAAACTTGGTACCAGGAACGTATGTGAGCAATTCGTAGTTCTCAATGTTAAGGCACAACTCCACCTTGGTTGTCAGGGCAGCAGTAAATATAGCGACGAAGCTACGTCGTCTCTCTTTCCATTGTTCAAGCCCTTCGCCCCATGTGGAGAATCCGTCCCAATCCAGTAGCGGTGAATCGTCTTCCGTATCTGAGAAGAAGGGTGCAAGGGCGTTGGAAAGTTGAATGGCCAAGGTTTCAGCTTGTTGTGGAATAAACTCTTCGAGAAACTCTTTCGATTTGACGCATTTGCTCAGAGCAGCAAGATCCCAGTTTCGCAAGGTTACTGCCCCATCTAAAAGAAGAGAAAAGTCAGCATTTGATACAGGAACTTAGGCTTGGAGTCTATAACCATACCACGATTCCCCCTGAGACATTCGCGATAATATTGTAAACCTCTTCCAGCTTCAAATATTGGGATGTCAGACTCAAAAACCCACTCGCGCACGGCTGCACCCGTCAAAGCTCGCATGGCTGGCTGAATACTCAGTTTAGACAGTAGGCGCCTGGCTTTATCCAGCAAATAAGTCCCAGAGTCATGGAGTCCCAAGACCTTGCAAACAAGTACGCGGAGTGTCTCATGTTGACCTAGTGATTGTATGAAAGGGGTTTTGATATTTCCGTAAGGACAAAAGGTTTGCTGTGTCAACCAGAAAACTTTCCTGATGCCGGTTTCGAGTTGCTCTGTCGTGGACCTGCGGCTAGATGTTGACGATAGCTGGGTGAATGTCCCAAGAAAGTTCTGAGACCGAATCTGCCTGTGTAATGCTTTACGAACTTGATGGTGATGGGTTGATAGGTCGTCGGAGGACCAATCGTGGTGTTTGGTCAGTTCTCGTTGTACATCTAATAGAAGGTCATTGTCGGTTTTGAGACTTGCGATTGTTTCTGTTTGTTCGTGCTCGTTGACTCTGTGCTCAGCGAGCTGACTTCGAAGGGAGTAGATTTCATGGTTTGCCCCATCTAGCTGTGTCTGAAGCTGTACCATTGACTTATCAACAGAGGCATCTGTCTGTGTTGAAGCACTTTGTTCTTGATCTTGTGCCACCATATGCGTACATCGCGTGCATGAGAACTTCACGCAGGCACTGTGCTGCCAGACTTTACATTTTTCGCAAGAAATCCAGTGTTCAGGCTGTAGTCCTTCTTCGGTAGCGCCGCATTCACAGTCGATTCTTTCTACCTCGGCATCGGCAAGCTTGCGACTTTTGCGACGAACACGCGTGCTTGCTCTAAGCCTTTTGTATAATGGATGTTTTGGTTTACCCAGTCGTGGGGTCGCTGGGCTGGCGGGGAATTGTTGTGCATCACTCTGCTGTTGTTGCGAATTAGCAAAGAGAAAGGGTGATGGCCAGAAATACATACACGCTTCCTTGGCGGTGTTTGGGATCTCTCAACATTGTAAGCTTGAACTGCGGGGATAAGCACATTATTGCTCTTTTGACTCTTTGAAAGGCTTAGGTCAACTGGGTTTGCATTGTTGGAACGTAGCGCACGCGGTTTTGTAAGCTCTGGCTGTGCTGTTCCAAGTTTGGATCCCCAGCTTGCTGGTACCGAGCCGAACAGCGAGGCGACGCGCCCCTGAAGATCTCGTAGCGGATTCGATAATGGCGAGAAAGTCGTGGAATTCATTGTAGAGGTAGCGTTGCTAACAGACAGAAACTGACGTTCCTCTTTAATGACTTGCAATTCGACGCTCGGCGAGAGTTCGCGCTGCTGCGAGGCGGCCGGACTGTCACGCACCCCCCTCGACTGAGGGAAGACGCAGTTGCTACCACGTTTTACGCAACGATTGCACGCTGGGGAAACTCTATCGCATTTTTGTTTCGCCCTGCGACATTCTTTGCATGGCAAATTAACAAGAAGTTTGGGCTGGGATCGAGAGTTTGTGGAAGACATTATGTGCCTTTGGTAGCTGTGTGGTCGTATCAATGTAGTATGCTCGACCTTAAAATGACCTTGCTCTCCAATATTGAGACTAGTGAAGTCGCAGTGTTCTCTTTTTAGTTATTGGCAAACAGTAGAGATAAAGAATCAAATTTAATGACTTTACTTCGCTATTTGAGATTGGTAGCGCACACGTAGTCGTTGGGATGTATGTTGTATTAGCAGCACATAAAAGCGATAATCTAGGAGGCATAAATACTCGGCGGCTAACTAGGACATACTAAGAGAAATCTAAGACATAGGGGAGAGTAGTTGCAGGGGGCATGTAGGCTGCCACCACTAATATCATCAAGTTCACCACCATCAACCAAATGAATCACTTGTACATACATAGGTATTTTTGAAATGAGCATATATAATCATTTCTAATACCGGTGTGTGTCATCAGAGCTGTTCTATGTCCATCTATTCCTATCTTGTTCTACAGTATGTGACAAGTCATCCAACCCCTTGAATATCGTTTCTGCCTATCCACATCATCTCTAACCTATAGCTCATACTTATTAAACTACGGCTTGCCCGTCCTCCTTCCAGCTCATCATTCTCAAATAATAGCCTGCATATCACATCGCCCATGCTTATTCATTCCACAACTTTTCGTCAGCTTGCATCCACACCCACGCGGAACATACACGTCCAGGCGCGCACACACGCGCACGCACGCACACTGGCACACACACTCGCACACACACATAACCACTGCAAAATCCTTCGCAACAACCGCCTTTTTGGACACCTTGAAGCCAATGAGCGATGATGATCAAGCTAGAGATGTATATATGAGCAGAGTTCAAGAAGAAGCACATTATCTCATGTTGTCTACTGGCACGATGCCTCGCAAAGAAAGGAAACCAATACGTCGCCGCAAACCTACAGCGAGGAAAACTGCAGTGAGGAGTATATTCAGTAAGCCAGAGCGGAATGCATCGAGCCTTGAATATGACTCCGAAGATTCAGAGATAGAGGCAGCCGCACAAGGGAAAGGGTATGGATCTCACTGTATCACCTCCGCAGAAGCTAATGAGAATAGTGCTCGCTACATTGCCGCAACTGATTTCGGAGCGACGTATACTGCCATTTCGCTCCTACGTGTCGACGAGAATGGAAATGCAGACCCAAATATAATACCCATCTCAAATTACCCAGACGACCCGAGGACTGTGATGGGCGAATCAAGTATTCAAGTTCCAACTCAGATTGGATATTGCGACAACGACCTAGAAGAACAGCTATCCGTCGAACCGGATTCTAGGACGTACGATGCCCTTCTTCAGTCTGACTCTGACGAGTACCAAGTGTCGAAGTCCAGATGGTACAAATCTAAGCTTCGGGAGACCAAGAAGAACCAGAAGACTACAATTTGGGGATTCGAAGTCCAGAATAAGCTCAACCCAGAGATGGATAGTGCCAAGGTAAACCTTATTTCTGGGTTTAAGCTTTTATTAGACAGGAGCGAAGATACAAAGTCGGAACGAGAGTATATTTGCAATACCATGGAACAGTTACAACGCCGAAAACTCATCGCAAAAGATGAGAACATTATCGCCACTTTTTTGACGCACTTATTTCTACATGCAAAACAACAGTCGAGAGATGTGCATGGGATCCCTGCTTCAGCTTGTATTGAGCATGCCCTTAGTGTTCCCATATTATGGGATGCTTATTCCCGACTACTGTTTCAAAATGCTATACAAATAGCAATTGAAGCCTCGGGGTTTGGTACTATGGAAAATTTGTTCTTTGTCTCTGAGCCCGAGGGAGCCTTGACCTACGTACTGTCATCATCGTCGGATTACAGGGTACGTAATAGCATTCATAAATACAAGCAGCTACTAAGAAATTGAATCATAGCCTGGAGATAAGGTTTTGAACCTTGACCTTGGTGGCATAACTGTAGATGCTGGAATTTTTGAAGTCAAGCACGACTTCCCCTTGAGACTCGGTGATGAACCCCTTGTTACACCAGAAGGTAATTTTAATCCGCTTTTAAAGTAGCAAAGATACTAACATGATTTAGGGCCCTTGCATGGATCAAGCTTCCTTAACAGCGATTTTCGGAAGCACCTTGAGAAACGCTTAGAAGACGATATTGAACCTGTAGAGAGAAACGGGCGTAAATTTCAAGACGTCCTCGATGAATCCACCTGGGAGTTTGAGAGGAATATTAAACGAAATGTGGACTTTTATAAGCCACTGCCATTACGATACATCAAAGCTGACGGAATTAAAAAGGATCGTACGAAGCGATTCATAGATAATAATGTGATACTAGAACGGTAGGCCTCTATAATTTGGGATGAAGTAGGTGATGGGAGCTGATTTTGGTAGATCTGATCTTTATGATATATTTGAGCCTCGCTTGACAGGAATCAGGGCACTAATACGACAACAACATATCGCTGCAAAACAGAAAGGGCATATCGTGGACAAAGTTGTCATGACCGGAGGTTTCTCAACATCAGAATCTATTCGGGGTCTTGTACGGATAGTCCTCAAGCAAATATCGGCAGAATTTGGCTATCCAGTTGCGTTAATGAACGATTGGAACAATACAGTACCGTAAGTCCCCCTTTTCAAAACGTAATATCCCATTAAACTTATATATATGTGACAGTCCAGATTATATGTCACGCGGGGTAGCCCACCGGGCCTACCAGAAATACGGTGGCCCGTTAAGAATATCGGAACTCAGCTACGGGTTTGAGATAATGGAGACATATGATCCCGAAGTATTTGAAGCTCATAGAGGCATTACACCCCATGTGGACGAAACTGATGGTTGCAAGTACGTGAAAAATGTACTAGATTGGCCTCTTACCAAGGTATGCATTGTATCCATTTAAAGTCTAAGAAATCTACTTATCTCAGAAGGGTATTGAACTTGGCGAACATGCAGAATACCCAGTTCCCCTTTATCACTATTTCAACGTAAGGAAGAAAACAGTCACATTCGAAGAAACACTCTATGTGTCCAACACATGCACGGAATCGCATTACAGTAAGCACCATGAGATGAACAGGGGAAAGTTCCAAGTTGCAGGGGTAATCTCAGTCGACATGACCCCCCTTGCGACAAGCGGCAAACTAGAAATCGTGAAGAATAAAAAAACTAGGCAATCCTTTTACGTGGTCGAATTTGACCTTGTTATAATTGTTAACAGCCGTGGGTTAACATACGAGGCCCGTTATCCAAGAAAAAGTAAAGTCAGCTGGGGCCAAAGCCAGAGTTGCATCGCAGCCGCATTTAGGCCTGGAACAATGTGACAGAACTAGCTTCTCTACCCCGCAATAGGATATGGAATTTCTTGGAAGTTTGGAATGTGGTAGGGCGAGTAGACTGTTTCATTATACTCGAGTAGAGATGACCGGCGGTTTACTTTGGTGATCGAATGATGGTGGTGGGACGAAGAATTTTCGGATTGGAAATGTCATGCAGGATACAGTGTTGGATCGGACAATAGCAAGGTGGTGTTTAATATTTCACATAGTGTATTGCTTGAAATTAGGTTTTAATTGGCGTATTTTGATTGCAGCGATATCACAGTGGAATAGTCAGTATCTACCTGCATAAATGTATGTGAGGAAGCTATTGGTTTTGTCACGCACGACATCGTTGACATCAGCCCCCTCAAAAAAAGGTGGCAGAAACACAACTATCATATCGCACATCTGCATCTCCTTGTCCTCTACAACAAATATCACTTCGCCTTATCAAATGAGTGTGTGTTTACATGAGGCATAATTAGGTCATAAAATAGTAATGATTACACCATAGGAAACCCTACAATCAGGAAATCGGGATAAGTGTACCTATAGTGTTTCCCTAACTAGACGAACGGGGCAAGGTCAGTTGAGTAATCCACCTCGAAATATACTCCACCACATCTCCATCGACGTGGCCCCCTACCACATTATATTCATCCGGCGATGACATCCCCTTCCCCTTCCGAAACATATGGTTCATATCATCGTAAACTTTGAACTCTATCCCCATAATTTCATCCAATCCTTTCTTCCAGCCCTCAAAGTCGTCCTTTAGCGTAACCTGATAGTCCCTTCCTCCTTGCATTATCAACATTGGCTTCCCCAACCCTGCGGCGGTGGAGACAGGATTATAATTCCTAATATCAAGCCAATATGATGCAGGCACTGCGAAAGGAAGTTTCGATGTCGGCGTCGAGAGACTGAGGGTAGGACTTTCAACAAGCTCAGCTTGTTTTGCTGCGGCGTCTAGAACGGCCTCCGAAACATGGTACGTCTTATCCTTCAACGTATTAATGTACTTCATTTGCCGAATCGCAGATCTCTGCAATGCCTCCGTCAATCCAGCGAGTATCACAAGTCCCGCGATTGAAGGCTCCTCCTTTCCAACACGTGGAGCAATACAACCACCGAGGCTGTGCCCAAGTATAAAGACTGGCAATCCCGCGACCTCAGATCGCGAGCGCAAAAGCGCGATGGCCGCGCGAGCGTGGTATATGTACTCGTCTTCTAGTGTAATATTCTCACTGAGTCTTTCTGCGTGCGCAAAAGCTGCCTTGTCGAAACGTACGCTGGCTATGCCTTTTGATGCCAGACCCCATGCCAGATCCTTGAAGGGTTTAAGTTGCCCCACTGAGGAGTTGCGGTCAGCAGCGCCAGAACCTTGGAGCATTATAATCGCTGCGCATGGGCTGTGAGGGAGGACGAGGCTTGCGGGGACATCGCGATCGTCGGCTCCGAGCGTAACTTCTGACTCCTCAAACAACGACTCATCAACATAATCCGGCGGCGACCAAGGCACATTGGAGTGGTCAGGGACTGCGCGGATGGATGTCACGTAGCCACTAGTGCTGATACGGACGACCACTTTTACAGCAATCTTTTCGAGAACGAGCGGGAAGCGCACGATTGTCACGTCACCGCTCTTGGTAACCTCGCCTTCCCCAACGGATACCACTTTGCCCTGTGAATCGAGTACAGATTTCCATGATGTTTCCAGCTTATTAGTCGACAGGAGCCAGCGAATGCGACGGGTTAAGAGATTGCGCAGGTCTTGGTAGGAGCCTGCTTCAAGAAGTTCGACAATTTTCTTGCCGACCGTGGAGGGGTTGTCTAGGGTCCATTGTATTTTAGGCTCCTTTCCTATGACAGCGTCGACGAGAGACTGGAGTAGCGATGCGACTTTGGAGAAGGCCATAGCAGCGGATTAGTTGGAACTTTGGGACACAGCAAGAAAATGTTATTGTTTGGGGTTACGAGGGCTTTTGCACTGAGATGCACGACTCTGACAGAGGGCCACGCGGAAGAGCAACGGCTTTGTCAGTTAAACGTTTCGGATGAAACGGAATGCCTCTACAGCGTCCTTGTAACAGCTGATCAGACAGGGATTAGGCAGCAACAAATGGCTATGGTCTTAGTTTAGCTTGACGTTAGTTGTCTTGCGGCGCAGCAAGGGAAGATGCATCACAATTTGGAGAGGCGGATAAATTGCGTGGCCAATTGTTGCCAAGCCTAAACCGGGATGTGGAGCGAAAGGTTATTTTGACCCTCCTGAATCCAACATACAACTACGGCCCGCGGCGGCGTTTGTGAGGCGGGGTAAACCGATGATTATGGATGTGTGACTACTCTGATGTTAGATCCAATGCTATCTATCCCCCGCAATAAAGGGTCCAATTTTAATGTGGAGGTGGGGGTACGATGGCAAAGTGGACCAAGTCTGGAATCAGGATGCATACCGTTCTGGCTAGTCTTCACAGTCCAGCCGCCTGACAAATATCTGGAACTATGAGGCACCGCAACTTGTCTCCGAGGAAGGGGGCGGCAAAGATGCGACAAAGTAAATTTGATGGCGCCTATTACAAAAATAAGGTTCAAGATACCCTCATATCCAGACACCCGGTCCGGATAAATCCTTCGTATGCATCATACCATGCAATAGAAAAATACCAGCTTCGTATAATTTAGTCATTCATTTTATCATATCATCGACAATGCTTGTTTTACCCATGGCCATTTAGCTGCGGATCCTCCAAGTCTTCGGATCTCTAAACCATTTCCGGTGGCAACGCACATCTCTTACCTGCTACAACAGGAACCAAAAACAACTACAATGCTTCCCTAAACCATTTTAAACTTAAGGTCAATATCTGTTGCCAAATTACTTCGTCAAATTATATGCTGTTATGAGGTAGTTAGAGGTGGTTACGAGAATGAGCAGTTTCGATAACTAGGTCTGAATCCTATGACCTCATTCCAACGTCGTTAAATAGCTTCTGGTTAATTCTAAAGGTGCTTTAACTGACTCCATTGCCATTTTGGTCAATTATATGGGGAGATCATTGATGTTCACTTGTATGGAGATGCTAGATCAAAGCCAAGGAATCTAATCCTTTTCAAACATACATTAATACCATTTTTTTTTAGGAGATGCTATGCTCTAGGAGGAATATAGCCGTCAAAAGGTACATATACTTCTCTCTCTCACATCCATCTCTATCTTTTCTATATTGACATGACTTTCAGCCTGAATAATATTCATCTTCTAAAGTATCAATTCAATTCTCCACAGCGTCAACGCTAATATGAAGCTCTTTCTCGTCATTACGGCTCTTGTCGCCGTCACTATTGCAATCCCAACGCTAGATAACCAAGCCGCTACTCCCAAAGATTTAGGTAAACGACAATTAGGCTGTACAGACTGCGATGATGGCCTCTAGTCATGCTCGACCTGCAACCCAGCTGGTGGTTGCAGAAACTACATCGCATACTGCCAAATATGTAGTTATCCAAAGGCATACTCCCTCGTTTCAACTTATAATACGTGGTTAGTGGTGGAAGTGTTACGCTTGTTTGCGAATGCGCCATATCTACTTTCGCAGCTTCCTTTACGTGGATGGATGGTTCCAAGCCAAGGTGCTATTAATATGAAATAAGGGAGAGAAAACTGCAGAAATTGGCCGGCACCAATAAATAAATTGTCTCTACAATCCACGAGAGTGCTTAGCCTTGACGCGTAAGGACTTGTGACGGTGGATGCCCTTATTATTTTAATCTGTAATAGAAGAAATATGTCATAGGAATACGAGACTATCCCAACTAATGCCTCCGCAGACACCTCGAATGCCCCATAGAATTTCCTCTAGTAATCTTGTTGCTAGGAACAAATCCCTGCTTGTCGAATGAATGCAAACTAACATGCATTACATTGCGACTTGTGGAAGACCTATTCTCTGTATTATAAATTAACGGCGAGGATATGCACAGTTACTTAGCGAAACTGATACGGGGGGACTACAATTTCAGCTATATCTCCTAGTCGAACCAGACAACAGACGTAAAGTAAAGCATATGCTGTAGCATGTTTACAAATTAGAATATTTTTGTCTCGGCCTTATTAAAGAATCGAACTGGGTCCAGCTATGGTCTGCGGCCGAGGGTAAAATCTTAGGAACAGGACTGGCAAACTTGCAGCGGTCGTTGAGATCCATACATCCCATTACCCCTCTTCGTATACCCCTGACCTAGTCCTTCGCACTTTATTGGTGCTGTGTTAAACGACATGATGGTAGCACAGAATTCGATATGTGCTTAAATTTGCTGCGCTTACTGGATAACGGCTTACTGCTATTGGGCCAATGTACAACTTAAAGTCATTTATACTATGCGGGCCAAACCTCGTACCAGCCTATTTCAACTACGATCCACTATATTTCTTGGACCGTGTCAACATCAGCGACCTTATCAATTCCCCTCATGTTTCTCGGTATCTTCACATTTAGCTTTTCCAGTTCATCCTCCCACGCTTTCACGATGTCCCATTTGACTCCGTCCTTTGTTGTCGGCGGAAGTGGGGATGGAAACCCATGCAGTTTTGCGTGTCGTAAAGCCATGCCATCATTAGCTTCATCGGTAGACCAACCTCTGAACTGGCCACCGGCTCCGTCAAAGGAGCGAAGGAATTCGTATGAGGGGTGGGACATACACGCGAAATCGTAGTCGATGAGTGCTGTGATGCGGTTGGATTTGGGATCGAATAGGATGATGTTAGCGCCTGTAATTTAAAGCATTCAGCTTAATGATGGAGTTTGAGAATTTGAAACTCGTTGAGTAACTTACTGAAGTCAGCATGTATGATAACTCGATCTTGCTTTGAGTCCAGATGTTCGAATTGTATCGGCAAACCACGCTCGACAAAAGTATCCAGACGACTCAATAGAAGCGCTCCCCCAGGCGTACACAAACGGTGCTATTTGTGGAACAAAACCAGCGAGAGCAGCAGAGGCGAGTGCAGTGGTGGCGACTTCATTTTCAATGCAGGTTGTCCGTATCATGCCCTCAGCATCAGGGTTGGCGAGGCGGAATATAAGCTCCTTGGTATCATCAGGAATGGGGACACAGCCAGGCTGTCCAGGCCCATCGTTGGTCGCTATGATAGGTTCATTGAAGTAAACACGGTTGACAAAGTTGTTGTATTTGAAAGGGCATTCTGGGTCGCATTGAATGGGGGTAACCTCAGCTTTTTCCTGGTAGAGAGGGACTTCGAATTAGGACTCAGGCGTGTGGGATGGCATGGGCGAGGAAAAGGTTACCTTGAGGCCAAATCGTTCCTGGAGAACGGCTTGTATGAAGTCTAGTCGGGCCTGGTATTTAACGTGGTTATGGGAGATGGTGGCCATATTTTTCTACATCTGTATTATCTTGAATTTGACAGGAAGCAGTGAACGCTTTGTTGTATTTGGCCTATTGACACCCAAAGAGCCCATATCCCCCCCTCGCTGTTTCCTAGCTGTAAACCAACAGTTTATGCGTCCTACAGTAGTTGTGAACAAGACATTGCCAATTATGCTTGCATGCATAAAATACAGACCTTGATTGGCTGTATAGCTCCTTTCATGCTATGAAATCACGACTGCTACTTTATTCTATTCTTGGCCTCAGGCATCTTTAGCTTTCACAGCATTCCCTGTTGGCTGTGCCGCCCATTTTATACTGAGTCACCGCCTCACACCCTCTCTTGAATTTCATTAATGGGTCACGTTTGATTATTGAAAATGGTGGAACAAGAAGCGTTGCAAGCACTCGGCGGATTTGGTGAATGGATCTGGGGTGACGATGCTGAGACAACTGTGTTTGCTCTGGCTTTTGGAGATGGCAAGACATTAATATTTCGATTTGTGGTCGATCAGACTGAGCCTGAATCTCTTGCGACACGAGTCGTGAACTTCTTTCATGGCCTCAAAACTATCAATACAAGAGCTCGCTTTTTGGGCTGGGCCTCTATGCTCACGAAAATATGGTCATCAGTTGCTACAGTCTGGGACGAGTGTAGTGACGAACCCACTGTTGAAGATCCAGACGTCGTCATTGATATTTATGAAGCCAGGCTAACAGATAATGCCCCCCCGCAGATAATGTGGAAAATTTGCCATGAGGTGGATCTGTTCAACAAATACGCTTACCTTCTCTTGCCACAAGACCAACTTCTTGTGAAGCAACCGACAAACACAGTGGATTTTAAAGATTTAGTCCGGCAGCATCAGCTTGGTGGGAGAGGCTGTACTACGCTTGCACATATGCCATCCAGTCCCCAAACAAAGTATGTGTTCAAAGGGATCGACTTCAGGACCTTTTTGTTTGGCTACGAAAGCGGGCATATTCGAGAAGAAGTCAAAATATTCTATCGATCAATGGAGCTAGTTTGCAACATGCCACCCCATCCTAATGTTATGTTCCCAGCGTAGACTTTGGTCACTATCTGCAAGGAAGGTGATGACAGGCCACTTGTGTGCGGGAGTCTTTATCGGTTTATCCCAAAGGGAACTCTTGCCAGCAACATCGAGCATAATAATCAATATGGTAGACGAATATGACTATCTCAAAAGGTCAAATGGTGTTATCAGATGGCTGCAGCGGTTGCTCATACACACCTTGTTGCTCATACTTATCACATGGATATCAAGCCTGGAAATTTCTTACTGGACGAAGAGTCGAATCTTGTGCTTATTAATTGGGAGCAAAGTGATGCACCCGTCACCACAGCAGCCCTAGAGATTGATGGGACGTGGGACATTGAAGAAATACGCAGTGAAAACCAAACCACCACCCTTCGATACACAAAATACACGGGACCAGAGAGATGTAACATGCCAATACATGCCAATTACCACACCAAGAAATCATGGCTGGAACGTATGGAGCGTGTTTTTAGAATGGGGGAAGAAATGCCCAAAAGCCCTGGAACTCGCAGAAGTGTTTAGTCTGGGTCGTTCTGTGTGGATGTTACTACGCCAACCAGACCTCGACAAATTCGACGATATAACATGCACAGAAGAAGTGGTGGAGGATTGGGAGTCGTCAGAGAATATCCCGGAGCATTGGAAGCGTGTGGTAGAGGATTGCCTTCATAAGGACCCGAATAAGAGGATTGGCCTCCGCGAGCTTGTTGCTTTCTGGGATAGTGAAAGACAAGCAATGTATGAACGTAATACCTGAGCTTAAATTGGATGGGATCGAGCAAGATTCTCCCTGTTCCCGTCAAAGAGAATTATCGACTACGAACCAGTCCCTCTTTCTTAGAGAACTTACATAGAGCAGGAGAAATATCAATTAAATGGAATAGTCGATTCCGAAGAGCAATATCAAAAGGCAGAGAGACGTTTCAAGATGATAAAACGTACGAATGGGGCTGTAGTAGGGCTGTATTCTATTCCTACAAGTATTGTAGCCAGATGCCAGATTGAAAACTGAGTTTTCAGAACAAGTCCCACCGCATTACCAATCCACGCTCTAGTTTCAGACACAACAGGAGACTCTAGGGTAGAGCTTTTACTTTTCAGCCCGTCGTAGGATTCAAAGGAAATCTGACGCAGCCTTCAAATTTATCCCAATCGAAAAAAAACAATTCCTTCAAATCGCCATCCCTAAGATTCCTGCAGTCTGACTTGTGGTCCTTCTCGTTCCAACCTCTGATTCGGCACGTCTGATTATAATAAGATTAGCGTACGAAAGAGCAAACGATAGACTCCCAACTTACTACTTCGCAGTACCAGAAGAGCGAGCACTTGGTACACTTCTTCAACGACGCTGCTTGCTTACCGCACCCATGGCATGTTCTCAGCCCGTTTCTCTTCACTGAGTATTTTTGGACCCGATCGCTCAATGCTAAGATGTCACGTAGCATCATAGGGAATATCTAGTAGAACACGCTGTGTTAGAAACTGTGCTAGGTTTCTGGTGATTATCGTACCTTCAAATTCGAGGACTCCTTAAGACAGATCGCCGGATCAGAATGCATAAACCCGCGACGATTTGCGTACAAAGTGGCAACTGTACACCCTGTGTCGACTTCTGAAGGCACAAATTCGCTCCCGGCCCCATCCGTATGAAAGATGAGCGGAATCGATACGCCGGTAATATCTTGGATATCCACCTGGAAACGGGTCTCGGTGTAGATGTCGATAATCTCAGCGAGCAATAACCAGTGCCGACGTGGTTGATGGGTTGTCGCATCACTGCTTGAGTAGAACTCGGTGGTGATGTACTTGTCATCGGGCAAGCCATAAACGTGTGGGAATGTCGTCTGGTTGCGGAGATCTGCAACTTGTCCAGGTCGCTTTGGCTTCTCTCTCCTCCATAGCCAGTTGTCAAACTGCGTCGGATCAAGTCCGGAAGGAACATCATCCACGGCAGTTTTCCACTGCATTGAACGTCCGTATAATCCGTGTTTTGAGGGATCCTTCAACAGAGCTTTGTTTTCAAGAACATTGGGGCCGTCGTTGCCTCCAAGAACAGCCCACCCAAGCATCGCCTTCTGTGCAAAAATACCTACTCTAGCTAGATCCCCATTGACGACAGTAATTTTTACTACGTCTAGGAACGCCCTTGGCAAACCAGAATCGTTAGGCCCATGTTCATTGTAAAGGGTTACCTGACGATCAACATGTCGAAGTTTTTGCGACGAGCCTGCCGATATCCCCATCAAGCCATCTCTGCCAATGAGGTGATCTAGCACGAGAATCTCGTTGAGCCTTATATCGCTCTCTCGGCTTTGATCGGGTGGCAACGAGCAAAGACGACATGCGCAGGTAAACGCGAATTTTCTTTGAAGCTCCTCTTGGCGAGCTTCACGGTTGTTGGTGACGCCGAGATAGTAAATTGTGATCTCCTCGCCCTTTTCTAAGTTTCGCAATGCATGGACGGTGTGTCGCTTGATGTTCTCGTTCCAGCATTTTTGAGCGTTGTTGTCGCAGGCGTGGTTGATGCGACATGCATCAAGGAAAATACCGGCATTGTCCTGCCCAAATGGGAGGGCGTTTGTCCTCATGATACCAAGATATTTTGAGGCAGAGTCATCGGCGTAGATATTATGCATGGAAAGAAAGGCTTGGCGTTGGTTTGGAGTAAGAGCATCGACTTGCAAGCGTACGTATGATCGGAGAGTTTCGCAGTGGGGCAGATTTTCTGGGATCCTGAGAATGGGCTCTTCTGAGAGAATCCGTGTGCCCATGGGGATATCTCGGGTAGCGACAAGCCCCTTTCCTTTACCAGGAACATCTTGGATGGTGTACATCGGTTCAGTTGTTAGAGTCGACATGTTTGTGTTGTCGTTGTTCCTCAGTTAGCTGAATTCAATGTTCAGGTGGAAATGGCCTCGCGACTACTTACCAGCTCCAGTTAATCATTTGAAAAATCTGGAAAGGTTCGAAAGAATTGGTATTTGAAGGATTTGGAAAGGTTCAAAAGAATTTGGGGGTCGTTGGGGTTTGAAAGAGTTGAGAACAATTTTGAATGGTTCGGATTTGTTTTTTTGAATGGCAGATCACACGGCAAACGAATTGCAAACGGGTTCCGGACTCTCAATTAGCACTATATTTCCTTTAAATTATATATGTATTCAAAGCCTGGCATTTAAGCACCTGTAAAACACACTCAACAATACGATTAGGTGAAATTTGGTGAAATATAAACAGTAGATCGAACTCATTGTACAGGGTGAAGCATTCCATCATGCGCCTCAGTTAAAACGGCATACGGAGCCCACAAACATACCACATACAATCAAGGCACTTCTGAGGTTTGGTTACATACCGCGTAGTTGGAACACACATCATGTAACAGTTTTATTCATTTAGAAACATCAACTGCTGGATTTTTTTCATTGACTGAATGCTACCCTTCCATCCATGTCCACCATTTCATCTCCAAGCAGCTTTTCTGATAATACGACTACAAGGATGCAATCAAATATGCCCATGCGTATGACGAGGCGTAGACGGACCATCTCCAACTCCAACTTTGTGATCCATCTACTCCTGTTGCGGCCAGACCATCCATCCTGAAATACATATAATCCTTACATCCTATGCTTCCTGCATCGCCTGCAAGCCACAATATAACACTGCTTGCATTCTTGAATGAACCTAGTAATCATCAATTGGCCGCATATTTCGCAGTATCCGGGACCCTGGATATAACGCCAGTCAAGATGCTGACATTCGTGGTTCTCTCGAAGATTCTGAATTGTGCGTTTGAACGACTCGAATCTCTCGCGCAGTCGCAATCCACGAGTCGCTTGTCGACGAGCTACAAGCACGTTTGCATGCTCAATGAGTCGATGTTCGTCCCATTGCGCGCAGGTGCAGACTTTCCATCTCAGCCCGCAGAGGTAGCAGAATTCAGTGCCACAACGACAGCTATTATAGTGTTAGCATTTGAGGTCTCTGTGGGGTGTGATTGGGAACTTACGTGATATGGTTGCAGCCATAGTTCAGTTCCACCACACTCGAACACATGTAGCATCGTTGCCAGCCATTCTCTCTCACCATTTGCAAGATCTGCTCAAACTCTGGATCACTGGGGCATTCTCCGTTGCCATGAGCGGCTTCTTTGCACAGTGTGCATGTCTTTGAGTCGCATTTGAGACATGTAGCCACGTTGTTGGCAATGTTGGCGAGTTTGATAAACGCTGAACAGGTCTGTACAGAGCAATACGTTTTGTTCGGAGTCTCATACTCGACCCTTTTGTCGATAAAAGCATCGACCAGGTCGGAAGTCAGGAGTGTGTGGATTGCCTCCAAAGCAATTGGTTGGCGACAGCAACGTGGCGGAAAGAGGGATTGGTCTGTAATCGCCGCCGTGACAAGGTCCTGGAGACAATCGCGACAGTACTCATGGCCGCATGGACCACATCCAAGTTCCTCAAGTGTCTTCTCATCACCGCATGCTTCACAAAGATCTGTGTCATAATTGACCGTTACGGGTGTGAAGAGGCTTTTAAGCTTTGACAGTATCCGACGCCCCAGGGAAGCCTTGAAATCCTTGGAATATGGTAGTCCGGCATGTTCTTTGGGAGTTTGGGCGAGATCGTGATCTCCACCAGCAATGCTTGCCTGTGAAGTTGTGTTCAGAACAGTCGGCACGTGACTTTGGGCATAATCCGAACTTTGAGCCATGCTCCCATTTGAGAAAGATAGATCGTCATTTTCCAGCTCTTGCTGTTGCAGCTGCAAGGCGTGTGATTCGTCGGTGAATTCTCCACTGCGACCCTTCCCCGCCGCCGAGGACCCGCTCAACCCCAGATATCGGAGCTGTAGCTTGGCGATGAGATCCGCTGTCCCATCGTCGATATCGTCGAGACGATCGCTGAGAGGATCGCCGACGCTGAGATAAGCCATGTTTGGGTTCGATGAGATAAGCGAGATGAGAAATGGTTGATTGGATGCACGTGACTGTGTGGTGATAAATTGTAGAAAATTATGCCCTCAATAAGCCTAGCGGGGCGGACCGTGCCGATCGTGCGCGGTCGCTAATGGATAGTCCCATCATTTTAGGGCTACGTTAGTCCTAAATAGGATAGCGCGACTCTATTAAAGTGTAGGCCCTCAGAGAGTTTATCAAAATCTCGAATTGCACTCTCAAGACATCCAGAATATGCCAAAATAAGCCCCAACATTCCGTCGTATTTTTTTAAATTCCTTCATGGACTCATCCCTGCCTTCTTTCCCTCCGTGAAAACTCTGATCAGGCATGCGATGCTATTTGCTCAGTAGAACAGTGCGTGAGCCATTGTTTCAGCCTTTTCATAGCCACGTAAGCAAGCCACAGAATACTCCCCATCACGTGCGTTTGCTTCCCTCAAGACGTGACTTCTTTCTTTCCTAGACCCAGCTATGGCAGGTATTCATATCTTATTTGCAATAAAGTAGCTATTGCTTCATACATATTATTGACTCTGTTAGATAACCCAAAAAGCCGAAGAATAGTTTCAGTTATTGACGAAACTGCTTCAAAGTACGACCTATTGTCAACAATACCTTCAACCTCCGCTCTCCGTTTACTTTCCGCGCGACTAATGAGATGGGCTCAATTACAAGGCTCCGCGCAGCCACAAAAGCACGTGCAACCTCACACCACATGAACAATCCGATGGCCCATCCAGGCCATCGGGCCTTTCTACTCCACACGGGGCGCCGTTACTACGCAAGGAAGAGTTTTTTTAGGTAGCACGGAGTCATAGGCACAGTATCGCAGATCGTTGTGCTTGCGGCTCATCGTGCGAACGCTGACGTGGCAGCCAGCCTTATGCAGGGGGTTCCGATCACAAGACAGGAAGGCTCCGGGGTCGACTCCGTGTCAAAGGAAATTGGAGAACATCACGGGAGCAATCCTAATTTTCACTCAAAAATTGCTGAGAAAGGGAAAGGGGGTGTGGCAGGGAAGGAAGGCAAAAAAGGGGGGGGTGAGGTGAGATCAGCGGCAAAAATGGTGAGAGGTGGTGGGTGGGTTGCAAACCAAACACACTCGGGCTAAGCTCTATGCAGGCACCAGGAACACTACCAAAGCCTTCTCGAAAGCCTCAATGATCTTAACCTCTCTTTCTTCCAATCAAGCGGTTGTCACGTGGGAGAGAGGGCAACTACAGGCCAGTAGGGAAAGCAATGTGAGACAAGCAACCTTCCCTGGGGTACTACTACTCCAGTCCCGCATATACGAGATTGTCTCGTTTATTTACCCCGATGGAGGATTCAGGCGTATTGGCAGGTTGTTCCATGGGTCCTTCTAGCGCTGTGATTCCTGTTGAACATCCGTGCTACAGCGTGTGGTTTGCTGGCGACGAATGCACGTAACATGTTACGTGGTGTGGCTGAGGCTGCGATCGTGGCTGAGTGTGGTGGTGCCGCAGCATTTTGTTGCGGTGTGTGACAGCGGAGAGTTAGTCTAGCGTGATGGAACTTGTTCACCCTTCCGTCTCGGTGCACGAGCAGGTGGTGAGGCACGTAGGGATATCGGGAGATTAGACCAGATGAGGGTTTGTCGCCATTTTCAGCCGCGCCAAGTATTGGGAGTTGAAACGCGTATGGAGAGAAACCGGTTTTGAGGAAGGATTTTGTTCCCAGCACCTCCTGCGAGGAAACGCTGTCTCACGCTAGGCTTCTTTGAAATATCTTGGATGCTCTTGGATGCTCTTGGATGCTCTTGGATGCCGTCGGATGTTTTTGGGTGTTGTTGGATGTTGTCTTGGATGTCTTGGCCTTTTTGCAGTGCCAAGCTATCTCGTCTTGCGTATCTTGGATGTCTTGGCTTTTTTCCGCGGTACCAAACAATCATCAGACGGGTCGCGGAACAAAACTTTTGACAGGCCGCCTAGTTGAGAGCTCTAGTGGAGCGCGGGTATGGCCTCGACTAATACATATCCGATACATATATCAAGGGGTCTTGTTCAACTGGTGGATCTGGAACGCGGCACTCACAATGAAGTGTCTCCAAAGTACTTATCTATACTTATGGTACGCGGTATATATGTACCAGTACACATCCAGGGAGGATGGTGGTCCTGGCTCGGCACTGCTTGCTCTCATTTTGTTTCTGCTCAACCACACGAATTAAGGTTGAAAATAAACTGGCATTTGCCATCTGATATCAATCCTAGAGCTGGAAGTTCTATTGCGTGAATTTCTGGTACATGGGGATGGATGAGATGCACCTCCGCACTCTCGCTGTACAAATTTGATGGATCGGCTGTCCGAACGGCTGAGATGCAGCGAGGCTGAAATCATTATGCCCATAATCCATATGAGCAGTGGCTCCACGGGCATCGTTTATGCGTGGTTGGTTGTTACTTTGGTCAGTGCGAACCCTTCTAATGCCAACTTGACCGATTGGCTGAGTCAAAGTCCAGCCACTGAATATTGTTGGGTGCACGATGTGGTTTATGCGCGGAATGTTCCTATTCAATTAATTTACCCAGCGGTTGTGCGCATGAACTATACAGAACGGCATCCAGCGGGTGCCATGGCTGACCACGGCACCCCGCCATTCATGGTCTTCAAGCCGCCACCAACATCGACGCACCCTACTACGTCCAGGCAGCGCAGCCCGAAGAATTTTTTCAAATAGTGTCTTACATTTACATTCCAGAATGATCGTGAAACACGGATGGACCAATCACCAGCGACCGGTGGTTGATTGGGCGCCATGCTATGTCCATTGAATGGCCGTTGGGAGTGCTGGATTTGCTGTCTCTTTTTTCTCGCATTTGTGTCGTCAATTATAGGAATACAAGCGCGTTGTACCGCCTATACAGTGCCAGTTGTATCTTGCTTGTCTCCTTGGGGAAGATATATACGGGAATTGGTACTGTGCTGGTCCCTGCGCTTCAGGGCAGATGACGATCACGGCGTGTCACTGCCGACGTCCGTGGGCGGGGGGCAATATCAAATTTACAGGGCTGCCGGGTGTTCAGTATCTGGTAACTGGGAGGGCATACTGTATGTATGTTCAATATTGACGTATGTATACCTGAAGTCAAAGCGCAAATGCGCGCACTATGAACGTCGAACAATTGGGCCTCCCTGTCAAGAGAGGTAGTTTCCACGTTACCCGCGAGTTGGTGCGACAGGAAAGGACAGCCATGGACGACTCTCACCGAGGGCGATCGCCATTCTTTTTCGAGGCTAATACGAATGGGTAAGCAAACGCGTTTGCTGAACTGCTGCCATATGTACATTCGTACTGCGTACAAGACCAGGGTAGTTTCTGTACATCTTCGGTACTTGATTGACATATTGACCTGTACTAACTACAGTAGGGAGGGTGCTGCAAAACATCGTCTAAAGTCAGTAGGAGTGGCGGTGAGAGTGGGGAAGATCGCCAGAGAGTGGACTTCCTAAGAGCCCGGCTCCGTTGGACCCCTTGCTTGTCTCCCTCCAGGAAGCACGAGGCACCAACCCACCTAATCGCTGTCCCCATGCAACTCCCCCACTAATAGACCGCTAGGGACACTATCTCCCATCATGGCGGTAGGTAGTGTGGGCAGTGTGGGCAGAGTGGGCTCGTTGCCTTTCTTTCCAGAAAGGTACACTTTGTTTGATGCGATGCGGCACTCAAGGGTACACGGCTGCCTCGTCGACATACTGATCCATGGAGGCGCAGCACCGACTTCCGTCGTCCGTGGAGGCCGGGACGAACAATGCCCATTGTTGCGCTGTCGTTCCCGATCATTCTTTCTTGCCTGTTTGAGCGAAATTGGGACATGAGGTTGGGGAAGCCAGTGAGCTGTGTGGGTGAGTTCGTTGACTGGTGTGTGGTACCTCGCTGGTTTGACGTCCGGCAACCTCAACAAGGCTAATCACTTACGTCCTTCCTTCCCACCACTCAAATCCTCGTTCGTTGGCTTGAGCTTCCCCATTTCTGCACCCACTCACAGCACCGACGGATTATCCCTGTTCATGTCAGTCAATCCCCCAATATTTCTCACTCCCTCACAGGGTCGTCGTAATAGCTCCCATCGTCGCCTTTATATTTATACTCTGCTTCTCTCCCACATTTTTTTCTTTCCTACCCACACGATCTGCACTCGTCGCTCACACATTCATTATACCCCTTCGCCTCACTCCTTATACATACTTTGTCTGTCTATTCCCAGTTATTACACTGAATACTCGCCATCCGTGCAGCTTCGTTATCTCCGCTATCCGCACCTCTTGTTACTTCCCCTCCTCGCCGCCACTTCTTACCTGTGCTATTCGGATCCATTCCTTAACTACACGATTCGAATTTTCACCTTTACGACGCTCCTTATTATCGCAACATTCCTTACCTAAGAAGTAATCGCCATGCCTTTGCCCCCGCCGCCCTCTGTACCTCGCCAGCTCTTACTGACACTCGTGCCTCTCTAGTAAGAAGACATAACTGCCTCCTCGTACCCACTCGACCGCCAATTTGACCGGATCTTCCTGTCTTTCGAGCATCCCACAAACCCAGGCGGTATATCTCTATCTTCTCGGCACACCATCCGACACACCTAGCCAGCTCTGGCTGCCGCCCAAATCCCATTGGTTTCAAAGCTTCATCTGCTACTTCGTAGCACTTCGTAGCTTGCTGCCGCTCGAGTCACTCCTCACATACTCCACTACACAACCGTGTCTTTGCAGTTCTTGTTCAGACCAGCTCTTGTTACCTCGTCGGCATACCTGTGCCTTCGTGGCGCTCCGTCCAACCTCATCAGCTCAAGTCACCACCCTGGCCCACGCTATCCCCCCATCGGAATGTCCACTCCACGCGGTGGCAATACTGGACGCCATGACGCTACTAAAGAGGGTGGCCAGGCAGATGGAAACAATAATGTGGCCGAGGATGGCAGTGAAGACGAGTACGCATACCACCGCTTGGTCCTCGTATACACCCACTGACGCACCCCTAGTATAGTTCTCGATGCCCCCACCATGACGGACCTGCTCCCTATGCAACAGCCCCAGAACGGTGAGGGACCTGGAGTACACGAAGGAGGTCCCTGGAACGGGTAAGCCGCCGCTCTTCTGTCCCCTCATGGCTGACTTCCGCTAACGCGTTCGATAGTAACTCCTTCGCAGGCCTCCACGAGCCTCTTCTGTCTCCCATTGACGAAGCTCCTCACAATGGGTATGCATCCAATCCCTCTCCCCTTCCACTACCATCCACCCGCTAACCCCGTCCAGGTTGCCCGCCAGTAACCTCGAATCTCCCTACGATCCGATCGACAACTGGTTACACTCCGTGGACCCTCCGATTACACACCTCCTCCATCTACTCGGCCTACAGGAGGATAGGGATCGTCTCCAGAGACGCCCGACAAGGAAGAACCACAAGCACAAGCACAAGCCCCAACAGCGGAAGTGAGTGTGCTCGAACACCGATACCCTCCCTGTTCCATACAGAGGGTGGCAGCTCAAGACACACTATCTACGCAGGGTGTTCGACGAGAGGCTATCCACGAGATTAATGATGTACGCATGGGTGGTTGGATGACCATAACGATTAATGGCGGGCGGGAAAACGGATAATGGCAGAAACGAGCGATGAACAAAACTTTAGACGATCTATCAACCATGTAATTTATGTATACTCTACGATCACCACAACATAGGGTTATATATACGGCCACGGACATAGACTATGAATCAAATATTTCCTTTGTCATACCCGCTAGTTATAATTCGCGATATAAATTACACATATGATGCTATCTCTTCAATAACGCTTGCGTGCTCTTCCTCTAAGTACCATGTTCATCAACTTATTTCTCACTCCATACATCATAGATTGAACCACTATCATCCCTCGAGCTCCTTCGTACCAGACTCCCCGCATCTCTTAACTACATGCTCGCCTTCATCTACCTTGCGTACTTAATGATGACGCTTCTTCTAGAGACCGTCCCAGCTTTCGAGGATACATGGATTGAATGTCTTGGTGACTTGGGCAGGTACCGAATGGCTATCGAGGACGACAATGGCAAGAATAGGGAGATTAATACGTCGCTCGTTAGTGGTATTTGAAGGCCGCTGGCTGATCGCCCCTCTACAGCTGGTCTCGCGATCCTGGCCCGACCAAACGCGCTCGCGCAACTCTTCTACAACTGGACGTCTTTACCACCACCTCGCGATCCTAGCTAGGCCAAACGCGCTCCCACAACTCTTCTACTACGAAAAGTCCATTACAGACTGCATTTCCTTCACTGCAGCCCGAAATTCAAAAACTGTTTGTGCAGAAGTTGAACCCAGTTGCCCACTATACTTATTAGCAGGTATCACCTGAGAAGTACATGTCCCTCCTCTCCCAACTCTACTCACAATGCCTTTCCTCACGACGCCCTTTCCTCAACGCAAACTCGACCATCACACCACACCATATATCCACCACCGCGGAAAACCACCAAAATAGGAAAGCCGCCGCCTAATAACTTCCCTCACCGCTCATTCATTCCAAATCTTCACCGGTAATATATGCGCCGCCCGATCCTGCGCAAGCGCGGACGGTGCCGACGCGGCCCAACTAACCCTCCGCCACGCTTACGGGTTGGGTTACCTGATCCGAGTACGACAGCCGAGCAAATCAAATCGCATCAAGGCGGCAAACGCGGCCTTTAATCTCCCGAGACGTCAGCACCATGAATATGCTTCTATTTTGAGGCGGGAGCTAAGACTCTTGACATGTGCTTTGTACAATTGTACCGTGCGCTTTAATATCAGAATTACTAGGACGCCATTTCTGGCCCTATTTCTGTTTCTACCTTGTTTCGTCACCTCCGCGGGCGCACCAGCATCACTAATTCGCAGAGTCGCCAGCGCACTCGGTGACCGACGCGCCTTGCCAACCCCACGCTCACCGCCCTCCATGCATATGCCTTGGGGATAGCCTAACAGCCCACTGCAAACCATGCAGAGCTACCAACTTTCCAATACGAGGGAATGTCATTGGGAAGAGCTGTTGGGGGCGGTTTCTGGAAATTGCCAACACAGTCCGCACCCTCACGAGGCAGCGGGTGCGGGGCGGTATAGATGGTGGGGGTGAGAGTGGGAGTGCGTGGCATTCAACAGCTAAAGTTGGGGGAGTGGGGGGTATATCCCTCAACCGTTTCGGTAGGTGCTCGCGTGCCTTCCCAACAGCATAGGCTGAAGGTTGACTGAGAGTACCCAAGATTTGGGTGGGATTCTTGTTTCCCATACTACAACCCCCACCTTGCATCCCAGCCTTGGATCATATCAGATGTTTTATGCTTTAAGGCGTGGGTTGGGGGATCGGAGAGTTTAGGGATATTACCTGGGACACCATTGGCCTTTCTTAGGTGCACAATGCACTTTGACATACTCTGCACTACCATCCACCACATGGGTGCATACGTGGGGTTTGAGAATGGAGAGGGGTAGTGGGGGATTCAGAGACTGCTGGGAGTTCATCCCCATCAACCCCACGTACTTTATGTTGAAGGAAGCCCCCACGCTGCTCTCTTCCCCCATCAAAGATGTACGGGGGTATAGGCAATTTGCGGCGGCGTGCGGCAATTCACGGCATTGGATTGTTTACGGCATTGGTTTCTTCTCATGAGCTGAACAACGCGGCGATGGGACGCCATAGAGTGGGATGGTCAGAATGAGTACCATATACTAAGCCTTGAGTATCATACGAGTACCCTCTGGTCCCAGGTACACATAGATACAGGACACTCTGTCCTGAAAAATTGCATGCGCGTCCATGTCGAGGCTCGCCGCCGGAGGAGGGCAATCCGTCATCTCCGTCCTCCTCCCACCAGCTCAATCCAGGCTAGCCTTACAAGGCGATATCCACAATCCATCATTTAATCTCCACCGGGATCAAAGACAGGTCGAAGATCTCACTCCACAGTCTCCATAGAAACTCCGCAGCGATCCCGGCGCTACACGCGTATGCTCCACATCGGCTCCTAGCATATCACCGCGCTTTACTTGGGACAGAATAGACTGACAGCCTAATTTTCTAGCACCGCGCCAATCTAGGAATGGGCGCAGGGACGCACGGCGCCGAGGCACGCTTGTTTCCGCCCTGGTCACTCTGCCGAGGCCCCTGGAAACACAACAGGGTTCTCAACACCCAAACGAGCGTCAATCACCAACCACAACTGTAGGGCTGACAAGTGTAGCGTGGCGTGTGTGCTAACTGATAATTACCAAGCGTCATATAATTTCCCAACATGCGCGCGGGTTTCCACTGTCCTCCCGTCAGCTAACATTCGCAGTGATTCGCAGCCTGCTTCTCACCACAGTCCGTTTTGCCAACGCCGACGCGCGAGTCGGTGTCGGGTCAGCGGATGGCATTTTGAGTGCCCAGGTAGTTAGCCAGTATGAAACTGAGGGCTGGGCCGTGGTCCGTCCTGCGGGTACTATTCGTAAGCTCTCCTTGATGTTGTGGAAATCTGTTTGACAGATCTCACTTGCGGCCTTGGGCACAGCTACACACATTTAATACTGCTCTGTTTGAGTTTTTCCCAAGGCCGTAAATGGGATCTACTAAACAGATGCCTAGGGTGTCAGAGATACAACTTCGAGGATAGACGCCACAATAATTCTTCTGTGGCTACCGGTCTGGGGAGTGGAAATGACGCCAAGAGAATCCAAGAGGTAACTCAACACTGTTTGGTGAGTTGGGATCCGCTAAATGAGGCTGTGCATATTTTATTACTGTACTTTTTGAGTTATACCTAAGGCCGCAAGCGGGATCTACCAGACATATGCCCGTTGTCAGGGGTCTTGGTGACCAGAAGCCAGGTATCGAATGAAGAGCTTGGTCATCTTGGAGTCTCTACCAATGGAGTATGTGGTGTATTTTGGTGGAATAAATCATGGAATAGCCATCCCACACCGCTACTACTCTACCAATCCAAAAAATCGACCCCTCAACCCACCCTGGCTAGTCCTATCACGATTTCTCACCTGGAGTGATGGCGAAAGTACACGCGGGTCTCCTGGCTAGATCTTAAAGTTGGCTCAAATCCTATCCCTTCCCTCAATGCAGCCCGCCTCATTTCGATCCCCGTCCTATCGGCGACTACATATAGAAAGTCCTTCCCTGAAAGAGGCCGAGCGCTGCAGCCTTTCTGTATGTGATTAATCAAGCCGATCGGGCGTTCGGCGATCGATCTAGGACAACAGGATTCTGCATCACGTACCAGTAACCCTCTAGTTTGCGGCGTCCAGAGCCGTGCGTTTTTCAGCCAAACAAACCCTCCACTCCACGTACAACGTGGCCTGGTGGGACTTCCTTGCAACGGTAAACGGCAATGCTCTTGGTGGCTTAGCATACATAAAGTTACAGCTCGCGTTTCCGATCGCGCACCTGCTTCCCCGGAGCCTTGGTCCGAGCGCATCTGCTTTTACGAACGGCTGGCAATGCGAGCTGCCAATTGGTTGCTTCATCTGTACGAGAAGCGGTCGGCATGACTTGTTAAACCAGGTATGGGTATCAGGCATGGATCGTAAAAATATACTCGTACTTCGGATCATATTATACGTCCATGGGTTCCTTGTAGATTCTTCGTCCGAACCGAGAATAGGCCAATCGTAAAATTAGAGTCTGCGTCAGTTCTGTGTCCTAAACGTCTCGGGCCATTACTCGCCTACCTCTGGCTAGGGGTCGTGCTCGCCATAGAGGATTAGATCTGGCATGTCCTAGCGGCTCTTACCCCTCCCCGGTAGTTCATCAACTGGGGCGCGTTTAAGGGTTGGTGACTCTTCACATAACCATAGCAAATACTCCACGTAACAGGTCACTAAGCTTGTCACCGACCTCTCATCCTCCATTTTTAGTTCCGTCCGATCCCACCCGCGCTCCCTCGCCTCATCTCTGCCCATAGGGTATCACTACTTCCTTTTCCCCGCAACTAGCCCACAAAATGAATAAACGACTACATGACGAAGATGCCTTATAGATTACCTGGTCCAACATCGAACTAAACCGACCGCACTCTTCCTGTTAGCCCACTAACTCGCGGCACGGCGTGATTCGAACGGGTGACACAGCTGGTGTCGTGGCAAGGCGGAAGATTCATTGTGATAGTACAACGTAGCGTACATGTATCGGCGATCCCGTGAGCAGCGCTTGCCTCTTGTTCCAAGCTCGAGGAGTGGTGTGTGGCTTGAGGTGTGTGGCTTGAGGTGTGTGGCTTGAGGTGTGTGGCCTCATGTATGTGGCTTCATGTATGTGGCTTCATGTATGTAGCTTGATGCGTCTTGCTTGTGTTACTAACAAAATATCATCATGGTTCCAAGCCAAAGGCATAGTTATGTTGCCACAGTGAGCTTTCTGGCGTTCCTTACACAGCTCTGCGCTAAGAATAAAGTGATTGTCATTAGGCGGAATATGTCTGGTATATCGTGAACTGTAATGTAAGGGTTTGCTTACTTATCGATGGGGTCGCCAGCTTGAGGCTGCGATTTATATGGGATTATGTCAGATCTTGCCATCATTTATTCTTGAACACTGGTTTGAGTGGACGAAACTTGGTAATATTCGGAGTTCTGGCATACCGGAGATGCGGTTGTCCCCGCAGTTTTGAACGCCCCAACTTTCGGCTCAGGAGCATCGCCATAACATCATATAAGGTCATAAGTGCTGCGTGTGTCCAAGATACTGATCAGTAAACAAACTTTCTCGATCGGAAATTCCGAAAATGGTAGCTTCGCTTTCAAATCGAGGGTTTATAATATGCTGTTTCAGATGCAGTTGCTGTCTATAACATGGACATATTCATGGGGTATATATAGTTGCTTGCTGCCATACTTCGATTTAACACTACTGTCAATCCCAGTACTCCCAGCATCTACGGCATTTATAACATCTTCAGCATCTACTCGCAATTTTGAGATCACAATGTCTCTCCCAAATATCTTCCTCATCGGTGCCTCTGGCTACATTGGAGGCACCTTCCTCACTTTCCTGACGAAAGCCCGCCCAAATTTGCCCATCCGAGCGCTTGTCCGGAGTGAAGAACACGCAGACATCCTAAGGAAATTTTACGGATCGGCTGTCACGCCCGTCATTGGATCGCTCGAGGACTCTGATTTCCTTCGTGCGGAGGCTTCGAAGGCGAATATTATTGTCCAAGCAGCTCCTGGTATGGAGACAGCTATTGCAGCCCTCATCGAAGGCGCTGCGCTCAACCCCTTGAACAAGTCGCTCAAGGAGTCAGACCGCCCTGCCATTGTCCACATTTCGGGCTCCAGTAACATTTCTCACCCGGTCTTGGGAGAGCTCTTGCCGCGTGTCTTCAGCGATGTGGATGACCTGGATGATATCTTGGCGCTGGATCCTAGCCGCATCCAAGTCCCATGTGAGAATGCGATCAGGACTCTCAGCAAGGAGAAGAATGTTCGTTCTGTCATCATCTCACCGCCTACCATCCTTGGCCACGGGAAGGGTGCGATCAAGACGGAGACGTTCCAGGTCGGCTGGTACAACGCGATCATCGAGAACGGCGCCTCGTTCCTGCTGGGCAAGGGAACGAATGCGTGGAGCACTGTTTCCATTAGTGATCTCGGTCGTGCAATCTTGTTTGTCTTTGACGAGATATTGAAAGGCGAGCAAAGTCGAATCGAATACGGAGATTCCGGCTACTACTGGGTTGAGGCATTCGAGGTGTCGCTGATGGATCGCGCCAAGGCGATTGGCGAAAGGCTGTTCAAGGAGGGAAAGATCGGGACGCCTGAGGTGGAACTCAAGTCGCTTGAAGAGGTGACCTCAAGATGGTCAGTGTATATGGGATATCTTATCGGAAGCAGCTCTAGGATCAAGGCGGACAGGCTCAAGGCACTGGGGTGGAAGCCTTTGGATTTTGACTGGAAGGTGCTGGTCGAAGAAAAGGGCGGTAAGAGATGTTAGAGGTGCGGGCAGGGAGTAGATTCTGCCTTTTAAAACGCATCATAGAGTCCATGTTGCAGATCAAATGTAGACAGTTAAGTTCGCATAGTCTGTTTGATCTCTCGTACGCCTGGATGATACTGGTTCTCTGGTCCTTGCCATCGCCATATTAACAACAATCGAACGTCGGGGCGGGTGCCTGTATGTGTAGGAGTATGGGTACGGTTACCTTTCATCGGTGGCTTGCTGAGTACGCGCGGGGACGGCATAACCCGGGAAGGGCCGAAGGCGGAGGAGGTTTATTGCGGTTTATGTTTCCGGACGCATGTATTCTGGGCGAGGCCAGTGCGGCTACATCCATCGAGTCAGTGGCGATGTAAGAAGGTGTAGCATGTATGTACAAGATATGTGCGTTCAGGGGTGCTAGGAATAAGAATAACGAGGAAACTTAGCTGTGGGTTAATGGGCGCGGGATACAACACGAACACCAATCTGAGACCATCCCCCTTGGCTTGGAAGCTCACTCCATTCTAAGATCCTACCCATTTCCCCATGTTCATTATTCCTGTACTCACATAGATTGACCCATGCCCATTAAGACCCCACTATTACCTGCACTTTGGACATATCTCTGCATGCTCAGCTGGCATCTTATTGCGAACTACCCAAGACCTCTCCACAATGTCGGGCCAGCAACCCCCCCAAACAAAATCCAAAACATGCGGGATCCCATGGCGCACCTAGAAAGTAGGATGGATAGGGTAAGTCACAGCTCTAAAAATGCACGACTTACCCTGCAGCCCCTCCTTTCCAGCGACCCTACAACGCTTCTGTCAAAGACCCGCTTTGGTGTCCAGCCTGGCGGGATTTGTATGCATCAGCGGCCAGCCATGGATTGTTCTCTGCTGCATATATCCTCACTACTTCTTTTCTTAAAGTGCGCCCCACTCGGTATTCTTAGAGCTGTCAGGGCCCTCGGTGACAACAGTAACTCGTCTTGTCAGTGGTCTAGTTGGCCATATCCACCTCGGTGAGCAGAATAGGTCTAGTAGATTTGGCCGTTTCGTTGACGATAGGTCTACCTGGGTACGGTACAGCGTATCGCATACATGTTACTACTCGGATCAGTAGTGGAGTAGTAGAATTGGAGGATTTTTTTCAGATAACTGAGCTCGACGCTATGCAACGGGTGTTGCCCAGTAGCCGTCCTAGGGTCCTTTTGGTCACTTCAGTCATTTCGTTCCTGCAAGTGTAACCGCAAGTGGATTGCGCTTCAACGATACATTTCACCTCCATGGCATAATGAAGATGGAATTATGCTTGATTACCAAATATCCCTAATTCATAACCTCTTTTATCATCTTCGGGGCTGGGCTGACAGGAGGAAAGTCTAGTCGCGTTTCCAACCGGTGAAGGGTACGGCACGAGTACATGCATTTCTAGTATGCCTAACAAAATGTAAGTATTACCATTGCGCTTATGTATGGTAAGTATTACCGTTGCACTTTTGGAACTGCTTCCTCAGAGCGACTTGCTATTGGTCGCGTTGGACCGATCTTGGCTGTCGAGTCAAGCTCGGAAGGCCTGACAGAGCGTCCGACAATACCGACAATATACATACATGTTATATGTACAGACAGACACACAACACCCATTCACTCTCTCTCGTCACAAACAACGAACGAGCAATTCTTAAATAGTAAGGGAAGGAAACAATTAAATAACATCTTTCTCCCCCCTCTCATTCTCACTCTTCTTTTCTCGATATCTCTCTATATATTTCTCTCTTGTCTCTCTATCCCTCATCGATCAGGCTCGCTCACTCTTGTCCAAGTATATCCTTCTCCTCTCCAGACACACCGTTGATTATCTTCCTCAACGGCAATTTTGTTGGCTGGCGCCGTTGTCTTTCACCAGACAGGCAGCTTCCGTCTTCAAACATCGACATAGCTTCATAGCATTCACCTACCCCTCACAGGTTGCATCGCTTCGACACTTCCGATTCCACCTCGTCACCGTGGTAGGCTGTTGCGCCGGCCTTGTTTCCTCACGACAGCCCCGTTATTCGCTTGCTCGGCCATCCGCCTCACCCGCAGTGTCCGTTATCATCAAGCCCGCTGTCATCATCGATCATCAATACAGCTTCACAGCATACGCCAACCCAGTCGAGACTGTCTCTGTTCATCACCTGTACCCCTCCTCGTTCTGACGCGCACTATTGCCGTAGACTTCTCGTCCGACGAGTGTGTCCCGGCCTGCTATCACCGCAGTCCGCAACCGCCGTCGAACATAGACGTAGATTCAGTAGAGGCCAACCTCCCCATTGCCCCAGTGAGTCGGATCAAAGCCACGCACGCTCCGTTCAGCGCCGAGCGCGCATCACAGCTACACGCACCACGCACGGAAGTACTGCGCGGATCCCCATCGCAATGGGCGATACGCACATCAGCGGTCGTGACGGCGGTCGTGACGGCGGTCGCGACAGTGGACACGGCGGTAGACGCAGTGGCAAACATGATGGCGGACGCAACGGCGGACGCAACGGCAAGCGTAAAGGCAGACGCAACGGTGCGTCCAGAGAGCAGCAGAACGAAGGCGGCGAAGCCAACGGCCCGCCCAACGAGCCCGACGTCGAAGAAGAGTGCGCGCACCCACCACCCGCTGCTCCTCTGTACTCAGCTGACTGTCGTGTAGAATAACTCTTCCTGGCGATCCCACCATTCCCTTCTTGGCCAACCAGCAGATGCGTAATGGAGAAAGATACAGCACGTTCGAGGGAGGCCTAGGGAATGGGTATGTTTTATGTTCCTCTTGCTGCTCTTCTTGAACGCGCTGACTCTTCGCAGGTACTCCTATGCCGGCCAAAATGAGTTCATTCTAGGCAATGGAGGCCGAGAGAATGCGTTCGTATATCTGCCTCGCATCTCGCAAATGGCACTGACATATCGCAGGCGCTCGTATAATGAACCCATGGCAGGAGCTCAGCAACAGGGCAATAACGGCCTCGCTCCGGGTGGCCAGCTCGCTGGGTATGTTATTTTGCTTGCTCCCGCAACAACCACTCTCTGCTCCATGCTAACTTGTGGCTCCAGACTCGACGACCTCGATCGTTATAGCCCACTAGGCACGTGGGCGGGCGATGTTTCGAGGGGATATAATGCCTGGACCGACCGTTTTTTAGACAGCGGCCCGAACGGCGGGCCGCCGGCTCGGAACGCTTAGCTGGGTCGCACAGAAATCGTATTCGTTTCTCGCTCGAGAGCTGCAGAACGCAGTGGCGGTACGATGCCTAGAGTCAGACGATGCAAATAGTCGCCTCTGAAGCAGTTGAAATTCGTTGCGCCAGGGTTGCGCGAACAACACTTGGAGAATGAACCCTGGCTTGACGTGAGGTGGGGGTAGGAAGTGTACTAACACGGGTTGGAACGAGTGTTTGAATAGAACAGGCGCAACACTGCCATTGTGCAAAGAGTGAGAAAAGCGACACCGCAAATATTTGATGGAGAGCTAGGGGTTGTGGAAATCGAGTTCGAATACACCGAGGCGATCGCTTGACTGTTTGACGGGGACGATGGTATGAGGTTGTCGCCTCATGAAGTCTTCAATATGTCTGCCAAAAAGGCATCGAGGCTTCAACAGACATTGCGATTTCGATATATCTGTGAAGCGGCATTGCGACTTTAACAGGGACTATCAAAACGGCATAGCGACTTCAAGGCGAACTGCCACAGGCCATCGCGACTTCAGCAGAGACTCTTAGCAACCATGTCGTCTTCAACAAGGACTGTCAAGGCCCATGGCGACTTCGAGGGGGACCGGGAGGTGACATATCGACTTCAACATAGACTACCACGGATATGATATCGAGACTTCAGCGACTTCAACAGGCTTCTAGGAGACAACGAGGCTTCAACGTCGTCTCTAGGGATCTCTAGAGGCGACAGAAACACACCGTGACTTCGATAGACGCTGCCTGAAAAGCTCAAGTCTTCAACCGCTATATCAGGGGTTCAAAAAGGCACCGAGTACTCAACAGAGTCTCAAAAAGACACAGCGACTTCAACGAAAGTGATCAAAGGATAACGCAACATCACCAGAGGCCAGAAGACACCAAGGACTCTAGCAAGGACTGATGGGACTCCATGAGGGCAGCTGAAAGGGATCTTAAGGCTCACTGTGTGAGAAGGACAGCGCAGCCTTGTTTATTCCCCCTCTTTCCGTTGGCCTTTTACGGCTGAAGTTGGTCACGTAGCGCGGTTACTCATGTTGTTTGATAGGTCGAGCGGGTCGGCTCGGAAGTTCATTTATAGTTTATATATCACGTGACACCAATCGAAGGGGGTGAGAGTGCAGGATTCGGATTTTCTTTGTTGGGATGGTTAGGGCAACTTAGTTTATTGGGTAAATGCGATTCAGCTGTTGTTTTTGATGCAGGTATTATGTGAGGCTTGGTGAGTTGTGCTGATGTACACGTAAGTGGTTAATGGCAGTGCCCAAAAACGCCATAAAATAAGACACCCACAACACTTACTTTCCTAAAATCACTAGATCTTGCAAAAATACTGGTGCTCGACGGGGCTATGGACCGTAATGTTCCAATAGTAACATTCTATTATGACAATAATTGGCATACTATGTAGATAGTTATAATATAATTCATTAATTATTCTACAAAAATATATATTAGGCCGTTTTAATATGGATGCCTATTCGTACGTCTATAAATGGCTTGCTAAAAGCATAAAGTGTAAGACCAGTTACTACTCACCATGGCTTAAGTTAGGCTTACAGTTCATCTCCCAATGTGCCTTGGGGCCCAACTCCCAATTTGAGTGGTGCCTAAACAACCTTACATAGTGAAGTATGAAGTGGTAGTGATTCACATGACTATGATATTGAAATCGAATTTAGAGACGCATAAACTGGTCTTAATCATACGATCTTAACATTCTACAAAACGTATTTATTATCTACTTCCAACTCTTTGCCTAAGAATTTAAATATACTAGCTCTTTCGTTGCCCTCCACTTCCTACTCCCGCCTTAAACAATTTACATAACTAGCTCTTTTATCACCGTCTTCGATACAAGTAAATAAATTAATTACCAAATTATGTGAATAGACTTAAAAATTCACCTTAATTAGTTCAGTGTGTCAGGTGGAAATATACTGGTGCCGAAGGGTCCTTTGCAGTAGCAGTATCGAACAGCCTGTTTGGTGCAATGATAAGTCTACCAACCAATGTCCCGTCTACGGCCGGCCTGAACCAGAATGGCCGAGGGTTGATATGGGGAGGTGCACCGAGATATGTACTGGTTGTAAGCCACAATGGAATGGCGACGGCACAGGTGTTGTGAGGTCAACAAGATTCCGGAGTCGCTGAGAATGGTGACTATGGTAAAATCTAGGCATCGAGCCTAACTAGGAGTGCGATCACTGGGAGACACCAGCCGATCAGTGACCACAAGTGACTAGAAGTGATCACTAATTTTGTATTTAAAAAACTGTCTCTACCTCTAAAATAGTTTATATAGCTCAGTAGTATATGCAGTGGGCAAGCGACCTACATAAAACAGTGATGAAAGCTGTCAACTCCTTTATACACTTTCACTTGAGTCGTAGTCGGATCAGTAAGAACCATTTAAATATCTATTGTGGCTTGTGTTGAGTTTTCACCGTGTCGAAAGTAACCTAACCCCAATCTTAGGAAAGATTGATCTATGGTCACGGCCATTCCAAGGCCTCCAGGGAAGGTAAATTTTATGGCCCTTTCCTTCCTCTTCCACTTACCCTTAACAACAGTGGCTGCAGTAAGTCGAGAGAGCTGATGTAGTAGTATGTTAGTGCTCGCAGCATCACCATCGTCACAGCCATTTGCAATAAAGAAGGCGTCTTATTCGAGTGTAGAAGAACGTGGTTAAATAGGAAGCTATCCATCTTGTAACAGATCAACCCACAACCCATGTCTTCTGAACTAGCTCAAAGTTCCAAAAGCAATTCATTTCCTCATTAGTTGACGACTTTCCCACGAAAAACCTATCCAGTTTAGACCTTGTTGACGGATCCACCGTCGGGTCCTGTGGGCTTAGCTCGCCGTCTAGTCGGACATTGACTGTATCGTGAAATGTTGCATGTATCTCGTCCGGAGATTCTGAGTGGACGTGGACAATTGCGGCGGCTACAATATCATTTGGGTCCATCGGGAAGCGGAAAATAATCCCTATCTTGTCCCCTTTAGGAAATTTCAACGTCGGCTTAGACGGTTGGCCCGCATCTAGGAGACGTATGACTCTGTACTTCGTCTTTCCGTCTGTTATGGTCACCGTATCCCACGGAATTTCATAATATTTCCCTGTTGCATCTTTTGCTTCTGATTCATGTGGCTGCGAGTTTAGCTTGAATTCCATATCAAGTGTCAACAGAATCCCTGGTCGTGTGATTCGCAATTCAAGCTCGTCAACCGAGCGTGGCGTTACTCCACCCCCTAGTTCCTTTGGGTACACATCATTTGGTGCCCATCGCAACCCTGGAGTCAGCAGACGTGATGACCTCAGAAAGATAAACTCAACCGGAATTACGCTCTGCTTCCGAATCCAGGCCTCCATTCTCTCTTCTTTCTTTACTTGCATTATCTCTTTTAGAGTGCCAGAATTGCTCGCAATATCTAGACTAGAGACGAATATTATGAGCCTGTCCGAATCTCGGGCTGTTGATCTGGCGGCTAACTCGTTCCATGTGGTAATCATATTCACCTTTTGGTCCAAAAAGCCCATGTATGTCGCGAAAAACCTTTGTTGCATCTGTCCTTTGATGCACTTGAGTAGAGAGAAGGATTCCGCGTATTGGCCATGCGGCTTGGCTCTCCATGTGGCCATTGACTCCACTGATTCACTTGTAACTTCGAGAAAATCGTTAAGCAGGTGAAGGAGCTTGTCCTCTTTTATCCCCCCAGGAGAGCTAAACAGCCCCATGGGGTTCAAACCCTGAAAACCTTTTAGTTTAAGAGTACCGTTCAACTTGCACCAGTTGTTGAAAGAACGGAGTTTTCCAATGTAAAATGAGCTGAATTGATACAGCCCGTCCAGCTCATCGAACTCAAATGCTTCGACTATGTCTACCAGACGATTCCCTACCTTGACCCGTAGGTGGTAGGTGCTTCTTTCGCGCTCGAGAAAGGTCCAGCATCGGCCTTTCCATGACGACAGCTCTAGACGCAGGAAAATCTCCGTAACTGATGCAGTACCTGGTAAGCTCTCTAGCCCAGCGTCCAAGGCGATAGTGTAGAATGAGCCAGAGTAGACATCATTGATTTGAGTGATGGCGATCTTGCGAGACTCCTTAATATGCGGTATGCATATTGTATCCATCCATAGATTTACCTTTTTATATTGACCGCTAGCTTTCAGAGCATCGAGCCAATTGTCTATATACTCTTCAGCCATAGGCTCCATAATTTCTCGCATCTCTTTCACTTTCTGGAGTGCTAGAGGGTCAACTCCCGTGGATTCCATTCGTTTTTGGGCCATGTCCATTGGATTAAGGAAGCTATTCATCCAATCGGGCTTCGCGTGCTTGAGAGGCCATTCCTCGAGCATGCGAAATATTTTCAAGAGTTCGCAGTATGGCAAGGCGTTTCCATGTGGGTTTCCCAGTCCATCAGACCATACATGGGAGATTGCTATATAATGGGGAACTTCGCCGGAATGAGTCACCTCGGTGTTCAGCTTGCCATCAGGCCCCAGTGATAGGGAAACAATTGGTATTTTCCCTTGCATGATCAGATCATGTAAGCTCTGTGAGTCTATTTTGACGTCGCCGCATGTACCGTCGCATTCTGGTGTATGTTTTGTCCGATAGGTGCTTTCGTCTTCCATAGTAAACGTTTCACATATTCTGCCCGTGCATTTTGTGTGACTGTGGCGTCTGTCCAAGTGTGTATCTATCGCAGAGGCATAGTACGGGGTCAATGGGGTAAGATAGTGGAATGATTTCGGTGCCATCGACTTGCACCAGCCGGCAATTTCCAAACACTTGTCGTGGTCGCCTAACCGTTCAGTGGCATTCGGGTATATTTTCCAATACCAAATCATGGCTGCTTCTATCGTACGTGCCAGAATCTGCACTGATGCGGAAACTCGAAGGAGAAGATGTCTGTCCTTGTGCCAGCGCCTCTCTAACATTTGTTCGAGGAGCCCCTTTGTTTTATTGAGGCGCTGAGACCGCTCAGCTTCTGGAAGACTGTTCAAATAACCTGCCCAGCTCGATATATAGCCGTTCAGCTTTGTCGTACATAAGATCCATTCACCTTCAGCTCGCTCTACTACGAGCTCAGAAGTTGGTATTGGCTGATCAAAAGCGAGAACATCATTGATAGCTCCAAAATAATACTTGTTCTGGACAAAGATTGCAGCTTCTAAGTCTGGATAGTTCGAGAAATCATAGATTTCCTTTCTAGCAGACCAGAGTCGATCCTCATCGATGGATCTACACCTTTCCTGCTTGCGAGACCCGAGTTTAAGCTTCAGCTTCAGCTTCTCCGCTAGAGGTGTCAATGTTTCATCTAAAACATCCATTAGCCGTAAACACTTTGCCATGATATAATATCTACTTACTAGGATCCATAAGGTGGTCTTTCCATTCGTTAAACTCAGTGCCTGTATGTAGACGTTGATCTTCCAGCCAGAAGAAGGGAAAATCATCAAAATCTTTCTCTGAAAGACGATACCGTGCGCTATTCTTTGGTTGGATAATCAGCGGCAGCTGAGCGGCATTGTAATCCTCCAATGTCAGCGCCGGAAAGTCTGGCCACGGCTTCTGCGACGAGGAGAATATCGGGAAATGATCCATATTACAAGTTAGACACGCTTGTTTCGCAGAGCTTTCCTTTGACTGATGTAGTGCTGAGATCGTCGGAGTTGTGGCAAGGCTTATTTTGTTCCAGACAGTCGCTGGTGTCATAGATGGGTGGGTGTTGGTGCTCTTTAAGAAAACGGTGTGGGGCTATTAGGCCTCAGAGATTACCCCGCAGCCCTATCTATGCTCAAGGATACAGCAGCTGAGAATTTAATCACGTAAGAAACCCAAGACTAACTTTACATGGCTATCTATCCTAGTTATAGTCTTCTGCAGCTTATGCTGTACTGCTACCTTACTTATTACTTGCGAAGGATCCGGTAAGCGGAGACTCAGCCGCGCGGTGCCAACGCTTAACGACGATTGGTTAGAAGCGCGATTGAGGGTCGGAACGTGTCAAAGTGTCAGGGTGCAGCCAGGCCCTTAGTTCCAGGGCTCGGAACGTTAGCGGACCGGAGTAACCTACGTTGTAAACATCTAGGCAACAGAATGTCAGGGTAGAATTTAAATACCCTATTCATAATTCTCCGCCTATACTGTAGCCCCTTACAAAACCCAACTTTAGTTAAGCCTCTACTATCAAGCCTCTACGATTAAGCCTCTACGATAAGTCGTATACCCTTCGCTGTTGCACTTTGACCTCCGGCTTACTTATGTGGCGGAAGCTTTTAGGTCCCGTGACTACGGGGGCTGAACGGGGCTGAGTTTCAAGGTCCCCCTGTAATCTGGACAAAGTACGCTAGTACCCAATCCATTCATAGTCGTGATGGGCTTACTATTTACTAAATGTTTTGAATTTCTTGGAGTTTCAACACGTCTTCATCCTTCTGCTTTCCTGTCTATAACGCTGTAGTCACCATCAGCTACAGATTTGATATCCTATCATCATTGACATGATCCTGCAGTTGTGATTGATCTTTCCATATCGGATCCAACCATGGCTCCTGCACCGTTCTCCCAGTTATTTCCAAGACGGGACTTCGACACGAACGCACCCACTGAGAGTTTTGCCAGCGAATGGGCAAATCCTTCAAACTATGCTTTCACTATCCTTCTTCTCCTTGGAGGAGACGTGATTTCCCGGGCTCTTGCACAACTCGCAGGTGGTCCCGTGACACCAGTAGCATTCTCCTTTGGTATGTAGCGAAACAATACGTGCCATTATCTCTGCTGACAGCCCTATAGGCTGGGTCTCCTATGCCACCACAGCAATTTGCAGTGCTGTCGGTGAAAATAAACTCATGCCAGGCGCAGACTGCCCGTGTGAAGTTATTAATGGAAAGAACGGCTACGTCCGAAGCAACAACTCCTTTGTTATTGGCCGTATAGTGCGTGACTATGAGGCATGGATGGGCGCGTCTGTGCATAAGATCACTCAGTCTCTTATTGATGCCAGCTGGAAATACCAGAAGGACATAGCAGAAAATGACTGCGCCGGTTCCGGCGCAGAGGTCCCTCGACCAAGGCAAGCTGGCTTGGTAGTCAGCTTCTGGGAACCGAGTCAGACGATTGAAGCCGGCAAGCCGGGGCATGATATTCTTCACTGGTCGGGCGTGATAACGACTGCGTTCCAGCTAGGTATTGCAGCCATCCCGTGTGGTATTTGGGGAGATTGGAGTGTGCTGCTCATCACGGGCGGGGCATCAGTTCTATGTTACAGTATGGGAGCGCTATCTCAGTGGGGCGTTGAGAAATGGGCGTGCAGACGCCTCAATAAACGGAGCAAGAAGAACTTCATCCTGACCCGTGGAAACGGCGCACAGCATGCCATTGCGATCATCAGTGGCGGACGTGGGTTGGACTTGGAGGATTTGGCAACGGGGTTCGACAATCTGGATGCGCCTTCAATTACGCTCTTCGCGCAACTGGCCACCATATTCCTGGGACTTCTCTGGATTGTATTACTCATCACGAGCTCAGCAATAACGGACTCTGCATGGTTTTTGATTGCGGTTGGAGGAGTCGGTATTCTGCAGAATATGTTTGTTGCTGGATGGAAACGACATCCTCAGGCGCTGGGGGTACCAATTGAATACCTCGACGTTGTAGGAGACGTGAAGGTTATGAACACATTACTGGCAGTGGAGAGAAAATATGAAAAGTTGGGACAGAGTATGATCGGATCATTCTTCCCAGGCGATCTTAGAGATAATGAAAAGAAGCTGTGGGAAGATGTTGCAGCAGAGTGGGCGGAAAAAAAGAGATCAGAGGGTGTAAATAAGGCCTAAATATCTGGCTGTGGGGTTGTGGGGTTGAGCGGTCGGCGCCTGGGTGTAAAGTAACTCTTGGGAGGTTCATTTTTTAAAGGAAATGGTGGGGAGGTTTGATATATCCATCATGCACGCCCATAGCTTCCGAAAATAAGACATAATTCCAGCTAAAGCGGGTATCTAGAGGTGATACATAGGATCACCTGTGTTCCACGATAGCAAGAACTATAATTATTGCTATCACAAGATGACCACGGCAATGCGATGAGCAAATTCCGGAGAATAATGTACAAATCTATCTCTTAATATAATGGCGTTTGTTGTACTTGGCGCCCTTAGTGTTCTCAAGGTATACCTCAATCTTGTTCGTCATCTTCGCATCCACGTCCTTGCAGCAAAGACAAGCAATGATTCCTACAATACCAAAGCCTAAAGAAGCCCATGCAATACCCCTATAAATATGTTAGCAACTTTTTCTTGACTGTTTTCTTGCGGCTTTTGTAAACTTACTGGATGCCCTTCCGGGTCGCCTCCTGAATAGCAGCGCCGACTGCAGCAACAACGCGCTCGTCGAAAACTTCACCCAGCTTAGATGTTCCTAACAGAGAAAAGAGAGCGCTGATCTTATCCTCGTCAACTCCCGCTGCCATTGCAGCAGCAGGTACAAGCCTTGCGGTGTATTTTGTCACCGTGCTGGAGAAGATGGCAAGATAGACAGCTTGGGCGACTATTTTATTTGCTGATTAACAAGACTTCTCTTGAGTAAGAACTGGGTTAACATGACTCACTTGATCCACCAGCAAATCTTGCGCAGCCTGATAATCCACCACTAGTTCCCAGTTTCTCGTGTGGAACACCCATCTGCGTCACCGCAATGCAGAGATAAATCGACCAACCATAGCCCATCAAACTAAGGGTCATGAACGCTATCATCATTCCCATGTTATCAGGACGAGCCAAAGCCATTAAGCTTCCAAAGAAAACCATGATAGTCACAGCTACTGTCTGTTGATGTTGCCAATGTCTGATCTTTGATCCAAAGAGCGAAAGCAGGACGCCCCCAGCAGTGATCGCCAGGCCCTGCGGTAGGGAAAGGATAGCCCCTCTTTGCCATCCATCCTCCGGCTTTGTATAGAAGACTGAAATCATCGTGGGCCAAAGGATCGAGCTACTATAATAGAACATATTAATCACAGCCAGCGCGATGCAAGGGGCTGTAAAGTCCCTGCCCCACCCGTTCGTAAAGATTTCAGTCGGAGTAAGGGGATGCTTTGTGTTTCCGTAAGTTTCCCAAAGAGCGAAGGCCACGAGCAGGGCGCATCCGACAACCAAAGGCGCGATAACATGAACATCAGTGCTTGGGAAGATGGATGCGTAGACGATGCCGACGAGGAACGGGAGGGAGCCTGCAAGGAATAAGAAAATACCGACGTAATCAAGCTCACGTAGTACCTGTTTGTATGGCAAGCCCAGGGGGTGCGCAGGTGGGAAGTAGAAGAAGTACAGGCCGAGGAAAGAAGCAAACTGCAACACAGCGGCAGCGATGAAGTTGGCACGCCAGCTACCAACATAGTAGCCATAACGAGCCGTGACCGGGATGACTGTAATGCAGGCATAGACAGCAATATCGGCAAAGACGACGCCAATATGTCTCCACTTGTTGGGAAGAAGCTCGGTTAAGGCGAAAGCAGCCATTTGGCAAAGAGCAGCACCGAAGCCGGTCACGGTCATGCCTGCAATAATTGTGTTGTTCGTCTTCGCCACTGCAAGAATGATTTGTCCAATGCAACAGACTAAGTTACCGAGGACAAGGAACCAGCGGCGGCCAAGAAGATCAGTATTCGCGCCACTGAGATGAGAGTTAGGAAAGCTCTCTGAGAATATCGAGAAGACCGGCAGGAGAAAAAGGCTTACGCAATCATGAAGCAGACTGTGATAGAAATGATCCAAGCTGAAACAAACCAGACATAGTCGTTTGGGTTGCCAAACTCAGCGGACAGTTGAGGGCCGATGGCGGCCATGGCAGGAACAGGGACAAAAGAGAGGCCATATCCCATGGAAAGGATCTATGATAAAGTCAGATATTTAAGGGTTCATTTATAAGCCCCCTCGGAATGAAGATCGGAAGATTTTCTTACGGCAGCCACGGTCCATGTTTTTGCAGAAACATGTGGTTCGATTTCCTCCTCGGCAGGGATAGGAATATTATTATCGAGCTCTGTCTTTCCTCTTTCAATCTCTGAGGACTGCTCAAGCTCGATTTCGTTGGTTTCTTTCTCCTCCATTATGGTTCGAATTTGCCGCAACTCGTTCAGATGTTGTATAAGGGAGTTTACGTGGGAAGGTAAGTGGTCGTAGGACAGGGGTTATACATGCATCTATATATCTGCAGGATCCCTCCCACATGCGCCTGGCCTCGGAACTATCTTCCTAGGCCGGGGCAAAAGCTTGGTATGCCAAAGGCTGGTTAATTATCCTGGGGAAGACAATATCTGCATAGTATAAGACCTTTGATGGCCCATAATTTTGATAACTAATGATAACCCCAATGTATGTGCAGATAACATAGTCGAACTTCCCGAATTGAGGCTAGTTCTTAGTGCATCACGCATTAAAAGGCGGTATCTCGGAAAAGAACTGCCAGAATCCCAAATTTTTATAAAACTCAGGTCTGATCGACTGCATCGCTGTCTGGTCCGGGACTTGTGTTGGGTCTGATATTATACGCACTAAAATCAAAGCTATCACATGGGCACTAAAGCCCACATTCCCGCGTTCCCAGTCCCATTTCCAAACGCAACCCGTCTATCTACTTCAAAAGTCCCAGTTCAAATGGCCAAGACGGAGTGCATAGTAGGGGTCCATCGTTGTTGCTCGACTCACCAATCGCGCGATGAATACTTCTCTACACTGGCGGGCATTATGTTCTTGGGCAAGGTGAGGAGAAGGATAATGTTTTCCGTGGTATACCCGGTGTCAGGAGATAAATTAGGCGACTTACGCGTTCTCTGGAGTGGAGTACACAATAGCCCGCCCGATAACAGCGTCAACTTTGGAATAACAAGCACGAACAACTGCAGTCCCCTCCTTCGTCCTTCCATCCCACTTACTTTGACCTGTTTTGCGATGGCGTCCTTCAATTCCATCCCCTCGTGATTGTCGTTCATATTTTCCGAGGCTGCCATGATTTCTCCGATCTCTGCGCGCTAGCGTCCTCATGGAGGCACGCGCATCGGGTATGGGAATCCGGGGTCCAACGCTCATCTGGCAGTTTGCGCCATACTCGCTTTCGATTATGCGTTGATAGCGATAAAAATTTACCTCGCAGTTGATGCTCTCCAAATATAACGTAACATACAGGTGCGAGCGACGAATATCGTGAAGGATGCACACCAAAGTGAAATTCAGCCGCCATGCCCATTTTGCAGAGTTGAGCGGGCTGGCGTACACGTGAGGCACCCCCACGTGAGACACCCCTACCAAAACTGTGCGAAAGGAGCCCTTCTAGATTACGACGATCTTAAAACCCTTACAAATCAAGATCTTGAATACCTATGGCAATTTCCAGTCTATAACTTGCAGACGAAGAGAGCGCTTCTAGGATGTTGAGAGACCAAGAGTACGAGGTCCTGTTTGGCCCATTTACTGAATGATTGATCGAGGGCGGCAAAAGGAGGAGGTCAGAAGCAAACTTAAACGCTGTCGAAATTGACCACAATGAGGAAATAGAGCCCGAAACAGAGTCTAAAGTTCTTAACAGTGCCCAACTTGGCGCGGTCTGGGAAGTTCTAATGGTCCAGATTGCTTACGGGCACATACATCATAAATTCACGAACGGAAATAGAAAGTGGGACCGTGGGCGGTCTTCAAATTCAAGACGGGTATATCAAGATGGTCTCGCGCTTCCATTGAAGACTATTCCACAAGGCGATACAAGGGAGTCCCCATTGTGCTATTTGGCTTTTTTCAGGTGGAAGAGGTTTCCAAAGCAGCTGTTGTAGAAGACGCAGCTAAGCTCTTTCTAATAGCTGACCCAGACTCTAGAATGGTAGGTGCTACTCAGGCAATATCCGGCGATATTGCTTTTCTTCTGGAAAGGCTCTGGGACATGTCTTCAAAGTCCTACAACGACGCTCCTACCCCACCTCTGCAGTATCAACTATTTCTTTTCATTCTACAAATGTATTCTAATCTCAAGCTATGCTCAAACGCTGTTAATGACGGGCGGAATCCGAGACCTTATTTTGATGACCTTATCGACTCTTTGATATTCTGCAAACTAGGCAGATACGCATCTACTTAAAAAATATCATCATCCTAAACGGAGTCAATAGACTCTATATAATTGGAATTTAGACAAACACATAGCTTGAGGTGTACACACAATGGTATTAAATCTACGACAACCTCTGCCTGGGACTAAGCCAAAGACGCCAGCATAGTAATTCGGCGGTATTCCCCACTACTTCAGGACAAGCCACCAGTAATCCCTCTATGCTTAGAGTTTGCAACTCCTACCAGGATCTCATCTTCACTCTGGACCCGCCAAGGAAACCTGCCTTCTAGCTGCTGCGTAATGTCCACTGGCGTTGACTTGACTCGCTATAAATACAAGTCTGAGTATTCCATCTACTGTCCCGCGCTGATATCAACAGATAGACAATTGACTTAAATGGCTGCTTCTTTCAACTGATACTTGGTCATTATAACTACCTCCTTGAACAGGTATCAAAAATAGAATTAAAATATCCAACCATGAAAAAATGTATGCTCTCTAATGAATTTGGGATACTCAACCCCTTGCTCAAGGAATTGCATCTTCTAACCCAGACACTTCCCCATGAAACGCCTTGAACAGCGGCTCCCAAGCTGTAATTGCCCTCTTACTCGCCGCCCCATTTACGAATTCTGTCTGCGGGACTACAATTCGCTCCTCGACCGAGCACTCCACCGCCTCCCCATTCAACTCATTATCCTCCCTCAGAAGATCCTCATAAGCAGCAACAATCGTGCTCACGGGCGTCAAATGCTCAGGTGCGACCGCATCTAGCATCGCCTGAGGGATGATTTTGGTGGGCACGATACCTGGAAGAACGGTATTGATATGGATATTCTCTTTCAGCTTCAGCACAGGGGCAATGCCCCGGATGAAGTTGATAACTGCAGCTTTTGCTCCATTGTACTCTGGATACGTTGGGTGCTGGTACACGCCTGCGACCGAGGCGGTGGCGATGATGCGGCCGCCTGGGGTAGGGTTCTTGCGCATAAAGTGGATGGCGAGTTGAGTGCCGTAGACGACGCCCTTGTAGTCGACATCTGTGCAGAGGAGATTTGGTGCTGGTGGAATGCTGTCAAATTATTAGTCGTTAGTTTTCAGCCAGTCGTGGAAGTGAGGAATGGCTATGCTAAGACCTACCCTTCCTTGCCTCTCCAGTCGAGGATGTAAATAGAGCTCTTGTCAACGATGCCAGCATTAGCGAGTAGTGCGTCAATGCGACCCCATTTGTTGTACACGGCTTGGAATACAGTAGCTTGAGATTCGTAGTCCGCAACGTTAGCGTAGAAGAATGCCGAATTGTCACCGAGGGAGGCCGCGAGCTTCTCGCCGGCTTCTCTCTGCACATCTACACATGCGACGTTCCATCCTCTGGTAGCGAAATGAGTTGCGAGGGCTTCCCCCATGCCTGACTGGAAGATTGGGCATTAATTTTGATAATAAAAAGGGGAGGATTTTTGGACGTACGGCGGCGCCAGTCACAATAGCAACTTTTTTAGATGTTGATGCCATGATGGGAAATGATGAAGTAAGAGAGCCTAAGTCTAGTACATAGAAAATAACACAAGATAAAATCCAATCGCACCTTCTGTATCTGCTATAGAAAAACCATATCTAGTCTTATGGGTCTCTGGATGGCAATATTAGAGAACGCGGGGTAGCGAGAAAGTGGAGGACTAAGGATCACACAAATCCGGGGACCCCACGGCACCCTAGAGAGGGCCGAACTGTCATCTCGGAAAACGTTAGGCGAACCGGAACAGTCTCCTAGCTCCCTAACTGCTTAACCCACGCTTTTCCACATCCATTTAATATATCCGAGTACTGTGCAACTATACATACACGGTACAATACACGGACGGGATAGTAGGGGAGCGACAGCCGGCATTAGTAGCGGGGTAAGTGGGGTTACCTGGCGATAATCAGAATTAGGTATTGCCGAAACGAGTCTGATCTTGGATCGGTCGGTGGTTTTCGTACCGGGAGCACAGTCTTCACAATCATAGCGTATTATTTTTCTAGACAGATGGCACTAAATGAACTAGGCTAATTTAGCGGCTTTATGATTTTCTAAGTTATGGAGCTTGGGTGACGCTTGACTTAGATTCAATGACTAGCTAACTTAGCAGGTTAAAGAGCCACCTTTCCCCCTCCTCACCTCTCAATACCTTTCTCACATCCTGAGGCCTATTTTACTTGATTCTAATCTTTTCTCTTTTCATCGACTGGTTTCCTGCGGACGCTCTCTCTGCCGAAAATGGCTCCAGTAAGCGACCGTGGTGTCCGTATCGGCGGTGCGTCAGGAGGCTTCTCCGACAGAGTAATTGCCATTGAGCGGCTTGCCAAAAATGCGGAATGCGATGTCATCGTTGGTGACTGGCTATCAGAAATGACCATGACGATTCATGGTGCAGGCAAGATCCGAAATATCCAGAAAGCTGGGTCACAACCGGAATCACTCGAAGAGAGTGTCAAGAACGCCATGTTCGCAGAGAATTTCATAGATTGTTTCAAGCCTGCAATCCCCTATCTGGCGCAGAATAAGCTGAAGTTGGCTGTGAATGCTGGAGCTAGTGATTCAGAAATTCTTGCCAAGTTAGTTAAGAAGATGTGTGAGGATGCTGGACATCCGCTCAATGTCGCCTGGATTGAGGGTGACGACGTTACAGAGGAAGTCAACAAACTAATTGCCAAGGGCGAGAAGTTCGAGAGTTTGATGCATGGCAAGAACTTGGAGGAGTGGGGTTTCGATCCGATCTGTGCCCAGGCTTACCTAGGCGGCCTCGGAATTGCAGAGGCTCTAAGACAAGGTGCTGATATTGTGATTTGTGGACGTGTGGCCGATGCTGCACCTACCATTGGTGCTGCTGCGTGAGTATTCAATTCGACTTGCAGACAACAAGAAAACGGGGAACTAATAATTATCTAGGTGGTGGCATGACTGGAAGCCAGACCAGTACGACGAACTCGCTGGATCTCTTGTTGCAGGTCGTGAGTGCTCTTATCATCTCATCTCAGCATGTAGAGCAAAGGTCGCCGACTAATGAACGTCTACAGATTTGATCGAGTGTGCATCATACGTGTGTGGCGGTTACTATTCAGCCTTCAAAGACCTTATGAAAGCAGGCAAGCATCTGAATGTTGGCTTTCCTATTGCAGAAATCAACTCAAAGGGTGAATGTATCCTCTTCAAGGAGAAACATACTGGTGGCTGCATTACCGTTGGATCCGTTACTTCGCAATTGCTCTATGAAATCCAAGGTCCTCTTTACTACAACTCTGACGTCGTTGCACAATTAGAAGGCATCCAAATGGAACAGCTTGGCGAAGACAGAGTCTTAATTAAGGGTGTCAAGGGACTTCCACCACCACCCACGACTAAGATTGGGTAATTGTTCAGCCTGGCCCTTAACTGTACACAAGGCTGACCCGCATAGAATCACTGCCGCAGCTGGTTATCAGGCCGAGTATCATGTATACCTCGTTGGTCTTGATATTGAAGAGAAGGCTGCATTTACAGAAGCCCAAATTCTCGAGTCTCTTGGGGAAGAGCAACTTAAGAAATTTTCTATGCTTAAGTTCCACGTCAACGGATCTTCACCAATTGACGCACGAAACCAGGATGTTGCTACTGTTGACTTCCGTGTCTTCGCACAAAGCCCTGATCGAGACCTTCTCCGGATGACGAATCCCGACGGGTTCTTCAGGCGTTCCATGACTACGTTCCTCGAAGGTGTTCCAGTGAGTTACAACGCATGTAAATTATTATTTTTCCATAAGTATTAATATCCTGTAGGGTGCGTCTTTGGGCAATGATATGCGCCAAGCCGAAGGAAAGCCATATTATGAGTACTGGGTTACTCTATTCCCTCAGTCTGCAATCAACCATCGTGTGCACTGCCTCTTTGGCAAGCAACGCATCACTGCCATGGGTATTCCACCCAAAACACAGGAATACCCACGCCAGCAACCATCCTACGAAACCAAGGACCCCGTTGACCTATCTAGTTTTGGCGAAACCGTCCGCGCTCCCCTTGGATACGTCGTCCTCGGCCGCGGAGGCGACAAAGCCTCAGATTGCAACAATGGCTTTTTCGTCCGCCATGATGATGAGTGGGATTGGCTAAGAAGTTTGTTGACTGTTGACAAGATTAAGGATCTGCTTGGTCCTGAGGAATATGTAGGCAAGCTGATTGATAGGTTCGAGATCCCGAATCTTAGGGCAGTGCACTTCCTATTGCACGATCATCTGGACCGTGGATATAATGCTTGCTCGACTTATGACACGCTAGGAAAGAACTGCATGGAATACCTGCGGGCGAAGACTGTTGACATCCCTAAGAAGTTCTTAGATCGTGGGAGGATCTAGACTGTTTCTAGAGATGAGTGAATGAATGCAATTTAGTTGTATTAGCAATTCCCTAGAAGAAATAATCTGTGTATAGCAGTGTTCCCTAAATAGTATTCGAATAGTAATACTTGCCATCTAAGAGTATTTAGCGAATACTCATATGAATACTTACTAAATAGTATTTGAGTATTTTAAGGCTTAACTATAGTATATAGTAATGAAATATAATAACTGTCTACTTGCTATTATCCTCCTCTTTGTTGCCTATAACCCCCTAATCCTATAGGCAGAGTAGATATTAAAGAGTTAAAGGTAATAACCTATTCCTTTTCTTTATAACTATATTACTACTAATACTAAATGTCCGCTTTACGCTGCTAATGAGGCTGGAATTACGCTATAAAACAAGGCTTATGTAAAAAAGGGTTAGGGTGACACATGGCATCACTTGTGCGCCGAAGTAGCAAGGACTCTAATAGGGCGGGGGATAGTACGAGATGGCCAGGGCAATACGGGGAGCAAATCCCAGAGGATAATGCTCCAATTACGTACCACTATGGTAGATCCTCAAGTTTTTTTAATATTATATCGAGAAGCTGCGACTCAGCATTGCTTGGTAATCGTTCCTTCCGTATTAGAACTTGAAAGCTCCAAGGAAGCTGCGATTGAGGTATGCTTGGTAAATCGTTCTTTCCATATATAAGGGCCTAGAACCTCTTGAGGAAACTACGACTGAGAACTTGCTTGCTAATCGTTCTTTCCATATATAAGTTCTGAAAGCTTTGAGGAAGCTGCGATTGAGGCTTGATTGGTAATCGTTCTTGCCATATCAAGAACTTCAAAGTTCTGAGGAAGCTGCGATGGAGGCATTGATTGATAATCGCTCCTTCCATATATAAAACTTGAAAGGATGCAGTATTGGAGTGTTAGTGTATGACATCGGTGATATAATATATACCATTTGGGATGAGAGATGCGTTGGATTCGTTATATCTAAACAATATCTTACAGCTATAGTCTATCACTATTGAGTGAGTGGAGATAAAATACACATTACACTAGGACCGAGATCTCCGGAACAACCCCCTAGTCCAGTTAAAGATCAAAACGCCCCTCCCTATTAAATGTCCAAAAACAAGCGGTAACCCAAACCTATACCACGTAATAGGCTGCCATAACCTAGCCGCCGGGACCACAATCTCATTCCCTCCTCCTCTCACCACCAATTCCCTCTCCACCGTCCTCCCACTAAACGCCTCCACCGCCTCCACCACAATCCCCACCGTCTCCTCCGGCTGACTCAAAAACGGCGAATGGCTCGTCTGCAACTCCCTATGCTCGACCGGACATCCCATCTCCCTCGCCATCCCCACATTCAACCTCTGCGCCACAACTGGCAACCCACGATCCTCAACCGTCCCGATATACCACGCAGGTACATGCAACCACCCCGCATAGGAGTACTCGCCCCCCTCGAACAGGGACTTCAGACTCTGCGGGGTGAGCTGGGAGACGGCGTACTCGGCGTCCTCTGCGGGGACGTCGTGGTAGAAGAGCTCGCGGGGGGGGCTGACGAGCTCGGCGTATCCGGTCTCCTTGTTCACGCGCCAGGAGGGGGGTGGGTGGCCGAAGAAGGGGTCCATGAAGGCGAGTCCTGTGAAGGTGAAGCCGGAGGCTATGAGGATGAGACCGATCACGTACCCCTTGGCTGGGGATTGAGACTGGTCTGAGGTCGATAGTGAGGTGGAGCTGGTATCTTGTGGCTTGTAAAAGCCCTTGATGGCGCTGCTGCCGACCATGCCGCCGTAGGAGTGGGCGATAACTACGACGTTGCGCCCTTGGGTTGTTTCACTGGATATGGCATCTTGGGCAGCATCGATGTCATTCTTGAAGGTTGCCTCTGGGTCCCCGGACCCGGAGGGGAGCGTGACTCGGATACATTTCAACTTATGCTGGTCCTCCAGCGGTTTAATGATCTTGTCATAGCAAGTAGGTTTATGCCAGGCGCCTGGAACAAAGACTAGCGTTGGTAGATTTGACATTTCAGAGACTTGGATTTCACGGGTACGCCTCTTGGATTAGTGTATAGTGCAGCAAAGGCGCTTTGGTGATGATGGGACTGAGAACTGAGGTTGCCGTTGATTATTTATTTTCTTGGAAGTCTCGTACTTATGTAAAGATATACGACACACGTGATCAAAATAAGGGGCCGTCCGCCTTTGAAATACTACATTGAGTCCGGAACGAGGCTTTTCCGTGATGGATATTTATGTTTTTATGTATTTATGTATGTATGTATGTATTTATACACAGGCGTGTGCCATAGCAAGTGACAAAGTGAAGGCTAATAAATAGCCTAAAATATCTTTCAATTGCTCGGTATTTAATACCAATATACTTACGTAATCAATAATGGATATTACAGACTACGAGGATCTGGACAGAACAACCGCTACCACCTGAAACGACACCAGAGGGCGAGTATCTACTCTCCCGCTCCTCTAATTCGTAGGCTCGATGGATTCCAATGAGCTCCAAGCCCACCAGCTGCACAAGTGATATTCACGAATGGGAAATCCCATAACCAAAGCATAACCTCGAATCGTGAGATTCATATTCTGTACATTGCTACATAAAGTGCCTCCCCGTACCTATTTTTCCCAAACAAAAACCCGAAACGCCGCCGCCGTGGAAGATATATATTTAGGTATAGGATCCCCTGAAATCATTCATGCTCATTAATGTTCATTCACGCGGTAGTGCCGTTGACGGATCCGCTATCTGATGCGGAGCCCTTGGCGTGGAAGCCGTCGAGCGTCACTGTCACCGCGCCGGCTTGGACGAGCTGTGGTGCGTTAGTATTTGGTACATGGAGGTATAGGAATTGGTAAAACGTACTGCTCGCGTAAGATCATCAATCAAATCATCCACATCCTCGATGCCAATGCACAACCTAATAACATCCTCTGGCATCTGCCTCTCCGCCCTCGTCTTCGCATCGATACTCGCATGGCTCATGCGGCACGGCATGCTAATCAGACTGTTCACGCACCCAAAGCTGACACTGATGCCATACAACCTCGCCGCCTCCACAATCCGCTCCGACACCCCTACATCCCCCGTTTCGAAACTTAGCACCGCACCAGCGCCGCGCGCCATGCTCCAGTGCAGATCGTACTGTGGGTGTGACTTCAATCCCGGGAAGCGCACGCGGAAGCCGTGCGACTCGAGGAACTCGGCGATGCGCTGTGCGTTCGCCTGCTGTCGGTCCATGCGGATGGCGAGGGTCTTGAGGCCGCGCATCAGGAGGAAGGCGTCGTTGGGCGAGAGGCCGCAGCCCGTCGCGTTGATGGTGAAGAACATTTTGTCGCCGAGGGCGGCGTCGTTGAAGGCGAGGACTCCGGCCATGATGTCGTGGTGGCCAGAGAGGTATTTTGTGCCGGACTCGTAGACGAGATCCGCGCCGAGGTCGAGGGGGTTGCACAGCATAGGCGACATCATGGTGTTGTCTACCACAACCAGGGCGGTGGGCGAGGCCTCGTGTGCCAACTTTGCGATGGTAGGGATGTCCACGATCTTAATTAGCGGGTTGGTCGGCGACTCGAGCAGCACCATGGCCGTCTTTGGCGACAGCACCTTGCGCACGCACTCTGGATCGGTCGTGTCGACGTGGTGCACAATGATGCCGCTGTACGTCGACAGGTACTTGAGCAGGCGGTTCGTGCCACCGTAGATATCATCTCCGCTCACGACCTCGTCTCCGTGCTTCAGCACCCGCGTGATGACATCCAGGGCGCCCATGCCTGAGCCAACAACCAGCGCGCGCGAGGCGTTCATGACCTTCGCCAGGTGGCGCTCGAGGTGCGTGCGTGTAGGGTTTCCTGAGCGTGTGTAGTCGTATTCGTTTCCGCCGGCGGCCGAGGTCTGCTTGAAGGTCGCGGACTGGTAGATGGGCATGCTGGAGGCGCCATACTGGTCCTTGCTGTCGGTGTAGACGAGCTCGGTGGAGAGGGCGTATTTGCGGCCATTGCGTGGGCTGGAGGGCGCTGGGGACGGAGGGAGATCGTGCCCGTCAAGGTCGATGTGAGGAGCTATCTTGCTGAGGGAGCTGGTCTTGCCTGGAGGACCTGGCGGTGAAGACATGTTTGTCGTGTGCTGAGTCAGTGGGGTGAAGAGGCGGGATCTGGATAAGAGAGAGAGCCAATTGGCCTCGTCGCTATGAGCTCTAATGGCAGAGCTGATCAGCGACGATGACACGGCGCAGTTGAAGCTGGTGAGATTGGTAAGATATGAGGGCTTTTTATGCGGTTATATGTGGTGTTGTCGGGAGGTATGAGTCCATGCCGGAGAAGTTCGTTATGGGTGGTCGTTTGGAAGGGTTCGGATGGTTGATACGCCATCCCGAACTCGGCACACGTTCACTATGAAAATGCGGGGGGAGTTGTACAAAATGCCAATCAGAGCTAATGAGATCCTTGGGTACTTTAGTAAGTAGCCGCGATGGCGTGATATTGTCACGTGATGTGTTTAATTTGTGAGACGGGTGAGACAAAGAACGGTCAAGGGGATACGAGTACGAGCATCATGGGTTCTATATATTTCACTATTTATGAGAAGGAAGCGATTAATTATATAAATTATATAAATTATGAGTTTGAACATCAAGGCCCGGATGAAGACATATACCAGCACTAGGAATATTATATATATTTATCTACATTTCATTATATTATTATATTCCATTTTATATCTCATTATATGCTTCACGAATTACAACACATCCGAGCATTATTGGTCTTCAAACCCTCCAATTAACTTATGCTATGTGCTGTCCCTCACCCAGAGACACAGCAAACCTGTTCTACTATACACATTCCTACACTCTGTTCTACTCGTAACTGGGACCACTGCCAGTCACAGACCAGCCACCGACCAGTTATTCCTCTACCAAACGCCTGTGCCATCTTACCCTTTACCCCTTTAATCCATAGACTCAGCAATCGGACTATCCTCCACATCCTCATACTCATCACTCGACTCCAACTCCTTGACCTTCGAAGTCTGTTTCCCCGCCTGCCGTTGCTGCCTCTCATGGTTATCCGTCAAGATCTGTCCGCCCCCTTTTCTTCCAAAGAAATCCTCCGTCCGCACCCCACGCACACCCTCATGTGTCACCCCCTCCATCGCAACGCCCTTCGCGCGCTGCTCGCGGATATACTCACGCACTGGCGCCATAGCTGCGTCACGACACGCCTCCTTGATGTCGCTCCCCGACAGACCCGCCATGACGCGCGCTAGGTAGTCGACGTTGAAGTTTGCGGTGTCGATTTTGGTGTCTTTGAGGATCAGGTTAAGGATGCGACGGCGCTGGCTGCTGTTGGGTAGCGAGACGGCGAATTTCTTGGGCATGCGACGTAGGATCGCCTCGTCGATGTCTTGCATACGGTTGGTGGCACCAAGGACCATGATGCGTGCGGGGATGCCTTCTGTGTTGGAGGAGGTGAGGCCGTCCCAGAGGGTCATGAATCTAGTTTTGTTAGTTGCATACCTGGAGAGCAGGGTGGTTGCGACTTACTCGGCCTTGACCATTCCGCTTGCCTCGTGCTCACCACTTCGTCGTTGTCCAAGAACCGCATCGATTTCGTCAATGAAGACGATACTCGGCTGCAGTTTACGTGCCAGGGAGAAGACGGCGCTGACGAGCTTGTTCGAGTCGCCGTACCATTTTTCGGTTAAAGTAGAGATGTGCAGGTTGATGAAGCAAGCGCCGCTCTCATGTGCTAATGCCTTTGCGAGCATGGTCTTGCCGCAACCCGGAGGACCGTAGAGTAGTACTCCCGAGGGAGCCGAGAGTAATGAAGATGTTTGTGAATACAGGTGCGGCATCGTTAGAGGGTAAATAACAGATTCCTTAAGCTCCTCGATGATATCGTCCAGTCCTCCAATATCTGTATCCTGTCAGCCGTGTTCAACCTCGGCAGTGCGTAAGACTCACCGTCAAAGCCCACAGGAATATCTTCCGGCGCAACAACCTCCATTGCTATTTGGCTCTCGTACTGGTTCAGAACCAAGTCCTCCTTCCTCGGCGGCGGCGGGCCCCTCTTGCCACCCGCCTCCCCATCGCTCGTCTCAGCCGAATCGTTGTCTCGGTCGAGGCGCCGTAAGTTCGCAGCAGCTCTTAACCGCGCCTGCTCATGTTGTTCCTTCTCCGGATCCGTCTGCGCTGGGAGACTCGACAAGACATGGCGCGCAAGGTAGTAGACGGAGACATTCTGGGGGGCAACGTCAGCAAGCGGAACTCAGACCGAGGGGCAGTGGGGATTGCGTACCGCGAAAACGATCAATATGATATCTTGGAGAAAGCCATACTTTCTGCCCGGTCCGTCACCCATGTTTAGCAATGCTTTAGAGGAAAATATCTCTCAAGAGCGAGAGAGATAGTGGAAGTTGTCGTGTGCTCGCAAAATATCTAGACACCGAGGGCCAGGTACAGCACGTATGTTACGCCACAGTTGGGTTGACATGTGGCTAAATTATGCGCCTGAAGTGTAAGGCATCAACATTCCACTTAGCGCGTCTTTTGTTTACATCTGGAGTTCTCATCCATCCCACCATCCTGAGACTCAGCAACGACACAATAACTTCGACAAAATCGACAAATCGACGCGTTAATTACTATTGTCCTATTTGCCTGGATATCTGCTCTAAAATTGAGTATTCGAAAATCGACACTTTTCGCGACAACCGGCAAAAATTGAGCTCAATTGTGCTCTTACACACACCAAACCGCAGAATCTGGATAGGAATAACTGATGCCAAGGCTATCATACTCGCGCCCGGGCTTGACCGGACTCATCGACTCCGATTCTGACGACGCACAATTCGAAGAGCAGAGCACGATCATGTCTCCAGCGCAAGGCAACGAGAACGCCGTCCCCGCCCCGGCCAAGAAAGCGAGGGGGCGCCCAAAGGGGTCCGCCTCGAAGATTGTGAAGGCTCCAAAGTCGCCAGCAGCGAAGAAAGCAAAGAGACCGGCGCTGAAGGATAGGACGAATGCGCCGCCTGCGGGTAGCGACTCTGAGGACGAGATGGCGGGACACCCGCAGGAGGATACGATGACTATTGATGAGGAAATGCCGTCGATGAGTGAATTGGATGCGTCAGCTATGACTATACAGGAGACCGTCAAGCCAGTACGCCCTACGAAGGCCCCCGCCGCAAAAAAGGCTCCTGTCAGAATGACCAAGGCAGCAAAAATCGCAGCCGCCAAGGCCGAAGAGGTAGAGGGCACGCCGAAACCTGTACCCAAGAAGAAGGCGAACCCACGCAAGCGGCAACGAGAGGAGGAGGAGGAGATCCCGGAAACGCAGGTTTCACCAGAAGACTTGGAGGACGAGGATGTGGATATGCCGACGCCGATGCCTGTTGTGTACCAGAATAAAATGGCTCGCACAGCTACGAACGCACGAAAGCCGACTCTGGGACGTCCAAAGGCTACTAATGTGGAGGAAGCGGAAGCGCCTGAACCATCACCGGTACAGCCCAAGAATCAGCCCAAGAACGAGACAGATCTGAGGAAACAGCTTGAGAGCCTGGATATGAAGTATCGCAATCTTCGCGAGGTGGGGATTATTGAGGCTGAGCGCACATTTGAGAAGCACAGGCGGCAGACTGAGGAGAGCAGGAAGAGTAAGTTTACGTGAGACTACGTGATGGACATGTCTAACGATAATAGTTGCGGACGGGCTCATTGCGACGCTGAAGGCCGAGTTGGCCGCACAAACTACGCAGATGAAAGAGTTGAGATCCTTGAGGAAGAAGGCAAACGCGCAGGAGGACAAGATATCTGATTTACAGGCGAAGTTGTCTCAGGTCAACACAGAGTACAAGGCAGAAACCGCTACACAGACCGCGCAAGCCAAGGAAACCCGCGAGCTGAAGAGGAAGGTAGAAGAGCAGGAAGATGAGATATCTGATCTTCAACGGAAGCTAGCCCGTGTGAACAAATCTCGAAGCGAAGAGCACGGCGAGGAGCTATCAAGACTAGAGAGGAAACTCACAGCAGCCACCGAGTCTTTATCCGATGCACAGAACGAGAATAAGTCGCTATCAGCGAAACTCACGGCAGCAAGGGCTGCTGCCGCGTCAGCTGAGAGCAACGCTCGTGCACCGGGCAGTGCAAAGAAAAGCGCAGCTGCGATCCGCATGATGGGCGGCGCAGAGGCCGTTGCAGCCGCACAGGCAGCACAGCTGAAGGAGGATCTTTACCGCGACCTTACCGGCCTCATAATCCGCAGCGTCAAGCACGAGGAGGAGGAGGACGTGTTCGACTGCATCCAGACCGGCCGCAATGGCAGTAAGTATCCTCTATTATCCGCTCAATGCTGCCAGTTACTGACCAATTTAGCGCTGCACTTCAAGTTTGGTGTACCGAATGACAAGAATGCCGACTACGAGGAGTCTCAGTGCCACTATGTGCCCCAGATGGACCCAAGCAGGGACGAGGAGCTGAAGGAGTTGCTGCCAGAGTATATGTCTGAGGAGCTGACGTTCCCTCGTCCACAGGTGGATAAGTTTTATGCACGTGTTGTCAAGGCGTTGACTGAGAAGCCTATGTAAAGTTGTGGGGGTAATTGCATTTTGCATACCTTGGCGTTTTGGGATAGGGGTAGTGGGGGGAGGGGTTGGGTCGGAGTTTGGGGGTGGATGGGATGGGATCATTAGGGTTGTTTTGTTTATCATACCGTGCAGTTTGTGTTTATGATAGTGATAACAGTGATACGTTGGAGTATTCAAAGTACAGTGTTTAACGTTATAATTCTCTTGAATTCGCAGTAATTATTGTTTTGATGTTCCATGATAATTCTATAAATACGCACAATTGTGACGATCGACATGTGTTGGTTCAAGGGACCGGCAATTAATTAATCCCTGCCAGACCACGAAATTACTGTTTTGGTCAGGACACAACTTCACAACCTTGATGGATTAGTTTGTACGTAGACTGCTCCCTTCGCAGCGACGCCGCGACCACTCTCTTTATCTGGATATCCTCTTTTCGAAGAGATTGATGTCCTGTCTGTACATTAGACGCGCCACTCATTTACTATACAGAGCCTGTATCGCGACAGCCTCAAACAGCTCTTGAAGCTACGGCTACGCCGCAGACACTCAATTATCGACATTGGATATCTACAACAACTGCTAAGATGGCGAGAGTCACACGATTCGGCTTCCTGCTCACGGCGGTGGTCTTCCACTTCGTGTACATCTTCTCAATCTTCGACATCTACTTCGTCAGCCCCATCGTGTCTGGGATGCGCCAGTTCGAGGTCGAACGCCCCAAAGAAGTCGAAGCCCCCGCGCAGCGACTGGTCCTCTACGTCGGTACGTGCTTGATTTGCTATATCCCCTAATTGCTGCGCAAAGCTAACAATATCCTAGGTGATGGCCTTCGCGCCGACAAAGCCTTCCAGTCCCTCCCCATCCCTTACCCCACCTCCCCCGCCGACGAGGAGCCACGCCATCTTGCGCCCTTCCTGCGCTCGCGCATCCTCGAACACGGAACCTTTGGCGTATCGCATACGCGTGTCCCGACTGAGTCTCGGCCCGGCCACGTTGCCCTGATTGCCGGGTTGTACGAGGATGTTTCGGCCGTCACGACCGGTTGGAAGCTCAACCCCGTCAACTTCGACAGTGTGTTCAACCGCAGTCGTCACACATGGAGTTGGGGTAGCCCTGATATCCTGCCTATGTTCCAGGAGGGTGCAGAGCCAGGACGCGTCGATGGGGATACGTATGGGCATGAGTTTGAGGACTTCTCGATGGATGCTACGCTATTGGATATTTGGGTGTTTGACCGCGTCAAGGCCCTGTTCGCGGAGGCGGCGACGAATGCTACTCTCAATGCGCAGTTGAGGCAAGATAAACTGGTGTTCTTCCTGCACTTGCTCGGCCTCGACACGTCTGGTCACGCATACAGGCCGCACTCGAAGGAGTACCTCCATAACCTCCAGGTCGTGGACAAGGGCGTGGAGGAGATAACGACACTCATCGAGGAGTTCTACGCCGACGACAAGACCGCCTTCGTCTTCACAGCCGACCACGGAATGAGTGATTTCGGAAGCCACGGTGACGGCCACCCAGACAACACCCGCACGCCCCTCATTGCATGGGGCTCCGGCGTGGCGAAACCCGTCACCGTCGAGAAAGGCATCGCACCCGGACACAACGAGTTCTCCTCCGACTGGAACCTCGACCACATCCAGCGCCACGACGTCGCCCAAGCCGACGTCGCGGCACTCATGTCCTACCTCGCCGGCCTCGCCTTCCCCGTAAACTCCGTCGGCGAGCTCCCCCTCTCCTTCCTCGCCGGCTCCACCACCGAGAAGGCCGAAGCCGCCCTCGTCAACGCCCAAGCCATCCTGGAAATGTACCGCGTCAAAGAGGAGCAGAAGCAAGCCAACCAGCTCCGCTTCCGCCCATTCCCAGCTCTTGGAAATGACAACGCCGTCGCAGCTCGCATCGCTGACATCCGCGCCCTCATCGACGCTAATCGTCCCGAAGACGCTATCCGTGCCACCGCTGAGCTTGTCCAGCTTGGTCTTCAGGGTTTGCGATACCTCCAGACCTACGACTGGTTGTTCCTGCGCGCCCTCATCACGATCGGATATGTTGGCTGGATCGCCTTCGCGGTCACCACGGTCATCGATCTGCACGTCCTGCATGGTGCGATCGAGACGTCCCGCTCGATCGGTAGCGTGGTCTTCTTCGCCAGCGTGCTGGTCGCGCTGTATGCGTCGTTTATGGCGTCAAAGAGCCCCTACATGTATTACCTGTATGCTGCCTTCCCGGTAGCGTTCTGGGAAGAGGTATTTGCGCGCCGCACGTCGTTGGCGGCGGGTAGGAAGGCGCTGTTTGCGCAGGTGAAGGGTGTTGGGGGGTGGGCTGCTGTTTTGGTGCAGGGTGTTTTGGCGATGGTGTTTTTGGAGGCATTGGTGAGTTTCGGATCCTTGTGGATGGATTTATGGAATGGTGGCTAATTATGACAGGCGCTGGGCTACACCCACCGTGAGATCTTCTCCGGCCTCTTCGTCCTCGCAGCTATCTGGCCATTCTTCTACGGCTCAAAGTTCATCAGCGAAAACCGCCTGCTCATCTTCACCTGGATCGCTGCATGTCTCGCTATGAGCACATTCACCTTACTCCCCGTTGTCAAGGTCGAGGACATCACCCAGATGTATGCGCTCCCCTCCCCCTCTCCACTCCTAAAACGAAAACTAACAACTCCAGTCTCTACGGCGGCTCCCTAATGGTCATAATCGGCCTCCTCTACCTCATCTTCGAATACCAACTCCTCCGCAACTCCGCCCTCGACGGCGAGAACCCAACCACACGCCCCGCAAACCCCATGTCCCGCATCATGATCGGAGTCCAGGTTCGTCCCCTCATAGCCCACACTACCCCCTACCTACCCCCTCCCCTTACCCCAGTCAACCTCGGCCCTACCCCGCATCCCCCGCACCCACAAGCTAACCCCCACCAGATCGGCCTAATAATCCTCTCCATGATCGTGACGCGCTCTTCCGTCTTGTCACTACAAGCGAAACAGGGTCTTCCCCGCGGCGAACAGGTGCTTGGCTGGACTATTCTCGGTACGTCGTCTCTACTTTCTAACCCCCCCCACCACGGCCCGCACGCCACCCGCCCTCTACTATGTCCTCCCCCACTAGTATGAACCGACGGGGATGGCAAGCGGGCTAACCCCCCCTCCCCCCCCCTCCCAGCGCTATCGATGATGAGGCTAATAACAGCAGTTCTCTCCCTTCTGATGCCGTTCATGCACCGCTTGAGCCCGAATAACCACTACCTCCACCGACTGGTGGTGTTATTCCTCACGTTCAGCCCTATCTTCGTTATCTTGTCGATCTCGTATGAGGGGTTGTTTTATTTTGTTTTCTGCGTGTTGTTGGTTACGTGGGTGAGGATGGAGCATAAGATCTATGTTTCTTCCAACCCCCCCGCCACCGCCGTCGTCGCCGCATCACCAGAATCGAAGACCACGACCACCACCCCAGCAAAGCCCAAAGCATCAAAAACCACCAAAGTCAAATCCAACGGAAAGGCCGAACCCCTGGCAGAACCACCCGCCCTCCTCCCCCCCTCCCTAGCAGCAACACCCCACCGCTCCCTCTCCCTCCCCGACCTCCGCACCTCCCTCTTCTTCCTCGCCCTCCTCCAATCCGCCTTCTTCAGCACCGGAAACATCGCCTCCATCTCCTCCTTCAGTCTGGTCAGCGTCTACCGCCTCCTCCCCGTCTTCGATCCCTTCTCCCAAGGCGGCTTGCTCCTCCTAAAACTACTCATCCCGTTTGCTCTCATCTCGGCCAATCTGGGAGTCCTGAATAAGAGGTTGGGAGTAGCGCCGAGCGCGCTGTTCATGCTGGTGATGGGGGTGGCGGATTTCTTGACTGTGCACTTTTTTTGGACGGTCAGGGATGAGGGGAGTTGGTTGGAGATTGGGAGTACGATTAGTCATTTTGTTATTGCGAGTTTGTTGGGGGTGTTTGTGGCGGTGCTGGAGGGGGTTAGTGAGGTTTTTGTTGGGGGGGTGGAGGTTTGATCGAGTTTATGGTGGTGGTGAGGAAGGGGTGGGAAGTGGAAGGTGTGAGGGGTGAGGAGATAGAAAAGTGAAGGGCGGTTGTGTTTGTGAGGAGAGAGAAGTGAAAGATGATGGTGGTGGTTGTTATCACGAGAGAGAAGTTAGGGGGTGGTGGTGATATGATAACCGAGGAAGCGACCATGAGGAGACAAAAGCGCACGGTGTTGATCGTGAGGGGAACAAGAATCCGAAGTTAGAGGGGATTGCAGATTCCATTCATTCGTTCGCGTTCGCGTTGGAGATTGGAGAAGATATGATATAGACAGGGTCCCTCCCTTACGATCAGGTGGGGATTGGAGATTTGCACGTGCATCTTGCCCGAGACGGCGGAGATGAAGATGTACAATTAACTAGACTACTAACACTACTACTTACATTACTGGGACATAATATAATGCACAACTACTTATACCAAATGAGCATGTGTGCTTACTTACTATCCACAAGTGAGTCGTACTAAAGAAAGGTACTATAGAAGTCGGGCAGGCACCTCATTGGCGCCTTCGTCGATGGGAGAGGGGGTGGTTGTTGATGGAGGAGAGAGTAGAGTATGCATGATGGAGGCGCATCAATCAGACAGACCAACACTCACTGCTACGCCACCACCAATCCTACCAATCCTACCACCACCGGAAACCCCTCCGGGCGTTCAATATTGCCCTCCTCATCACTGCTTCTTTTCACGATCATCTCGTCAAAACATCGCTATCAATCACTATCCCCTCCTCCTCCGTAATATCTCATCCTGCTTACCTCACCACTGTACATAAGCACGCATTAAATCCTACCTCGGCATCTTCCCCGCACTCCCCGCGCCCACCAAACGCCCACCGCCCAGAAATCGCCCAGTAAGGCCCAAGGCTGAAACTTGGCTGGGGTTGTTTGGTGGAGATTTGTTATGCGCGGGGAAGGGAAGGGGAGGGGGGTTTGATGGTTTATTTTTGGGGGGGATTTGTAAGGGGGGTGAGTAGTCCGTTTTGTTCCGATGGATATATGTATGTGTTTTATGATTTTTGTATATACTGGAATCGGTGGCTTCGGTGGTTTCAATTGAAGGGGGGAGAGTGTGCTGGTTGTGGTGGCTTGAGCCGGAGTATGATGTGGGGATGGAGGGTACTTGGGATTTATATGGTGTGGTGGGTGATGCGGGAAGTACCGTTTGTGGGAAATCTGTGGGAAATCTGGAAATCTGCAGGAGGGGGAATGTGGTACTGGACAGTTCTGCAGGTCTGGCTGGATTTTGTGTTAATCTTAGTATATGGACAGGGTGTAATCATGGGGATAGTTACAGTAACACTGTAACACTGTGTAGTTAGTTCTGCAGGATAGTTCTACAGGAGAGTAATACAGTTGTAGATAGTAGGTAGTATGATAGTAAGTAGTAGTAGTACCATAGTAAGTTAAGTAGTACCATATAAGAAATAGTGTGAACATCCAAAATCTACAGTAGAGAGTGCAGTACCAGTGTAGTACCACTACTACTACCACTCCTCCCTCCCTCCCTCCTCACTCACACTCACACACTCACACACTTCACAGTTAGTGGTTCTGTTGCAAGTACCCCCCCAAGTACCTTCCCTAAAGGTGATGTGTGGGATTAGGGGGTTAGGATTGGGGGATTGCATGCATGATCATGTACCCCACCCTAACCACACCCTACTAAACAAACACTAAACCACATACAAACCCATCACCTAAGATACTTCCATCCCCTTCCAAACTCCTTTCTATCCCCATTGCCACCACTAGACAATAGTTAGGAGTGGTACTTCTTATTGCTCTTCTGTGTACTTCTACTCCCTCTATTCTGCCTTTATTCTCCCCCTAACCCTCCCATCCACCACTACCACCGGTACTTCCCACTGCTCTTCCGTCTATTTCCACTCTCCCCCCCCATACCCCCCCAACCTACCTAATCCATCCCCCCCATCCCCCCCATCCATTCCCCTCCTAAGCGACCCCAAGGCAGCGAAACTCCAGCCAAAAACCAGCCAACCACCACCCAGTACACGCCGCCACCGTAGAAAACCGGGGTGTTGCTCAAGTCGCTCCTTCCCTATTGTCGTCCCACTCAAAAGGAACGAAAGGACGAGACGAGACTTCCACGCCGACTGAGACCGATCTTCGCTTCTTCTTCAATCCTTCATCTACAGTTACGTTATATACAACACACACCACTACGGTTACGACGACGAATAATTACAGCTGCGACAGCGGAGAAAAAAGAAGAAGGAGACGAGGGAAGAAGGAATATCGAACGAACGAACTTACCACACGACCACTACTCCTACTCCACCAACATCTCCGCCTCCAATCTACAGGATATACAACACACCACCACGGCTGCGACGACGATAATCTACAGCGACGACAGCGAAGAAGGAGCAAAAGGGAAGAAGGAAGGAAGGAATATCAAACCAATACCACACGACCACGATCCACTCACTACTCCAACTCCGCCCACCTCCATCGCATCTCCAACCTAGACTCTCCGACTCCCCCCATACGGTCCATTCATACCTTCACCACAACAACCTCACTCCCCTCACCCCCCCCAGCGCATGAGCGCGCACATCAATAACCTCACCCTAACCAGCCCCATGGCATCCATCGACCACGTCCACAACCTCGCCGCCGCGCGCGCCCCATCCATGGCTGCCGCCACGCCACCACAGGGCAGCAATGCTGCGCCGAATAATCAGACGCCCGGACATCCGAGTTTTAGGAGGTGCGTTTCGCGAATATCCCTTCCCCTCCCTTCCCCTGATCCCCTCCTGCTGTTTTGTTACGCTCTAGTTTGAGAGATGCGATGAGCTCGAGCTTGATGCATGTGTGCGCCAAGCTTGATAACAACGAGAGGGAGCTGTGGCTGACTCGTGGTTTTCGATGTGTAGACAGCGAGCGTCGAGAGCGTGCGAGGTATGTTTTCGATTTTGTTTTTTTAATATAATTCCTGCGACCACCTTCCTTCCCTTTCAATCAATTCCGACATTTCGCATTGCGACGATGCGGTTTCGTGGTTTGGCGGGGGCTCGTAGCCTTTTGTAATCGTCATTGGCGCGCTGCACACTGGGTGGTTGGTGGTTTTTGGTGTTCTTGTGCCGAGGCACCGAGGATGGATTATATGATCACTATCTACTATCTACTATCAACACCTCTCAAGAAGCTCCAAAACACCTCCAATCAACCAACCCCGATTTCCCCAATTTCTGAAATATCTCCAACTCTTTACCTTACTACTACTACCCCCTTACCTTACCTGGGGGGGTACATTACGATAATTTACTTTTGGGGAATGCTTGCTGACCAGAGTTTCTACCGCTATTACAGACATGTCATGCGAGAAAAGTACGTTACATCCTTACACCTACATGAGCTTCTCATCCACCCCCCTCCATGGCGACTGGCTCGTCGTCGACGGCATACTGTACACGACGTATACACATATACATCTACTACATGCCTGACCCGGCTGCCGAGCCTGCCCCTGTCGCACATCATGTACGTATCATCTGCATGGACAGGTCGACTGACACGATGTTAGGTCCGCTGCGATGCAGCAAGCCTGGGCGTGCCGTGCACAAACTGCGTCGCCTTCTCCATCGAATGCAAGATCCCGACGCCGAAGCGAAAGAAGACGCAAGCTGCTGCTGCGGGCAGCACGCGCATGAAGGACTCGGATAGGTGCGTTGATGCATGCTGGGATTTCCCAAAGCAATAGTATATGACATACGAGTACGCATACTAACCTACTCCAGTGACCGCGGTGACACAGCGGAGGCCCCTTCACCAGGAACCGAATCCATAGCCAGCATCGGATACGCTGCGCCGCCACCACACTCCTCTGGGAACTTCGTCGCCCCCAGCGGCACGCCAACCACCCAAGTCAGCGAGTCGCAGGCGCGGCAGGCTGAGCAGGATGAGGGCATCTACCTTCACTTCATGAAGCCCAAGTTCTCACGCGCACCCATCAAGGAAGCCGGCCGCGTCGCCTACCTCGGCGAGTCCTCCAACCTAACCCTGCTCGTGCACGACCGCCACGGCAGCGCCGACGTCGTCCACTACCCCCTCCCCGACAACGTGCGCGGCGCACGCTCGCGCCTCACAGACCTCGACGACGTCGAGATCGACATCCTCCACCAGCGTGGCGCCTTCCTGCTCCCACCGCGCTCCCTCTGCGACGAGCTCGTCGAGTCCTACTTCAAGTGGGTCGCGCCCATCGTCCCGGTCATCAACCGCACGCGCTTCATGCGGCAATACCAGGACCCAAAGAACCCCCCCTCGCTCCTCCTGCTACAATCCATGCTCCTCGCCGGATCGCGCGTATGCGTCAACCCTCAACTCATGGATTCCCAAGGCTCCACCACCCCAGCCGCCATGACGTTCTACAAGCGCGCCAAGGCGCTGTACGACGCCAACTACGAGGACGACCGCGTGACCATCGTGCAGGCCCTCGTGCTGATGGGGTGGTACTGGGAGGGACCCGAGGACGTCACCCGCAACGTCTTCTACTGGAGTCGTGTCGCCACCATCGTCGCGCAGGGCTCGGGTATGCACCGCAGTGTCGACCAGTCCCAGCTCAGTGCTACGGATAAGAAGCTGTGGAAGCGCATCTGGTGGACGCTATTCACGCGTGATCGCTCAGTAGCCGTCGCCCTGGGCCGGCCCGTGCATATCAACACCGATGACTCGGACGTCGATATGCTCTGCGAGGAGGACTTCATCGAGGAGGAAGACGATAACCCGAACCAGCAGTACCCGCCCGACCAGACGCACGTGCAGTTCTTCCTCCAGTACGTCAAGCTCTGCGAGATCATGGGACTAGTCCTCTCCCAACAATACAGCGTCGCCTCCAAAGCGCGTCGGCAGAACGCAATCGACCTCACCCACTCCGACATGGCGCTCGCGGACTGGCTGCAAAACTGCCCCAAAGACGTGTACTGGGAGCCTACACGGCATCAATTCTGGTCCGCCTTGCTGCACTCGAATTACTACACCACTCTCTGCCTCCTGCACCGCGCACACATGCCCCCTGCCTCCTCTACGCGAGGCGGATTTCCAGAAGACTCCGCCTATCCGAGCCGCAACATTGCCTTCCAGGCTGCGGGCATGATAACCTCCATCATCGCCAACCTGCGCGCGCACAACGAACTCCAGTTCGCACCGGCGTTCATGGTGTACTCCCTCTTCTCGGCGCTGATCATGCACGTATACCAGAACCGGTCGTCGGTGCCGGCGGTGCAGCAGCAGACGCAGGAGAGGATACGGATTTGTATGGATGGACTCAAGGATGTGTCGAGGGTGTGGGTCGTGGCGAAGATGGTCTATACGCTTTTTGAATCGATTCTGGGGAACAAGGTACTCGAAGAGCGACTCCAGAAAGCCGCTGGGAAACGGCATAAGAAAACCCAGCAGACCTGGGGAAAATTACATACTACCGCCCAGCAGCAACAGCAACAGCAACAACAACAAGACCAACGACCACAAGAAGACACAAAAAGGAAATACGACGACATGGCCCTCGACTTCGCCCCCCCCAACGGCCTCGCCCCGCAAGAATCATACGAGCGCTCCCGCCCCCAAACACCAGCGCGCGAAAACGCCCCGATGGGCGCACCACCCCTCATCCTCTCCCCGCGCCAACAAGCAGCTGCACAACTCCAACAGCAACAGCAGGGACAGGCACAAGATACATTCATGGGCGGGACGTCATCGCGTCCTCACACGAGGCCCCCTACGCCTTTTAACCCCTCTTTCTCGGTGCCTGCTACGCCGCCGGATTTGTATCTCGTGACGAGGAATAGCCCGTCTATTAGCCAGGCGCTGTGGGAGAACTTCCAACCCGACCAACTCTTCCCCGAAGGCAGCGGCGTGGTCGGAATGCAAAACTCCCCTCCTCCGCCCGCTGGTGCTCAATGGGGGAGTCCCTCTGCACCTGGTATGGGCGCGGGGAGGATGGGGAGTATGGGCAGCCAGGGGGGCCAAGGGCAGCAGGGGGTGGATGTGGGAATGGGAGGGTTGTATCCGCCTGGTGCTGGGGGGGCGCAGTGGGGAGGGATGGGGCAGGGGTTTGAGGGGGCACAGCAGGGACAGAGTCCGAGTGAGAGCTGGAGTAGTGCTACTGCTGTGCCGGCTACGTTGAATGTTGAGGATTGGTATGTTCTTGTCTTTTTTCTTTTTACCCTTTGCTGTTTTTTGGCTGGTTGTTTTGGGTGGTTGGGGGGAAAAGGGGGTTTATGGTTTGGGAGTTGGAGAAAATGTGGCTAATGCTAACGGTTGATTGTAGGTTCCAATTCTTCGGCATCAACGGCGATCTGAGCGGCATGAACGCAGCGGATTTGTTGAGTGCTGGTACGTCGAGTGTTAGCTGATCACCCTTATATCCATCTTATCCCTTTTATCACTCAACGATTAGGGGTAATTCTGTCCTGGGAAATGAATGATGGAAGACTTTCACGCCGCGGGCGTAGGATGGTGGTGTGTGGTGGGGTGTACAGAGGGGTGTACAGGACACAGGGGCTAATTTTTATCATATTTTGGCGTTTGAATTTTTTTTTGGAACTACGAACGGAAAGGCGGGTTATAGTAGCTGGATGGCTGGAATGGATGGATGGATGGATGGGTATTATGTTCATGATGGATAGGGGGAGGGGTGTGTAAAATGGCTGGTGGCTGGTGGGGTGTATGTATGCCAACGAACTCGGAGGTGGTGGTGGTTATCTAATCCCAAGACAAAGGTCCTACCTACCAAGCCCGTCGCGTGGTGATGATGAGTGTGTGGGCTGATGAGTGCATCATATCATTTGATATACTTATATGAAAACCTTTTAGCGGGAGTCGTAACATCCGTTTTTTTATTATTTGATCAAAACCGCATCTATTCTTTTGGAAATCAACCATAACTCATCCATCAATCCATCCATCCATCTTATTCTCTCTCTTCCACAACCTCCTTCTTCCCAACATTTTCTAAACCACAAACATCACCACCACCACCACCACCACCACCAACCGCAACCGCAACAATGTCCCCCTCCACCACCACCTCCCCCAACGAAAAACACCACCACCACCACCACACCACCTCCCCCCACCTCCTCTCAACCCCCCCCACCACCACCGATCTCGAAAAACAACCCCTCCCCCCTCCCGCCCCCTCCTCCCTCTACGCAGACACCGAAGACGGCATAACCGACACCCTCCGCTCACGCGCCAAAGCCGCTCTCCAGACCTTCCTCACCTCCATCATCGCGCTCGAGGGGGTATATGATTTCCTGGCTGCGGGGCTGAGGATGGGGGTATTGGCTGTGCAGGCGCTTTGTCTGGGTGGGGTGGCGTGGTGGGTGGTGGGGGTTTGTGGGGGGGCTTTTGGGTTGGTGTATGTATTGTATTTACTTTTTGTTCCTCCCTCCCGTTTGATTATTATTCTGCTTTACTTTGCTACTACTATCTATTTGGTGTGCGCTGCGTGGGTTGAACTGAAGACTGACTAACGGCTATGCAGGGAGCACAAGGAGGGGACTTTCACGGTCATGCCAGTCGTCTACCTGATCGTCATGATTGTCGTCCTGCAGATGGTGCAGATGGGGTATTGTGTCTTGGATGCTATTTCTAAGGTGAGTTTTCTTTTCTCTGGTCCCCCTGTTTTTTTCGGTTTTGTTTGGGTTTTGGGGAAGGGGAAGAAGGGGGGTAGTGGGGAAGGGGAAGAAGGGGGGCAGTGGGGAGGGAAGAATATGCTGACGACTGTGGGGTGTAGTACACGAAAGTCATGGAGTTTATGCTGAGGATTGAGGAGTTGAATTTGCCCCGTGGGGAAGATTTCGTTTGAATATTGGGGGTGATGAGGGTCAGACAGGCTGGGCAGGAGTTGGCGCGGAGGGGTGGGGGGAGAGAGGTTTAGAGCAATTGCTTGTTGAGTGCGTTTGGAATTTAGAATCTTATGATTTGGGGCCTGTAATGTGGTGATGTTAGATTGTTAGGTAGATGGCGTGTGGTGGTCTGATTTAGAATTTCGATAAGAGTTCAGTAGAATCGTACTATTTCTCATAACATACGATGTCCCTAGTGCCACATCTCGCTCTCGCACAACCCCCCCGATTTCTTTTCTTACTTCTACAAACTCACCGCTGTCGCCATTAAAGACTAATATATCGATTTCAACAACGCTATCAAAGCCTTAGCAATGAACAATATCTCCGAAAAGCAGACTCAAGATCCCCTCCTCCCACTCACCAACCCCATCAACCCCATCAACCCCATCATCACCCACACCACCACCACCCAAATCGCCAGCACCACGGCCCCAACCCGCAGCGACAAATTCTTCGCCGCCATGGACGCCTTCGCCCCCAAGATGGAGAGATTCAACCGCGCCCTCGATTCCATAGCCATGTCCATTATGATAGCGACCCAGATCCTCTGCCTAGGCGTCGTGCTGTGGTATTCAGCCAAGCTTGCATATCTGTTCACCACCAGTCGTAGAGCTAAGTAGGTGTTCCCTTGCCTATTGCCTAGTTCGTGCTCGTTCTACCCCTCGAGAGAGTGTAGTGTGCGGGCAGAGGATGAGTGAGTGGTACAGGCAGGCTAATAAATTCATAGTACGCCCGAGCTGGCGCTGGAGGTGGTGTGCTATATCGCCCCGTTCCTGGCTTTTGGGACGGGTGTTAGGTTTATGGAGCTGGTGTCGGTCTTCTTCCGGTACCGGGAGGTGGTGAGTTTGACAACTTGGAGGTCGCTGAATGTGCGTGGGATGTTTGCTGACGGTTGGAAGCGTACTGTGCCTTTGCCGGCGATATAATGGGGTTAGTGGGGTGTGTTGGGATGGCTGTGGGCGGGTTTGGAGGTGGTGGGATAGGGGTGGCTTCTTACTGGGGGGGATGCTTGGTTAGTTTCTATCGATTTATATTTTGTTTTTGAAAAACCATATTTATAGCAATGGAAAATAATAATCTTGGCCGTTGTAATAACCGTGAGAATGAATCGTACTATACTTGTGACAATAAATGGGACGAATAACCTGCCAGGGTGAATCAATCCAAGCTCATTGTCTTCATCACGACTAACAGTCTGGCCCAGGAACCCCCAAGCTCCATATATGGCAAGAACGATTTCTAAGCTAACCCCATCGCAGCTTCCTTGAAGCCCTTTAATTTTATATATGGTAAGAACGATTACCAAGTAAGCTCAGTCGTAGCTTCCTCTGAATCTTGAAGCCTTATATATCTGTGAGTCTCATAACGAACCTACCGGTTACTGCACTTCTGCGACCCTTATGCTCGACTCGGTCTGTGCTGTTTGACATGATACGGGTAAGGTGACGCTTTTATTATAAATTTCGCTTTATGTCTAAAGCTGGCAAAAATCATCGAAGAAGCACGGGTTCGATTCAAGGAATTAGCAAAAGAATTCGAATTCCTTGATCCCCTGAAAGGGATCTTAGCTAGCTACATGTAATAAACGAAAGTCCATAGTAATCCCAACCGATTTGTCCATGTTGAATGCACCAAATCGCCTCGTGAGCCCAACCCCTCCATTCAGCGATTGTGCTTCGAAACCTAGTAAGTCCACACAGGGCCGAATATAATTTCGCAATCTCACAGGCAGAGGCCAAGGAGACAGAACCTGGAACAGCACTCTGAATTTCTGTCGCAAGACTCTGTTACAGCTTAGTATGATAATTGATGTTAGACTAGGCAGTTTGGTTGCTTACGAAGCGCTGGCCTGCACTGGTACGGGTTAGCTTGCTTCTATGACCCGGATAGTTTAATTATGGCATTACGTACTTCTCCAGTTGCAGAGTTGGATGGATTAGTAACGGCCTCACGGACTGCCACATTCAGGGCCTCATTGAAGCCTTCGGGGACCGCCACGCTCATGGCGCCAACAGTGAGAGCAAGAATGGTAGCGGCGACGTAGAACTTCATGGTGGAAGGTTGAAAGCGTAGAGCGGTTAAGCTTTTATTGTTGAGAAGATTGTGAATAAAAATTGCAGTCTTGATAGCTACTGTCAGGATTGAAATATTATGGCAGGTTGATGATTGAGATGGGATGGATATGAGGAACACTTATATAGACCAAACTAGCCTCGTGACTGACGCTCCTTCAATTATTTATGAAGCTGAAGCCGAGAGATCTGTCCTACCTCTATTACTTGATATTGATGAATATAAAGCTGTAATAATTGAGCACCCCCCTATCCATCGATGCTAATGAGGGCTGAGCTGAAAGATCTGTACTACCCCTATTACTTTATTTATTATGAGGTTTGGTTGGAAAACGGAAGCCACTGTGCGGCACGCATAAGCACATGTTGCCGTCAAGGAGTAATAACGGGTTTGTATTGGATGTTGAAGATAATCTTGTGGTGCATAGTCAGGTGGGTTGATATTAGGCCAGCATATTTCATGCATGCGAGACTTGGATTCGAATCATGGTGGTTAGCTCACGTATAGAATCAGTGAACAGCCCACCCTCTGCCGCAGTCTATGTGCTGGCCAGCCATCCTACTCCGAATCTCATATTTAAATGTGATACAGTTTTGTCGAACGTACCTCCATCTGACCACTAGAGATAAGATCTAGCCGAGCCTGTATCGTGGTGAACTGTCGTGGTTCCAATCCAGTTCTCATACACGGGATGGGGTGGTCGAAGAGTCCCCAACATGGGACAAGCAGTGGGTTATGGAGTCTAGAATATGAGGATTTGCGGAATAGTAGAAGCGCCAGTAGTCTATTTGGTGCGACATACGAGACAGCCATGCCAATAGAAGGGAATATGATAGACGAAAGCAGCTGCATGGCTTATACGGCTGCATGATTTATACAGACACGTGGTATATGAGAATAGTTGCATGAGAACAACGGTAGTTATTTAAAATTAAATCGTAGATTTTCTCTCTACCATAGGAGATTGTCAATAGTCACTATATGGCGAACATCCATCCATTGACCGGGGATATGTTCAGTGCTCGCCATGTGTTTGGAACGGCTTGTTTCTTGAACCCAAGCATATTTTCAAATTCTGCATATCCCACCATACCATGTGCCTCTGTACTCCTTTGTAGTCTCCCCACACTCGGCTGTCTCAGATGTCATTATTGGTGTGACATTACGCAAATACTAGATGCTGTCGTAACACAAACGCCGCAGAGAAAATGCTTAAACTGCCGGATCCAGTATCATAAACGCCACTGTGTAACTTTGACTAAAATAGTGACTTAATATTATCTTCCGGGTGTATCAGGAGGCAATGCCACAGTTCGCTTCAGCCTATTGGGAGTTATTTCCCAAGCCCCCTCAGCTGCTTATGTCTCTACAATCCATTCGAGAATGGCCACATCTTTGTTGCCTCGTCTACCGTCTTCTCTCCCTCCATGCCCTCGATAAACATCCCGAGAAGCTCCTTGTTCTGCCTCTGCTTCTCCTCAAAATCCAACTCTGGGGAGATGCACCCTTCCACACCCGTGTCTAGGCAGGTCTTTCCTAGCTCCTGAACCGCGCTCTAACTAGGGTAATCTTGGAATCGCAGCTCGTTCTCCCGAATTTCAGCATCACTGAATGAATACGGGCAAACGCCAGTGAATCCCAATGGGATCCAGTTTTCGAATATTTCAATGAGACAGGTTCGTAGCGGTATGACCCCATACTCGGATACTTCGCCACATCTAACGAAGAGTTCCTTGAAAACCCGCGGTACGTTCATGGCGTTATGTGCCGGTCTGTTCTCCAAAAAATTTGACACTTCGTATGCTTTGGCTATTGTAGCCTGGTTCCACTCAAGTGTGGCAAGGGCCTTATCGCCAGAGTCTAGATTTTCAAAGCCATCGGGAAGCGTGGGTTTCACAAAGCCCTCTGGATAGTTTGCAGGCGGCTTTAAGAATTCCGGCCATTGAGCTTGTAGAAATGCGAGGAGAATAAATATTGACTGCCAGTCGATCAACGAAACGATTCGTGACGGGTCATCAGGTGATACTAAAATGTTTCCCATGTGCAGGTCGGAATGCCACAGGATAGGCTGTACGTGACGGGAAAGGATCGGGTGCGTGTACAGCAATTCCATGATTTGAATGGTGTCCCTGAGGAGAGCTATCTGCTCAGCGCTGGTTCCGTGGTGGAATGTTCCCAGCTGCGTTTGCACCCCATTGGTGATGCGATTGACTTGTGTGTTTGCAATGGCTTTTCCAAAGGCTGATATGGAACTCCCTGAACGCGAGTATTAGGAAGACTCCACAGTAATATGATTTCAGGTTCTTACATGGGCCCTTATCAACATTAAGATCCATTGAGCTATCGCTGGTTTGAAGCATATATGCACGTTCACACGATGGCCCTACGCAGTATGAGCTTGCAGAATCCTCAGCGGCATCTAGAGGCTGATACCGGACGAGATCCGGGCAAGGATCACGAAGATACAGGCTGCCATATGCCGGGAATGGAATAGACGCGAGTTGATTCTCAAGTTTAGTCAAGCCTTTGATGAGGTCTAGTTTGCTGAGCTGCGACATCTTGCCCCATTGTTGGAATAGTGGAACTCCTCCAGCCTTCTCCATTACGATGTACTCGGTTCCGACAGGATTCAAAATATTGGAACTCCACGAGTAGACGCCTGGAACTGGAAGATTTGTATTTTGTTTTACTATTATTGCATAAGTTTAAATGGCAATCTTCAATGTGAGAGTGGCACATACAATACTGTAGAACAGCCACTTCGGAAGCTGTTGTTAATTTTGGTGGTCCCGCATTCCGACAGGGTAACTTTGCGATTACTTCTGTGCCATTTTCCCTTTTCATCAGAAATGCCTTGGAAAACCCGCCTTCCATCTTCTCGACTGCCGTTACTGGAGACGGTTCAGGGCCCGCAGCCGCTGAGACGTCACAGAGCGCATTCAAATCAAAGTTCACATGACGAAGCTCAAGTTGGCGCTGTTCATCTGGAATTGTTTCCTTCACTTGCCGCGACAAGTTATTGATAACTGCCGTCTTGGAAGACGGAAGTCCCACAGCTTCCTGGGGATTAAACGCATTCCAGCCAGTAGCATTTGAGCGTTGGGACAGTAAATAATTACATGCTAATACAAATATCGTGTCTGGAAATGCAGTGCACAGCTTCCCAATGCGCGTTATGCATTATTTCAGGCCATGGTCAGTGTGGTGTTGTTTGTTGTCCCTTGGAACATTGAGGAAGTGGTAGCCTCGCTCACTTTCCCAGCTTTTTGTCAGCCTTGCATACGAGAGTGGCTTCGAGATTTGTCTCGAAACCGACATACAAACCAACATTTATCCGACATCTCCAATATCAACGGCAAATATACACCATGTAGGAGACAATTGCATGCAAGTAGCTGTAATTATCGCAAGAGAGTTCTATCTACCCATAACTTACGGCAGAAAGAAAGTCCCAGCCTTGTCTGGTCAATTTGCCTGGCCATGAATTGGGTCCGTTTGTTGGATGGCTGAGCCGCCAGCCACGACAGGGACGCGTTTCATGTCATGCAATCGCCAATCAGCGCAGTATATTCGTTTGGAAGGTTGATTAAATCTGCCCTTTTCAGCATGACTTTAGGTAGCGGCGAGGATGCCTGTTTAAACTGTGATTTTACTAGTCCTCGATTCCCCGGCTAGTGGCGTAGGATGCTAGAGGCACACTGTGCCTGGCAACTCTTGCGAGGCCCCTGTGGTTTCGAGGCTGAGGTTAGAGAAGGTAAACTATGGTTATAAATAGTGTGAACTACCCATCAGCTGAAAGGCGAAGTTTTATTTATCAGCGAGGTAGTTTGGCTTCCATCAATCGCCCACAGTTTGCCCATGAACCTCAGAGATTAGCAGCTTATTTCAGTCTTTCGGTTTCTCTCAGAGTCCCTGAGTTCCTCAGTCTCTCATCTTTGCCCACCATCTCAAATAAAAAGCCCTACTCTAATTTGATTTCCGGCGCCCACTTTCTTCCCTTATCCAACGCCAACACACCTCGTGTGTTTCACCACAACAACCACCCATCGCCATGACGGCCGACGATTACTCCGCCATGAACGGAAGTTCATCCGCAAAAGCAAAGATGGAGTTATCAAAGACACTTAAGATTCAGCTCTCGAACCCAGCTCAGCTGGACAAAATCGACAAGCTTCGCGAGCTGGGGGTTGCCAAGTTCGTTGCCCTCCCACAGCTTGTTGTCGTTGGTGATTAATCCAGCGGAAAGAGTTCCGTATTGGAAGCAGTAATGGAGCTTCCTCTTCCTCGCGATAGTGGGCTCTGCACACGATTTGCTACGAATATCACGTTTCGTAGATCCCCTCAGACAAGCATTACTGTTTCCATCATCCCCGGGCCCACTCGATCCCCCGAGAAGGTAGAGGAACTGAAGGCATTCAAGAAGACTGGATTGACTACACTTGATGGTCAAACCTTCCTGTCGATATTGAAAGATGTACGCGTTTGACTTCATTGCCCGCAGTAGCTTGCTAACAATTGATAGGTTTGTCAAGTCATGGGAGTCACTGGACCAGGAGAATCCCCAAGCGCCACCAAATCTACATTCAGTGCAGATGTCTTCAAGATAGAACTGAGTGGCCCAGACCGCGAAAACTTGAGCATTATCGATATTCCTGGTATTTTCAGGACTGCTACGGAGGGTGTGACTACCCAGGACGACATTGACTTGGTAAAAACTATGGTCGGAGATTGGATTCAAGATGAGAGGACCATTATTTTGGCGGTTGTGTCTGCGAACGTCGATATTGCCACGCAGGAGATTTTGACCATGGCTGAGAAGGCTGATCCAAAGGGTCTTCGAACTTTGGGTGTGTGAGTTAAATATCTCTTTAATGGAGCTTCACCAGCTAATAGTATACACAGATTGACAAAGCCCGACCTTGTTGATGACGGCGCCGAGCATCAAGTCATCGACCTTGTAATGGGAAAGCGTAACAAGCTCAAGCTCGGATATTGCATTGTCCGCAACCGCTCCCAGAAGGAGCTCGATACCGACTCTGACTCTCGTACGCGCAAAGAGCGCAGTTTCTTCGGTACCGATCCATGGTCATCACTTCCCAAGGATCGGGTTGGGGTTGATGCCCTTAAGAGTCGTCTCCAGGACCTACTTTCTGAGATCGTCCAGAGAGAGTTCCCAAAGATTAAGAGACAGATCGAGCGGCGCCTTATACTCTGCAAGAAGAATCTCTATGCAATGGGCGCTGACCGCGAGTCATCTGACCAACAGAGACATTATCTGGAGGGCATTGCCGCACAATTTGAGAGAATAACCAACGACGCTCTCAGTGCCAATTATTGTCGCCATGACATATTTGGGCAAGACCACAATCTCCGATTACCAACTCTTGTGGTCGATCGCAGCGATCGTTTTGCGGAAGATATTAGGAGCAAGGGCCACTCAGTTGCGTTTAAAGGGGATACGAGTGCTGAAGCGGTTACCACAACAAACAAGATAGAGGAAAAGTCGGCTTTGCCATCAGCAAACAATGGATCTGACGATGCCGATGAATCCCATGTCAGTAATGAATCTGATGGCGACGCTGAGTCTGGCCATAAGTTGAGATTGGATTCTAAGAGCTCAAAATACCCGGAACTTTTGGATATTCTCCAACAGGATTTGTATATATCACTTACGAAGGGGTGTGATATTCTGGCCTGGATCGAAACCGAGTATCGCAAAGCTCGAGGCTATGGCCTCGAGGTGATGGATCCTAATATATTGCCAATGCTCTGGCAGGAGCAATCATCCAATTGGAAAGGGATTACGCTTTCGTTCGTGAACGATATTATTGTTTACGTACATGACTTCATCTGTCGGCTCTTGAACCACGTCTGCCCGGAGAGTAAGGTTCGAAATGGACTTATCTCATTCATCATGGATGATCTCCTTGACAAGTACAGCGCGGCCATTAAACACGTTGAGTTTATTCTGCGCGTCGAGCGCCACGGCACCCTGCTCACGAAGAATCACTACTTTGGAAACACACTCAGTAAGATGCGAAATGAGCGTCTCGTCAAAGCTATGAAGCAACATGAATTCCTCACGAATCGACAGGATGCAGGAGGCGCCTGCCACTATGTCACTGTAGTCCCGGTCTCCGGTATGACTAGTGCTCTTCCCCAAGGCAATCTAGAACACGCTGTCGATGACATCCACACCGTTTTGAATGCCTATTACAAGGTTGTGATGAAGCGTTTCATTGACACGGTCGTAGCACAAGGCGCAGACTATTACCTTCTTACCAGCGATGAGAGCCCGTTGAAGATTCTAACACCGCTGTTCATCTCCTCCATGACCCCCGAGCAGTTGGACGAGATCGCTGGAGAAGATTTGGTCACCAAGAGAGAGCGACAGGAGCTCAAGGAGGAGATCTTGGCGCTGGAGCAGGGAAAGAAATTGTTGAGAGGCTGATAGGATATTGCATCGCAAACTGGATAATGGGTCTGTTTTCATGTGCCTGTTTCTGTGTCTTGCAAGCATGGGGTAAGATGTTGGCTCCTATGATTGCCATTGTTCATGATGCGGTAGTTGGCTTGGGTATAGATAATGTGATACGTAATAGATGCTCCGCCTAATAAACAACTGCTCTCGGTTCGAAGTGATCATCCAAACCCTGCAGACTTCAAGTCGGCGATGAATCTTGTTCAATTCAACAGATATTTTTTAAAAATGTTTAACTACGAAAAATAATTATAGCTTGTGTATAAGTCCATGGAACTAGTGTATCTAGATGCCCACAATAATTGACTAGACTGCATCAGAGTACTCTTGTCGCCAAAAGTCTGAAGAGAGATTGTGTATGGCGCAGGATTAATACCAACAATTTGAACCCATAGAACTTATCTCGTCGGTTCCAATTGTCAGTAACCAGCTTACGAGTTGTAGGCTTGATTTATTGAACAAATTTACCTCAATTATAGTTTCCGTAACCACTATTGTTATCTACAGCCCTCCTTCAGACTTCTGGGGGGGGACCAGTTATGATATAATAGTGGCCTGATAGTCACGTGAAAGCCCTCCGACTTGTCCTTGCCCCAAACCCACACATAGCAAACAGCCAACAAACAACACCAACTTCTTCTCCCAGCATCCGAAAATCCAACAGACAAGATGCCTCCACGCAAGTCCAAGAAGACATCTGATACGATCAACTCCCGCCTCGCCCTCGTCATCAAGTCGGGCAAGGTCACCCTCGGATTCAAGTCCACGCTCAAATCACTTCGGTCGGGCAAGGCCAAGCTCGTCATCATCGCTGGCAATTGCCCTCCTCTTCGCAAGTCTGAACTGGAGTGTGAGTGACGTTTCAGCATCATTTTGGGGCCTGTAACTGACCGTAGCAGACTACGCCATGCTTTCCAAATGCCCTGTTCACCACTTCAGTGGAAACAACGTACGTTAATAACCTTGATAACCCCAACACACGGATTCGATATTTTCAATCTCGTCCTTTGAGATGATAGTGCAAATACGCTGTGATCGCCATTGGCAACCACAGACCCCCTGGGGTTCGCAATCGTCATACACAGGCCAAGATTGCTTTGCGATGACCGACTCCCTGGGGCTCGCAATTGCCACCCCTCGAGCTATGAGAAGAAGCTTCAAAACAAGCATTGGAGGGCGCATGGGCTAACTTTTGTCCAGATCGAACTCGGGACGGCGTGTGGAAAACTTTTCCGTTGCGGCACCATGGTTGTCCTCGACCCAGGTGACTCCGACATCCTGAGCCAAGAGACCTAAATGTGGCTCTCCGGTATTTGAATGGGAGAACAACAATCGGAGTGATATGTATGGCATACAGAGCATAGACACCCGAATCTGAACTTTGCTTCATTGATATCTCGTCCTGTAATGCTCATGCAATATGTCTTGATTCATATTCGAGACTGGTGATGTTTAGCTGATGTCGAAAGGCCAATTTGGGAGTGACCTCAGGAATGTGACTTGTGAGCTTGGTCAAGCAAAATCTCCTGCTGCGTTTTCATCCCCAACGTGAACATGTCCGCTGTTGCCAAAGGAAGGAGCTCTATGAAGCCCAATACGTTCTAGTAGTGACGTTGGTGTCCCTCAAATGTGGATCCTTAAAGTTTCCCCACAAATCTCATTGAAGCGGGCCCGTTGCCAAGGCACGCCAACCTGGATGCTTCTCCGGCAATTGACCCAACATCGCTTTTATCCAAAACACATTCTCAACTGCCTTATATAAATTCCCGGTGGGGAAGCAAGCACTACATATCTATATCCAAGGGTTATTGACGGAAAAATTGTATCTCCGGACACGAGATTGCAATTTGCATGTGGCCTCGCCGCTATACATTTACACGCAAGGTTTGTTATTAATTGCGGTCCGGTGGCCGCTGTGGTGAGTACCGATCCCATTATGTTGGAGAAGCTTAAAAGGTTGGTGGAAGCGCCCTTTCTTTTGCTCTATAGTGCGTCTGCTTGTCATAATGCGTCCAATTTCACTTGTCGTAGCCCTTTCGTCGCTGGCGTCAGCGGCCTTGAACACAGCTGTTCGAGCTGACACGTTCACAAACCCCGTCGTTTATGAAGATTTCGCAGACAATGATGTCTCTAAGGGGCCAGATGGCCTCTTCTACTTCTCTGCCTCGAACATGCATTTTTCGCCTGGAGCACCCATTCTGCGCTCAGCTGATCTCGTCAACTGGGAGATGATCGGGCACTCAGTGCCAACGCTGAATTTTGGCGACAACTACAACCTGAATGGCGGTGTGGCGTACCGCGGCGGTACGTGGGCGTCGACCATGCGGTACAGGGAGAGCGATAAGACGTGGTACTGGATAGGATGTGTTAACTTTTACCATTCGTTTGTCTATACGGCGTCTTCGGCATCTGGGCCTTGGACACAGTCGGCGGAAATACCAACGTGCTACTACGACTGTGGTCTCCACATTGATGACGATGATACGATGTACGTTGTGCATGGGAATACAAATGTTAACATGGCCCAGCTGTCCGCGAATGGTCTATCTGAGGTCAGGACCGAGCAACTCTTCCACTACCCCACAGAAGCCCAAGGCATCGAAGGCAACCGCATGTACAAGAGGAACGGCATATATTACATTCTGAACGATGACGGAGGCACCCAATCCACGTTTATCTATAAATCCACGAGCCCCTGGGGACCTTGGACTTATAAGCGCCTGCAAGCAAACACCCCTGGCCCACTTCCTGGAGGCGGTACTCCCCACCAAGGCAGTCTTATTGAGGCATCTCCTGACGACTGGTACTTCATGTCGTTCACATGGGATTATCCCAATGGCCGCATTCCCGTGCTCGCTCCTATCACATGGGGCGACGACGACTTCCCAATCCTGACTACAGTCAATGGCAAATGGGGCGCCACCTATCCCAGTCCCCTACCGACCGTCGAAACCCCACCATGGACAGGAACAGATTCCTTCAACGGCACGTTGCTAGGCCCACAATGGGAATGGAACCACAACCCTGACACCAGCAAATACTCGGTCGACAACGGCGTCACCCTCTCCGCCGCAACCGTGACCGACGACCTCTACAAAGCCCGCAATACGCTGACGCACCGCGTCCACGGCGAACACCCCATCGCCACCATCGTCCTAGATTTCAGCAACATGGCCGACGGCGACCGCTGCGGACTCGCCGCCTTCCGCGACTGGACCGCCTACATCGGCGTCGTGCGCTCGGGAGACACCTACAGTGTCGTTATGCAGGAGGGCCTCACGCAGAACAGCACTGATTGGAGCACGGTGAGCACTGGCACGACTGTTGAGACCACCGCAGTGGAGAAGGGCAGGATCTGGCTGAGATCGAGCATGGATTCGCGCGGTGATGGGTCGAAGTTGGTGACGTTCCAGTATAGTACTGATGGGACGAGCTTTGTGGATTTGGGGGATGCGTATACGATGAATACGGATTGGGCGATCTTCATGGGATACAGGTGGGGCATTTTCAACCATGCTACGACGGCTCTTGGGGGATCAGTTTTGCTTGAGTCGTTCACGCAGACGTAGAGGGGGTAGGGTAGGGTTGCGTAGGGATCGACGTATGTATATACCGCAGCTCAAAGCACGACAGTGAAAGGCCATGACCAATAGATTAGTTTGCGTCGCACCCGAAGTCCTCGATTGAAGCAACCCACATAGTATATGTACATAGCCATATTTGTAGTTTAGGTTTTTCTCTTATCTTTCTATATCTGAGAAATATTTCATTACGCCCACCTTCCTACTAAGTTTCTTCGAAGACTTACATATTTTGGATGCTATTCAAGAGTGGGTACAATCACCGACGAGAAGGCAGAATCGATGAGGGACGGAAAAGCTGTTCTACCGGCTTGAGTGGCTGTTCTACCAGCTTGAGTCTAAACCGGCCAGCATCCCTTGTTTGTAAATTAGCTACTCTGATATACCATACCGTTATCAATACAATATAATAGAATATGAAAAGAAATGTCATTGCTAAAATTATGTTATGTTATGTTCAAGGGGGGTTGGGGTCCTTTTTAACGCCATAGATGGCTTGCGACTGTGGCCAACAACACAGCCTCGTCCGAACAGGCAACCACGCAACCCAACTATAAGTCAGTACCTCAGCCGACATAATTCTGACTTCAATGATCCGTAGATCAAATTATATACTTGCTTGTCTCTTTATACTCTCGCCAGAGAACATATTCATTGCCAGCAACAACGTAAACTTCCCTTCAGGAACACCTCTTCCTTCACAACAAAAAGCCCAACCCCTTTGGCATCCGGCAAACTCCATTACCATTGCAAATCAATGGACTTTCTTGACTTACATCGTTTCGTCCGCATTACAGCCCACGACAAAGCTCTAGGCGCCATAATAGGTGCCGCCTTGGGCGACACTATCGGCCTGTATACCGAATTCATACCCCGCACAGAATGCTCGCGCGCCTACCCCACCGGCCGGTTCTCCCTCCTCGAAGCGGACTTAACGCCATTTCGCGAGGACAGTCACAGAGATAAGTTTGAGACCGCAGACTGGACCGACGACACCGACCAATCCCTCGCCCTGATCTTGTCATTTCTGCACAATTACGTCCCAGGAAGTGACACCCCACCCGTGAAGCCATCAGATATCGCCCAACGACTCCAAATATGGGTGCAGCAGGGTCTGCGCTGCCTAGGTCGCCCGCCCCTCGGAATTGGTATGACTACGGGCCGCGTGTTGATGGATCCGGAGTATCTGCGCGACCCCGAAGCTGTGGCATTGGCATGCTGGCTCCGAAGCGGCCGCAGCATCGCCCCGAATGGGTCACTGATGCGCACGCACCCGCTGGGCGTAATGTGTGCTGGGAAAACATTGGAGGAGACCTTTCAGGTCGCTACTGATGTGGGGAAGGTGACACATGTGGATCCACGGTGTGTTGTTAGCTGTTGTCTTGTGACGGCGCTTATTCGGGGAATTATTCGGGGCGAGGTTATGACTGAGGCGGACCTTGATGCACTTATTGAGGCATCATTTACATGGGTTGATGGAAATGCGGAGTTGAAAAATCCGACGGGAAAGTTACTCAATGAAGAGGGCCCGGTTATGATGGAAGGTCTTGAAGGAGTGGAGTCCACATTGAAAGGAGAGGAGTATAGGAAGTATTGTTATGCGAAGACGCTCAGAGAATTGGAGCTGGATGACAGGACGATGGGATATGTTTTCAAGTGCCTTGGGTCTGCAGTTCTGACATTGCGGTTTGCCATTCGAGAAGGGCTTGGGCTTGACACAAAATCGACTGGACTTTTTGAGACTCTCATTTCGAACCTCGTTATGGAGGGAGGCGATGCGGATACTAACGCCTGCGTTGCAGGATCGCTAGTTGGGTCTTGGGTGGGCTACTCGAGGCTACCATCTCACTGGTCCAAAGGGATGCGGAATGCAGAGTGGCTAGTGGCGAAAGCAGAGACACTGAGTTTCAAAGCAGGGATAATGGAGCCTCGTCCTGAAGTAAGGGTGAAAATGCTGGTGACAGACCCGGATACCGAGCTGGATGGGAGCAAGGGGTTGCTAAACAAAGAGCAATTGGAGAAGATGGAGAAAGATTTTGTGTTGAAGATGCTGTTGATGCAGAAGGCGAGAAGGGAGGCGAAGGAAGCGGCGGATACTGCAGCGAGAAAGAGAACAGGGGTTGGAAAATGGTTTCGATGAGAGGCTGTTGTGTCATATTAAGGTTTAGGTTGCGAGTTGGTTACACTTCCAAGGATGAAAATCGAAGGTATACAACCAGCAGCCACCAATATTATGATGTAGGCAGCAGCTCGCTGACGATAAGCTTACACTACACCTCACATACGACTATGATTCCACGGCCACCCGTAACGTGTACTGCCTTTCCATCCCCTGTAATTGGTCTATATCGATAGAACATTCTACGTTTGTATTTGCCAACCCCCTTCGTAAACAGAATGTCAAACACTGAAATTCTTGCCATATTGCTGCTGTCTCTGTCTCTGACAAACGACAACATGACCTTACATCAACTCCATCCAACAACTTCCTCCTCCCCCTCAATCTAAATCGCAACCATCCCCCTCACTTTCACTTCTACCTCTACTCAATGGATAGGCCTGTGATGTAAAGAAGAACTTCGTGGAACAGGTATCTGGTCTACTAACATATCCTCACAAATACTACATTGCCAATGGAACCTTCGTATGGGTGCTTAAGGTATTCGCTGACGAATCTTCGGTGGTGATAGTCCCATTGTAGAAACCCATCAAGCTTAACCAGCAGAGGGGGTGATATATCGCACAGAAGCTTGACCTAGAGGTGTGGTTTGGTTCCTGCCGCATGCACATGGACTGGACTATGTTTGGTTTTGGTGGCAATGAAGAAGTGACTGAAAAACTGGCGGCAAGCCCGCTCAACGACATGTGACAAAATGTATGGCATCTAGGGTCAAGCATTATGTATTATCAAGTTAAACATAATACAGCAAGGTAACCGCGACTATTTTTAAATCCAACATTCCAAGGATCTGCAGGAAGGTGCTTTGGTGGATCTGAACTCGCATCAAGGGAGTGAAGTTGCCAAAAACCCCCAATTAAGAGAGTACCTGCAACACAGTCTGCTTGCCCGTTTATGATACGCCCATCTTTGGTTTCCGACATGTGGAGGTTACGATTCTTCCTACAGAATATATTCACCATGGTTAAATCTTCGGCTGCCATGTCAAATAGTTTAAGGGTGGTGGGAGGTAAGATACTGGTAAAATCACTTGTTAACTCCGGCATCACTAACAATTCGCTGGCGCATTAAACCTCTTTCATCTGTCTCTCTTGTCTCAATTTTGGCGCCCCTTATTTGCCGTCCTTGCCTTTGTTATTGTTTCTCCTGCGGCGAAGTTTGACTTTCTATGCCGCCCCCTTAGCTGCATCCTGTTCTCAGGCCACAGCTATATTCATTTATTAATACTGAGGCAGCCAAGAAAATGATTTAGATTTGTTTCGGAGGTTGAGTCAATGTCGAAAAAGATAGGATACTCATGAATGTTCACCCTTGAGATCCAAATCCAGTTTGGACTAGCATACAAATCTGATAGACAGTGATCTAGGTATGCATTGACCGATTCCATGCCTCGATTCATTCCTCCCCCTTCAATGCAGTTAAGTTCCCATTTCGCTAGCTTCATATGGCCGGAGTTATAATCGCCAATATATATACCTGTATCCCAGGCATCGTCTGATTTTTACCACGCCCATAAAGTAGCAAGTCCACACAGAATATGCACTTTTTTGGAGCTCTTCGATATATTGGAACCAACATACACCCAACGAGACTCTCCTTTCCTTCGCTACAATGGCTCCAAAATCTAGCATCGCATCTCTATCCCTGGGCCGGGCCTGGGTCCATCCTCTGGAGGCCAAACTCGACCAAGCCGCAGCCCACAACTTTGCCGGCATAGAGCTCTTCTACGAAGACCTCGAATACCTCGCCAAAACCATACCTGGCGGACCAACTCGCTCTAATCTTCTTCACGCCGCCACTCTGACACGTGCCATGTGCATCTCCCGCAAACTCACTATCCTCTGCCTCCAGCCATTCATGCACTACGAGGGCCTCCTCGACGCCAACGCGCACGCAAAGCGCATTGAAGATTTTCAGTTCTGGCTTCTTCTATGCAAGACCCTGGGCACAGAACTTATCGTCGTCCCATCGACCTTTCTCACCGAAGGAGTAACGGGAGACCGAATCGTCCTCGTTTCTGACATGCGCGAGATTGCGGACCTCGCTGCACAACAGCAGCCTGTGGTGCGAATAGCGTATGAAGCGCTGTGCTGGGGTACTTTCATCAACACGTGGGAGGCCGCGTATGAGCTCGTGTGTGACGTCGACAGAGTGAACTTCGGCACCTGCTTGGATGCTTTCAATATATGTGGACGAGAGTTTGCCGACCCCGCAGCACAAGATGGACGCATGCTCGGCGCCGAAAAAAGCCTCAGGGCAAGCCTGGAGAGGATGAGAGATGTGATTGATGTCAAGAAAGTTTTCTTGGTCCAAGTGGCCGACGCGGAGAGGATGAGTGACCCTTTAGTCGAAGGACATTCATTCCACGTCGATGGTCAGCCGACAAAGATGAGCTGGAGCAGGAACGCTAGGTTGTTCCCTGGCGAAGAGGACAAGGGTGCATATCTACCCGTCTTGGATGTCTTGAGGGTTATCACAGGACAAGACGGACTAAGATATGATGGCTGGATAAGCTCTGAGATATTTTCGAGGACCCCGGTGGACCCAAGGCCAGAGGTGGTGGAAGAGCACGCGCAGCGGGCGGAGATAAGTTGGGCATGGATGGAGAGGGAGTTGGGATGGGAGCAGAAGGAAATTACTATCAAGAAGGTAGATGGCGGATCTGAGGATTTGTCCGTGAATTCGTTCGGCGCTCTTCGCTACCTCTACAGGTCTGTCAAAGGAGCCTTTGGGGCGTAGACGTCTTCAAAGAAATCATGAACACCAGCACTTACTTGTAGCTGCGCTACATTGGATGATTAGATTATTCTTAATCAAGTTTGGGATGTGCAGCAGATTTGCATTTGTGGCGGCACTTTGATCATAGAAACTGTCCTTTGAATAGTTAGCTGATATGAAATGCAAACGATTGATACTCTTTTATATGACACTAGATAAAAAAATGAGTTGAAATATATGGCAGTGATTATTGTGAAGCAAAAGAGATTATTAATATTTAATGTCTCTATTCTGAGACGGTCGCAGAAAACCGATATTGAACCTACTATCCACACGATTTATTATCCCAATAAGCCTATACTACAACACCGAATATCCTTGTCCAGTAAATTTAAACTCCCCGACCTTCAACTCCCATTCCAAAACGACCTGTATCCTACCACGGTTGCGTCTCCATATTAAAATCGTATCCTCCCCCGAGTAAATCCATCATCCACGGATCATCCAAGATATCAATATCGACAGCATCATCAAACTCCAACGGCTCAACCGACTGGTGCACAGGCATACCCTGTCTAGCCACTGCTTCGATGACTTTTGCCCCCACGCCACTCGCCAAATCAGTATCCCGCGGTCCAAGCTTTGCCACCTTCGCCTCCCACCAGCTCCCGATCCCCAACGCTCTCTTCGTCGCATGCGGCCACGGATCCAACCCTTCCCCACCCCAATCCGCTCGCGACACCGCATCCCACCTCTCCGCCAGCAGCCTCGTCACATCCCCAATATCAAGCTCTGCTCTCACCCTACCTCCACACCATGCCACGTCCGCCGACTCGAACGTAGTAAGGCGGTACAACGCTGCAAGGCAGTGACCGAGCTGCGTTAGTGTCGCGATAGAGACGTGGGGGTAGCGTGCGAGCGGGAAGGCGTCGAGGGAGAGAAAAACGCCGAACCAGGATTTAACTGCTGTGAAGGTGGCCCAGAGGCTTTCGAGGCGCTGGAGTTGGGCGGCGGGGTCGGGGAAGGGAGGAGGTGGTGTGTAGGCGAGGCAATGGGCGTGTATTGTGAGGGAGGTGGCGTGAATATGAAGCTGGAGGATTGCTGAGTGAGTGTTAGATGGTGGGTTATTTCTTAGTGGAGGAGTAACAATACCATTTGGTTTTATTTCTGCTGGAATGGAACGCTCCAGATCGTCAAGTTGAGACTTTAGAGACTTGGCGTAGAAGTTTGGTGGGACTTGGTTTGATGTGTCTCCAAACATATCGTCCCATGTTGATGTTGCACTCTTGTTGCAGATCAACTGTGCTCGTACTAAGTGAACAAGCAAAAGATCGGTGGAGTAATCCTTATTCTCTTCCAGAATTCGCAAGCATTCACCAAGGTATGGCGTCCACCGCATGAGTTCGGTACGCTGGAAGTAGTTGGAGGCCCTAGTCAATTGTATGAGAATGATTTCTCGTTGGGGAAAGTAAGTTCACTTACACAGAGCTAACAAGGTAAAGACCAACTACCGCCCTTCGTTCTTCCATGGTCACGACCCTAACTGGGCCACTTGACCTCTTGGGGCACCCATGCGCAATAATATAATGTCGCATGACATCAACATGCTCACCCAGCAAAGGCTTCGTAAGTCCAAGATCAAAAGCAAGCGACATTCCGAGCTGAATAATAGTCGAGATGATAGGTTTACTGCATATATAGTAGTGGCACCAGCCTGCAAACACCAGGACGCCCAGGAATAGATCTAGGGTTTTAGTACCCTCAAGCAGCATCTCCCTCCCCAAAGTCTTCTTGACTTCCACAACCAGTGCTTCTTGGCGACGGAGGTTCTTACTGCAGATTGCCCGGATGACGAGAAATAGGAATGGGCGTTGTAATCTCATCTCATCAACAGTAACATCAGGCCTGATACAGACGATGGGAAAATTATGCACCATCTTCGTCCGATACGTCTCCAGGGTCTCTTCGAGCTCCGCGTCGCTCTCTAGAGGAAAGTTGTCCACCGAATCGGGACTTTCTGCAACACTGGAGCCACTTACTCTCGAGGCTGCTGGCGTTGGGTGCCCATTGGGACATTCTCGACATCCCTCCTTTGAAACCCCGCACAATTGAGGTCGCTGTTCCGTTTCATTTCCGAAGTGGGAAGAATCCACTGAGAGTCTCCTGACATCAATATCGACGCTAGAGCCGGTCCCATTGTTTCCCTCAATAAGTGATGGTTCACTAGCATTAACTGTACCATTTGAATTTGAAGCCTGGCCAGTGAATGTCCTGGCATCGGGGTTCTGTGTTGGAACTGCTATCTGTTGTTGGGCGGCGCCAGTAATGGATCCTTGAGAGCGTTGAAGTATCTGCACAATACTATCAAGCTTTTGTTCCAATGCAGCTGTCTTTGCGGATACAGATGCTGCCGGTCTCTTGGAAACCCGCTTCTTGCGAACTGTTGATGCGGGTTGGCAATCCTTTTTGAGGCGTTGACACCTGAGACTTTGTTAGGGATGACTAAACTTCGATAAGCAGGCACCGATAATAAGAAACAGCAGTATTTTCCAAATGGATATATCAAGTAATCATTTTGTTGATACACGATGAGAGTATTGCATTCGCTACCCCCACTTCCATGGCACATTGGTGCGCACGCATACAAATCAAACTATCGCTATGAAATTTCTGTTCAGAATGGCAGCACGTACCTTTCACACTTGGGTCCGTTCGGTATGCTAACGCATCTCGTCTTGCTTTTCACACAATATAAACAAGCTTTTCCATACGAGGCATATACCTGGGCCTGTTCGGCTGGTCGATCCACAGAGTGCGTCTCCATCTGGCTTTCGTTCGTTGATACACCTGTCAACTACAAGCTGATAATACTTTGAATCGGACTTCGGAATGATATCACAACAGCGAAATTCCGGCGCATTAACAATACATAAGGATGGAAGTAGTCGTACGGCAAAATTAATCGATCATATTTCAGGGACACGTACATTCGATGACCCAATTGGCAACTTCAGCCTGGTATTGGACGTTGGCAAGAGTATAAACGGTAATCGGAAACTCCGATCGTGGAACTCCGACCGACCACCACCTGAGCCAAAACTAATCCGAAACTAGTATGGCGCTGGATACAATTACCGGGTCGGATATTTATAAATCTGATATCGACACCTCGACAACATTCCGCCCCCTAATCTAATGATACAGAATAACCCTGATTAATTCACCATGGACAGAGGTTATTGAAGCGAGCATTTAATTTTGTTCAGGTTCTGAACAAAACTAAATACTTAGTCCGCCAGATGCATTCGTAGCTCCGTGACCAACATCGTGGTCTCTTGGTCGTGGCAGGGCCAGCAGCGATGCTTCCCTTCGACCCATCAACCACCAAGAAGGATGATTTAGAGGCTATTGGTTTTGGGCTATCATCCTTAGTCGTCCATGTTAAGGACACCAATTCTGTCGTCAAAACATTTCCTCCTCTTGACAAGGACCAAGATGGTGAGAGGAGGATATATGAGCATTTACAGCGTCAGAACTGCCACCACCCCAACATACTCAAATACTTTGGAAGGTGTGCCGCTGAATATGAGCTATTGCGGGGTGGGTTAGCATTTGATTCCCACCCTCGTGGGACTCTTCTGGCCTCATTTGATAAACTAGATGCAATTGGGTTTCTGAGAGCGATCGACGACGGTTTGTGGTCCTTGGATCTTCTCTGGAAATCGGCATGCTGCAATCCGGTCCAGCTCTAACATGTCTCTATTAGCTGGCCGTACCAGATTGTATCGGCAATGGACTTCATTCATTCACGCGGTGTTATACGCGGTGATATAGGGCTTCATAACTTGCTCACCCATGACGATGGGGGGATTGTCCTTTGTGATTTTGCTGGGTCTGGCATGGAAGGCTTACCGCCAACCATTGGCGCTGGTGTGCGATATTCGGATCCGCAGCGTAACGACAACATGTATTCGACGAAAGAAGATGATATTTTTGCTCTTGGAACTGTGTTGTACGAGCTCAGTGCTCGGAAACGGCTCTTCGATGGCCAAAGTAGTTAGTACATATATCGACATTTGCGCGACCGGCAATTCCCCGATTTATCTACGGTTCCGTTGCCGCTGAGAGATATAATTAATAAATGCTGGAGCCTTCCGGGCTATCAAGCAAGTGACGCTCTGGTGGAAATAGACGGATATAATTCATCTCATTAAAGAGAACAGCAAAAATTAAAAATATTAGGTGCCAAGAATTACTGTGATTCTACAGGTGTTGGTCGTGAATTGGACTCCTTGGCAAACTCCATCTTTCGTAGTATCTCTATCAATTTATTTGGTTTTTTTCTTGCATGGCCTATAAATGATAATCCCCACAACTTATCACCTTCAAACGTGTGAGCCGGTAATTAATTTCCACGTTGCATGACACGGAATTTTAGATGAGAAATGACTTGGGGTTGAAAAAGGCGTCAACTATTAATTTACTGGCATTGAAACGCCTGTTTGGTCTGTATATTGTAACACTGGGTATATAAAGTTAGAAGCTAGTCTTATCTTTTATCAATCTCTAATGTGAGACCTCGCGAACGCCAAGTTTCTGATCCGTATTGTCATTCTTCAAGGGTCTGAGTCTTCCTCAAGGTGACGGTACATTTCTTCCTTTTTATCGAACCCCCTTGAGCGCGATGCTTTCCAATCATCCATGGTTGGATAATTCAGACCATCCTTCACGCCCCTAACCCGGCCATCCGGTTTATCCCGTGGTGGTGGCTTTCTTTCCCATTCATCTCTGTAAATTCCAGTGTCTACGATTGGCTCTTCAGGATCGACCCGTTGACGATTGTCATCATCACCAAGGATAGGAAGGGGACATGAGGCTGGAGGGGTCTCCTCAGAGAGGAGGAAGTCAAGAAGCTGCTGCTTCTGGGAATCTAGGAGCCCATAGATACGATATGTGACTCGCTTCCGGTTCGAATGAAAGTAAATAGCGTCAGGCTATCTGGTTAGTTGTGGAAATGCTAGGGGTGGGTGGGTGTATCATACATCAATGCTGGGAAGATGCTCTAGCCCAATGGAGGGAACTGATTCTGGTTTACGCCTGTCGAAAAGTGCAACCCCGCCCAAGATACGTGCCTCAGCCCAGTATCCCACTCCATCCGCAACTCCCTCTGGGTATTGATCGTAGTCGCGGTAAAACCTATGCCGGAAGAGCGTCGGTGGGGGGTCGTTTGGGTTCCGCCGCCAGAACATGGTATTCTCCTTCGGTGGTGTCCAAGAAGCAATGCCATCATCTTTATGCAACCCGGTATCTAGTTTGAATATTTGAACTGCTATCTGGTGTATAGCCACGGCAATGAGCTCAATCAGTCGTGTCTGAAATGCTCTCGAGCCTGGAGACGCAGCTTGATATGCATGAATAAGCTATAGTATCTCTAGCTAGTATTGTCGATTGGGCTCAAAACAGCAAATATGTTCTTACCTTGCAATCCATACACAATGTGTGAGGATTAAAATCGGCGTAAAGCTCCCTGGTTTTCTCCAAGGCCGTAGGACAGAGATCTATGTGATTCGTATGAAGTGGGTGGTCATACGTGAGTGCCCGAAAGGCATAAGTATCCTTCTCAACACTGGACAGTGGAAGGCCGTCAGCTATTTGTGCATACGTGATTTGTGCAATTTCGGTCGATAATACGTTCCCCACTGCGCGAGTAAAGATGTCTCGATGCTGGCCTGTCAATATCTCGATGGGCACGTTCTGGGACTGTTCGTCAGTGCTATATTCACTAAGTTTTGGTGTGTCTTGCGGCCCCATGATCGCGTGTCTTGCAATATCTAAGAGCAATAATGATAGTATACACTTATATGCCCCAGTCGTATAAAGGAATGTTCATATTGAGATGGAAATCGGTTAACCTTGGTAGATAGGGAGGCGGAGCTCCGTGTGATTCTGCGGCTTCAGACCGCCTAGCGGGTAATGCGGGCCGCACTTAGCAGACCCGGCGCTTAAAGGACGATGTTAAAAATAAAATTGTTTCGAAATGTCCGCGCGCCTACTGGAACTGCCTACCATAGGCGACTTTATAATACAAAGTCAGGGTTGTATGCGCCTGCCTGTCTAATTACCACATATTCAGCCAATTATAGGGGGCATGGTAGTCGCTGGCGGTTGTGAAAGAAACATGTCGCAGCTAGGCCGCTTACGCGCCGGGGAACCACATCACCAAGGGTTTTGCGTGCTTTTTGAGGTCCACTTTGTAACCAGTCTTCAGTGTTTCTCATCCTGACAGCGGCCTTGTATTTGGCTAGTATTTGTAATTATTTTTTAAAGTGTGCTCCCATTTGCTAACTAAAGCGGCTAATGTTAACATTATGTCTTACTCCCCTGCCCAGCTCTGTTTCATGTTCCCATACTTAACTCCCACAACCTATGAAGCATCTATGAGCATGGAGAAGATTACTTAGCCACCCTATCGTGGGCATTGCTATCTTAAAATGGTCATACGTAGCTAAAATAGGCACTTGCATTTCCTGACTGATATTTCCCACTACGGTGATTCTATAAATAATGACAATTTATAAACTTAAGAACTTAAAGAAGACGATAGTTTCCCTTTGGTATTCACCTTGTCCTGGCTGCAGCCATCTCATATTTTACTACATATACCTTCTACAAATCTGCTGCCTACAATCCCGTTGAACTCACCAAAGCATCTTCTACAATGACAGAAACCCGACTCCAAAATCTCTGCGTTTATGTTCAGCAGGTCGGTATTGGGAGCTTGAATTCGTTGGGGGTATCATGGAATTCTATGCGCGGCCGGAAGATCGTAACCCTGACCAGTGTGGAACTCCCTACATATTTACGAACTACCTCGGCAACTCGCCTGGGACGCTTGTTTCAATGGCATATATTGTGAGGGTTTTCGATGGGAGTAAGTTTGGATCCGTTTGTTTATACTTTGTGTATTAGGTTTCTAACATTCTTGTTTAGGTGCAAACCTTCCTGTTGCGCCATCTACAAATGCTACCCCAAGAACCCGACGGGAAATACGACGACAATTAAGGGAAATGAGTGAAATTCGACGCCATAGAGTTCCTTCTACTCTTCCTGCACTCAGGGCAGGCGAATCGTCTGGGAGCTCAAGAAACCGCGCCGTTCCGGACTATCAGGACCAAGGCAATTATGGCTTAGTTCAAGCCCCAGACCCGAGGGCAGGGCCGAGTGCTAATAATCGTGGTGGCGGAGGCGGATATTACAGATACTAGGCTCCGGTCCAATTGAATTGTTGAGTCAGGGCTCGTAGCTGGTCTATGTGGCATGGATTTCTGTAATTATAGTTATCGCCTAGGAGTTGGAGTTGGGTCTTTTACTATTGAGCTCATAGCATCTAGTATCTCGTACTGAATAGATAGTTTACTGAAGCACTACAACTGACACCAAGAGCGTGCTTTGAAATAAGGTATCTTGCAATATCATATAATAATCTACTAGCCAGTCTTCCCCTTCACAAATGCTGCGGCGGCGCCAGCATCCATAGAGTACTATACCAGTTAGTTCTGACATTGAATATAACAGACGGAGAGATGCTTACAGTCAGATGCGCTGGCAGGATAATGATACCTCCATCACAGATATTGTCACCGGCGTGGCAGATTACATCCACCTTTGCAGCTGGTATGGACCCAACAGCGTCACCATCGTCTGGGTCACCAAAGATCACAGCTAAAACGCCATATGTTAGCAGTGAACGAGAAAATGAGTTCTAGCAATGCAAGACGTACCAGCGGCGACTTTAGCGGAGTTGTCAGCACTTAGCTGATTTGCTGCATTATGCACAAGCTGTCCACCTTGTCTATTCTGTGTTAGTTATCATATCAAATGCTAATGTTAATAATCGGCTTCGGAGACGTACGAGTAGCCGCTCATCACAACCTTCGTATCTGGGCACTGAGTAAAAGCCTGGCCAACCAGCTCCGCCATCTTCTTGCTGCCTGTAGCATCACCTCCAGCCAAAAACCCAGCAATATCAGCTGGATAATCGACACCCTGGACGGCAAGATTCTCTGTTCCGATGGCCGTGGCAAGAGCAGAAAAGAATGGTGGCCCAACGAGGGCCCCGACGTTGCCAGATTCCGTGGTACCTCGGGCAAAAATCACGGTCACAGCTTTGCAAGCACTGCCATCTGTGAGATCGTTCCGTGTGTCTGAGGACTGGCGGATGTTTAAGCCACCTTCAGGGATGGCGATGACGGTGGGGGCGGCGAGTGAGAGGGGGACGCTAAGGAGTGTGAAGAGGAATGTAGAGGTCCTCATTTTGGAGGTTTGTGACGGGGGCTTTTCTGGAAGTTGTGAAAAGGTGTATGATGTGCGATTGGGATAGTCGGAAGGAGGAAATAACATGGGAGATGCCACATGCTTATATAGAGAAAGATGGGCCCCCCTATCACAATACTCACCATCATCCACTAATCACCACATGACTTGTTAACCTGAGAACTAGCATCTGGCGATCTCCCTCCTTCCTCTTTGAAACTGTAGCTTCCTCCATTTGTTGATGCCTGCGTATGTACCTGTCGAAATCACAACAAACTAGATATTTTAGCCATATGGTAAGCCTCTTGATGCGTCCATACTATGGCAATTATACAAATGTCAAAACGGCTCGGAGACAACACCCCCCCTGTTCCAAGTGTCCCAAACAAGAAACCCTTGCGACGTCTCTTCGATTCCACAGCCACGTGCACAGCCCAATTGGCCTACCCTGTGGGTCAATAAAATAAGACTTTGTGAACAGCATGGTTCCCCACGGGGTAATCGAAAATCAACCCGAAGTAAGGCCAGAGAGATAATAGTGGCTCATTCGAATTGTCGGGTTTAATCGCACATATGGAACTAGAGCTGCCTATTCCATTGCAAAAGTGAGGGGTTGTGGGATTATAGTGCATTAATTGGAGCTGGGGCTGTCGATCTGCCTCGGCTCTTGACTTTTAAGTTGTGAGATCGCGTGCATCACGTTCGCGATCTTGGGATCGGCAGTCAAGTGCCATTTGTTTACCCACCTATCCTGGACGCCGCTGCCGCCGTAGATATTTCGACGTTGAACGCATTGCGGGGCCGTTTCACTTGGCAGACTGTTCCTATCCTTGTGTTTCGCGCTATTCCTTGGTTCTTTGGGAACCGGAACTGGTGGTACCTGAATGAAATAAACTTCGACTTACTTTCTAGTTAGTATTTGCTCAAAAATTCTCGCGGTGGGCTTGTTCCCGTCTTGTCTCCTCAGTGCCACCCACCCCTCAAGTAAGTTGCCCTACCGGAATAGTAGTTCATAGTGTTAGATTTGCGTGGATATTGTTTCTGTGGGGTATTTTTGACGTGTGATCTGTTACAGGGTTATCTAGTGCAGAGTTACATACATCGTACTCCGCCATGGTGAGTTGATATGACGACGCATTTGCATGTGAAGAGGAGACAGCTGTAGCATTCTCAAACTCGACAACCCCCGTGAAATTAATTAGTGCTTAACTTGTCATGATTCTCGTAGTTACTATAACGGAGGACTTTAAGAACAGTTCATAGCTACTCTTCGTTCACGAAACCACTATGCTCATAGTTTATCCTCAGTCGCGAAATATGTTACGGTGGCTAAAAAGCATTATTGTTGTTTTTGTGTCCTTCCTTACGGTAGGGAGGAGTTATGTTGCCACCGGGAGCTTTGTATCAGAGTTGAACCATCATTCCATCGCACTCCTCATAAGTGATTTGGGTTGAGAGGCTCTCAGCAGTATGGGTAGGCGAGAGGTCCGTCATCGCCCTCTTTGTTTCAATTTACGCCGGTTAAGATGGTTTGAAACTTGGAACACTTCTTTTTTTATTAATTATCTCTCGCTTTATATAATGCCAGAAAAGCTGCACAACCAAGCTATACTTCGAGATCTATAGATACTGAATACATAGCCTGTTACGTCACCACACCTACTTTCATGATGCTCATCCCTCTAACTTCTTGCATTTTCGCTTGACCCTCCAACTTCTCGCATAGGTGATCGACCTCAGTTCGAGCAATGTAATAGAGTATTAAAGTCGAATTAACGGTAGCAAACCAAAACGTTATTAGAGTCTCTAGTTCTTGAAGACGCCGCCATGCTCTTCACGCTCTTCACGCTCTTCACGCAACAGGTAGACTTTAAAGCACCCTTAGCATCAAAGCCCAGGAATCGGGGAGGCATTTAGCCTAGGGTGGTATACGTGAGTCAGGCAAACAATAGCCTCATCCTCCAAAGCTCGCAAACACTTAAACCCTTGCTAAATTCTCGAAATCGGGAGATAATAATACGGATGGTTCGACGGACTGACTAGCACTGACAGATATATATAAATTGAGAACAACATTTACAAAATAGCTAGCAACAGCAAGGCCATCCAAGTGGTACTACTACTATTATCACATCCTCTGATCTACAAAGCGAATGCTCATGTCGTCAAAAATCGACCATGCCAGGTGATCTTCGACGTTAGGAGGCACAAAATCGGAGCTCATCACTGGTTGTATGGACGTGTTCTGCAAGCTAGCTTCGAGCTGCGCAGCCAGCTGATGGCGGAAGTTTACTGGCAGTTGTTGGGTTGCCCGGAGGGTGTGTAAGAGGTCTTGTACAAGGGGAATATCTACCGAAGTGTTAAGTACAGTCAGGACAGGACAGTATGGGCCGCTTACCATCCGCTTCGCCAACTCCTCCGGATATAGCTTGGAGTACTATCAAGGCCGCCCATGTAATCATCTGTTTCGTCAGCGAAGCTCTACCCAAAAATATATACATGGGACTTACCACTAGATCCCAATTGGTCCATATGCTTTTGTCATCGAACTGCATCTTCAGTGCGGCACGTGTTGAAACCAGCAATTCGTGCCGCTCGGACGAAGTAGTAGATGTCGCGAAGAGATTGAATCCCCGAGCGGGGTGATAGATGGATAACACCAGCAATCTGTGGAGGATATATTGGCGGAATACAACTCTACGATCGCTCTCGGACGTGAAGTGCCCTATGGATTTGTCAGAATAGTACGTATGTATTTTAAAATCGCGCACTTACGGCCTGGTTTGTTGAATCTCGCAAGCCATCTGTCAAGCTGAACAGCCCAGTCCCGAATTATAGCCGCATCCACAGCAGTAAGAGAAGCTGTTAACATTGGCCTTTCCTGGGGTGACGAGAAACATGACCATATAGTGGGAAGTCCTCGACCAGTAAAATGCGTCAAACCCGTGTGCAACATCTGAGTGAGAGAGTAGATGTCATCTTCGGATGAAATATGCAGACGAGCTAGGGGCGCTTGAAGTGGAATTATGGGACATGACATATGGAGAGATGCGTGCTCAAGGTCGATGATCTAGTGCTGTCAGTATGTGACCGTTGACGACTACAATAAAGCTAGAACATACCTGGAGTCCAGCAAAAAGTCTCTGCCACTCTCGGGACCTCTCATCGACTTCTTTCGGGCACGACTCCAATATGAGACGGTAGCCAACAGAAATCCATATCCCCGTCGTCTTTATTGAAGCTTCGCAGGCGAGTCCAGCGAGTACTATACCAAGGACATCATGGAATGCATTCTCTTCAGACTTAAATGACGGCTTATCTGCGACCAGTTCAGTCGTTGGAGAGGGAATGCTCAACTCGGCAATGGCCCGACACATGACTAGGAAGTAATCCGGCGCCAGGCCGGCGAGGTCTCGAGTGCCATGGTTCAGAGCCGAGATGTACAACATCGCAGATAGCAGTAGGGGTGTTGGGGAGGAGAAGTTTTGCTTATTGGGAAGGAAGTGGAGGCTCGGAATATTTATATGAAAGCTACGCGGTTAGATGCGCATCATACCATTGGTGGAACAGAAGGAAGCTCACAATTGCCATAACTGCTGAATATTTGCTGGGAGCCATATCTTTTCGTTGACTGGATGATGCGTCTTCTGTCTGAGCTGCGTAGCAGCATTCCACACCTCGCTGAGCGCTGGATCTCTCGTGTCTATCTGTGGCATATTTTGCTCCTGCTCAACGATCGAACCAGTTGCAGAGTCCAGATCGAGGCGTGACTCGATAATATCAAGGCGGTTCAATACCGAATGTAGCGTCTGACTTGTCCATCTAACAGCATTGGGCGAGCCTTCTGAGGGCAAAACTTCTCGTGTCGATGAAGCCTTTGTCACAATCAGTCTTGGGATGCCGTGCGTACACAGACGGAATGGTCATACGTTTGCTCTTGGTCTAAAGACGCATGGAACGCCAGTCCGCAAGCACCTCCGACAGGAAGGCCCTTGGTCAACCTTGCACTTCAGCTGTGGGATAGTTCAGTGACTGTTTCAATATGACATATGACGATATGATACAGCACAACAAGAGACCAACGATGAAGTGTAGGTCACGTGAACTGATTGGAATATAAAGTCACCTTCAATCCCCGGCATTTCACTGCACCCCGCATTAGTAAAGCGTACAGGGTCAATAAGATTATATTGCTCCGAGCCGATCATCAATAGGCAATCGGCCCCGGGGATTCTATGAGCTTACCACAGGCTTTGGTCATCTTAAAGGCCGGCATTTGCGCCGCTCCATCGTCCGAACTCATATTGGCGAAAGGGATAGGTATCCTCGCATTACCGGCCGCCTAGCTCCAACACGAAGGCGGAATCCGCAACAATACCGAAAGTTCTGGGTAAATTGAAGCTTATGTGGAGGTATGTGGAACGCGGAGAAGAATGTGGATGTTTATGGGGGATATGGTCGGGGAACGTGCTTATAATGTGTCGGCGAAGTCGGCGTTATAGTTCCGGCTTTGCCGAGTGATACCAGACGGATCGACAAGCCGCCTTGAAACCCTTACTCTCAACGCCTTCGGCGTCAAAATATACAATGTGATAGCCAGCTGTCCAGCAATTGCCCCGCTTTCTGTAACCTCATCAAAGCTACCTACCTTGTGGTGCCATGGATTCTCGATTTCGTGATGTAGGGCTCGTCCCTTCATCTCATATAATAACCCCGCGTTGGATATTCTGCTCTTGGAGTGCCCATGATATCAACAGCTCAGCGTCATGTCAATCCATGACCATGCGGATCGCGTCGCGGCGGAGTTCGAGTACGACGGAGAGCATGTCAGGGAGGCAGTGAAGCATTTCATACGTCAGATGCGTCAGTATTTTTGTTGAACTACGCGTTTTCTGGTGACCAAACCCACAGAGAGCACGTGGTATCGAACTCTTGGCTAACAATGTATCCAGATGAGGGCCTTCGTGCCGATGGGGGCGCCATGGCGCAGATCCCTACTTATGTTACCACGGTACCTGATGGCACCGAAAAGGTATGCCAACCTGTCCGTATCACAAGGTGGTTGCTAATGATAGCAACAGGGACTATATCTTGCTCTTGATCTTGGAGGAACCAACGTCCGCGTCTGTTCTGTTGACCTACATGGCGATACCAAGCTCACTACTGTGCAATCCAAGACGGCCATACCGCCCGAGCTGATGCACGCTGCGACATTCCGAGAGCTCCTCCACTTCCTCGCCCAGCAAATCGAGCTCTTCCTGCAAACCTACCACGATGATCTCCTCCAAGCCCATCGTGCACGCACTACAGAGACATCCCGGGACGCCTTACTTAAGCTCGGCTTTACTTTCAGTTTTGCCTTTAAGCAGCTCGCGCTCAACAGAGGCACCCTCCTCTACTGGACCAAAGGCTTCAACATCCCAGACGCAATTGGCCAGGAGCTTTGCGGCCTTCTCCAGGACGAGCTTGACGCACTGAATGTCCCTGTCCTCGTCGCCGCGCTTGTTAATGACACCGTCGGCACTCTGGTAGCCCGCTCGTATCAATCGCCTGGGGCGACGACTACCCTGCTGGGCGCTATTTTTGGCACGGGCACGAATGGCGCATATGTTGAGAAGCTCGATAATATCACTAAAATGCTCCCCGCTCAAGTCGATGGTAGCGCTGCACCTATTCCGTCAGGGGATATGATTTTAAACACAGAATGGGGCTCCTTCGACCCTGAGCTCTCTATTCTCCCCAACACCCCTTATGATATAGCTGTCGATCGTGAGTCTGTTCATCCTGGGATCCAGATGTTTGAAAAGCGCGTATCTGGACTCTTTCTAGGTGAAACGTTGCGCCACGCCCTACTAGCCATTGCGCCATACAGCGAGACAATGGTCATCCCGCTCAATTCGCCGATCCATGACCAGTACAGTATCAGCACCACCTTCATCTCCTCGGCAGCCAGCGACGAATCCCCGACACTGGAGATTGTCAGAAGCGAGCTGAAGAGGATGCTCAACCTAGACGCTACTCCACAAGATGCGGAGGCGGTGAAAAAGCTTGTGCTTGCTATCAACAAACGTGCAGCTAGACTGGCAGGCGTTGCTATCGCAGCTATTGTGGTCAACTCTGGGCGTCTGACGGATGTATCCACACCGCCCGCTTCGCCACTGAGTGTTGTAGATGGGAAAGTGCCACTTCCAATCAGCCTCAAAGCTGTGGAGACCGAGAGTGATGAGGCCATTTCAGACGTCCACTCGAAGTCAAAACTACACATATCGCCGTACCGCCGCCTTCAATCTCTCCTTCGGCGTATCTTCTGCGCTGCTAACCCAAATTTGACAACCCCGGAATCCGACCTTCCCCCATCGAAACCGCAAACTCCGCCAATACGCCCTGTAGTCCAAAATGAGGGAATCATAGATATCGGCGTTGATGGCTCTATCATCGAATTTTGCCCCGGCTTCATCTCCTCCATTCGCAGCGCCCTCCGCGACGTAGATGAGATCGGGGTTGAGGGGGATAGAAGGATACGAATTGGGATTGCGAAGGATGGGAGCGGGATTGGAGCTGCGCTTATTGCGAGGATGGCCGAACTTGAGATGGGGCGTGGGGTGAAAGGATGAAATCCCGATTAGTTTTGGTATGTGGATTGTAGTGATGGCAAGGAGAACGAGCTATGGTTGGGTTAGAGATTGGCAAGTTAGCATATGAATAGACTGCCTAACGCTATCATTTTATAAAGCGCTTTTATGTAGGCAACTCTGTGACTGGCTGTGATTAAAACTGCACAGTTCCCCGGTATGGTCTCTTGAAGACGAGAAAATTGTGTGGTACGTCTGTGGTCCTCTGATTATTATTAGAAGTGAGTGGCTACATGTGTCAAATGAGAGACGACCGCATAGTATCTAGTTGTAGTTCTGTTTCAGCATATTTTAAAGAGTTACGTATATCTCTACAGTCTATTGATTTAACGAGTATTCATATTTAATTTAATATAAAATAAAATAAAACAATTACTTTTTGCCCACTGTAAAATTATAATCGGTGCTTATATTTATTACCTGCATAATTAACTAGAAAAACGCCAAATAAAATGACAACGAGCTTCGTATAAAACCACTTTTAATATAAGATTAAGTCTAAATAGAAATATAGGAAACAAGAGACAATTTTAATACATCCATACCATCCTAAACGCCAAACCGAACGAGATGCTCTAGCGTAGCTATCTGCCAACTGCTGATATCTATACTTCCTTCAGTCCCCACACATCTTAATCAAACACAAAGCCCCATAACATCTATTTAGAGATTTGAATCCTACGCATATTGTCCCAGCCATCTAGGAGCTCAACGACACCTAGATGATGATTCCATAAGGCTTCCGCTATCGCAGTATTGCCCTCATTATTTATATGGTTGCTATCGACGCGCCCTGTCTGGAGTAGTGCCCTCACCACAGATTTATGACCCCCGCTAGCTGCAAAAAGAAGCGGAGTTGAGCCGGAGTTATCTTTTGAGTCGGGGTCTACGCCCTCTGTAGCAAGGAGGAGCTTGACAACACCCTCATTCCCATTTATACATGCGGTAGTAAGGGCAGTCTGGCCCTTATTGTTCCGAGAACTAGGATTGACCCCCTTAGTAGCTAGAAGGAGCTCCACCATGTCCGAATTGCCTTTCCAAGCTGCCCATGCGAGAGGCGTATTGCCATCGTTATCCCTCATATCGATGTCAACCCTCCCTGTTCCTATGAGGAGGTCTACAACTTCCTTGTGACCGTTGCCGATGGCGAACCAAAACGGCGACTGTCCATCAACGTCCCTAGAGTCGGCATCAACCCCCTCAATGCTAAGAAAGAGTTCCACAACACCCACGTGGCCAGCCTCAGCGGCAAGGGAGAGCGCCGATCGACCATAATTATCGATGGGGTCGGGGTTGATTCCGCTGACCGAAAGCAGTAACGTCACTACGCCCGTATGTCCCATAAATGAGGATAGCGACAAGGGAGTTTGACAGTAGTCGTCTCTCTCATTCGGATCTGCTATGTCTGCTGCGAGGAGCAGCTCTAGTACCGGCTTGTGACCTGCTTTCGCCGCTACTGCCAGTGGCCCTCGATCGTCATCTCCTCGGGGGATGTGAACGCCATCACTAGCCGCGATAGCTTTCTTTATGGTCCGAACATTGCCGTTTTCCGAGGCCCATATTAGTGCAACTGGTTTCTTGCCATGGGCGTCCTGCCGATAATGAATTGGCTCAAAGAATTCTCTACATTTTTGACTGGCGGACAGCAAAGCAACTCTGTCTCTAGCTAAGACGTATGTAGAAATGATATAGAGGATTTCTTCAGGGAGGTTGAGGAGCTTCATTGTCGTTTGGTAATTAAGAGGACATGCGGCTCTACCTTCCTCGAAACGGGAGTCACCATACGAAACTAAGCGAATTCTCAACAATGTCATCGGGCTGATAATTCGCCCGTCCTACGCCGATAGTAAAGGTTCTCTATAAGCCAAATTCCAAATGTAGCGGATGAAATACTCCAAATGATTTAAGCACAAAACAAAGTAGATTAAGCTGTCTAGCCGTAGTACGCGCCCTAAAGAGTCCGGACTCACTCCCTCTTCTCGTCCCGACCCATCACCTCTGCTACGTGGTTCTCCTCCCTCGCCTTCAAAATCTTCGCCGTATATTCCTTCCCAGCGACGAACCACCACGCCGTCTCCAGCACGAGGAAGCCTCCAACACAGGCACATGTGTAGTTCATATTTTGCGCTACTCCGTATTAGCATTGTAATCTATCATTTGAACCAGGACAAAGCTGGGAAGGGGGTTTGCATACCAGAAACAGGCTTCACGTAGGGAAACGAGAAAAACACAATCGCAAATATGAGCCACGCGCAGGTTATGATATTGACCGTCATCCCAACGGCATAGCTCATATGGAAGCTGCCACGGTGAATTGTAGTTCGCCGCATCAGCACGTTGGTGAGGATTGGTATTAGGTAAGCAAGGTTGTTGATGGTGACGGCCGATCCCAGGAGGGCATTGAAAGCTGTGGATGAGCCGAGATACAAACATCCAAGAATCGCGATTATGGCCGTGACGGCAAGCTGGGCGTTAAAGGGAATGCGGAGAGTGGGGTGAACTTTAGACCAGCTGGAGAAGTTTGTTAGTGGATGGGGGTGTAAGACAGGGGTTAGGGAGTCTTACGTGGAAGAGAAGGGGAGTGCGCCGTCGCGGGAGAAGGCCCAGAAGATGCGCCCAGTGCCTATTAGGAAATATTGTCAGCCTGGGATGTGGAAGTTGGGACGCCAGACGCATACTTAGTTGAGAACCGACCATACACGGCCCAATGGCGATCCACAGCATGAATGTCAGAGCAAAAGCACCGCCGACTGACTGGGTTGCCTGAAGGAACAGTTCCGCGAGCGGAAGGCCGGTGGAAGTCGTAGCTAGCGCCGCGTAATCCTGGACGGAAAACATGAGGGTGATGAGATATGTTAAGCCAGTCACGAAGGCGATGGCGAGGGTGATGACTGTAAGTGTCTACTGTTAGGAAACATCTAATATTATACAATAGGAATGCACGTACCAATGGCAAGTGGTGCGTTTCGTGAAGGCTACACAAAAGTCAGCTCTGAGTCCAAAAAACACGCAATTGAACAGGGTGGCTCATACATTTGGCATCTCCTCCGTGATATGAGTAATGCCGTCCAGCCCTCCAAGACTGTACAATGGGTTCACCAACCCCGTAATGAAGCAGATTACATTCGACTCCCATCCGGTCTTGTTTATCCACGTCTTGAAGACAAACTCGGTATCCCGGTGAGATGGCGCTGTGGCAGCCACTGTGATCATAATCACGAACCAAGCGAGTTGGAGGTAGAAAACTAAACACCGCATTAACACCTCAATAGAACCAGTTTAACCACAGCAAGACTCACGAGAAAATCGGTTGAGCCCGGGGATGGCCTTATTGCCAAACATAACGATCGATGCCGTCGCCAAGTTCAAGACCTGATACACGACGAATGTCATCCAGGCCTTGATCACGAGATCTCTATGGTACAATGCAATCAATGCCATGAAATTCTGAGAATAAATCAGATTTGTCGATGCGGCAGTAAAGATCCCTGATTTGAGTCAACCCGCCATTCACCCCTGAAAATCAATGATCAAACTCACATCCGAAGACAGTGCACCAGCCCGTGACGAAGCTGAGGTAACCTGTCATCCTCTTTGGGGCGATGGCGGCGATCCAATGATACATGGCACCCTCGGTTGGGTAGGAGGAGACGAATTCGGCGAGCGACGCGCCCAAGAAGGACTGAAGGATCCAGACGAGGATGAAGCCATAGATAACTATCTGGAGTAAGCCCGGGCCACAATAAATAGACCTTCCTTTACGACTCACCGGCTCCTGGCCCCCCAGCGGAAATCTCAGTCACCAGCCCGAGTCCAAGACCTAGATACAGGGTTAGCCTGGTTGCGTGGTACATAGGCACGTGAGGGTATTTGCACACCTGTCCATGAGATGGTCGTAGTCGAGGCGAGGCCAATGAGACTGAAAATTCCAAAGTGACGCTCCAATTCTTGTTTGTGGCCTTTGCGGATTGGAGTTAGCTACTCGTGCTCTATTATTTGATTGAGAACATTAATAATTACCCATCTGTGCCAGTCTCAGCTCGTCGGCGTCGACTGGCTTCTCACTACCACTCATGGTCTCGTCTGCCGCCACAACGGACGCGATAACTTGTTTTTCCTCACTCATGCTTGCTATGCTGTTAGTTGGCAATGAATCCAAGAATTGTGGCTCTGCCAATAGATGTTATAACAAGGCCAAGCGACAAGACGGAGGGATCAGCGACTATTTTGATATCAAGCTTTCCCCGCACTGGGTAGTTTCCCAAGATAAGACTCGGTATGCGGTAATGAAACGTAGTAGCGCTTTTCGCGTTTGTGACTCGTGGCGCAAGGGGGAAAGGAGCACGCGCGCAACATACTGCCGGTTCTCCACCCGAACCGAAAGAATATAGAGATAGGGAGGGATAAAGGAGAGCAGTACTTGAGCACCGTACAATATAGTACTACGAAGTTTGTATCATATAGATCCTATAGGAAGGAGATACCGGGTGAGACCGCGGCATACCGCGGCATCTGGAGTCCAGTGAGGAGTCGCACAGGGAAGGCGTGGGGAGGAGCTGCACAAGCTTTGGGGCCGGTTGTCGGCGTTGACCTCGGCATTGATAGCGGTGAACTTAAGGGGAAATACCAAAGGGGATGTTTACCGATGATCATTTGCATATCATATCCGTATTAGGAAACTGCGAACCTCAATGTCTCGGTGATATCTCCGAGCCGTATCGGCAAAGTCGGTGAAACGGAGGCCGGAGAATCAAAGGTCCGTGCTGACAAGGTTTAAGTTTGGAGCTCAAGGGACGCTACCCGACGCTAACGGATGGTTACAGTAAGATCGGCCACGGGCTAAAATTATCTCCACTATGCATGAACATCACGGAAAATCAACAATAGCAATAGTAATGTCACTGACATCAACAGATCACCAGATCACCAGCTACGGACGGAATATCATTGTCAACAGCGACGCTATTGTATTGGCAAAGCTGTAAGAAGCTGTTGTATTTTCCCGTCCGAAGTGCGGCGTCATTGTTTCAACTGTGATTATGCTCAATGCTACTCTGATGGTATGGTAGTGGCATGCTGTAGCACTATACACAGTACAGTAGTTCGGCATGGGGCCCCCAGCTAGGCCTGTCAGGCAAGACACTCAACGGTCACCCCTCTCTAGAACGGGATGATCATCGTCATAGGTGCCCAGAACGCGAATATAAAGTTGAACGTGTAACCCTGATGGCACAGAGAGGATATCCCCAGTGAGGTATGTGCATTGTGAAAGCACTGAGCCTAACACAAGGAACCAATTCCTCGACAACGGCTCCCCATTGAATCGAGGCATTATGCGTGTGCTCTCGCTGTCTCTTGGCGTAGTCGCTGCCATTGTTCAGGTAGTCACTGCTTCACCAGCTCGCCTTGATGATGCGCCACTTGTGACGACTGCCGGTGATGCTGCTGCCATTAAGGGCTGGTATATGCAGTCGACGGCAAAGACTTCTAGTGACATGCTTGCTGTTTCGCAGCCTGGCTTTGATATGAGCTCCTGGTACCGTGTTGGTAGCCGTGGAACTGTCATGGTATGTGTGAACAGCGGCTAGATACTCCCAAGCGTATCAAGAACATTGAATACCGCTGACTCAACACAGGCTGGGCTCCTCGAGAACAATGTTTACAATGACAAATCCCTGTTTTTCTCCGAGAACTTGAAGACTATGGTTGACCGTTCCCAATTCGACGTACCTTGGCTCTACCGCGAAGAGCTCACCTTCGACCCGGCTACCAACCAGCGCTACTTCCTCGAGACACACGGCATATCTTCTAAGGCAGACCTCTACCTTAACGGCAAACAGCTTGCCTCCAAGGAAACTCTCACTGGCGCGTATGGTGGCGAGAAATTCGACATTACCCAGTACCTGGTGAAGGGAAAGAACGCTGTCCTAATACGCGCCTACCCAACCAACTACCTCAAGGATTTTGCCCTAGGTTACGTTGATTGGAACCCATATCCACCGGACAATGGGACGGGTGTCTGGCGTGAAGTTTTTGTGTCACAGACTGGGCCAGTGTCACTATTGAAGCCCCGCGTTGTGACTGACTACAAAGGCAAAGCCGTCAGCAGCGTAACTGCTACTATCAAGGTTGTCGTCAAGAACAGCGAGACCAAATCGGTCCAGGGGACGATTAAAGGCTCGATCGAAGACCCTTGCGGTTCCAAGCTTCCTATCTCGGCTTCCTACACTCTCAAAGCCAACGAAATCAAGACAGTCACACTGACAGCCAAGATCAACAATCCCCAGATCTGGTGGCCGAAAGCATGGGGCGCCCAACCGCTCTATTCGCTCGATCTTGCCGCCTATATCGGATCCGAGGTCTCCGACCGCGCTGCCCAACGCACGTTCGGCGTCCGCTATGTGACCTCCTCCCTCAACTCCCACCAGGACCGCGCCTTTGCCGTGAACGGAAACCCATTTCTCGTCACAGGCGCCGGATACTCCGCTGATGTCTTCCTTCGCTTCGATCCAGCTAAGCTTGTACAGCAGTTTGAGTATATCCTCGATATGGGCCAGAACACTGTGCGTCTCGAGGGAAAGCAGGAGCACCCTGAGCTGTACGATATCGCCGACCGTATGGGTATAATGGTTCTCGCTGGGTGGGAGTGCTGCGATAAGTGGGAGGGTTGGAGTTATAACGACGAGGCAAATGGAGTCAAATGGGTTGATGCTGATTATGTCACTGCGGAAAAGCAGATGGAGCATGAGGCGTATATGATGCAAGGCCACGCCAGCATGCTCGGTTTCCTCGTGGGCAGTGACTTCTGGCCTGATGAGCGTGCATCGCCTATCTATGTCAACAAGCTGAACGAGCTTGATTGGGATGTTCCTATCATTGCGTCTGCATCTCTGAGAGGATTTCCAAAGAATTTGGGTTCGTCTGGTATGAAGATGGGTATGTCCTCACATCTACTTGCCAACTTTTACCTCCTCCCTTGCTAACAAACCCCCACAGACGGCCCATACGACTGGGTTCCCCCGAATTACTGGTACAACAACCAATATGGCGCCGCCTTTGGTTTTGGCTCTGAACTTGGCTCGGGAGTTGGCACCCCCGAGCTCTCCTCCCTCAAAAAGTTCCTCACCGCGTCCGACATGAAAGACCTCTGGACCGCTCCCAACAAGGGTCTCTATCACATGTCCACCATCGACTCCTCCTTCTACAACCGCAAACTCTATAACGACGCCCTCTACGCCCGCTATGGCGCCCCCACCTCTCTCGATGACTACCTCCTCAAGGCCCAGGCTATGGACTACGAAGGCACGCGCTCCCAATTTGAAGGCTACTCCGCGCTCCAGAGTGCCAGCCGCCCCGCCACGGGTATCATCTACTGGATGCTCAATAACGCCTGGCCCAGTCTCCACTGGAACCTGTTTGACTACTACCTCAAGCCTGCTGGGTCGTACTTTGGTGCGAAAGTTGGTGGTAGGGCAGAGCACGTTGCGTTCGGATATGGTAGTGCGAAGGGCGATGTGTGGCTTATTAACCACACGATTGACAAGAAGGGATCTAGGACTATTAAAGTTGACTTGTTGAGCAAAGATGGCAAGACCTTGGTTTCTCGCTCGGTGGATGCGACTACGACACCCAACCAATCGAAGAACGTGGCGACAATCCCAGAAGCAACAACTCTTAAGGACGCTGCCTTCTTGCGCCTTGTACTGAGTGATGCCAAAGGCAAGGTGCTCAGCAGGAACGTGTACTGGATCTCGCCCAAGGTGGATAAATTGGACTGGAAACACTCAGACTGGTACTACACCCCCGTCACGGAGTACGCGAGCTACAAGTCACTTGCGACAATCAAGCCAGCGCAATTGACCGCATCGTCAGGGAAGGGGGTTGTAGTTGATGGGAAGGTGAACGTGGACGTCACGCTAGTGAATAAGGCGGCTGTGGCGGCGTATTTTGTGCGTCTTGAGCTGAGAGATTCGAAGGGCGAGGATATCCTACCAGTGCTGTGGTCGGACAACTATGTTACGCTTTGGCCAGGTGAGAAGGTGGTGCTGAGTGTTAGTTGGGCTGCTGGAGGGAGTGGGCAGGGGAAGGTTGATATTTCGGGGATTAATGTCCAGGGTGTTGAGGCGGTGGTGGTGAAGTGGTAGGACTAGGGCCTGTTGATAGGGAAAAATTCCTTCTCTTAGAGTGGGCACTTTTGGATATGAAAATTATGAACACCCTTTTGACATCCCGCAACATGTGCTTAAATTAAACCAGCATCCCTGTCCATACAATCATGCACCCATCCGCAAAATACTGCGTATCAATATCCGTCCCCTATAATCACATGTCAGCAATTCCATCCTCAGTAGACGCCCCACAGCGGGTGCCAACGAAAACAAGACCCCTCACCTTCGCAAACCTCGCCGCTTGTCCAATCCCCATATTCCTTGCAATCCACATCAAGCACTCCTGTAAGTACTCCCGCATCTCCTCTCCAACAGTCCCCACCCTCGACGCCACAAAGAGAGGATGCATCAGCAGTAGCCCACCCACTGCTCTCCCTGGTTTTAATTCCCGGTCTGCGCCTCCGTCGACAAAGGACCTCAGGTCATCAGTCAAGTGGTACGGTATACTCGCCGCGATATCGTCGATCAGTCGTGCCGCCTCAGTGCGCTCGCGGACGTGGTCTTCTCCGTCATTGAGTGCGTCGGAGAGGGCGAGAATAAGGTCCAGTAGGAGCAGCCTTGCAGCGCGCGAGGTATTCCATACACCTGCTATGTAGTGGTCGAAGTAAGTTTCTACCCTCCCTGGCCACGCGCCAGCTTGTGCAGCTGATCCATGACAAAGCGCGGGAATGTGGCCTAGTAGGTGAGGTTTGAGAATATCAGGTTGCGTAGCTTGCCAGTGCGCGAACTGGTTATAGAGGGACATAGCGTCTGCTTTTAATATGGTGAGGTCTGTGGTAAGGGGGGCTGGAGAAGAAAGGACGTTGTGGGCCTTGTGGTAGAGAGGGCTGAAGTCGTGGAGGAGAGCTGAGAGGGGGTGTGGGGTGGTGGGTTGGGAGATTACCCCAAGGCCTGCCGTTTTGGCTGATGGATGGTTAGAGCTGATGAAGTGCACGGCGCCAAATAAGTCTAGTGGCGAGTTTTCGATTTTTAGGATCGCGGCTACGCCCCGAGCATGTGTGTTGTGGTTACCAGCGTGGGATTCGCCAGCGACTATAATCTGCATCTTGTTAGCTACTTCATTAAGTTGATGGGATGCGTTACAGATAAACCTCATAAAGCCCAAGTAGCATGGCAATCATCAATGCCTCAGGCGTCTCTGTAAAATCCGGGCACTCTATTGCAACCCTCAGCGCCCCAAGCAGTTCTTGGTATGCTTCCTCAGCGCGAGCTATAAGCCTAGGTCTGCACAGTTTCCGCCCATGATTGGCATTAGCTACGGCCCTACATGCCATTGCAAGGCTGGAATAATGGCCAGCATGGCTGAGCATAGACTCCAGTCCATCGAGATACCCCCGAGATAGGGTGTGGTTTGTTGAGGCGATGCAGTATTCATACAAGAAGGCTTGGATAATCCGCTTATCGGCTTCCTCCTGTGAGAATTCTCTGGGGTGAGTATCCTCTGGCAGAACTCCAGTATTGGGACAGGGAATTCGGATCGGTAAGGTGCACTTCCGGGCACTTGAGAGCTGTGAGGGGCTACCGGTCTGGATCTCTTGGGGCCGGAAAATAAGGCTGGCCCCGTCGCTATAACCCACGCAGGTGCGGTTCGATGTTAAGCATCTAGCACATGACTAGTTCCAAAATGTCAGTTGGTATTTGGTGGCATAAATAGGAGATGTAGCATTCAGGAAATATATCTTAGAAGGATTCAATTGGTAAATTCCAAGAACCACCACAAAACCCAAAGTAAAGCTTCTTCTTACGTACAGGACGAGCTTCATCACACTACAAACAGATCAACGTTAGTTCTATTCCTCAATATTACAACAAATGGTCTATGGGGGTAATTTAGTATCAACGGGACAAAGCGAACCTTCTTCCTCCGACGCTTGCACGTCTCACACCCTCGCGATGGGCCTAAATAGACCATTGTCGAATCTCTTTTATTTGCTCTTCAGACTCCCATGATAATTTATTCGTTCGACCACCTCGTCCAAATATTGCAACCTATCGAGTTTCTAATCTCCGAGTATACTCCGCTCCAATTCCGAGAAGTTCAAACTCGTTATATTAGTGATTATAGTATACAACTGCCGAACTTACGCTTGGCTTGGCGACAAAATACGGTTAGCGTTGCGCTCTATAGATATGCAATAAATAATAATAACTGTGCAACGAAAATATTAACGAGAGAAGAAGATATGGCGATGTGAGCATTGAGATCTTAGGTATGTTTAAGTCCGGGAAGGCGCCCAACGCTAGCCCCAATTGGATAGTGCGTCGAGGCTATTTTAGGTTTGTACTAGCAGATACACCAAACCCTGGATATGGGTCCTACCTCTTTGGGTTAGCGTTGCCCAGCTGGATATGGGCACTTGCTTGTCTGTCTTCATATTACGCCGTTATGGTTCTACAAAATATAAGCACTGGTGTCGCATTTGATACGGACGAGTTGGAGGTTAAAACGTCCTCGTGTAAGCTGCTTAAAATTGCAGGTTAGATCTCTGTGTAGGTTAGAATAGCACTTTTTGCCTTTTTGCAGTTTTTTTTCTTCATATCCACTTTTTTTTTCACGACGGCATGGGAAATAACGGATTAGGGATCCGTAAATCAAAACAATAGGCCTGCTGGCCCAATGGCAAGGCGCTTGACTACGAATCAAGAGATTGCAGGTTCGATCCCTGCGTAGGTCACTATTCCAGTACTTCGGTATTTCTTTTTGATGTTCTTTTTGATATATTTTTGGATTTCTGGGCGGAACATAGTATGGAACCGCAACGGCAAACTTTTAGCATGAGTGTGGGACTCGACGATAGAGTAGTAGTAGGGCTAACAAAAAAGCGGAAAGGCAGGATGCCGAGGAGTGTAAGTAAAACAATTATATATAGCAAGAATATATTGGCTTCAATGTGTTCTCTTCAGTTCTTCAATGACCATCAGACATGCTAAGAAGAATCATTATAGTTGATTTTTGAGTACCGGTATTCGGTTGGAGAGGTGCGTTTGTTACGGGGAGATTCGACAAAAAAAAAAGAATACCATAGACGAGTTAACTCGTCTGAAGGGTTATAGTCCCTTCGCCCGGAATCGAACCGGGGGCCCCCGGATGATTTGCGTTACATTACAGTCCGATGCTCTAATCCAACTGAGCTACAAAGGGGTATTGGTTGCGTGAATGCTCGAGGGTAGACTGTATCAACATGGGAAATTTGGAATGCTTCTGTGGCTTCAAACAATTTGTGGTATGAGAAACTGATGGATGGGAGGGAATGTTACATCCCGTGCTTGGCTTAACGTCGAAACGTCGCGTCCCTCTGAAATCAGAGCCACGCCCCTGTGGATGCCAGGAAAAAATAGATCCTCATCCGTAACCGCGCTATTTGCCATTAACGGGGTTGATGGCAAAAAAAATGTAAACAGCGCCCAAACACTCGTGGTCTCCAACTTACCCAGCCATTCACAGCTCGTACGTCGCTAGCGTTGCCGTCGCAGATAGATCGAACGTAATGCGCTTCAAGAAAGGTGATCAAGTTCTCGGGCATGAGGTGGGGATGTTTTTGAAGGAGCTCCAAGGCTGTGCTTTCCAAGCCCACACTTGCAGAAGAACGTGGCTTGTGAGATTCCTGATGGCCTCTCGTTTGAAAAATCCACTGTGATTCCATTGGGATTCTCTTTGGCTCCATGTGCGCTGTTCCAAGAGGCTTTTCGAATTTGCAGAAAGATGCTCGTGGGAGCATTCGATTACATTGGACAAAATGACTGGGAACATTATATGGACGTTATGCATAAGTCTAGTAGAAACAAATTAATTGTTATGTTTCCATTAACAACTTCTTTCTAGTACAATAAAATCAACCTTCTATTTATCATCTCAGGAGCTGCTTTCCACCTTTTTTGTGAATGGCCTATATGCCTCCTCTGGAATCCTTCCCAGCACCGACTCTGCAATCTTACTCGGCGCCAACCCATACAACTGCTGGAAACTCATAATCATTGGCCGCCACTTATCTGGATCAACTCTGTTCTCAAATCCCTCCATCCGAATCTTTTCATGAACATACGTCCTCACAACCTTAACCTCCAATGCCAACAGGTTCCCCTTCTTCTCCGTATCGCCCATCATCTCATGCACCTTCACTAGCTCCGCTTCCATCTGCACCGGACACTCCACAATCCTCGCTGGCTTTACAATTTCCGAGGCGGTCGGCGTCAATCCCGAATGCCCAAACTTATCATGGACATATTGATATCCATTCGCACGCTTAAACGCATACCTCGCATCCCCCGGCGCGGTCTCGAGGCCCTCGCAGCCTGTAGTTCTCGCGAGGGCGTTCACGAAGCTTCCCATATCGTCTGAAGCGAGGTTGAGCACGCACTGCTTAGTTCGACGCAAGTTGACAGTGGTTTGGCTATTGGCGGCGAGACCAAGCATGCAGCGGTTTCCGAGCCACCAGGCCGAAGACATGGGTGCGATGTTGGTAGTTCCGTCGGGGTTGGTGGTGCTGATTATGACAACGGGGGTGCCCCAGTAGAGGATTGCGGGGGAGATGGGTTGGTGTGTTGCGGATGAGAGAGGGACTGTGTTGGAACCCATTTTGTGTGTAGTTTCACAACTGATGATGATGGTTGGTAGAAAGAAACTCGTGTTGTTGAAGAATTACTGCGTCAAGAAACAGCAGATAATCATATTATTAATAGTCGCCGTTATTACAAGCCTCGTAATTTTTTGAGTCGTTGATACGTTTGAGGCTTTTGAGTCTGGTGGCATGTTAGCAACAGTGGCACCAAAGTAACCAATACAGCAACAATTAATTATTGGGGATTTTTAATCGACCCACAACGTGGGTTGGTAGATATAACTGTATTGGCGACATTAGTATCAACAAATCTGCAAGTGCTACTAGAAAAGATGATTTGAAGCTGGTCGATTGCGCCAATGTAAGAGTTCTCACTCGTTGTAGTTGAAGTGGCCAATCAGGCAACACAACAAAAGCTCCGTTCACCACCCAGTCTCTCAGTACGCGTAGGTATAGAATCTTGAGGAATTTACCGCTCTTGAATTAGCTTGGCCATCGCTATGCTGTCTAAATAGAGGCTAACATCTACTCCCCCAATTTCCCGACTCGAGTCCATAACCTGTACACACCCATCCATTTTTGGCATCACAGCATGCACATACCTCGGAATACCACCACCAAAGTCAACCTCATAGACGTTTAGCCTCAGCCACGATGTCACAAGCGTATGACGATCACCTAGGAATGCCTGCCACAGCCGCTGTGGCGACCTCTCAAATGCAGCGTCGTGCAGCATCGCGCCGATTTTCTCCGGCGTAAAAATTGCGAGCGTCTCACGAATCGCACTCGCCGTGGACCCTAAACTCGCGGCACTGGCTTCACTGCCACTTGATCGAATGTGCGTGAGGAAGATGGGGGACCCAATGAATGAATCCGAGAGAGGAGGCTGCACACGCGCTCGCGCGCTTAAGGTCACGTTGAGGAAGACGTCGTCAGCGGAGTCACTGTAGCCGCGTGCACGGTTGATGGCAGACCATATGTGGGCGAGGAGAGCGTCGAGGCGTGAAATGTCAGGGCGGCAATCTGGTAACTCGCGGGTGCTTGCGCGTAGGATACTCAGTTGTTCTTCGGTGAAGTGTAGGAGCGCTTGCGACACAGGGCGCGAAAAATCCCAGGTGCTCCATGGAGCAGGAGTTGATGGAGAGAAAGAAAGAAGCGACTTCGAATCCCCCAGTGGGGGAGGCGGCTTTGAATTCTCGCTCGTGGGAGCGAGGAACGAGGGAAACGCGGGGTCTTTGGCGTCATTCCACCAGTCAAACCGATGGAGTGGCAGGAGACGTGCACTTTCAACTGAGGATGTGTCTGCCACATCTCCGTCAATGTCACCAGCCGCATGAGAATCGAGCTGCCCAGGGTTGAATATGGGTGGATCCATAGGAGATTTTGCGACTCCGTGGCATGCTGCCGCCCACTGGTGTATGAACACCATCAGGGACTGTGCATCGGCAAGTGAGTGGGCCATCTTGACGGCAATAGCATAACCGCCACAGGAAAATTCTGTGACTTGCACGGACATCCCCGGCAGGCTGGCATACTCAACCAGGTTATGAAGCGCCAAGTTCGAGTCAGACAAGAAGATATTCTGGGGAAAATCTGTGGCCATCCAGGTCGCATTCCCCGCAACACGCTCATGCACACTAGGGACGATGGAGTCAAGGGTCCTCTCCGTCTTTGAGACCACCCACTCAACCCCGGGATCAGAATCGCACCCGTAGACTACCATTGGCCTCCCAAAACGCTCCGTGTGAAAGCCGCCATCGCGGACTCGGGACCATTGCAGCTGGCCTGCCCATTGTGGAAAGTCGTTCAGTGTGGCTACGAATGACGATTGAAGGTTGGCGTGTGACGGACTTGGGCCGGAAAAAAGCCAAACTGCACCAGTTGATGAAAACCGAGCGACTGTGGCATCGAGAATCGACAGCGGTGTTGATACGGGCGTTGTCAGTCTCGGGGAAGGGAAGAGACGAAGCTTCTGTGGCGGTAGTGAACTGGACATAGCTAATGAATATCCTGTAGTCAATTCTGACGTGATGTATTATATGTATTAGTTCGTCGACTATAGCCCAATGCCGGCAAACTTGGTCCTCGTCCACGGAGAGAGCTGTGCTCTTATTAACCAACCGACGGAGTGGTGTAGGTGGATACGTATTTCACCAGTAGCAAACACAGCGACTGAGATTAACCTACCTACGTATCAATTGCGATATCAATATATTTTTTTAAAAAAAAACACCAAAAGTCTCATAGCTGACACATGTTACGTGTCGCTGATAAGTAGGTCGATCTCGTCTTAACTCAGTCGAATAAAATACCAGCTTCAACGCCGGCTGAGTCATGCGGGGTAAACCAGTTGTGCTCCATAATATAATCCCGCTGAAAGGAGAAGGTGGGAAGGTGGTGGGAACAGGTTTGAGGGAACCCCGCCAAAATCTCGGTCTTTGAGGGAAGGATGGATTTTGCTGTAATTTATATATATGTATGCGCGGCGACGATATATTTATAAGTGAAAGCTTGCTTGTTGAATTAATTTGACGAATATTCATTTTTATTATTATTAATAACGAAAAATATAATAGCAGAATGGCTCGGTTGACAATTAGAGACGCCGGATACACTCCAGGACAATTGCCCTCGGGCCCGAAAAACTCGATCCTTGACGTGCCAGGTACGTCTCTGACATAGCATGGCTCTATAAGAGCATCTTAGGATCTTACTGACACTCAACCAGGTGTCCACGTCGGCCAAACCACCGTCGGAGACGATGGCGATGACGTCCGCCACGGTGTGACTGTCATCCTACCCCGCCACCCCGACGACATTAACACCCCCTGCTACGCCGGCACGCACACGCTCAACGGCAACGGAGAAGTCAGCGGCTCTTTCCAAATCAAAGACTGGGGCTTCATCAATACCGTTCGTCCCTTCCCTGTCCCTGTCCCTGGTGGTACTCTCTCACCACAGTTTGATTTACACGTGACAGCCCATCGCCCTCACCAACTCCCTCAGCTTCGGGACAGTCTTCCAGGAGGTATGGCAATGGATTCTACAGCGGGCGCGCGACAAGGGGATGTCGTTGAATGATATAAGCCACGATTATGGGACGCCGATTGTGGCAGAGACGGCAGACTGGTGGCTCAACGATGTGCATAACTCAGCGCTCAAGCCGGAGCATGTGCATAGTGCTTTTAAGAGGGCGCTCGAGCAGGAGAACGTTGAAGAGGGACAGTATGGTGGTGGTGCCGGGATGACGTGTCACATGTTCCCAGGAGGGACGGGGACCAGCTCCAGAGTCGTGAAGTGTAAAGATGGGAAGACGTATACGGTTGGGATCTTGTGCCAGACAAACTACGGACACACACACGATATGCAAATAGCTGGGGTCCCAGTTGGAAAGCTACTGTTGAAGGATAGGAAGCTGGCAGAAGAGAAGGCTGTGAAGACCGCCAGCGGCAAGGTCGATGAGGGCAGCATCGTGATTATTCTTATGTGAGTGTTTTATGGGGCCCTGCCAACCAACTAGTAGCTAACAATAACCAGCACGGATGCGCCAATGCTCCCACATCAGCTCAATCGCCTCGCGCGACACTGCGCCGTTGGCCTCGCGCAGGTTGGAGGCCACGGTATCGGGACTAACTTCTCTGGCGACATTATGCTTGCCATCTCGAATGGGAACAAGACCAATGAGAAGATCTCAGGCGAGCGCGTCAACGGCATCGCGGACGTAGAGGTTAATCAGATCGAGATCCTCAAGAGCGAGAGCGTGGATACGATGTTTAGGGCTGCATCTGAAGCGACGGAAGAGGCGATCTTGAACTCGCTCGTTGGAGGGAGGGCAGGAAGGACTGGGTTTAACGGCTTACACTTGGGGGGGTTCCCGGTGGAGAGGGTGAAGGAGCTGCTTGGGAAGTATCGTGTGGTTGTTTGATATGTCTTTAGCTATTTACTGTAGCATACTCCGAATTATTGCTACTTTGTAAGTTGTTTGGCTATTGAAGGTGTCTTTGCCGTTGTCTTTACCGTTGATGTCAGCGAAGTTGTTGCATAAGTCACAATAATACCTGACTGATCACAGGTCTAATCACACTTATGAACTACATCAGCACATCAATCATCATCCACTGACAAGGAGAGATATGGCACGTTCATGGCTGTGGCACAAATGTTTTGATGAGGTGGCCGGGGGCCGCGGCAAGAAAGAGACCCGTCCAAAATCCTGATTCGGATAAACTATGTGACCGACGAACCCCTCTCTGACCAAGAGCTGAGATAACCCAATGAAAGCTATTCGTGGGGTTTTAGCGCCGTAATATATAGTGCAATATATAGTGTTCCGTGTTGGTTTTGTTATTTTGTTCAGCTACGCTCTATGTACCAAGGCGGCTCGTTGGACCTCATTTGCGCATCCCCCGTCTACCCCTCAGCTGACTGTCCTATTACTACTGCGGGAACCCTTATTTAAAGTCTTGGGGCGCTAGCAATATACCCGATGGATGCTCTTCCGCTCCACGGTTTGAGGCCCGCAACACCGGCATGGCGGCGCCACATTCCCACCTTCCATGCTTCTTCTAGAAGGCCAAGAGAAGCGGCCAGAACAAACCAATAGATTGCTCTGTTCCCTAGCATTAGCACAAAAGAGGCTACTGCAGGTACCCCGCATGCAAATCTCCCCCGCACTGTTTCCATTGGCGTCGATTTTATTATCACGGCGGTTTAAGGCCCGAAGCCACCGCCTGCGGAAGTCTTGGTAATGCATTACAATAATAGGATGGATTGGCACTGGTTTTCCCGGTACCTAATATATAAACCTCATTGTTCCCCCTTCTTGGGGATTCTCGCAACTTCAGCCCTTTAGTCTTTTCACTATCCTCTGACTCGTCAGCATCGATTAAACGACAATGGTTCGCAACCTCCCCTACGCTGCCCTGCTCTGCATTGGCCTGGTAGCTGCTCAGACTCCCGGAAAAATTCCAGAGAAGCACCCCAAGCTAGACACATGGGAATGCACCAAGAAACACGGTTGCAAGAAGCAGGAAAGCTACATTGTTATCGACCAGGCATCTCACCCAAATTATCAATTGCACCAGCCTAGCCTCAACTGTGGCAATTGGGGAAGCGCCCCCAACGCGACGGTCTGCCCTGATGAGAAGACATGTGCTAAGAACTGCATCGTTGAAGGTATCCCTGATTATTCCAAAGTTGGTGTCACTACCAAGGGCGGAAATCTGTACTTGAAGCAACTGGCCAAGGATGGCAGCTCGGTATCCCCAAGAGTCTACCTCCTCGAGAAGAATCAACAGGAGTATGAGATGCTCCAGTTGACGGGCCGCGAATTCAGCTTCGATGTTGACACGTCCAAGCTTCCTTGCGGTATGAATGGAGCGCTGTACTTATCGGAGATGGATAAGAAGGGAGGCAAGAGCAAGCTCAACCCCGGCGGAGCTGCCTATGGATCCGGATATTGTGATGCTCAGTGCTTTACTTTCCCCTTCGTTGAAGGCGTTGTGAGTAGCCCAATTCCTCTATCTGGTAATTAGAAATCCACTAATTTGAGGCCAGGGCAACATCGAAGGCAAGGGTGCTTGCTGTAACGAGATGGACATCTGGGAGGCTAACTCCAGAGCAACCTCGATTGCACCGCATGTTTGCAAGCACAGCGGGTTGTATCGATGCACTGGAGCAGAATGTGAATTTAACGGTGAATGCGACGAGTGGGGATGCGGTTTCAACCCATATGCTCTTGGCAACAAGAACTACTATGGACCGGGATTGAAGGTCGATACCAGACGCCCATACACTGTTGTGACACAGTTTCCCGCCGTCAAGGGCAAGATGACAGAGATCCGTCGCCTGTACGTTCAGGATGGAAAGGTTATCCAGAACGCTGTTGTCAACATTGCCGGACCTCCCGCCCAAAACTTCATGAATGACAACTACTGCACCAACAAGCCTGGCTCCGAGCGATACATGGAGCTTGGAGGTATGGGCGCCATGGGCGGTGCGTTGTCGCGAGGAATGGTCCTCATCTTCAGCATCTGGTGGGACGAGGGCGGATTCATGCAATGGTTGGATGGCGAGTCATCCGGTTCCGGACCTTGCGACGCAACTGAGGGAGACCCCAAGAACATCATCAAGATCCAACCTGACCCAGCTGTGACTTTCAGCAACGTCAAATGGGGCGAGATTGATTCTACATACACCTGCAGCAAGGGTCCGGCAGGGCCAAAGGGCCCAAGGGGAATCTCCTATTAGAGCGCCTTTACACGAGTCGTACTTGTTCAAAGTAGTTTTGAATGAGTACTCGAATGCTTTTGATATTTTGAGCAAGTTGGGGGTAGAACGTATTTGTCGAGCTCTTTTTGGCCTTGGCAAAGAGGGGTAAGCAAATATAGAATAGATGAATATTAATTTACTTCCCCATTCGCCAAGCTTGCCGTTTGGCCAGTTCAAATGACCCTTGGACAACTACCTTGTCACTAATTTGACGACGCTCGGCCATTTTCGCCCATCCTGAACTTGTATCGTTTAATTGTCACAACTTCTTGTTTGCTCGCTCACCATGCCGCTTTGTTATTCTTGTACAAAAATGGATTATCTAAGTGGAAGAGTCCTCGATGGAGACCATGATCATATTGATTCTCGGTATTACGTGGGTCTACTAACTCTCCATCAGGCAAATTCTCGTGGAGACGGTGGCCCCAAACGCTTCGTACGATGCTCTTTCCCCGCTTGATCTGACCACCACTCCGTGATGGTCGATCCTGCAGGAACTAGTTTAAAATGTCTTGAACTGAGCTGAGATCCAATACGACGAGATCGATTTACGGATCCCGATACTATGAGTACTTGGCAATTACAGATCCCGATCCCATGAATACTTGGCAAGGCCTAAGATTTAAGGAGAGTTGTGTGGTAGGTACACCACTACACCACGATATCTCAACTTTAGCGCGCGAGCTTTTCGTTGTGTCTATAAACTCTCATACCGAGTCTATTTCAGGATCTGTAAATCGATCTCGCCGAATTGGATGTCAGCTCGCTTCAAGACATTCTAAGCGGCTATACTTTGTACCCCTCACCAAATAGATTGAAGGGCTGAATATTTTTCTATCCATACTCTTGCGACAGCTACATATTAGGATACAAGAAGGATTAATATGTGTTGCAAACTAAACTTCAAGGCTTACCAATCACAGATAAGGGGGATTTGCAATCCCTCCTGCACAAAACCCCGCACAATCCCTCGTATTATCTACTCCAATAACGACCACAGAATCAAGTCTGACAGTTGTCAGCAGTGCCAAACTAGGGGATTTTGTAGCAGAAATTTATGATCTAGCGAGATAATAAACACCAAGCACTTACATAGAGACTCGTAGATTCCATAAGAATGAAGAGAGGTGCAGCGGAGCGCTGGCCCCTATAAATACCTCTTTCGTGCTACAGAAAATTAGAAAACAAAATTCCATTCAAAAACTACGAATCTTAAACATCTTCTAATTCGACAACACCTACAATGGCAATTTTTTCCGACTTCTTGGCTATTCTCCTCGCTGCCAGCGTCGTTAGTGCCATAAACTTCTCAGAGGTTATCCCGGGTCCTGGCCTCCCAAGCTTGGCCTCGCTCAACCTTACAAGCGAAGCACTCCATGCCATGGGGCCTATAGAAAGTATGTCACTTTCAACTCGTCTCTCACCACAGATCATTAACCCTTCAAGTCCCCCCAGATTACCATATCGGCGACGTTAATCCCATGTCGAAGCGTGATAACCCCACGCCACCAGCTTGCATCTACTACGGCGGCGCGCTCATCGATCGCGCCAATATGCTCAGCTGCGTCAACTTTTTATACGCTCTCGGAACGACGCCGTGCACCCTCAGCAATAGCGCTGCTAGTGGGCAGTGGTGTAACGTTGGGAATGTGGCGTTATATGGGTTGAACTGGAACAATTTACCAACCGTATCCTCGTACTGCATCGACGTGGCTGTCGCAGCACAGTGGGTGTATAACAACTGCAACTACGACAATGTTAACCAGTGGGGTGGTTTGGCTTATGTACATGGGAATGATGATATAATTGCGAATGTTACCAGACAATAAGTTGGGCCATGGGAAGAAAGGATAGGGATAGGTGGAGTTGAAGTACACATCGGATGTTTATAGTACTTAGTAAATGTAGCAACAATATTACAGTTATTAAGTTGATTGTCTACAATCACCGAGCTCCAAAGGAATTATCCAGCACCATAGTGCGTTTGTGCTCTTTAGAGTTGTACAGCGACGTGGCCCATATCTAGTTGATCTAGAAATCGTCAAAGAGGTCTCGTAGGAATACTGGTACCGTGATAGAGAAAACGAATGTGTCATTAATTCGCTGCCATGTATTTTAATACTTTGTAGCTTAAATATAGGATATAAAAGTGATAAAAAGGGAAGAAATGACGAGGGCATCAAGATTTTCTACAGACTTAAGTCCCTTTGACTTTAGTTAGTCTTTTAACCCATTTACCTGAGAATCAAGCTTTGGATCCTCACCGACGACTTACTGGCGATAACTCGACTAAGGACCTAATTCGCAAGTATTACTCCTCAAATACTATGAGACGTGCACTAGAGTGCTTTGGTGGCCAGTGTGTCACGTGGAAAGGTCACATCATCTTTATTCTATGGGTAGTTGTAGTGCTTGTAATGATAATTAACGCAAAGTTTATAGAGAGCTATTCAAAATGAGACAAAAAAGTATAACCGATCAGTAAAATAAGCCAAAATCTCCTCATCCGTGCAACTATGGTCAACCAATGTAGAATCTTAGTGTTGATCCTCCTAACTTCGTCTCAGACTATCTCCACGCCTGCAGCGAGAGCCTAAAAGCCTCTACAGCTTGATCACAACCTTACCAATATGCTTGCCAGAATAAAGGTAATTGAAAGCAGCTTGCGAGTCCTCAAATGAAAAGACCACATCGTCTAGAATTGGCTTTAAGTTGACTTTCTTCTCAGTCAAAAATCCGCACAAATTTTGGTGATCAATCTTTGTGCCAACGAGTATTCCCCTGAGACAACATACCATTAGTATCACTATACCCATATGTCTTGTGTTGGACAACGATATATACCGCATGGTGGAATTCTTCACTAATAGAGGCATCACTGTATCAGGGAAGCGATCCATATGATATCCTCCCAAGAATCCGACAAGGGAAACAGTCCCTCTCTGCGCGAGCGAAGCAAGACTTTGTGCAATTGCAGTAGGGCCTACATTGTTGATGACAACATCTGCCCCTCGTCCATTAGTGGGTCTATGTACCTCCTCCTCCCATTTTGGGTGGGTGCGGTGGTTGATAGTCTCAATGGAGTCGGGCCCTCCCACGGCCTTGGCAAGATCAAGCTTCCGGTCCCACGAGGAGGTAATTATGGGGCGGATGCCAGCGTTAAGGCAGATCATTAGGCCAAACATGCTTACTCCTCCAGTACCTGAGAGTGAAAATAAGCATTAAAAATCTTTGTAGGGGCAGAATAGTGGGCTTTCGTATACCTTGGAGCAAAGCAGTACGCTTTGCCTGAGGCATGCCAATTGCATTCCATGCTGTTGTCCCAGCGCAGGTGATGCAAGCGGCCTACCAGTAAATCAGCGCCCATTAATATCCTCCATTTATATAATGGCAGATAGATAACATACCTCCTCCCACGAAAGATGCTTGGGAAGGTGAAACAACACATTCTGATCAAACACTGCATATTCCCTTAATACGCCATCCACATTCCCGCGTAAAAGCAACGACTCCTCCTCTGTGCCATTGAGGCCCTTTAAATTGAATATTGGTGCTACTCGGTCCCGATGGCAAAACCGTGGACCTCAGACCCCAGAGCGATGACTTCAGCAGAACAGTCAGAGGCTGTCGATGATTGGGGTTGGGTATATGCCGTGCATCATTACTACGTCTCTATAATTCAGTGACACGGCATGGACGCGGATCAGCACGTCATTGGGCTTGAGAGATGGGGCCTCTTCAATGACCGACTCAAGAGTTGTTGGCGAGTTACCCGTGCTGCGCCGGAAGGCTTTGTATGATTGAGGGATTGACTGAGGGATTGCCATTGTATAACCGATTATTGATGAGGATGATATTTCAGTAGATTTCCGTCAACTATTGAACCTTTATACCTAACTTAAGAGGGATTTATCATGCATCAGAACATCATAGGCAGATTTGACTAATTGGCCCGTGGACTCCATCACCGGGACATCTAATGGCCCATTGACTAATTGTCCCGTGGATTCCATCACCGGTGTGCAGTTCCAAGTCGAGGCTATATCGCAACACTAAAAATGTGAATCCACACCCATGCGCGCGTATAGCCATTTGTTTACTCAACACCGGGACATCTAGTGGCCCGAATCCGGGGAATCCGACAAGCTATTTGTTAACTCCACTTTAATATTAACGAAGTACTGGCTGTTGCCCACATTTTTACTTGCAATCTTTTTTGAAGTTACAAGTGGGAGTGCTTGTGAATTTCGAGACTTTATTATAAGTATGTTGTTGGCCTGACAACTATGGCCGTAGTAAAATATTGTCGTGAAAAGTATGACTTAATTGGCGTGTACTGGACTTTTATTTTCTCGACCCTCATCTGACGAACACAGGCGATAATGGCCTAATCTAAATAATGTTCGTCCAGTAAAAAAATTGATATATCAACCGATATTCATGCATGCTATATTTATCGCAGGTTGTATGTACTGAAGCCTGTTGGTTAATTCGTCTTTGTTTCGGCGAGACGAACATCGGCGAACCGAAATGGTTAGCCTGTGACATGTTTAGAACCGAAACAAAGACGACGCGCCCATATATCACTTAAATTATTTAAGCACCCAACCAAGACTTAAGTGTTACTCTGATGAACGCAACTGCACAAGCTTTCTTCGCCTCAGCCATATTCTCCCAAAATCTCTTATATCCTAACATGTCTCTTCCTCTACGACCCCTAGGCCGAGACGGTCCCCAGGTCCCTGCCATTGGCCTCGGTTTCGGGAGCATTGGCGGATTCTACGGACCCGCCGGTACCCTGGACGAGAAATTAGCCCTCTTAGACCATGCACACTCCATAGGGCTACGTTTTTGGGATTTGGCCGACGTTTATGGCGACAGTGAAGAAGTCGTTGGTGAATGGGTTAAGCGATCTAGCAAGAAGCGCGACGACGTATTCATAACCACCAAATTTTCGCTGCAGCGTAAACCAACTGGAGGGCACACCTTTCGGTCTGACCCCGAGTACGTGAAGGAGGCATGCAAAAAGAGTCTTGAGAGGCTTGGGGTGGACACAATAGATCTTTACTATTGCCATCGAGTGGATGGGATTACGCCCATTGAAAAGACCATCGAAGCCATGGTGGAGCTGAAGAAGTACATTATCTCTAACCAACCGTCAAATAGTATGCAAGCAAACAATTACTAACATTTTATTTACAGCCAAGGAAAGATTCGGTGCCTGGGTCTGTCCGAGGTCTCAGTAGCGACGCTGCGTCGAGCTCATGCCGTCCACCCCATTTCTGCCCTGCAGATGGAATACAGCTTATTCACAATGGACATTGAATCATCAACATCAGAGATATTGAAAACTTGCCGAGAACTTGGTATAACTATCGTGGCCTTCGGACCTATTGGTCGCGGTATTCTAACCGGCCAGTTCCAATGCCATGCAGACATCCCTGAAGGCGACTTGCGCCGCATGTTGCCCAAGTACTCAGAGGAGAATTTCCCCAGCATTTTGGAATTGGTGCAGGGATTGACGGATGTGGCAAATACCCATGGAAGCACGCCGGCACAGGTCGCTCTTGCATGGCTGCTGGCGCAAGGACCAGAGATCATCCCAATCCCAGGTACGAAGTCGACTGCCAAAATGGATGAGAATGCGGCAGCTGCCATGCTTCGGCTGAGCGACCAAGAGGTGGAAATGATTCGGACTCTAGTAGAGCGAACAGAGATCAAAGGTACTCGGTATCCTGCCGCGTAAGTGACCACATTCTCATTTTCGATTCCACGGAGTATTGACTGGTCGGATAGAACATGGCACACTCTCTGCACGGATACTCCGCCGCTATAAAGATGCAAGAATGGATATATGGATACATTACGTAACGTGGGGCATGGTACTCGGCGCTGTGCGTAAAGGGGTGAAGAACGAAGATCAGTTTGGTAAAGCCGCCACAGCGCGTAAGTGATGGAAAATGTACACGTAGGAGCGATGGGTAAGACATTCAAGATGATTGATAACAAAGTGCACAAACGGCTCTAAAACCATGTGGTTGAACGTGAGAATTGAGTAGTCTGTGATGAACGATGCAGCAAAATTAAAACCGTCGCAACCACTAAATTACCATTGCCAATTCCACGACGCATATTTGACGACATTTACTCGAGTATCACAATTGATTGTAAATAGAAACCAGGTAGCTATATATGAGAATGAAATTGACCAGATTATGAAGCTTGCTTGCGAAGACTGCAAATCTCTATGGAAATTAACAAAACGAAAGTTGCCTCTGTAGTTTCCCCTGTTTATATCGTCGGCTCATTCCAGCGAAGCATAGTTCAACTGTTGTTCGCTTTGGCAGTTGTTACACATCATCTAGATTGGGAACCAAAAATATGGGCATTGATGCCAGAGGGAATGAAAAATGTGTTCTAGAGACTATTTTCATAAATCATTCATAATGGCCGCATGAAATATGCCATCAAAATATCTTAGTTTCGAAGCAGATATAGTATGTAAATTGGTAGATGGAAGAAAATATAGAACAACAACGACAAAACAAATAAAAAGGGAGACGAAAAAAATATGCGGGCCCTTGAAATCAATTGGTTTAAATGAAGTTCAAGCCTGCCCGCCGTTAATCGCTCTAACTCGGCTTTCCGTGCCTTGTCTTTAATTGTCAGACTCTTCTTCCCAATGACTCTCGTCGTCATTGTCACATCCCTCTTGCCTCTATAAGTCATTAAAATTTGTTCAACTTATTTTGAAAGCCAGTTACTCACTGGGCCATTTCCACCATCGGTGTTCTGCAACTCTGGCAAATCATAGATAATCATAGGGAGATCCACGTCTCTCGGAGCAGTGATGATGCCAAACTGTTCTATTCCATCAAAGCAGTGGCCCCAGCTACTTCGACCGTAGAATCCAATAATCTTCTCGGATGCAGCCGGCTCTGTACCAGTGTTAGAGAGTTAACTGCGTTAAGGCGAATAGCTTAACTAACCTAGTGTCACAACAGGACTATCGTCGTACAAATACCCCCCTTCAAAGCCATTCGAGAGATGAAAGCGCAGGCCGTTTAACTCGTGTCCTCGACCAACTTCAACTTTAGTGACTTCAATACCTTCCGGCAAAAGAAACCTCTCTGATGCGTGACCACCTAAACACGTTAGTCATTCCAAAGCCACGACATTCCATATGACATCGGCATTTCACATACCAAAATCGTGACCTCGACCCGCACTATTCCAGCGAGGGCCGCAATGAGTCCTGTGGCCGTCTTCAAAATAGACAACCGCACCATCGAGAAGACAACCTACTCTCGAGTCAATTTCCACTGCTCTTGACACTGGGTAATGTTAGCTTAATCCACACGATGAAGGAGTGAATACTAACATTTTCCATCCTTGCCCTTCTCATTCAACAGGACAGCCCAATCCCATTTTCCATCTTCAGCATCATCCTCGGCTTCTAGAGTTGGGGACATGACAGACTTCTTCTGAAGTACGACCGAAGATCCTGGAATGCGGATAAACGACAGATTTGCGAATAGTTTCCATACATTGCCAATCTTCCTTGATTTCCCGTTCTTTCCAAGAACCTCAAGAGTAAGTGCATTCGTTCGGTCGAAACGGGCTTCAAGCTCGGCCATAGTGAATTGCATTTCCCTGACTGTATTTATGATAGATAATCCAGGTTCAGGTGTACCGTTAAACTTCACTTGACAGACCTGAGCAGGAGAGCTAATGACCAATTTTAGGAGGTCTTCTTGGCCATCCTCAGCAACAACTAGAGCACTAGGTTCAATTTTCAAATCCTTCACGTCAAGTGAAGGATCCATTGGAAGCCAGAAATGTGGTTGCACGCTGAATGATAATGCATCGCTGAGATCCCAGGTACAGTTATTAGTAGTCTTTCCGTCGACAACCGTAATTCCTTGGATCTTCCTAGCCGAGCAGTATGCGGTGCCTCCAAGGAAGGCCTTAGGCCAGTCTTGCGCATATCCTCTTTCCATTATTCCAGTTGTATGGGGGGCACCAAATGCATGTCCGACTTCATGCAAAAATGCACCTTGACCAATTGAACAGGCTTCCCACATGGTTCCGCATTCATTGTTGTCATTCCCAACGGTGTCACCGGGGATTGAGCAGTCAAGTAGACTGCTTGCGACTTCTTCTAGAAACCGGGGCCAAGAGTACGTAAGATGACTTCCAAAGACGCCAAGCGAAAGACCTCGAGTGTTCGAGCAACCAAGTGCAGCATGTCCGAGAATTAGATTCTGTTCCGCCGAAAATGTCGAGTCGAGAATCAGACCCGCCACGATAGGGTGGGCGGTGGCCACAAAAGGTCCGCCATGCTTCTTCAGCGCTTCTTCGAAATATTTGTGTAAGTCATCTCTCCTCCGGCCCTGTTTATTTTGTTGGGCGACTTGAGCATCACGGATCTCAGAGACTGTCTTTTCAGACCGTATTAGGTGTATCTTTGCAGTAGAGGACATTCGAGTTTTAGTAGGGTCGCTCAGAAACTCTCGACTCAATGTCTCGTCAGCCCATTCTTCTTCGATGCGGAACGATCGGCGACCAAGGTGCTTGCTTCGCAGGTCCTCTGCTGTCAGAGCTTGCCACATGTACGCAGTCATTCGAAACTTCTTAACTACTGCATCCAAGTCTGAGTGTGCCGATGAGATGGCGCCTCTCTTGTTTGGAGGGCAGTCGATTAGTAGTGGGGAATCCTTTGCTATCATGATAGCCAAGTGAAGAGGTGGAACTTGGAGGAGTGGAACATAGTTGAGTTCCACCTGGATTGACCGACAATCCGCGCTGCCATAATGGTGCTCCAACAAGAGAAGGTTGGTCCCAGGTGATAGGATAACGAGCGCTTTGAAATGCCCCTCAAAAACCGGCCAATTTTGGACCGGGAATGATTCTTTTCCAACATAGTCTGTGGACTTAACTATGAGGTAGTCATCAACTGAGTCGTCCGAGGTACGGCAAGTACCACTGATTATAACGGCACGCTTGGGGATGTCAGCAAAAGATGCATTAAAGCGTACTCGTCGCAACTTACTTGATGTACTGTTTCCCCAGTGGCGATGTTATGTAGGACGATCTCCTGGTCGTCGATTTGCGTCATCGCGGGGGATTCCTTTCTTTTCTTATTAACAGTCATTGTAGTGATAGTCTGTAATGATATAAAAAATCGAGGAGAACAAACGCCTTTTGTACTATTCCTCTCGAATTAAAAAATAGAGTTTGCGGCACAGCAAAGCACGTTTCTGTCGCGTGCACACGTGAGAATAGGCAGCATCTTGGTATTGGGTTCTGGACCATAGGCTATTCCAGGCTACTGTAGGCTTCCGCGCTAAAAATGGCTTGCTGTGGAGGTGCTGTGGAGCGCTGAGCACAGGTGCAATTTTAAACGACAAAGGTTGAAATGTTACTCTACGCTTGGCTGCTCTTGGCTCATAATGGTGATAGCATCACAACGGTGCCTAGGAGGACAACGAACGCCTGCTGTATAGTATAATATATGGATTGTTCTAATATAGAGTAACGAATGTAGCTATGCGGTTTGATTGTCAGGCCATAAACCTTCCTAACATGGTCGCTACTCTCTAGAAGTAGGGCAAGGTGGCTGAGAGAAATTAACGGCTGAATCGTTCTTTGGGATCTTGAAATAGATTCTATTATAGGATTTTAAACCTGATCATTCGCAGGTTGAATGCCAAAGTCATGATAATGGTTTGCAGGGTAACCTCATAACCTATTTGGTCTGGGGAAAAGCCATGCCAACCAGAATAGCAGGCTCCTCAACATTATGATGGGCGTAACTCATGATACCAATGGCGCCTGGCTCCATCATCATCGTGAACTGGAAAGCCATAGGGTAGAGGAGCCATCGCTTTGTGAATGCGCGTAGGATATGACCGTGAGCAACCTATTTATAATAGTCTTAGTAATATGGCATGGAGTGGTAGTATAATAGACGAGTTCTTACAATCAGGACATCCGCAGGTTGGCCACTTTTTCCATCCATGTGTGGGGTCTGCAACTTGTAAATCTCCCCGATGAGCCGATCAAGACGCTTTTGCACTTCTTCGGCGGATCTAGATTGGGCAGAGCATATTAAAAAGTTGTTCTCAGGCACTGACACTTTGCAATCTTTCCTTTCGAGAGAGGGTGGAATCGACTTACTCCCCACCCTCACAACCCATGGTCCAGATATCCCACTTGGGTAGTCCCCTCTCAGCCCTGCTCTCTTTGATCTCATGCGGCTTCAAACCCTCATAAGATCCATAATCCCACTCAGTGATATCCTCTGTAACGGTGACTTTGCCCTCCTTCTCCAAGCGATCTTTATGGATGGGCCCGAGAAGCATATCTAATGTAACAACAGCACGCTGACGAGGTGAAGTGAAGACGTGCGCTAATTTGGACGGATCGATGAGCTTTCCTGGTCCGACCAATGCTTCACCTGTGCCTTTGACTTGGGAGATGCCATTTTCCGTCAGAGGGATCTCAGCGTTGCCGGTGCAGCGGCCGTTGATGGTCCATTCGGTCTCGCCTGGTATTCATAAAGGATTAGAAAAGATTTAAACTGGAAGATTTGAGGGGGTTGAGAGATGTGAGGGTGTGGAGTGGTTATTTACCGTGTCTGGCGAGGAAGACTCGTGGTGTGGTTGCGTTTGCGTCAGACATTTTGTTGGATACCTCAGGCGTTACACAGATGGGGCGTCGAAGCTGAGTCGCGGAACCAATGTGCGAATAAAGGGCAGTTAAGTAAACTTTGGGTGCTTTTATTGGAGGTCAGAAATCTAGTATCACTGATTACGTTGCGCTGTGAGTTTCCGGTATCTGCCTCAACGGCTCAGTTTCGTTAATGCGGGCTGACTAGATTTGGGGGGTAATAATTATTCTACCCCCCATATCAAACCCTGGTCACCTTCATTTTGGTTGTGCAGGTTGCCTCACTGGGCACGCCCTGCATCATGCAGGCTAGATATAAAGGCGAGCCCTCGCGTCGTGCAACAGAATCTAATTGGCACGGAAAATTGCACTGCTACGCCTTGACCAGGCTACCCGTTGGCCAATCACTCTTCGGACATTTTCATAATGTACAGCAGGATCAACACAAATTTATAGGTCCGCCGGTCATTATGTATTCGTTTGAGGCTTCTCATAGTAAGCCAGACGTCGCCAATATTTACGCGGTTGGACTACCTACCCTAGGGGTCCAGTTTTTGTGGGGTCGAGCCTTATTCTCAAGTGATGAGCGAGCTATCTTAGAGTGGGAGAGTTGACAACCTTATATTCTGTATGCAGCAGTTTCAAACCATCTCAGATGCATTACCAGCAGCTATCGAATCATCAAAGACAAACCTCCAAGCCTCGCCATTATCCCATAATCAGTACTAACCCCAAGACTGGGATGACATGAACAAGACCAAATATCTATTTATGCCCCGTCAATATAATTTATTCAATGATCACCGTAGTCTCATAGGAATTCAAAGGGGTGCCTCTTTGAGGTTGTTGAATATCAGCCTTTGTGGAGGCTGAGGTTCGAAGTCCTGACAGGTAAGGTAGCCCATGGTTATTGTCGGCCATTTTCTCATTCCTTGTCAGCTCCGAAATGGAGGCGCTAGAAATTGATGTGGTTCTGTTATCAATTGGGCGCTCTTCCAACTCCAGGCCTATAGTTGTAGGCGGCATAACTCGGTGAACGGGCTCTTCTCCTCTCTCCTTCGCCCATTCTTCATAACCACCTGGGAACTTTTCAATCAAAGTCTTCATAGTCTCTTTGGCCCTGTGGCGCAACCGTCTATTAGCGGTGTAAATCAAGTATAAGTGACGGTACTCACATGTTTCGGTACCTCAGGTTCCCAGAGAATAAGGCCGAGCTTTTGAGGTCCCATCGGCTTAAGATGTTGTCAATAACTAATCATATAACAGAATCAAAGATCTCACAGGTAGTAAAGCATGTTGCGATCATCTTGGTCTTCCTCGGGGGCAGAAACTGGAAAATAGTCGAAGTACGCTGCCATATATTGCCTTCCAATAAGGTGACGAATTGGTCGCCAAGCAGCCATTTCCACTGTGCGTGATCAGCATACACAATCCGGTTGCGGTCTCTCCAGTCCCGTTCCACGATGCCAGACCTACATTCATTGTGGGCATATAGAGCTGCTGCATCGTAGATGACCGGCATGTTAGTGTCGATGTTCCATGAGGTATTTCCCGCCCAAAGATCGCCGTGGATAAGACGAGGCTGTATGTGGCGGCCCCCAGTCTCGAGTGGTCGAAGCAAGCGTGGAATTACCTTGTCAAGGATGCCCTGACAAAGATCTCGCATTTCTTCATCTACGCCTTGAGATTTCTCTTCGGCGTGCATGAACCACTTCATGGAGTGATAGTATGACTCTTCCCAGGTGTCATGCCAGGTAGTATACTGGGGGATTGTACCCTTATAGGTAGGCACATGGAATCCGTACCTGCCCCCAGGGGAGACCCCCTTCTTGTGCAGCTCTGCGAGTTTTGAGGTGAAAGCTTGAATTTCAGGAATCTCATCCGTCATATTAATTAGCTGGCAGCAAAAAAAGTGAATGCCTGGAGCAGATGCATATGTGCCAGTTCCAATGGGCTCCGGTACAAACTCAGGCATTGTTTGATATAAAGCCGTCATCGAGGAAAACTCTCCAGTAACCATACCCTTGCCATTGTCACCTTGAGATACCTGCCATAGTCATTAGCAATACTCCATATCAACTTGGCAGAGATTACTTTACTTTGAGGAAGTAGGAACGGGGGGTGCCATCAGCCATTTGAGTTGAAATTTCAGCAGTTCTAGTCCAATAACTTGCTCCATGAGGACGAATGCTCTCGACCACGGTGCCTGGAGGCAATACTGACTTTGTTAAGGGTGGCCAGTATGATTTGTTGAACATACCAAACTATACTTACTTGCTTTGACGTTATCATCAACAAAATGAATCCATTTTTCATCGACATCGATTGGCTTGCCCCATTCCGCGGGGGTCATCACATGCAAAACCTCCAAGGGAGTAGCCATACCTGTGGTGGTAGAAGCAATGAGTTCAAAACAGCCAAAGTATGCCGTGACACCAGCCAAGTTTGGGGACTGAGGATAAAAGAGAAAGATGGGAGTGATCGAGAGCGTGGCTAAAATTCCTTCCTCCCAGAACTGGCGGGCGCGTGAGCTTGGAGTCTCGGAATACCATAGACAGAATGAAGAGAAGCTAAGGGGGAGACCTTCCTTTTGACAGGTTCAAAATGCAACTCTCGGTGAGTCCATATACCATAAATTTACTGGGCAAGGCTGTAGAAACAGTTAGTGGATTGGGCCGAATCAACTCGCTTGCGCCTGCCTGACATATACATGGTGCATAGTCCGACGCATTATGCATGCACATTCCATGGGCAATCACACAACGACGCCCCCCCCCGCTCTTGCTTATTGTACAATACTGTATTGAGTACGCTGCATACTATGCACGAGTTATTGGTTGGCCGTCTCAGCACCATCTTTCAATCACGATGCAATGCAACGCAGGATACAACCCTCGCAACCGTCCCGTCCTGATCCTTCGGACCGGTCTGGCTTTAAAGCGATAAGAACAAATCAATTGCTGGAGGGGCTGAAAGGACAAGGAAGTTGGGGAAGGCGGGGACGGGAGGAGTCGCAGGTCGTCGTACAGCTATCTTCTGGCCTCTTCAGCCGGTCGCAATCCATTTCGACCAGAGATGGAAAGTGGTCATGAGAGGCCGTGACAACTACTATGCGTATGACACTGGACCTCCCGGTTTGATCTGCAAGCCTTACCCGACAAGGCCTCAGGTTGTCTGTTTCCAACTTATATATTACTACCCGTATAGGACTTGCTCTAGTAGTTCTCTGTTGTTGGATCTTCCGACATCGCAGGTATCGCACCGACACCATGGTCAGGGTAGATCTAGGCCCTTCTTCAGGCTATGGATCTTAAGTCCCATCCAACCTCATCCTCATCCTCTACTAGTCGTTCTTTACTGTCTTCCACCCGAAGTTGGCTCCCTGGAGGAGGCGAAAACCAGAAAGCGGAGGACACGATAGGTCCTTTGGGACTGAACACCCTATATGTACCGTCATCTATCCCCGCGAACGCCGATCTGATTTTCGTACACGGACTTGGTGGAGGGTCACGGAAGACATGGACGAAACCAAATGACCCGTCAACTTACTGGCCCAAAGAGTGGCTGCCAAATGACCAAGATATGCAAGATGTCCGAATACATAGTTTTGGATATGACTCCAATTGGGGCAAGAAGAGCAACCTGGGGATCCATGACTTTGCAAGTGCGTTGCTCAGTTCCATTCTCCACTGCCCATCCATCCCCCAAGATACAAAGGTGTGTTCATTTCCCTTTCATATTATCAACCATAGCTCCATATTTTCATTCGGTACCTTTCGGTTCAGTAGCTCCAACTCATGGGGTCACATCTTACGAAGAGCGGATGCTCGTTGCAGGAATCATGTCCCGTTTCTGTTACTCGTGCGGACTTTTGCCCTAGAGATCAATTACTCACCTCGTATTAGGCTCCTATTGTGTTCGTTGGCCATAGTATGGGGGGCCTGGTCATAAAACGTGCATATCTCCTAGCTAGAGCAAAGAACGAGTTTGCATCACTAGTATCTCGCATTCAGGGTATACTATTCCTAGCGACACCCCATAGAGGAGCCGATTGTGCCCAGCTCCTCTCAAAAGTTCTCAATTTGATGGGCGGAAAAAGAGGTTATGTCAACGACCTGAATCGCGATTCTACGGCCCTCCATTCCATCAATGATGAGTTTCCCGACTGCTGCCAAGATCTCCTCCTGTATTCGTTTTACGAGACTATTGCGACGAGCTTCGCTGTCACAAAGAGCGTTATTGTGGGGAGAGATCTGGCAACAATGGGATACGCAAACGAACGCAGAGCATACATTCATGCTAATCATCGCGGAATTTGCAAGTACGATTCCCAGAAAGATCCCGGCTATCTCACAGTCAGAAATGCACTCGCTTCAGTTCTTTCTATCTTGCGGGACCGTTTTGGATCATCAAAAGAAGAATTTGACACCGATAGGCGCCAGCTCGACGATTTATTGGGCGTATCCGACGCTCCTGAGGATGATTTTATCAGCGCAGACAGTCATCGCATGGAAGGTTCAGTCGAGTGGTTGATCATGAAAGAAAACTTTCAAGAATGGATCCACAATGCTATCTCGCCGATTTATTCCATTACTGCCAAACCGGCTACAGGTAAAACAATATTAAGTGGAAAGGTTATTGCATATCTGAGGAAACTCAAAAAGCAATGCAGCTTCTACTTCTTCCGGTATGACACAAAAGAGAAGGCCAATGTCACGTCATTTCTACTGTCTATGGCGTGGCAGATGGCTAACTCTGACAAGAGGATATTGACCACCTGTCTCAATATCCTCGAGAAAGATAAAAATTTAAAGAGTGACTACCGCACTATATGGCGCAAGTTGTTTCTAGAGGGCATTTTCAAGATCCTCTGCGAAGAAGTTCACTACTGGGTGATTGATGCCTTGGATGAATCCAACAACGAAGCAGAAATTATCTCCCTGCTCATTAAAACGGCCGAGGTATCTTTCATACATATCCTGATAACGTCACGGAATCGATTTGAGCCTCGTCAAAGTTTAGGGGAGTCTAAAGTCAGTGTGATCTCGGAACCAATTCTAGAGGAGGACAGCAAGTCTGACATAACGATGTATCTCCGTGCGAATATGGATGCTCTCCCTTCCGTCGATAGAGACGGCCAGCAATCAATTGTCCGCCAGATCCTGGAGAAGTCGAGGGGATGCTTTTTATGGGTAAGCATAGTTGTTCAGGAACTCAGAAATATACACACCTCTACGGACAAGCAAAGAATTCTAGACGAGGTTCCTACAGACATGAATGAGTTGTATGCTCGGATTTTGGATATCATGTCAAAAGCCACCTACGGGAAAGAGCTTGCGAAAGCTATTATTACATGGACGGTGTGCTCTATCCGTCCTTTAAAAGTTCCGGAGCTTCATGAAGCTCTTCAACTAGACCTCAAAGTGACAATCGACGACCTCGAAAATTCGATACGGTCCTGCTGTGGGCAACTAGTCTACATTGATACAAACGGCCATGTACAAATAACTCATTTGACTGCTCGGCAATTCCTTCTCGACGCCGGCACAGATTCAGAGTTCTCGGTCAATGAGAAAGAAGGTCATCGACGCCTATTGTTGACAGGTTTACAGTTCCTCAATAGAGACCCAATAAAAGGCTTAAGGAACCGGAGATCCAATATCAGTACGATAGCTAGAGAAGATTCCGCCTTCATCAATTACGCTTCAAATTCTTTGTGCGAACACATATCACACGCAAGTTCGACAGATCGAGACGTACTACTCGCGGTGGCAGCGTTTTTTAAGTCCCGTAGCGTGCTACATTGGATTGAATACATTGCGAAGCATTCTGATCAACAGCGCTTGGTAGAAGCTGGGAAGGCTCTAGGCACATTTCTCCAAGAAATTCCCGTACAGGCATCATCAACATCTGCGGAGGTGGCATTGCTAAGCTCGTGGGCGACTGATTTAGTGCGCTTAGTTATGCAGTTTGGAAAAAATCTGGAACAGTACCCTGGATCCATTTACCATCTCATCCCGCCATTTTGCCCGTCCGAGACTGCTCTGCGGAAGCAGTTCGGATCATCAGCTCGAAGCATCACCGTTCGCGGACTACGAGCCGAGACTTGGGATGATTGCTTAGCAACGGTCATCGATATGCTTGAAAAATACTCAAGCATAGCATGTTCAAAGTCACAATTCTCAGTCGGATGTTTTAGTGGTAAAATATTTATCTTCAAACAAACTACTTGTCAAAAGATTGCGACTCTTCAACATGGTGAGCCTGTGAGGATCTTGATCTTCGGCGAGGTGAAGAACATTCTCGTTTCAGCAGGCTCAAAATCTATTTGTGTTTGGGATCTTAGCTCGAACACTAAACTGCACATGTTTGAAGCACCTCAGCAATGTATGGCGCTTTCTCTTGACGATGAAGATCGACTTCTTCTTGGAGCTTTAAAGGACCACCGCTTGAATTTCTGGGACTTAGATGCAGGGGGGCCATCAGTGCCGGTTGAATGGACCCGAGGCCTAGAAGCTATGACAATTCAAGTTTATCGGCGTCCAACTACTGCCGCGTTTGGGATAGACTGTGGGTTATTGGCAGTCATATACAAAGGCCAAGATATATTGTTATGGAACCTCGATACTGATTCGTTCGAAGCTCTCTATAGTAGGGAGTCCGGCAAAATTGCTGAAAGCTTGGGAAGACCATATGGCTCATCGGGAGTACGGTGTCTGGTTTTCGGCAACGCATCTAATGCAAACCTACTAGCATGTGCATATACAGATGGTGAACTGGTACTCTTTGATACCTCCATTGGAGAGGTCAAAGAGCGGATTGTGGCATTTGCTCACGTACTCGCTTGTTCGCCTGATGGCCGTATGCTAGCTACAGCTGATCCAGCGGGAACTATTCAGCTTTTCAGCTTAGAAACACTGCAGTTGATTTATCGAATTGGTTCAGTTGAGCCTGGACTCCAGGATCTCACTTTCAGCCTTGATGGCCTACGTCTGCTTGACATCAGAGGATCGCGGTGCCGGGTTTGGGACCTGGCTGATCTGGTAACAGCAGCTACGGACGAATCTGGATGCGCCGCAGATGACGCCAATACCACAGGAGGGGTCACTCCAGACCCTTCTGAAAATTCCATCTTAATCACATCAATAGCATGTGATGATATTGGAGAATCATTCTTTGTCGGTAAAGAAGACGGCTCTGTTCACGCGTACGCTATTGGCTCAGGCCTACATACTGGAGAACTTTTTCACCATGCCCATGGGGTTTCAATTTATTTTCTTCGCTTTGAAGCCGAAAGTCAGACGCTCATTAGCGTTGATTCATCCAGCAGGACCATGATTCATAAATTGATACGCCGAGGTCATTCTCTGTCGGCAACCCAGGTCCTATTTGACTATCGAACGCATGTAGCAGTGAGACAAGTCGTTTGCCAGCCAGGATTACAACGGATTCTTATAAGTTCGGCTCAGTCTGATATGCTCTGGTCCATATCACCAGATGACAATAACATTTTGGCCACCGCCGATTATGAAGACCGTGAGCCGTGTCGATGGACGAACCATCCACATAATCGCGATCAACTTATTGTCATAACGCACCTCAAAGCACATATCTACGATTGGAGAACATTACAGAGACTCACAGTTGAAGCGGGAATTGAACTCCAAGGAAAGATTCTACCGGAGCTCTCAATACAATCAGTGAGTCCTTGCTTTGATGGGACGGCTCTAGCAACTATGTTTAGCAAACCCAACCAGCCCCATTCAAAATCGAAACTCATAGTCTGGAATATATTGGACTTCACTCCTGAGTCGACTTCTGCGACCCCAGACCCAAGTTATCGCACATTATCTAACAACGTTGAAGTACTCATCGGCAACACCTGCGCCATATCTGGTCAATCGCAGCGCTTGATTTTCCTAGGTGTTGGCCAATGGGTCTGCGCTGTTGACATGGAGGCGGCTAAGACAAATAGTTTCGTGCGGCACTTTTTCTTCCCTGCGGACTGGCTGACTACGAGGAAGGATTTGGATTTAACTATGAAGGTAACAAAGAACGGAGACCTATTGCTCATAAAAGATGATGAGGTTGCGGTTGTGAGGAGGGGACTACTTACGCCCGAATTCGTGGAGGGTGGTGGAAATACGGGGAGTTCGACGCCATCGACAGGAATATCAGCACTTACGCGTAGGGTTCGCAGGGTTGGACTCTAATGAGGTTTGCAGTACCATATCGTGCAAAAAACCTTATTAGAGTCCACTCCCGGTTCATGCAAGCTTTGGTTCGTCGGTTCAGGGTCAACTTCACTATCGAGATATAGGAGAGAAAATTTGGAGGTATAAGTTTAGTTAGAGGTGCTGAAGTTGGATATTTTGAATCGTCGCGGCGATTGTCTAGGACTGGTGGGATGTTGGTGCTAGTGTTAGGTCGAGTTAGAGTCTCTATGAAGGATATAACTTATGGATATGATGTGAAGTAATTAGCAAGGCTTGGAGTTTTAAACTTCGGGTTTGAGAGGAATTGAGGGGATTTGAGGTGACTAAAGGAATCACTCACTCAAAAGAAATAATTTTCACTTAACTTTGGGTTTGTCAGTGTTGCGACATGATGTGCAAAAGGTTTCAGACACGGCCTAGAGCCCAACATTGGCAATCTTTTGGCCTATATAATCTTGCCACCATTAGTGTCCCTGTAATATGAGGGCCTTGGCTTAATATATTATAGACTATTCCAGTGGTGACTGTCCCTGTCTATGTCTCAGACCCTACAGGACGTCGGTGTGCCAATGCAGGCGGGACAAGAAGCTTGAATGATTATCTGACGTATCAGTATTGGCACTGCCAAGCTCCCACTCCTTCCTGTTTTTTGGCCTATCTTCGACATATTTTCACTATTAAAAAAATATATGTCTCTTTGGAATTAATCCGGTTATCTCTACTTATTTATAGGATGTTCATGGAGACTGAAGATAATTTTTATTTAATACCTTGTAGATTTAAATAAAAATTATATTGGCTAACCAGAGTTTATGCTACAGGATACGTAGCCTAAACTTATCAAAATATGATGCTTAAATACCTCATCCTGGCCTACGTAAATAAGAATATATACAATAAAAGCATCTACTATATTAATGTTTACCATATGTTACTCCTCTTTCATGGAGTTACGATCACTTATATAAGTTATAAAAAGGGGCAATAAACGTGACTGGCCAATGCCGCCAAGGCTGAAGGCGGGGCGGGGCGGAGAGGCGACGCCGACATTCCGATCGGCTGTTTGGGGATGGTGCGTGTACGAAGTAGCTCATGGTCCAATGTGAAAGGACACTTCCGGCCTTGGTTATCAGGGTATCGTCACCAATCCATGATTCTCACGACGACAACGACGCTCTAAGTTCTCAATCCGCGATTGTTAACTGCCGCTGAAGCTCTTTTATTTATTATTACCTCTACTCTCAAGAGAGTTATTGGCTGGGCGACACGAGCGAGGCTACCACGCCAAGTGTTCCAACGACGTGACTTGATTGACACGAAGCTCTCCCATTGAAACGCGACTCTCGCCGCATAGCACGAAGATTACGAACTCAACTTCCGCGGCCGGCACGGCTCCCGGCTACCTGCGCGCGCATGCCCACAACGGCCCAGGCTTGATGCGCGTCTGCACCGCGGCACAGGAGGATGACCTCGCCGTATCCCTCGACGTCAAGCCGGACGAGGGATGAGCGCAGCGCAAATACAGGGACTCTATCTTCAGCTACGGTACGACCGCGCGTACGACGACTTATAAGCACAGAGAGTGATGGAGAAGCTCCGCCAAAGGACCTTAGCCCTCTGCCGGCTGCACACCCGAGTCGGATAGGCGGCAGTGACAGCATAGGGGGCAGAAGTAATGGCGGGCTGTTGGGTGGATCAATGAGGGATGGGAATATACCGCAAAGGCAAGGGTTGGGAAAGGGCCTTTTTGATGGTGGCTGGACGGGGAGCTGGACCGCTCTCCAAGGGCTGGCAAGCTCAGTTCTCAGCGGAGACACGGCGGCCAGCCCGGTGCTGAAACCTGTTGGTGCTACAAGGAGGAAGAGACAGAATAGTTTCACACCATCTCCGGCATTCTCGGAATGGGGACCCCCGGGCAAACCGAACAAAGGCAAAGGCAGAGATATCGCAGCAGAGTCACTCGCAGCGCGCAACTCGGCCGTCAACGTCCTCAAGACAGCATCAGCAATGCAGGATCACGAAGGCACCAATTCAGGCCTCCAGATCGGGCGGCACAAACGCCGCACATCCGACGACCTTACCGGCCCAGCTGTTGACGACGATACTGACGCCCTTGTATACGTCCACCACGTCAAACCAACTGATACCCTCCCTGGCGTTATCCTGAAATACAACTGCGACCCCGCCGTCTTCCGCAAAGCAAACCGTCTCTGGCCCAACGACGTTATTCAATTCCGCAAAACCGTTCTTGTACCCGTCGACGCCTGCGCCGTGCGCGGTGTCCCCTGCGACTCGCCCACAGAGCTCATCTCCCCAGCCTCAGCCCTAGCGGATGAAGAACCGCCTAACCTCTCCTCGCCCTCCGCACCTTCCCCTTGGGCAAACTCCATCCTCTCCCCCCCAGATATCCCAGAAACAGATACCTCAGACCCAGATGGCGACCCCTGGATCCCTGTCCGCTGGGTTCTGCTCCCCTCCTCCCCAGCCTCCGAACCGACGCAAATAGCGCGCCTGCCGCGCAAGAAACTAGGCTACTTCCCGCGCCGACGCCGGAAAAGCGGCGATGTACCCTCGGGCGTGGCGTCATTACTTGATTCTCCGCGTGAATCAGTCGATGTCTCTGCCTCTGCGTCTCCTGCTGCGAGTCCGGGGCCGAGGCGACTGAGTAATCTGACCAGTGGCATGGCAGCGGGGCGTGCTGTGTCGGTGGGTCGACCGAGGCGGGAGTCTACGAGTGAAGCTGCGGCGAGGGGTGGATGGTTCCGGGGCCCTGGTGGTGTGGGAACGTTTGGGCCGGATGTGAAGAGGCCGGGCCCGGCACAGGATGGGCTTAACCGCTGGGTTAATAGGCACGTGCCGGGGTTGACGATTGATGATGTAGCCTCTAAACATGGAGCTGGATTTTCCGATAGAGAAGGCATGAGTGGTGTAGGAGATGTGTCTGGAAGTGGCGGACGAGGCATCGAAGTTGCTGCTGCGGCTATAGAGGGCTGGGTGAGGCGGCTTGGAAGGCCAGTGACGCCATTGGGAAGGCAGGTGACGAGGGAGGAAGTCGGAGATCTGATTGAATTACGAGATGGGCCTGGAAGTGACGACGGAAATATGGGCGGATTTGGAATTGGCACTGGTGGTGTACCACGGGGGAGGAAAGGTGCAAAGGGAAATTGAATCGGGTGAGAGGCAGCGTTTGGATGCGCACCCCACTTGGATAATCAGAGAGTGACGACACTTAGCGTTGCAGGAGGGAACCAGTGAGATATTTGGCTACACGTAGCAGTATCCGCACATAAATTTTCTAGATCACATTTTCAGTTCATACCTAGCAAGAAGGTGCGCGCGGCGTTTGGGAGAGGAGGGATTGTGGATTCCGCATTTTTTGTGCGGCTGATAGATGAGAGGAACCCGGAGAATGATATCTATATTTTACACGGTCATGAAAATAGCATGTGTGCGAAGAGCTAGGACGAGAGGTGACCAGAGAATTGAAGTTTGCATTGGCTTATCCCGCACGCCACCCACCCATTGCCCATCTCAGACACCACCAAATTCTCCTTTCACAACTTCACCCTCGAATTCCCCTTTCATAACTTCCCCCTTTCCTCCCCACAATTGCTCCTTCTTCGCGACCCCCTCTTTCCCATCTCTCATCCCCACCAACTCCCCAACTGGTGTAAACCGTCCGCTCAAGCAACTCGGACATCCCACACGCTCCTTCAGCATCTCGGTGTCCCGCCGTGTCTCCCATCGCAGCTCCTCAACAAGTCCTTTGAGCCTGTCGATCTTGTCGGACAGCTTGGTTTGCTCAGCGAGTAGCGAAATGATAGCATTTTGGAGGAAGGCGATGTGAGTGTTGAGGGAAAGGGAGAAGGGTGAATGGGATGGTGTGTTTTTGGTGCTCATGGTTGGTGTAGTTGGGGATGGAGTGGTGTTGAGAGGTGCCGAGATTTGGTGGGCATGGAAGGGTTTTGTGGAGGGTTGTTAAAGAAGCGTGGGTGGAAGGGAGAGGGAGGTTGAGCCGGAGTGTTCTACGGGATACTTGGAATCTTTCTTTAGGAGCTGGTCTTGCTTTGTGGGAGAAATGCAAAGTGTGAGAGCCACGGTGATAACCCATTGACATCTCCAGGACAAAAAAATCAATTGAACGCCTTTAATCCTCTATAAAATCAAAAACCCAAGTTTGCATCCGCCTATATCTCCCAGCAGAACTCTCTCCCAACACCTGGCGCATTCCACCCCTTCACCCTTCAGCAAGCCGCCACGGCCGCGGATGTTCAAGGTCCTAGCATGGCCCGCCACGCCCCTCATACACCTAACCTCCTACTCCATCACAAACATCTCGGCCAGCACCCACGCCCCATTCACCCAGATAATGCGCCTCCAGACCCTGCGACAGTCCCGCTGCTTGTGTCGTAGCCCGTAATGAAGAACGCTGCCTTTTTTAGAGCGGAGATATACACATCCAGCTGCCCAGACTCCCGCTCCATCTCAGCCCGTCGCTGCCCCATAACGGCCCGCAGCCGCTCGGCGCCGCGCAGAAGTCCCTGTATCCTTTCAAGGTCTTTTGGCACTGGACGCCCTCCCAATAGCTCGATCGCTTGATGTAGGTTTGCCACCAACTGAGGTGCACAGTCTCGCTGAAGCGCACTCTCTTGTTGGAGCAGTTGCTTGTGTTTGTATGCAATGCCTCGCAGCATTATGACAAGATTACGTAGTGAGTTCTTGGTTTCCGCGAGTGATTGTTGCCGGGGCTGTTGTGCAACTGCTGTCTTGGGCTTTGATTCCCCTTCCATGATGCAAGTAGACAAGAATGGAGGCAATGTTTTGGGCGAGGAAGTGCGCGACAAGGTGTTGATTGATGGCCCCGAGCAATTGATGAAGGTTTTTGCTCTGTATAGAAGGGATGAGATTTCATATCTAAGTTAACACGACGATGGCGAGGACATTATATATGGAAGTAATGAGAGGGTTTTCACTCCCCCGAGGACAAAGATGTTTGATATGTGGACGAAACGCGAAAATTATCTTGACGAATATAGCACCTGCGTTTCATGCTGCTGCGAGACTGAAGTTCTGGTCTACCGTCCGTCTCCTCCAGACTTGACTCCAGCAGTTTGATAGTAGCGAAGACCTGGACCTGCTCGGCGACGTCAGTCGTCTGACTCAGGGGTAAGAGATGCCTTTGTTCAGTACGAGACAACGGGCACAATGATGCACTCTCTACAACATCAAAACATGTGTGTCAGTCCTCACCTCCGCCCTCACGGGACACAGAAAGAATCACATAGACAACCACCCCTCAACATCCCACCATCACAACCCCCGCTTTGAAACCACAACTGCTCGACGACAGCCCTCACCCACACAACAAAACCTCAAAACAACAACGCTCCATTATCAGTCCAAACTATACATGGGTATACCTATCCCTATCTCATCCCATATCCCGCTATGATGCCGCTAACCCGACCACTGCAATGCCCCATGCTGCACCATCTAGCCAATTTACCACGAAATTAATAATCAACAGCCCACCCATTCTCCTTCAGGAACTCCTCGCACGCCTCCCGCAGCGCCAGGTTGGGCCGTAGCTCGTCGATGCGCAGTGGTTCGCGCGTGAGCGGGTCGGTGGGAGAGCGGCGGAGGTGCTCCATGATTGAGGCGCGCTCGTAGGATTTGCCCGTTTTTGTCTTTGGGAGGTGTGTTAATAAGGGTGCTTGAAGTGGTATAGGGGATACCAGTTGTGACGTTTGATGTCTCCAGGGGGGGGATGACTTACTATAACCGGATCGACCATGAAGGAGAAGGTAATATCATCAACCGCCCAATCCGGCACAACCCTCTTCTTCTCCGCCTTCCCAGCCTCAACCCACACCCTCTCAACCTCCTCAATCATCTCCTCTCCCTCCTTCCTCAGGCCCTCCCTCTCCCCCTCCTCAGCCCCTTCAACTCTCCTCTCCAAATCCCGCCTCAACCCCTCCACAACCTTCCCCCTCACCCCCTCCGTCCCCGCAAGCCTCTCCTGCTCCCTCTCCTCCCACGCAGCTTTCTTACACTTCAACACCACAGACACTACACTCCCCAAACTCCCCGCCTCCTCCTTCGCAGCAATCTTATACGCCTCCATCGCCTCCTTCAGCGCCTCCCTTCCACGCCCCAGTCCCACTAGCGCCTGCGCCCCGTAATGCCGCGCCTTCATATTCGCCTTCTCCTTAATCGCCAAACTCGACGAGCAGTCCTCCAGCACGCCTTCCAACAGCCCCAGCTTTAGCCTCGCCATCGCGCGGTTGGTATACAACATCGGAGCCGACGGGTCGATGAGAATAGCTTTAGTATACAGCGCCTCGGCCTGCACGAGGTCATTGGACCGGAAGTATCTGGATCCCTCGAGGTTAGCTGCTGAAGCGGCGGTGGTGGTAGTGTGAAGATAGAGCGCGTGGGCTCTTTCGGCCTCGGTCATGGGGGTTTTGGGAGTGGATACGCCGGTGCTTGGGTCTTCGTCCTCACTCGTGTCTTCGACTGCTTCGTCGGGAGTGGAACGAGTGGGCAGAGGGAAGTTGGTTGATGAGGTAGGGAGAATGATGATGGGGTTTTCGGGGGGAGCTGGGGTTGGGAAGTAGTCCTCTGGCTCGTCTGGAACGTCGTCCATGGCGAGTGTGATGTGCCCTTATATCCACTCGTTGGAGTTTCTCTCGGCTTCTCTCATATGCCTGCTCTACTCACAGCCAGCACTTGCTTCGTGACCCAGCAGTGAGAACCAGAACTAGTAGTTGACTGAGTAGTTGACTGAAGCAAAGTAGAGACTCAGAAGCAGGAGTTATTCAAAACCACGGGGGCAATAGGACTAGAATGGAAGCAGAAAATATCATCAAAAGAACCAACACAAAGACAAGCCAACCTACTTATTCCCCTCCTCCTTCAACTGCTGCGCGCGTGCCGCCGACATCTCTACTTTATTGCCCCTGCACCTATGCGAACCTTCCCGATGCCTCTCTCTGCCTACCACTCAGCTACTCCAGGCAGCTCTCTCCCTCGGTATGAGTCGCCGTGTGGGTCGTGCAGCCAGGGCGAGACAAGGCTGTGCTATGGAGCCAGCAGGCTGCAGCGGCGGCCTGGAGGGGGCCTGGGCGCTTGGGGAGTGTTGATTGGAATTCGAGAGCTGGGAGGGGGGATTGTTATCAGGATGCTTGCTGGCTGGGTCTGGAGCGCGGGGGGGGTTTCGAGCGTAGGCTGGTCTGCGTGGCTGTGCGTCGTTGGTTGGTTGAGTCGGCGTGGTCGGTCAGCCTCGTGGGTGTCTGAGTGACGGTGGGGGGTTCTGGATGTGAAGGTATGTAGGGACTCGCTATGCTGACGCTGATGATATCACCGCTAGGAGAATAAATGAGTGTAATATATACAGCTATTCCGGAAAGAAGAAATAAAAGAAGGGGGAGAGGAGAGCTGAGTTTAAATGTTTTATGTCGGCGTTTGTACTGGTGGGTGTGCTGTCGTGGGGTTCAGCTATCCGTCGGCCATCCCTGTTGGGGTTGTATCTGTCAGCCGTGGAGCTATTGGAAGCTGCTAGAAGAGGAAATATATACCGTGATTTACGATATCACTTACAACTTATCGTATCGACTTCAACAAGAGCTCTGCGAATATACACAAACACTAATATATATATGCGAATGTATACTGCTGTTCTTACATTCTAGTCGGCTGTTTGGGCGTTGGTTGTCATCTTGGATTCATCTGGGAGTCATTGGCTCATAACTTCACCATGCAATCAATATCACGAATATGACGATGTATCCCCGCAATATATCGCACTTCGGAAGAAACAGTTATCACTGTCCCATGAGCATGGTCGGTGGAATAACACGCCTTCTAGTTTATATAGCGCTTAATATACACTTTCTAAACATCTCTCTCTTCCCCTCCTTCTCCCATCCTGCCCTTCTATCCCAACCAACTTCCCCATTCGAATCAAATAAGTCGATTAGAAAGGCTGCCTCATAGTTAGTATCCCGCGTCATGCTCATTCATCCACCACACAAGAAGGGATATCACATACGTTGTCCGAAGCCGGAATCTCCCTGATGAACCTTTGTCCGATGAAAGGCACCTTCTGCAAAGTCGTTAGCCCCCACTCTCCCTTGACACCATTTCCATTTCCATTTCCATATCATCTCATCTCTGGGGACGTACCGAGAGGATATCCTTGCGCACAATTGGCACCTCGCCGAAGAAGAAGAGGGCGAAGAAGCCGGCGGACGCGCCGAAGCCGGCAAGAGTCATGCCACTGTCAAACCGTCAGCATGTCTGTTCCAAGCACCTTGTCCATATCCATATCCATCCTCCATCCCCATCCGGCTCGCCATGCCTTCACTCGCATCTCGGATCGGCGGGAAACCCACAGCTTCGTCGTCGACTTGACGGTCCACCCGCCAATGTTTGGCTGGATCTTGTACCTGCGCCCTGTCAGCCCTCCATTCCTCCCTCTCTCATAATAGCCATTGCGGATTGTTAAACGTACTTAGGTCCATAAGCGGAGCGGTAGGTGCGGTACGCCTTCTGCGACGCCCACGGGGCGGTAGTCTATCGTAGCTCAGTCAGCCCAGCTCTGTCCATCATTCGCTGCTTCTGCGCGCAAATCTCTATGCGCGAGAGTATGTAAAGAGCTTACCCCAGCCATTGTATGCGATTAGGTTGCGCGGAGGCGTATGTGGAGGGTTCAATTGGGGGGTTTGATGCGAGTCGGAGCTTGTCTTTGGTCAATTGCAGATTTCCCGAGAGGGTATTCGCAAACATCACGTGACTAAAAACAAGAGGATAGCCGGGATGTTCCGAGAGTGACATGTGTGAACTGCTCTCTTGATCGAAGGTTTTCTTCGATTTGTGTGGCATATTTAAATATCTACAGCTTCATTATATCTCTAATAGGATATATGCTGTTGTTCCGTGATTATTCATACTAATTCCCATTATAACGACTGTTTGGTTGAACTTGATAGATAGACAGCAACTATTTGTTGTACCCTCTCATACTAAACCAGTGCAGAGGTACTTGCTCCCTCTCCCCACACATGGACCCTTCAGTACCTTCGTATCGGGCATAGCAGGAATCTGATACTCACGAGACAAACAGACAGACAGCCTTGCCACCGACGTCAAGATCAACGACAAACTGTTATAATATCTCGAACACTCACTCTTTTTCTCTCTTCTCTTCTCTTCACAATCACCGTCACTACTTTCGCCAGCTTCATATTTCTACAGACTCCCAGCTCGTCCCTTATAAACCCCCGTGGCCCCCCAAGAGTTACATCACCGATCCTCCAACCAACATCCTGTGCCCAGCCCAGCACAGTACAATCCCCATCCCGTCGCCCTCGGCAGACCTCGGAGCGCTGCCTGTAATTCCCATCCTCCTGATTCGACAACAACCATCCACCACCCCTCACTCGACCGTCCACGAACATACCCTCCTCACGTCACTCACACGGCACAACCGCGACTCGCTCACTCATCCAAACCTTTCCGCGGCTAGGCGTCCGGGCGACCTGTCAGTCAACCAGAGAAGAAGAGGGGGACCGACCACCATCCATAAAATACATCCAGATCCCCCATCGCTATCCCCCGAGATAAGACGCCCATTTCCCCGCAAACTCGACCCCGCGATCCCATTTTCCCCGCCGGCGACTGTTTGGTCCCCGTGTGGTGACGATATTGCATACGGCCAACGATTTGAAGACGACGAGACCGACTGTTGATCGGTATTGAGCGCGGAGGTGTTAAAAGCCGCCGACGTCGACAAGTTGAACAGCACCAACTCATACTGCCCTGAACGGAAGGAACGACTCGTTGATCGGGTCTGACACAAGAGGAAGCCACGACCTTCCTTCTTGTGATATAAAAGGAAGCGACGACCGCGAACGAAATCACCACCGCACCTTCCGAACCGGCCTCACCTGGCCATCCAACATCGCATCTTCCAAACTGGCTTCACAACCCACCATGCCTTCCCCAACCCAACACCCCCCCCGCCCCTTCCTCTCCAACTTCCTCGCCGCCTTCCGCGCCCGCTCCTCCTTCCAACAACCTACAAAACAACCCTCCACTACCACCTCCACAGCAAGCACCTCCACACAGCCCCCCTCGCCCTCCTCCCAGCCCTCTCAGCCGTCTCAGCCCTCACAGCCCTCACACCCCCGCACCATTACCCCGCCAAAATCCCACAACCACCCCACCACCTCCGCCCTCTCGGCCCTGCACTCCCCGCCGCTTTCTCGCTCACCAGGCACGAGCCCGGGGTACATGTCTACCATGGCCAACTCGGCTGCGGCGAGGAGGAGGGGGAGTGACAGTGAGAGTGAAGGTGGCGGGGGGTTTAGGGAGATTGGCAGTGGAGGGGGGGAGAAGTGGTATGTGGGTGGACGAACGGCGGCGGGGGAGGAGAGGTTCTTTAGATTGGGTGTTGTGAGGAGGGATGGGAGTTTGGATAGGGTTAGTTCGGATAGGTTGAGTTTGTAATGTGGAGAGAGAATGCGGAGAGTGCGGAGGGATTGGATGATGCATTGACTGCGGGCTGGATATGAACGATCATTGAGTCGATATGAGACACGGATATGACATTGGATACGGATATGACACTGGATATGGACAACATGACAAATGGATACGGATATGGGAGGCAACTCGGCTTGGGCAGGACAGGACAGCTCGGACGGACGGCTAGGTTTGCTTTGATTTGGCGTTCTGGCGAACTTGGTAGATGTAGATGACCGACGCGACTCGGCGCGGTGACGGACAAAAGGCAGCTTCTTGGCTCAGCTTCGTCTGATGATACGATGAATACACACACATTACCGCTCTTCAATACCCGTGTCAGACTTGGTAGTTCCATTATGCATGCCATTTATTAACTCCGTAAACCCCTTAGAGACCCCACTCTCCAATATATCCCCCCTGGTATCACACCCCCCCTAGCCCCCCACCTAAAACCCCTCACCCATCTCAATCCCCCCCTCCTCATCCTCATCCTCCTCCTCCTCCTCCCTCCTCCCCTCCGCCCCCCCCCCCCCACCCAACCTCGCCAACCCCCCCCCCACCCCCGCCACAACCCCCCTCACCTCCCCAACCTCCCAAGCACCCACAGTCCCCACCCCCCTCACGCCCCCCTCCCCCGCAACCACAAACCCCCTAACCTTTCCCCCCCTCACCTCCCTCACCCCCCTCACCAGCCGTCCCACGACCGCTTCTTCCCCGCCCAGACACCCGCCGCTCACGAGCGCCTGCGCGATCTCAACCCAGTGGAAGGGGAGCATGTCGCAGAACTCGGGGCTGGCGAGCTCGGCTGCTAATATCGTCTCGAGCCCCGCGGGAGTCAGCCACGGCGGGGGGACTAGCGTCGCGCGGTTTTGCCGGTGTAGTAAGAGCGCCAGCCACAGCGGTAGGGTTGTAGGGCGCGGGGGGTTGAGCTGGGGTGTTGGGCCCTGGTATCGTTAATAATTACTCTCTTTCTGGTCCTTGCGTTGCCCTGCTTCATGCGCGGGGGACTGGGGGGGAACGTACGGAGAGTAATTCGATAGACTGCATTCTCTGTCGCGGAATAACGGTTATAGGTTCGTTCTCACACAGGAAAGCCGTTTCTGCTGGTGTCAGCCCCGCGGGGAGAGGGAGGGCCATGGTATGTGTGTGTGTGGTGAGGAGGAGAGCGGGGAGTCGTGGAGTCGCGGGGCGGCGCGTTCAAGCGCGCTTCGGGGTGATGGTGAGGAGTGCTCGGCGTGGCTTGTTGGGGTGGATTGTGGGTCGGTAGGTAGATAGTGAGAGTTCGTGGATTTGGTATGTGTATCGTGGTATCGTAAAGGCGTGTTTGGCGTTATGGCGGTGGGAATGCTTGAGGTTGATGAGGGGATGTCTGTCGCGTCGTGGTGGTGAAGTTGCGAGGCTGTGGTGGGGGGTTGGCGAGGCTGAGGGTCTGGTGAGAAAATGGTCTGCGATTGATATTTCTCCTTGCGACGATATATTGTACAACATTTTAACTTTTGTATTCCTTTTATACATTTGTATACTATGTAACATGCCCCGGGAGGCCGCTGAAATATAATTATACACTCGGAGAATCCGTCATCATTAACATGAACACATCATCAACCACCACCCACCACCCACCACCCACCACCCACCACCGCCTACTCCCACGCCGGCCTCTCCACATCCTGCAACCTCGCCAACTCCAAAAACAACCTATACATATAAACCCCCCTATCCACATCCCTCAACGCCTTCCCAAACCACCTCCTCCCCTCCTCCGCCACCTCCCTCGCCAACCCCTCCCCCGTCTGCGTCCCCGTCAAATACGCTACTATCTCCGGAACCTCCTCCATCTCCTGGCTGATAGGTATATAATGCACCCACGGCACCAACCGCTCGTCATGCCACTCCCTCAACAGTGTCTGCTTCAGCGGCACAGACTTGGACGCGAGGAGCTTGTAGTACCGCCCGCTAATGCCGTTGCCGTCGAGGTCGAACACCAGCTTTGAGCGTAGGGGGCGATCCTTATCCGACCACGGCTTGGTGGGGAAATACGCGCTTTGATCTTTGCAATTGTCTTTCTCACACTGGAGTATTCTTGAGAAACCAACATCGTACAGCCGGCTATTAAGAAATAGACTCGTCACGCGAGTCACTACCCCCTCAACCTCAGTGAGGTAGTAATGCGCTTTCCGCTCCAGATTCTGCGCCAGCATCACGAACCGCTGGCGGTGGTAGTATCGCCATTTATCATTATTCGCGTAGCCCCCCGTCGTCGACCCAGCCCAGTAGAGGTTATTCCGCTTCGCCTCCCATTCCACATCTCCCGACTCATCGTAGCGGAAGCCCGGCTCGATGTACGCAGCGGGGGGGTAGACGAAGTCGCTCATGGTGGATGGCACGCCGCATGAGAGGACGGGCACGAGGCCTTCGATTAGTTTGAAGGAGGTGGGGCTGAGAGCGAGGCCGTTCAGGTCGCTGTACTCGGGGTGAGAGCAGAGATCTATGGTTGCGGTTAGGTTGTTGACGAAGGGGATGTCATAGCCTTCGACGGGGTAGTCGGGCTCGGCGGGGCGTGTGCTTTGTTGGGTGGGACAGAATTTGGTGAGTTTATCCCAGACGGGTTGGCCGCCCCTGTGGTTGATGGTGAATTCTGTCGAAGCATTGCTGGTTCTATTGAGTCCGCTATGGAAGTCTCCCACTGGCGATGGGGGGAATAGGACTCTCGGCTCGTCGAGGTGGTTGATGAGGAATTTGACCTCGGGAAGAACGCCACGCAAATTCTCGAACATCCCATTTAGGTAGTTTTGAATATTCCTATCGGCAGTACGATAGGGATGACTGCAGCTCGTTTGAGCTTGGTCACTTGCGAAGGTACAGAACCACAGGTCGCTGTCTTTAGTTTCGTATACACGAGTAATTATTTCGTTAACCTCTCTACCGCTTAGTTTCCAGAGCGGCGAGATGCTATGGAAAAGCTGGTCAAAGTCATCAATTATAGGTGACTGGTGCAACGTCGCATATTCATGCCAGGCTTTGAATCCAGGTGGGGGATCAACGGCATATCGACGACGATACTCGTTATGAGCTGCTGTGTAGTTCATGGACTGGCGCTCAACCAAGCTTTCAAAGCCTGCCTTGGCATTGTGGATCAAACTTGCGATCGGATGTTCTTGGGAGCGTACAAGTATGGATTGTGCCGTTTGGATGGCAATGGTGTTGGCAATGAATGGAACAAGAGAGGCGAGAGAGAATACCCAGAGAGCTGACTTGGCTGCCGCCTGCCTGGGGAGGATGTGGATGACCTGGCCAAGGACGAGGAAAGATACTATGACATGTGATACAGCTTGGGTATCCAAAGTCTGTACGAAAGGATCTAAGGTGGATACAATGCTGAATGTTGCAGTCGTAGTGACGGTACGCCAGGAAGAGTTCCGAGCCTAGGGCAGTGAGTATGATGAAAGACTCAAGATAAGGACTTTACTTACTGTCTGTATAATAAAATGCCAAGTGAATGATTTGGCCAAGCCCAGGGTTAAAGTCATTAAAGGTTCGCTAGTTGCAAAATCAAACGCCACCTTCTCGACGCCAAGTAGAATGGCTAACAAGATGACAACCCGGACTGCGAGAGGGAGGATGGCGTTTTCGATATCAAAAGGCTGAATAAATCGGGAGCCTTTGATATTTCCTGAGGTCAAAACGTCGAAGAGTACCAATAGACCAGCACCCGGGATAATCAACAGCGTATACCACCGGAAATCCCAATCCAGCATGGTGAGAATGACAAACAAAGCAGCCAGGGCTGTGCCCCATACCGTGTTCACGAACGGGGAGAAGAAGCGCGAATCAGCGGATGTACGGACATCAGACCGAAGATACCTCTGGGCTGCCAGAAGTAATGGCGTTAATATAGGCTGGTGATGTTAGCTATGTGAACATGTGTCTGGCACGTGGGCTGTCTTACCAAAAATGCAATCATGAAGCTCTCCGCTCTAAAAATACAAAACGTGACAATGCTCAACGAAACGAGCCATAATGACGCCGCAGTCGCAGGCTGGGTTTCTGGGTTGCCAAGGGGCGCCTCTCCCCAGGTCTTGCTGTCATCTTGCTGCCGTCTTCGACCAACAACCCTGTACACTAATGGCAGGAATAACCAGCCGATCGTCTCGGACCATAGTTCAGACTGCCTGGACGCCAGGCGCTGCGTGAAGATGCTGCATAGGAGAGCTGCGGCGGCGGAGATGGTAATGGGGTCGATGTTGCCGAAGGGCGATTGCCACATCGTCGTCACTTATGGGGCCTTCTCCACAGCACACAGGATGTCACCTGTAGCTCAGTCTTCGTGGGTATGGCGGCTTTGTCAGACGGCTGTTTGTAGCTAGGCGCGCGGCATGGGTGGTAGCAGTTCAGTCCAGCCTCTGTACACATACTATGCAGTCGTAGTACTTCATATAGAAATAGTCTGAAGCGGCGCTAGGCGGTCAGATTAGACGCAGTAAGTAAGGATCGTGAAGATGCAGCATTCCCAATCCCAAAGGTGATCTTGTTCATATTTAGGCTGAAGGGGCTGGGCGCCCAGGGTGCCTAGAGAGCCAACGGCGGGGGGTGAAGCTGGGCGTGCTGGGCGGCAGGGGAGGCATAGACCGCCGAGCCCAATGAAGAGGCATCGCTAGACTTCAAATCCTTTCCCGGCCCAAACAGGCAGCCCTGTAACAACTGTGACAACCAACATGACAGCGCCGAGACGGTAGCCAAGGTACCAAATACAGCGATCTGTTCGATGCCAAATCCTTGGACTCAGCTTGTGAGTACTGGAGTAGGGCACTCTACTGTGGCGAGCACAGCCCTGACGATGAAACAGAAATCACAAAAGCCACGATGGCCTCGGCCTCCGAAGCATCCGGGCCGTTCCATGTCAAACTGTGCTCGTATAGAGAAGCACTTTAATTTACCCCGGGATTGGATTGGTTACATGGCCCTAATATCGTGTAAGAAAATGGAATAAAGAACCACTTGATGCTGAATACTGATCTGATATACCACAGTGAACCTTTCTTACCCACCTCTTTGTGAGACAACTCACATATCTTATGGACAAGGCATATTATATGCACACATCCGCTGAGGCACAGCAGCACAACAACAACAACAACAACAGCCGCCCCAATGGCATGCTGACACGCTGACTCTGCAAGTCATCTTTGTCCTCGGAGAATGGAAATAGCCAAGCAGCTAAAGTTGAAGCCAAGAAGCCAAGAAATGAGAAAAATCCGTTGGTTCGTTGATGTCCCACCTGGCCCCCCTTTGCTTTCCTTATTCGGCCAATACGACGCTGTCACAGCTGTCAACCCCTAAATTGCCTCATGGAGACAAGTTTTTCCGTATAAACGCCCCCCCGTATAGAAGCTGACATAAACTTAGGAAACCTAGGAAACTACGGATAAAAGTAGCTCCGCTGTGCGGAGTCGTGGCAGCAGCTATGATCCACCTTGACTCAAACGATAAGGGTTGAACTTATTTACTTTCATAACTCTCAAAACTCACAAAGCTCATAACTCCTTGTACAAACCAGCCCCGACTTCAAAGGTCTGTTCGCGGAACTATATACAACCAGATCACCAAATCCAGAACCCAGATCAAGCTTCCTTTCATTTCATGCCAGCAGTCATGGCCCCCAAATACAGAAATCACCTCCCCCACCTCGATCCAAACCGCAAACCCTTCCTCGCCGAGGGTGGTCTTGAAACTGACCTCATTTTCCGCAAGGGCGTCACCCTCCCCCACTTCGCCGCCTTCACCCTGCTCGACACCCCGGAAGGCACCCAGACCTTACGCGACTGCTACACCCCCTACATCCACCTCGCCCGCCGCCATCGCACCGGCCTCATCCTGCAGACCCCCACATGGCGCCTCTCTGAGCCCTGGGCAAGACGCCTTAACTACAACGAACCCGCGGAGAAAGTCATCTATGCCAGTCGTGAGTCCGTTGAGCTCCTAGAGTCTCTCCGCGATGAGTTCGAAACAGAAGAGACACCCATCGTCATCAGTGGTTCTCTCGGGTCCCTCGCAGACGCATACAAATCGACCCATGATACCTCATCCCTCAATGGCCCCGCCACAGCTCGGTCTCAGATCTCCGCCCTCGCCGCAGCAGGCGTAGACATGCTCGCACTGATGACGACATCCTCCCCTACCGAAGCAATCGCCATCATCGAGCTCGCCCGCGACGCCGGCCTCCCCATCACCGTCTCCTTCTCCCTCGAGGCCGACGGCACGCTCCTCGGCAACCGCGAATTCGGCATCGCCCTCTCACACGTCGACGGCGCGACAGATAAGTACGCCTCTTACTTCGGCATCAACTGCGCGCATCCAAGTCACTTCCTGCCCGTACTCCGCACGATGCACCCCGATCAGCGCAAGCGCATTGGACTGATCCGCGCGAACGCGAGCGAGAAGAGCCACAAGGAGTTGGATAACAGCGCGGTGCTTGAGAGGGGGGATGTGGAGGCCTTGGCGGAGAGTTACAAGGAGATCTGTGAGCTCTTGCCCAGAGTGATGGTGGTCGGTGGATGCTGTGGAACGGATGAGGAGCATGTTGCTGCTATTGCGGAGAAGGTGCTGGGGAAGATTGAGGAAGATTAAGATATGCGTTTTGTCATCCGCCGTTTTATTGTCTGGTAACAAGCTGTTGCTAGTTGAAGAAGCGTAACTACGGGCCTGGATATGGCTAGGTCTTGATACCGCCTCTCGAGATTTGACGATTTGGGTGAGAATCAAGCACAAATGGGACCCAGCGCCACCAGAATAGCTATTCCATCCACCAGTTCGGAAACAGCTGCCAACCTGCGGTCGTGTCGTTCGTCTCATTCCAGACCATATCGGCTGCGTAGTCGTCGTATCGCCCCATTCGGCGTACAGATCAGCACCTCTGTCTACGTTATATATTGCTGGGAAAAATTCTTGCGACGCTTCTTCACGCTCTGCGCTGTGTACACCCCGAGATGAGATAATCATGCCCCATCTATTGTCGCGGATGTCTTTACACTTCTAACGATATGTCCCATATCTTCCCCCCTTTTTTAACATCCAAGATACCATCAGGATTGCAAGGTGCGGAATTTACAGCGGCTTGAGCTCGTTCTACCATGGCCATGGATCTGGGTACAGTTTTTCTCGATTATTGCGACTTCCTTCGTCGACAAAAAACCATTTCTAGGTTCCCACGAGCGACAAGAAGGCAACGTATACCATCCATCTGCAACAATTCTGCGCGTTTTGTCTCTCGAGGTTATTCCGTCCGTCCCACCTAAGGTTTGTGGTATGGAGAGGTACGTAGGTAATAGTTCAGCATCAATGGTATGGTATCACAAAATCGAACTTCACATGGCATTACGGTGAGACAAGTAAATAGTCATGTTCAAATCATGATATTTCTGTGGTTCAAGAGAGTGTCATCGCCGCCGCATAAGGAGTGCGATATAAGGTATACTATGAATAGAGCGTGTTGAAACACCTTAATGGAGTGTTTTCCCTGGCTGTTGAAAGCAGGCGACCAGTAGAATTAAAAATCCAGCCAGCATCCACGTAGTCAATTTGAACCCTGACTTCTTATATCCCTTTAATAGTCATCTCCTCGGGAGATAATCTCCTTGCAATTGGGTCGGAGGAGAACGGTCTATTTCAAAGATCTTGTCAGCATAGTTCAATCGTCAATTTTGAGGACTCTACTCACGTGCTCAAACTGCGCGACATAAGACCCAGGAATATCAACCAGTGGTCCATATTGGTCAACAATCCCATGCGAGATAAGCGTCCTCATACCAAGATGATAATTCTTCGCCCCCGCCCGCTCAAGCGAGCGCCGCGAGAACACAATAGTCCCAAAGTTCTCATCAATAGTCTTGAGCAGCGACCTGGCCGAGGCATGGTGCAAACCCGCAGCACTGGCGTGCTCATTGCGTCCATACCCATAAACCCCCGTATCCTCCCTAGTCGACCCTCTCCCAGTGCTACCGAATGTTTCAATGGCGAAGATATCACCCTCTTCCATCCGCTGGTTGGTCCGCGTCTTCACGAAGGGGACTTGCTTGTCCCCGTGGATATGGTAGCGGAGGATGTTATGCCCGGTGATGCCGCGGACGGCTTTGATAGGGAGGGTCTTGCCGTTGAGCTCGATCTCGTAGCTTTGCATTACTTCTTGCATTACTGAGCTCATGTGGTCCATGCGGGCGTCGATGCCGGCTTCCTGGGGGGGTATTAGCTTTGTGGGCAATAAACAAGGTGGATAGTTTACCTTGAGCCCAGCATTCGTGGTTGCTTTGACGGCTGCGAGGAGGTTATCATAGACCGGGTTAGCAGCCACGGTAAATGCGCTGTCGACAATTCTGCCATTGACATGGACTCCGAAATCCACCTTCAGGACATCGTCGTACTGTAGGATAACCTCCTTGGCTCCAGGATTGGCGGTCCAGTGAGCAGCTATGTTGTTCAAGCACAGCCCAATCGGGAATCCTAGCCCCGCCTTGAGAGAATCTCCAGGCTCAAGACCTTGGTGGCCAGTCAGTGCCCGAACGCCTTCCTCAATCTCCTCGACGAGCTTGCTCATGGAGACGCCCGGCTTGGCGATAGTCTGCACATACTGGCGGACCTGACGATGGATTTCAGCCGCTTTGCGATAGTCGATCAGAAAGTCATCATCCATGTCCTTCACGACGGATAGGTGACGAAGTTCTTCGGCCGTAGTCCGCTCAAGATTGTCATTGCGATTGGCATACTCGGCAATCTCACCCTCTGGATAACGATGATCCTGGAAGAGGTCGGCGAGTGCAACTCTGGGAGGAGTTGTCTGCTGATCATGCACTGCCTTTGTCTTCTTCTTCTTGTTTCTCTTTCGTTTTTTCTTCCCGCCTTCTGGGGGTTAGCCTCACGTGTGCATTAACATCAGGTTGGCTTACTGGTGTCGGGCTCAGCATCAGTCTTTACGACGGCTCCAGTTTTCTCGTCATCGCCATCTCCGTCTTCATCTTCCCCTTCAAGTCCACCGTGAACCAGCCCGCTTGCTGCGGCCGGCTTGGGAGGATTGACGGCTTCAATGGAAGCACCTGACGAGGACTCTGTTCAAATTGTTAGAATAACTTGCAACGCAAAGCAACTTATTTCATTCATACCATTTGGGCCCCGACGGTGCTCTTCTGGTGTCTTAGATCCCATGATTTTCTCCGATTTATACTCATAAAGCTATTTTGTCGTTCTTTATGGTATGATTGATATCGTTGAAGCTTTCAAAGTCTTCTGTCCGAAGTGATAGAAAGGGCGTGCATCAGACCCCTGTATGTCTTGGCATGCGCTTTCCCGTTTTAGGATATTGACGATTGGCGGGCCACAACCTTGGTGGTCAGCACTAAATATCAACTGAACAAAACAAGAACACATAAACACAACGTCAATCCCTTATTTCTGTAACGTATACCCAAAAGCAAAGGTAACGAAACTTCAATCTCCTACTTCGCAACTTATACTCTACAAAATTTATTCTTGAACTGTAACCACAATGGCGGGAATCAAGCAACAAAAGACCATCCCGACAGTGTACAACATGTCCTCCTCAAAAGCGATCTCAGCACTGTGGCCGCTGGAGGAGCTTGCAGATGCCGGCATCAAGTACAAAGTCGTCAATCTTCCCCGGCGAGGCGCCGACACATACAAAGTGCTCAAATCTCACTTTCCACTCGGAAAATCCCCCACCGTGACACTAGAACACGTCGGCGGAGAAGCAGAAGTCACATACCAGATCATGCCCAACGTCCTCACCGAGACGCGGCTCATTCTCCAGTTCTTCTCTGACCACTACACGGATGGAGTGTGGGTTCCGGAATCAGAGGAGGACAAGAGGCGAGACACTTTTTTTCAGGAGTTCGCGCATGGGTCTTTGATCACAAAAATCGACCACATCCTCACGTTCGAGGTCATCCCGACAATGCTGTTCTTCCCAATGCGCTATCTTACCCTATTGATGGTGCTGCCTATTCGGATGCACTTTATGAAAGACTTGACTGTCATCTATCAGATTATGGAAGACCCACTGTCTGAGGAGAAACCGTGGTTCTCAGGCAAGAACATCGGCTTGGCGGACTTTAACACCATCTTTGCCATGGACATGGCGGTTCAGAGAGGTTACATCCAATTGGAGAAGTATCCCATGCTGGCTAAGTGGTACAATACGGTGCAAGATCGACCAGCGTATAAACGGGCGAAGGAAGTAGGAGAGGTGTATGATTGTGCAACATTTGCATAGGAGAAACACCTAAATGGGGTTGGAGAGAACGCATTCGCACGAGGCACAGAGACGTCGATGCGAGAGTGGGTGATTTTGCCAACGTCGGAATATCTACTTGCTCTTTTATTCCCGTGGATGCTTTGATATATTTAGCGCATCGAGGATATACCCTTTTTATGAACTGCAAATTTTATGAGAGAAAATTGGACCATATAAAACTAGGAATGGTGGTTTATCAGGTGCTTTGTTTGAAATATGGGATGTTTGGTACTGAAAACACCACCTCACGGTGTCTTGCCTGTGGTTATTTACTACTGTGGAAAGAAAATTATCGTATGCAGATTAACACTGCAGAGTGAAGATGCCATCTAAGTCACTACACATGGCGCTGTGTGATATGAGACGCTGTTGAAATCGTCCACGGCATTAGCCATCGTGCGAACGTATACTCCTTTAATCCCCTCGCACCAGCCTAATCTACGGAAATCTAGATTGACGGCAGACCTGCATCTCTAAGTTCGACCCGCCTCATTTACGGTTACTCTAGTCCGACCTAATTCTGGCCACGTCCTGCCCTGTCTTACATTTCACACATGTTTTGTTTCGGCTCTCTACAACCATCTGAGACCTACACGGATCACATATTTCACAAACCACATACTTTGCCTCTGCTGTCTAACGTCGGAAGCAGAGCCGAAGATGTGATTGGGTAACATGAAACAGGAATCTAGATTTGAGCTGTTGTTTGTGCTATGTCGATGTGGTATCTGTCCGTTGGTGGCACTTGTACTTGAATCACTTGCCCCTCGACGGTAATGTCTATATAATCTAAGAGGCTGGCCCGTTAAACATGCTACATAACTTTGATACATTTCTCTATTTCTTTGACCGTTTACCCATACATCTTGATATCAGACACATTTGTATTGATAGCCACTTATCACATACAACATGCATTTCTTCAAGTGCTTGGTGCTACTAGCAACCCCCTTTACATTTGCAGCAGCCCAACACGTAATCGTAGGTTATTGCACCCTTTGGGATACTACGACTAATAGTACCAGGGCAATAGCCATGGAGATTCGAAATGTAGAACGAACAACATTAACCCTATCAAATCTGGGGAGTGTGTAGATACCTCAAAATTAGGGTATGGCTAGCTTTCAACTCTGCACGTTAACATTAGTAACCTGCTAACATGTTCATTAACAGGTCTATTAATATATATAGCGCTGCAACTTGCATCTTATATGCGTATGTTTGTCTGTATATTTATCTACAGTCACTAGCTAAAATGTCACTATATAGCAAACCCGGATGTTCAGGTGAAGGAGTCGATACGGATGGATCGCCAGCTTGCTATCCTTTGGAGGACTGGGACAGCCCCGCTTCAATCAAATGTCATTGGGATCATGAAGAGTAGAGCGATGAATGAACACAATTGGATATTGGATGGGAAGATCTGAGCCCAGATGAGTCTCTGTTTGTGTGCACTCTCACTAAGAGCTAAGTAGGTGCAGCTGTGTCATCCTGGTCCTCGTGGCTACCACGTTGGGCGCATGATGTCGGTGGATTAAAAATTATTTGCTGCGTATACTAGTATACTACAATAGCCATATGGGAGCCATATTAGACAAGCAATCCCATATTAAACAAGCAATTAAATAAATTAAAGCCCGCAGTTGGTTGGCTCTAAGATCTACCATTTTCTCACCCAGGTTGCATGGATGATTGTGGATGATTGCGGGTGATTGTGGTGCTCACCCAATAAAATGCCACAGACAGTCGGCAGTCGCTATAAAAACGCGCGCAATGAACCTCACACTCCTGTAAAACTTGCTCAATTCCTCTCTTACCCCATACTACTATCCCTTGAAATACTGTATTAACCCTAGAGATTAATCTTGAGGCTAGAATAATGGTGCCGGTTTCCGTTTCTTTTGGGAACACTTGCCACATCATGGTAGCACGACAGTGCTTGTTGGTACAGATAAGTATGGCCACGCCCAACATCTACCAGCTTGGTGGAGGGTCCATTCGAGCTGGTGATAATCCTCATACACATGGACCGACAAGGAGCTGGCACTCTCATGTATATATTTGGAAGTTAAAACAGCGTGAACAACCGCTCCGGAAGCTCTTCGAAGGAGGTTGCGCGCACTTCATTTACTTTCTTCAGTCGAACGACGAACAAACTCGCCCACCATGCATGCTGCTATCCCCTTCTTTGTGTTGTCTCTGTCTGGCATCATCCAGAATGGATGTTCAGCAGAGAGTGGTATCATGGGCTTTGGCCTGTCCTTGTACCAGGACCTCTGCTGCCAGACTTGTCACGACTCTCTCTCCGCCCTTTATCTGAATTGCACTACATTCCCCGAAGACGATAACATGGACATGGATATGTCAATGGATATGGGTATGGATATGTCCATGGACACGATGCCGATGACGAGCGAGGAGTGCTATGCTACCAATATCCCTTGGCTCCAGACGATGGCATACTGCATCCAACAGAACTGCAATGCCGACGGGTACAGCGCCGACAAACAGGCCAAATGCTTCAGCACTCAAGCAGTTGCGGGTGCGTCAGAGCCGACTTTCCAGGACAGTTTGCCTGCCAAGGCTCCGACGGTCGAGCTCTCAGAGGATGCAATGTGGCTCAATACCACTAGCTTGGTCAATGGGAACACCTACAGCGCCATACATGGCACCCTGAAGGAATTCACAAGACAGGAATATATGCACACGAGATATTCGTACGTTCTTCCACCCTGTGTTGTTAATTTATATATCTTCCCCGGGCGTGAAGCTCACATATAATTTTCAGGGTGATACTCCTATTCATAGTCCTTGGCATCTGCATAGGCGGAGGCATTCTGGCGCAGACCACGAGCGCATCCCTCGGATTTCAAACAAAGCTACATGCCTCCACTCTCTGGAGCAAGTTTCAGCAGCACATCTTCTTGCCGGCTTTATTCGGGTCTCGGCGCCTCGAACCTCTCCCGGGGAATGTGGGCTACGTGCCAAGCCGGACGCTCACCATATTTATCACCATCTTCGTGATTCTGAATATAATCCTCTCGTCCGTTTCTTACCGCACCTCTCAGCCAAATACCTGGTTCAAATCTGGTCAATTCGAACTATGCGAGTACGTCGGGAATCGCACGGGCACTCTGAGCTTGGTCAATATGTGTATTTCCATCTTGTTCGCGGGCCGAAATAATCTCTTGATTGCTTGGACCGGATGGAACCAGACGGCTTTCTTAACTTTGCATCGCTGGACGGCGAGGGTGGCTGCGCTGCAGGCGGTTGTCCATTCGATTGCATATACACTGGCATATTTCGAGCCGGGATATGGTGGAGCGGCGGAGTATGCTGTTGAAGCAGCGATGCCTTTCTATGTATGTTGTCCAACCTCTGTTTCATTGTACTCCCTTTGATCAACGATATTTGTACTTGGGGGATTTACTGACACGTTTTAGTTTTGGGGGATTATCGGAACAATAGCGCTTTGTCTCGCAGCAGGCTTTGCAATCCTGCCCATTCGCATCAGATCCTATGAATTCTTCCTCATAACTCACATCATCTTCGTCATTATCGCCCTGGTTGGATGCTGGTACCACCTTGTCCCCCACTTCGGATATGTCTTTGGCTATCAAACATGGCTTTACATCGCCTTTGCCTTTTGGGGTGCCGACCGATTCGCCAGACTTGCTCGCGTGGCCTACTACAATCGCCTCAGTGGTTCAACGGCGATCATTGAAGCAATCCCCGACTGCGATATCATGCAAGTCACTGTTTTCCCACGTGCTGCTTGGGACTTTGGTCCCGGACAGCACAGCTTTATTTACCTGGCTGGACTGGGTAAGTTCTGGGAAAGCCATCCATTCAGTATTGCGGCTTGGAAGGGACAGTCATCAACCACTATAACTTCGACTTCGAACCTTCTTTCTTCTCCCATCGCTCGTTCCGACACCGCCACCAGAGAAGAGGAGGCGAAAGATCCAGGCGTTATATCATTGGGTTCGAAACCGAACTCGACGACAACGCTTCCGGAAACCCACGCAGAGGGCAAAGCATATATTCGATTCCTCATCCGTGTACATTCCGGTATGACTTCCACGCTGCAGCGCCGCCTATTATCCTCGCCTTCTCGCGCTAGCCTGGAAACATCTGTCTATACCGAGGGGCCCTATGCAGGCCACAAAGCAACCCTCCAGCCACTCTTTATCGCCGACACTGTTCTCTGTATTGTTGGCGGCATTGGTATCACGAACATCCTTGGATTCGTCCAAGAATACTCAAGCGCGAACCGTCGCGGAGGTGAAACGTCGAAAAATGGTCAGAGGATCATGAAGAAGGCCAAGCGGTTTATACTCGCCTGGTCCGCGAGAGAAAAAGCTCTCATCAAACACGTGAAGCAGAACTTCCTTCTCCCGAAAGATGAGGTTGACGGGATCGAGTATTCGTTCTGGTGCACGGCTGAGCCAAAGGTGGACGATGTACATGAGGAGAGCCAGAAAGACGATAGTGCAGCTCAGCTAACGTCGGCTATAATAGCAGGGAGAATGGATATCAGGACAGTGATGAGATCCCATGTGGAAACGGGTCAACAGACGACGGTGATGGTGTGTGGTCCTGGTAATATGGCGGATGAAGCCACGAGGCAGATTATCGATTGCGTGAAGGACGGATTTAAGGTGAATTTACTTGAAGAGTCCTATACCTGGTAGTTTCTGTCGTTTGTAACACCGAGTTTTGTTACTTTAGCTGGCGCGGGTTGTCAACGGGACTCATTTTGTAGGGAGCAACATTTTCCAATTGAGGAGGGATTAAGATTTGATACCATTTGAGATTATACGAATATATTTGCAAACAAACACAATTATCCTATCTTTTATCTAGAGACTATTTTCGATGCGAGCAATATTTGTGCTCTATCTGTCATGATCGGCATGTCGTGCATGATTCGAAAGGGAACGAGGCATATCGAGCACATTAAGTTACCCCACTTAAATAGTTTGCAGTCCAACCAGGTTACAACCCACCATATTTTTGATCAACACCCATAAACCCAGCCATTTAGTGAGCTGTTTATCTTTTTTGGTTGTGGAATGGCTTTTTACTTTCGCTGCCCGATACTTTACTCGTTGGGCTTTGCTGTGTTTGTCGAGACCTAGGGTGTAAAGTCTGATATGCCACCTCCACTTGACTCAAAGAATTCATCATGGGAGTCCACGCCTACCATCTTTCAGCAGGGCGATGCAGAGAAAGGGCAAGTTGAAGGAAGTTCCAATTCTTACGTTGATGGGAACAACGAAAAGGACGAAAATGATGGCGCAAATACTCCACCATTATCAAATTGGAAAAATGAGAGCGATGGCGACGTGCCAGCCGAGCTAGACTCTGGGTTCATTGTATGGTGGGATGGGCCAGACGATCCAGAAAACCCCATGAATTGGTCGTCGAGTTGGAAATGGGTCAATATCTGTGTTATTTCTGTGATTAGTTTCATCGTGTGAGTGCAATTCGCGACAACTGATAAGTGGGTATACTCGAGCAACAACTAAACCCCAACAGTCCCCTCGTCTCCTCCATGATGGCACCAGGCGTCCAGCTCGTAATGGAAGACTTCGAGACCAGTTCCCCCACATTCGCAACTTTCGTTGTATCTATATTCGTGCTCGGCTTCGCCTGCGGACCACTCATCCTCGCCCCATTGAGCGAGCTTTATGGCCGGGTGGTCATCTACAATACCACTAATTTGTTCTTCCTCGCCTTCACCATTCTCTGCGCCGTTTCACAAAACCCGTCTATGCTCCTGGCGTTCCGTTTTCTATCGGGGTTTGCGGGTGTGGCTACCATCACGATCGGATCGGGGACTATTGCGGATATCATGCCGAGGGAGAAGAGGGGGAAAGCTATGTCGATTTGGTCCGTAGGACCGATTCTTGGACCGATGGTTGGGCCGATTATTGGGGGGAATGTGGCTGAGGTTGCTGGTTGGAGGTGGATGTTTTGGACTATTTCGATTGTTGTGAGTTCACCAGAGTAAAGTAGCCGGACGGGCGCTGTGTACTGATCATTACTAGATTGCTGTTGTAACTATTGCCGCATTCCTCGTCCTCAAAGAGACCTACCCCGTGGTATTACTCGAGAGAAAAGCATCTAAACTCCGAAAGGTCACTGGAAACCCAAACCACAAATCCAGACTCGCCTCCGACCTCACCCCCAAGAAACTCTTCAAACACAGCATTATCCGCCCCCTAAAAATGCTCGTCCTCTGTCCCATAGTCACAGTAATGTGCATCTACGTCGCAATCCTCTATGGTATACTATACCTCCTCTTCGCGACCTACTCCTTCGTCTTCCGCCAAATCTACGATTTCACAACCGCATCAACCGGCCTCGTCTTCCTCGCCGGCGGACTAGGGACCTTGATAGGTCTCTTCTACGTCGGTTACTTCAGCGATAGAACACTCGTCAAGCGTGCAGCCGCGGGAAAGACAATAGCCCCCGAAGACCGCCTCCCATTCATAATCACCATCCCAGGGTCCCTCACATTCCCCATCGGTCTATTCATCTACGGCTGGACGGCTGAAGAACACGTCCACTGGATTGTCCCGCAGATTGGAACGGCGATCACGGGTTTTGGCTCCATCTTGATCTTTGTAGGCATCCAAACGTACCTCGTTGATGCATTCGAAGAGTACGCCGCTAGCGTCATTGGTGCAAATGCGGTGCTGAGAGGGACTGCTGGGGCGTTGATTCCGCTTGCGGGGCTGAGAATGTATGATGGCCTCGGATGGGGGTGGGGGAATAGTTTGCTAGCATTCGTGGCTCTGGCATTTGCTCCGATGCCGTGGGTATTTGGGGTGTATGGAGCAAGGATAAGGGGTTGGAAAGGGAGCAAGGTCAAATTATGATATTAGATTTATGTTTGACAAATAATAAAATGAAGTTTTTAAATATTTTTGTTGTTATTTTTTTTATTGTGTTTGAGGAACGCCAAATCTCTCAATAAGCTCGCTCCGCGAAAGATGTTCCAAATTCAACTTCTGCAAATTCCTTCCCGTCTTCATGTAATCAGCCCCCGATGCCATTTCCGCAAGTGTGATAACAGCCTTAATAGGCGAGGCATCTATCCCCAGCTTCTCCGCCAGACCACACCAGAACACCAACAAATCTGGCACATCCTCTGAGATATTCCTATTGTCCATAGTTGGTGGAGCTTTCAACTTATTATGCGGTGGCGAATTCTGCGCCAGGTCCACTAGGTCGGTGAAAGTCTGATTGTAGCACTTATTCGACGTCTGTGTCACACCGTCGAGCTTGAACCCAAAAGCTTCCCCGATCTCGAGCCGCACCCTGTCAACAGCGAGCATTGCGTTGGCCACCGAACGTGTCAGCCCATCGTGGTATAATAAGAATTCCCCAGATGTGCTTTCGATCCGGCCAGCGTTCATCAACATCATCAGAGGGTGGAACACCCCGTTTATATTCGACAGGCAGACTTCAATGACGTTGTGACACCATTTTAGTTCCATAGGAAATATCCGTTGGATCTCGGCGGTAAATGAGGGGTTGGAAGAGGTTTGTAAGGCGGCGATGAGGAAGAGATTCTTCTTTCCCATGACGGCTAGCTCCCCTTCCTTCATCCGGCATGAGTATGGTGATAGGTTTGTTTCGAGGATTGATCCAATCTTCATCTCGGCATCGGCGACGAGAGAGAATAAATTGCCTGGAACTGCAATAACAGTGTGCTGTCGGAGATCAAACTGCTTAAACTCCCGCAATACAGTCTCCTGTCCTGTAGACGGCACAGTGAGGATGATGATTTTTGAGAACTCAATGACCTCGGCCATGTCGAATGTGACGCGAAGAGTAGTAGAACCTTCGATTTTTCCAGTAGCTCGAAGACATCCGTTTTCGACGACATAATTGGCGTGTCGTACATGTGTGGGATGTGAATATACCAATACGTTTGTCCCGCGAGAGTCGAGGTCGGCGGCGAGTGCGAATCCAGCGGGGCCGGCGCCGACAATGGAGACCCTTAACTGCATATTTGTGAGTGTGTTGATGTGGTGCTCGAGTGTGTCTGTGAGATTGGTTTGTATATTGTTTATCTTGATGTTGTTATCTTTTAAACAGGGGTGATTCCGTTTATAAATGAGAATGGGCGATTCACTTTTCCAGGGAATGATATGTGAGTAAAGGCGTGATATGACATTTGCCCCTTCCATAGCTACTCACCCCAACTTTAATATATGTGAATACTTTACTTTCGGAGTGATTGTGTTGATCAATCTATGTTGGCGGATCACTTATGCGCCAGGAACGGGCAGGTTACTGGCCATAGGCTGCAAGCTTGAGCATGTTTGCTCCATTTAAATGTGGCTTTTCATGATGATCACCTGCGGAAAAGCGAATGCCGGCCACCCTGGAGGCTTCTCGGCATCAGGTCTAGCTAGCAAGGCAACTCTACTTTGGTGTCATCAGCATCTTATTTATCTCACAAGGTAGCTGATACCTTGATGCTGTCCCTCTTATTTTCTCTTCGTATTGCGATAATTCACGGCTCGGCGCGACAAGGGAGCGGGAGTATGTTTGAGAGTACTGGAGCTGCACAATGCCACGTAGCGCGAGATGAGCATATTATACTGCTGGGCGTATTGCACGTAGTGTAATTGCTTGGCTAGAGTTTTAAAAGGCCAATATTGTTATTTCTGGTGGCACAAATTAAAAACTCGGAGGGTGTTGTGGATTATTTTTATAAATCTAATGACCCCCTTACTTCGTGGCCACCGTGACCAACAACTCCATATCCATCTTAATCCCCTCCTCCGTAGTAATCCTGGCCCATTCCACCTTCATCTCCTCCCTTGCTTGCGGCCTCAAGTCCAGAGGAATCCCTCCGTATGTCTTCCCCGACGAACTCGTATCCAACCATTCAATCATAGCAGCCCCATCCTTCGCCTCCTTGACAATAGTATTCACCACAATCTCCCTCTTCTCCAACCCCGCCGCATCAAGCAGACCCTCTATCTCACTTCTCTTCAGGAACTTCGGCCCGCTCGTTATGGGATACTTGCGGTACGGCTCTCGCGAGAGTACATCCGCCTTGATCTTTTCGTGCGCTGCCTCAAAATCGCCGGATCCCCCTGAAATCCCAACACGTCCCCCAGACTTCAGCACACGCGCGAATTCTTTCATTGCGGTCGCCTGGTCCTCCACCCAGTGGAACGTAGAGTTCACAAACACCACATCAATGCTGTTGGACTCGAAACGTGAGAGGTCCTCGGCGCGGCCAACGTAGAATGAGAGATTTGGTGTGGCGATCTCGTTTGCGAGGGCGATGCGCTCTTTGCTTGGATCGATGCCAACAACACTGCCGCTGGGGCCAACAATGCTAGCAATGTGTGCGGTGATATCGCCGGGGCCGCAGCCGACGTCAAGGATGTTGTTTCCGGTGGTGATGTTCAGTCTTTTGAGGAGGAATTTACCAGCGTCGTATTGGGTGCCGTTGAGAGCTGTGTAGCCTTTTGCTAATTCTTCGGTGTCGGCCATAGCTGAATTGGTATGATGTGAGCGTGCTCTGGAGGTGATTTTCAGGTCTGCTTGGGCTGATTGCTCTTGGTATTATTTGGTCTCTGCGGGTGATAGTTACGGATATTATTTTGTGGTCTCCTGATAGAAACTGAGCAAATACCTGAGCCCGCAGTCTTATACTTCTGCCATGGATTCACTCGAGAACTATTGAAGTGCATCGATTGTGAATTAGTGATACCCCTGCCGCTATTCAAAAATTAAATACACCCCATGCCCTGGTACCTGCAGCCCCTGGAGTACCTTAATTGTGCTCAAAGTCGCGCGGACATGTGAGGTACTTTGAGCACATTGATTGATTATTCGCAATTCCTATCAGAGCTCGGATAAACGCCGATCGAATATGCTAAGCACGAACAATAACCTCAGTAGGGACAAATAGACCAAATACAGTACAAATTAATAAAGGGGACAGATTCATCTTTACAAACTCGGGATAATGCTCGTAATACCTTAAATTCACTGGCAATCTACCTTGGTTGTTAGGGTCAACCTTGAGGGCATATTCTTACGATCTTTGCCTGCCAAGGTAAGCTTTGGATGTCGAGCATATCTACCCAGGTATATCGTCGTGGATCTTACTTGTAGCGCCAAGGTTACAGAGCACGTATTTTGTATGCATTGTGCAGTTTCAAGAAGAAGGTCAGCCAGTATAACTACCAAGGTGCTTTATATAGACTCATAACTTGGTAGATATGCTTATACTGAACCCGTAAGGTTTGTCGAAGTCTCACAGCTTATTCCAACATTACCGGAGCCACGAGCTTAGCAGGTACAACATCATAATTAATCCCTGATTCAGAAAATCAATTGGAAGCGCACAAACTCACTTTATGGATAGTTGGATATTTCTGAAATTTGCTTCATATAATCACTAGTGATGATCAGTCAATTCTCTGTGGCGTCAATAGCCACGACAGCTGCTCTCCTCGTGAGTTAATCACTTAGATTTGAGAAATCTTGCTCATTATCACTAGGTCGTTGCTGCCCTTCTGCTCCAGATCATCCAGAGGCTTTTCTTTCACCCTCTTCGCTCAGCCCCCGGACCATGGGCAAACAGAGTTTCTGATATTCCTGCCACCATTGCTTTGGTCACGGGAAACCAGCACACATACTACAGGTCATTGCACGAAAAATATGGCCCAATCGTGCGAGTCTCCCCCGGAGAACTCAGCTTCGTCAGTGTTGAAGCACGGGAAGAAATTTACGGTCTACGAGTAAGTTAAGCCCCAAATAAACAAAATCCGAGCTAATCAACCCGTAGAAAGGTGGTCTGAACATGGAAAAGAGTGCTATCTTCCTCGGAGCCGTGGGCAGTGTCGAGGGTCAGACTGGAGTGAGTCTGGCTCTCAATGCAGAACACACTCGCCAGCGTAGGGCATTGGGTTACCTATTCACGAACACGGCGTTACTCCAGCATGAAAGCTTACTTCGACTCCATGTTAATAAGCTGGTTGCCGTACTCAAGAAAAAGGCAGCTGCAAACCAGCCCGTGGACGTCTCAAGTTGGTGTAAGCCACCCCCAATCATCACTTCCCACGATCACCTAACTAATAACATACAGTCACCTACATCTCCTTTGATGTAATGGGCGACCTCTGCTTCGCCGAACCCTTCGGCTGCCTCGACCAGGCCTCAGCAACAGAATGGTCCACTTCGGTCATCAACGTCTTCATAGCCGCCACCTGGACCCAAGGAATCCGCCGCCTCTGCGGCGTAGGCACCCTTCTCGAGTCCCTCGCAACCAAACTACTCGTCCCCGCCAAAGCCGCACAATGGCGAAACACCCACCTCAACAACTCACGGGAGAAGACAGCAAAACGTCTCGCAGACGGAGACCGTGAACACACAGATTTCATCTACCAGATCCTCAAACACAATGAAGCCAAGAACTCCCTTTCAGACACAGAAATCAAACTCAACATGGCCCTCTTCATCAGTGCTGGCACGGACACAACAGCCACCACTCTAACGGGGTGGACATACTACATCTGCACTCACCCCACCGTTTACGCACGTGTCGTATCTGAGATCCGCTCCGCCATCCCAGACGCAGAAGACATCAAGTGGGAAAACGTCCGAAACCTCCGCTATCTTGAAGCAACCATCCACGAAGCGCTCCGCCTCTTTCCGCCCTCGGGTGCGAGCCAGCAGCGCATCGTCCCCCGTGGCGGCGCGACGATCGATGGCTTCTACGTCCCAGCCGGCACGACCGTTGCTGTCTCCCCATGGGCATCAACGCGTTCAAAACTAAATTTCCATGACCCTGACGATTTTAGGCCCGAGCGGTGGCTCAGCGAGGGAGAGGAATACGCGAATGACCGACTCGGTGCATCGTTACCATTCGGCACTGGACCGAGAGTGTGCATTGGGCGGAACCTGGCGTATATGGAGATGCGGCTTGTAGCGGCACATTTGCTGTGGAGTTTTGACATGGCGATTGATCGGGGGAGGTATGAGGGAGAGAATAGTGCCTGGGGGTTTGAGAGGAGGATGAAAACGCAGAAAGTGTTTCACTCTATGACGAAGCCGGAGTTGTGGGTGGGGTTGAAGGAGGTTGACCGGTGAGGTGGGTAGTTTGGGATAGAGTTGAGAAAAATTGAGAATCGTGGAGACTGTCCCGAACCTTCTATGGAGTGCCAAATACACTGGAAACAGCCTGGTCAATGTTAGGCTAGCTACTCAGCGCCGAGGTTGGAAGCTAAGCTTCTCATATCGAAACATTGGCAAGTTGGTGTATTCATCATCGCCGTACTTAAACCAGACTAAAAGTATATCCATCACATACGACCATAGACTCAAGATAATTGGGCATCCCATCCGCTCTGCCATACACAAGCTTGCGTATCCTAGATAAATAGTTTTAACCCTGCCAATAGGCATATCCCGGAATCTCGACCCTTGCCGCCTGAAGGGTGGGGGGGCGGGAGCAGGGTGAGCTGGGGAGGTAATCAAGGTGAGTGGGGTGAGGCGGAGCAACTTTTTCGTGCCAATTTGTGCCTTTCTCTTATTTTTCATGTGAGCCATAAGTCCCAAAAGTACAGAGGTGCCACGCAAACCACAAGAGACTAAATTAATAGCAGGATATAAAGCGGTAACTCTATTTCTGAAGCTCGTGTGATTTTTGGCGTTGGTTCTATCTGTTAGAGGTTTGCTGTAGTATGGCGAGTATTGAGTAACATTTGCATTCTCCTCGCCACGTGTGTAGAATAGTCAGCTATCAGTTGCAGTCCAGCTAATGTACGCCAGCCCTGCGTACAGGAACCCGCGGGGTTCCACGGGGATTCTAACCGCGTGATCTTTTAATGCCCCCCTATAGTAAAAGCTACAAGGCTAGGGTTATAGAAACTATACCTAATTAGGTCATGTTATGGGCACCGCAATGTTCATTTCGCCGAAGACCTTCGGCGTTTCACTATCGGCATCCGAAAAGATAAGGGACGATTACATGTATCTCCTCCGCGTCTCCACGATTTTTGGGCCAGAATCCAGGAGTTTCAGAGAATTTGTTCATTTATCCCGTGAGGTGTCTTTAACCCTAGAGGATCCGTTCAACTACTTGCAGGCAAACGTACCCTCCTCCCGCCCCCTCCCGTGTCTTTTTACAGAGTAGTACTATAACCCCGGCAAAATTCAGCGGCCTGGCGTCGATCTCCTCCTTCCCCTTTCACAGTTCCATACTATAGCCCCACTATGTGCCGCGTATTATGTCGCATCCTCAACTTAGATGCAAAAAATAATGGTTGGGTGTTAAAGAAAAGGTACTGTCACAAGCTATTTCTTTATTAATATGTCCTTCGATTATTCGTCGATTTACTCTGAACCTCTAGACATGTGCCCCTCGGCAGAACCTTAACGGCTTACTAGATATCCCTTAATTAGTAATTTTGTAGGGAACTATGCATTGTCTTCCTACCACCTCTGAGCCCAGTTATTACCCCAGGCGGGGAAAAGTGCGGAGAAAAGTATGCGGGGAGAAGTGTGCGGGGTTGATAGGAATACGATGTTGGGCACTGGAAACACACTATCACAAGCAATTTCTTCGATTGATAGTTGCATTGTTTCGTTGGCGCAATTTTTATATATTAATTCGCAATATCCTCGATATCGTCTTTGTTCGTTGATTGTCAATACCTTTAGATATCTCCATACTTCGGCGCATCTTCACAATGGGATCCCTTCTTCAAGTTGGGTTCGGGTTTACAAGCCTGGTCTTTTTTCTTCAATTGGTCCTCGCTCGTTCCCTCCCTTTAACACCGCCTGTTTGGGACCGATCGGCACCGATTTATCCTAGTGACGACCCCTTCTACTTCCCACCTGACGGTTATGAGAGTTCGGCTCCTGGGACGATTCTGCGGTCAAGGACTGTTCCTAACTCTCTATCACTTTTCACCGTTCTTCCCATCAACATCCAAGGCGCATACCAGCTTCTTTACCGGACTACAGACAGTCTAGGAAATGCTCAAGCGTCAGTCACCACTGTCATTGTCCCACATAATGCAGATACAAGAAAGCTGCTATCCTACCAATTTGCTGAGGATGCCTCCTGGGTAAACTGCGCTCCTTCATACGCACTCCAGAACGGTGCCGAATTTTTAAATACCGGTAGTAGCGTCGCTGAGGTTCTCCTCGTCATTGCTGCTCTGGATCAGGGATGGATTGTCAATACGCCTGACTACGAAGGTCCTCAAGCCGCATTCACGTCCGGCATCCAAGCCGGTCAAGCGACTCTCGACTCTGTGCGCGCGGCCCTTGCCTCTGGTGATATAACTGGGGTTTCATCCTCAGCTACATACCAAATGTGGGGATACTCTGGCGGCTCCCTTGCTTCGGAATGGGCAGCAGAACTGCAACCCAGCTATGCTCCCGAGCTTAATTTCGCCGGCGTCGCTCTAAATAGCCTGGTTCCAAACATCTCATCGGTCTTAAGAACCATTAATAAAGGCCCATTCGCTGGCTTTGCCCCCGCTGGCATTCTTGGCCTTGCTTCAGCCTACCCCGATCTCGCTGTCCTACTCAACGATAGCCTCATCCCATCTAAAGCAGACAACTTTAATAGGGCCAAAACTCAGTGTTTGGATAAGGGTATACTTGACTATGCTGGCGACGATATATTTTCTTATTTTAAGGATGGAGATGCTTTCTTGTCAAGCTCTATCCCTCAAGCGATCCTCGCTGAAACTGGCTTAATGGGAACGCACGGAACCCCTCAAATGCCCATGTTCATTGTTAAAGCCATCGCGGACGAAGTTTCTGTGGTTGCTGACACCGATGCCCTGGTGAAGAAGCTCTGCTCACAGGGAGCACAAATCGAATATGTCAGGGATGGACTTGGGGAACATGTCACCGAGCTTATCACCGGAGCAGGTGATGCATTCGTGTTTTTGAAGAATAGATTTGACGGTGTTCCAGCACATGCGGGGTGCAGAACCAGAAACGTTTTGTCCGCTTCATTTAACTTAAAAGCTATCGAGGCATTAGGCTTAACTATAGTTGAGGCTTTGTTAGCTATTTTAGCTCTGCCAATTGGCAAAATAGGTTTATAAGATTATTTCAATATTATAAAAGTAATCCGAGCCTTTTGTCGCCATAAAGATTATCTTCGGGTGAAGCGAGGCCTACCAACAAGAGGGTCAATTATCTCGGAAAGAAGTGAAGATTGTAGGTCTGGTTGCATTTTCAGTTTGGATGTGAGTATGAAGAAGATAATAGGCAGTGGTGGTCAGAAGAAGGACACTCCCCTCTCTGCAGTTTATATGGTTTCTCCGTGCCGCATACTCCAAGAGCTCTAGTAAGTCAGCGGGGGGGTGAGAGTGAATAAGTTACTTGGAGCCAGTGAGACTTTATTTTGATACTTCTTTCTTACTTCCTCTAAATTTCGATGGGGAACTCACTGCCCGCATCTGAGAACTCATCTCGCAGGAAGCAGCTTGTGGCTAATCAGTTTCTCAGTTGATATTCAACTCGCGACTGTACCATTCAGCTCCTATGAGCCTCATAGGAGCTGAATGGCTACTCTTCGTACATGTCCTCATACTATGAGGACATGTACGAAGAGTATCCAACGGGCGGTTTACTTGTCATAAACCCAACAAGAAGTATGACGAGTACCTGCCTTGAACTTATCACAAGGCTAGCCTGCCTGGTCACAGATCTGCCGAGTAGCGGCTTGGCTTAACGCGCTCGGCTCATATCATTCGTCCCCGAATACTTCATACTCGGATAGATCAAAGCTACTCGGCAGCGCTAACCTTACATTGCTAGTGTCATCAGTAAACACTGTGCTGTCGCATGCGGAGGGCTAGTGACCTGGATGATCACAGTTTGGGTCAATTAGCAACATAACTATATACAAGATTCCTTGGGAGTGGCTGAAACCCTCAGTTCCTAACCGCTCTGTCGTTTAGCTGGTTATCAAACTAGTGAGCCAGTGGGATAGGCCCGGGAAACGCCAAAAATCAGGGCTATTTACTATTTCTTGGCAAATACCAGATCATCCCTGGAATCTCCAACAAGATCGTCAAGGAATCGCTACTATTTGACTGGACAGGACTGGCATGCGATCCTACAGGATTCAGCGAAACTCAGAAACACTGGCCTGACATCATATAGAATCTGGGGAGTGCTACATATGACGCCATGGGTCGACTAATATTGATCATCTCGTTCTAACACTAACGTTGACAGGTCGCCTTCTATTTTCAGCTGACAATCATTCAGGGTTAATGCTTCTTGTAGAGAACAGGAAAGGTTACTTATTATATAGAGCAATTGGGTGCCCTCATCTGATTGATTGACCCGTTAGCAGTAGTATTTAACCTCTCCTCATCGCCCGTAAGACATTAATTTCTTCTTAACATCTCAATAGAGAGTTTGCATTGCATCAAATACAAAGTTTCAACGCAACTACACGGACACGATTTACTTGCACTATTAATTCCCAATTGCAAAACATGATGCTGCTCAAACATTTCTTGCTTCTATCCCTTTGGCTAATCGGTGCATATGCGGAAAAGTAATAACCCCATATTTGGTATTATTTCTTTATCTCCAACCTCCTCCTGCTACAGCGCTGACATTCTTTTTCCACCCTCAAAAGACAAGGAAATGTCAACTTCACCGTATCCTTCTTCCCCACTCCCGAAGAAGCGATCTGTAAACAAGACAACATCGCCAACGCCATCTCCTTAACCACCAGCACCATCCCAACAGGTTACGTCTGCTTCAACCTCACAGACGTCTTCACCCAGCCTTCAGACAACGGCTCCCAAGACGTCTCGAAAATCCTCGACGACGCACCTACCCAGGGAGTCGACTACTTATTAAGCAACCGCGCCTCCTACAATGCCAACACCAACTACACAAACATTTGGTACCAGCAAGTCAACCAAACCGGCGACATCAAGCACGACGCAGACGGTACATGGGTCCTCTACATCTACGCCTTCGAAGACTGTATCCAAAACCGCGACGACGCCTTTGCTCCCAAAGACTTCCCCTGGTTCGAGACAAGCTGCCAGACGAAGGAAGGGGGAGAGTGCCAGCAGCTACCTCAGCCGGTGAAGAGCCTCGCGATCGGCCCGGCTGCCAAATACAATGCCGGCCACGGGAAATGCGAGGTCTGGGCTAAATTTGGAGGGACTGGGACATTAAACCGTCGAGGTTCAGCGCTGCTTGTTGTTGCTGTTACTATGGCGGGTTTCGTTATGCTGTAAATATAGGAAATAGGTGGCAAGATACCCTTTTATGCAATTTAATGTCACAAAGTGCAAAGCCGGGCCGTATTATGTATTATATCACCTGGGCTTCAGTGAAGCAGTGGTGCGGATCGACGTTTGCTATGAAGGCTGGATATTACTATGTGGTTAGGCGTGTTAATAAGCTATGACCCGTGGTCTGGTGTTTTCAGAATGTATCTCATAGTAGAACAGGAGCTTAATCTTGATGTTGAACTTGTGTCTGATGTGTTGTGTGTTGTTGAGTTGAAAAATTTCAAACATCCAGCACATTTCTTGTATATACTTCCAGGCCAAGAGCGGCTCATCAGCTTCCTCCCCTTGTTCTCAACGCCGCCGAGAATTCGACCGCCTAGTCCTGCCTAATTCTACTCCATTTCCAAGAGAGAATATCGAAACCAAGGTCCCAGCAAGCACACATTGAACCCCTCGCACCGAGGCTCCCAACCACCCTTCTTAAGACCTCAGTGATGACTGGAATAGATCATAACTTTGTTGCGTTGCCCCGCTATTGTACCCACCTTACTCACGGAGATTTATACGCAGAACCTTGTCTGTTTCCTGGCAATCGTCTTCCCTAACTCTTTCAACGTACATCGACATAACTCCAAACCAACTCACCCATATTGCCGGCATCCACTACACAGCCGCCATCACATCCATATTCCCCCATGGTCCGCCATACTACCCTTCCCCACAGCCTCCAAACCTCCAAACCTCCCATCCCAACCCTTCCACAAATATCCCCCTCGCCCCCTCTTACCTCCCTTTCTCCCGAACGGCTACGTACCCCCCCACATGACACCAAAATAAGGTTTCCTGCATCTTCCCACAAGACGCAAGGGGCCTTCTTCTTTCCGTCTCACGCAGCCTGTAATGCGGAGAAGCGTGATGACCACAACGTGCTCGCGCTGCATTATCTCATTTCCAGATACAATAGCGAAGAAGCACGTGGACGAGCGATGCGGTATGGTAGGTAGCCGCGAGCCGCGGGTTTGTGCGTCTATCGCTACAGCGATATGATGTGTCCGATTATTCCACTTAACGTAACTTCGAAGGAAGGGTGGGTGCAGAGGGAGATTTAAAATAGAGCGACTACAAAGGAAGACTTAAAACTTAAAATAGAAAAGCGGAAATTTGAAATTGAACCTGCCTTTTTTTGAAGACCTGCTTGGTGGTATTAAGACCTATTCGTCGGCTTCTTTCAAGAAACGAAATAGGTGAGGTAAGGGGCCGGATAGGACGGTTGTAAGTATAAACACCTCAACGTCGACGGGATAAGCCCGCGTCCGCCATGTGTGTATTCTTCCCCAGCGTCGTACCAAAGGGCTGAACCACAGGAAGCGACATTTCATGCACAGCCATGACTAACTCAATACCTCGATAATCTGTCTCAGAATGTCTTCGATGGCATCTTCGTACCTGTCTCAACCACCCACACAGCCGAGACATTGGGGGTACGCATATGGTATCACAACAGAAGAAGACGTCAAAAATTAATAAATGTTTGATTTCATTAAGGTAAAGTAGCCTCCAACGCAGAAAAGCCGAGAAGAAGCGGCGGCGGCGACGATGTCCAAACTAGGTAGGCACCACCACCAAATCAGCACCCATCAACTGGGCGAACTATCCATCAATCCGTCATCCAAACCACCTAACCAAATTATCCTCGAAAGGCTTCATATCCCCCTGTATAACTCTCTCTCTTTCTTCTCCACATTATTACTCTCTAAACCAGAAGAACGTCGCCAAGACGGATATACCAAGTAAAGTCGAGATGAGATGAGATGAGCTAGCCAAAACCAAAGGCCGCGATAAATCTCTCACTCTCTCCCACTATTATCCAAAAAACCGCTTACTTCAGAAGAAGCTGCTTCTCCTTCTTCAACTTATCCACCACCTCCCTCGAGATCTTGAGGGTGCTGGCCACGATGTCAGGGGGAGTAAGAGCCAACCACTGCGTCAGCGAGATGTCAGCCACGCGCTCGGACTTGTACAGCTCAATCCACACCAGGTCCTCAGTAGGGGAGGTGTTGAGGACGTAGTGCCCGGAGTTGTCGGGGAAGACGGCGACGTCTCCGGCGACGAGGTCGATGGTGCGAGAGTTGCCGCCACCGATGAAGATGGTTGCCTGGGCCGTGCCCTTGTGGAAGTAGAGCCACTCCTCGGCCTGTGGGGTGTCAGTTAAATCCAGCAGAAAAAGATGACGTTTGGTCTCAGTGGTTTGGTTGGGGAGTTTCGTGGCAGGGGGGCTGGGGGTGGTTGGGACTGAGACTCACATTAGGATGCCAGTGGAGCTCACGAAGCGCACCAGGCTTGAGCGTAATAATGGCAGCAGCAATAGTAGTAGAGATGGGGAAGTTCCTCGAGTCGACAATCGAAATATGACCGCCACCACCTGGGATAGGAACACTGGCCTTAGTCGCCGAGTCGTGGAAGATGTAAGAGCTGGGGCCGGTGAGACCGCTCTCTGGTCCGCTATCTGGGGTGGTCGTCGAGGTGGCGTTGAAGATGTATGGGTCCTTGTCGGGGATGTCGTCAAAGACGGAGACGTCGACGCCGAAGTTCTTGGCGAGGATATCGCGAGGGGTGTGCGCGATCCAGTCGTCGACCATGAAGGTCGTTCCGGAGGCGTCAAAGTCGCCTAGGTTTGTCAGTTTGAGATTTCCTTGGTGAAGGGAGGTTGGGAGGTGCTCACCATTGTCGAAAGCGACGAGAGCCTCGTTCTCATCATCGAGACCCTGGATGGTGTGTGCAGATCCCTTGGGGAAGTACCAGATATCGCCCTCCTTGAGCGTATCGACGGTGTAGTTTCCGTGCTCATCAACGGCGGAAATCAACATGCGGCCGGCGTAGACGTAACCCCACTCAGCCTGTAGAAACTCATCAGCACTCACAATCAAGACAGACAATGGGAAGGGGTGGGTGGGAGAGAACATACAGTGGTGTGCCAGTGAAGCTCGCGGAGGGCGCCCTTCCTGAGATGAAGCTGGGCAGCAGCAATGTCGTGGCTCTGGGGCAGATCAGTGATGACCTGCTCGCGGATCCAACCACCATTGTAGATGTTGGTCTTGCCCTCACTGAAGCTCCACTTCAAGCTCTTGACGCGGCCTCCGTCGGTGGACTGACGGCCAAGGTTGTCGGGGTTCTGGAGGTCAATTGCGTGGTTGGTGCCACCTGGGTGTGTGTTAGTGATGTGACTTGGCGATGTTGCAAGTGGAGATGAAAGTGGTAGGGGGTAGTGAGGTTGTGAAAGTGGTGATGCACATGCTGTGAATCCAGATGGAATGGGGTTATCACGACTTACCCAAGATCGGACCGCCCTTCAGTTTGCCATCGCTGGGCTGGCCGTGGGCGAAGTCGACATTCTTGACGGGGTTGGCAATTGCAAATGGCAAAGCCAGAACAACAGAAGACAACTTGAGGAACTTCATTTTGAAGCCGTTTGATTGTTGTGTGAACAAGCAAAGAAGGGAGTTGTTGGTTGAGCTAGCAAGCAAAGCAAAGTTTGTTGTTGTTGGATGAAGGTGGAAGAAGGATCGAGAGCAGCTACCCTTGCATTTATAGGATAGCCAGTGAGAGTGGAAGTAAGGGAGAGAGATGGGAAGATGGAAGGGGATAAAGATGTAGGAAGAGGCAAGAAGGTGGGGGGAGGGGAGACAATACTGATTTGTATTGTCTCAATGGTGGGGAGTTGGAAGAATATCGGACGAAAGTAGGCCGGAGATGGGAGATGTGAGATTTGAAATGCAAGACGACGGATGGAAGAGCAGCCTGACAGTTATCACCCCCACTCGCAACTCCGAATGCGGTGATCAGCAGGGCCAAGGTGGACGAGGGAAATTGAAATTCAGATATTGAAATTCCCAAGCTTTTGGGCTTAAGCCGTGGTGAAGAGGAGAGCGGGAAGGGGGACTTGAGGGAAAGCTTACTATGGACTGCCGGCGGTGCATACAATATGGGATAGCAAGCTCACAATGGCATCATGGCATCATAGGATGCACGCCATGACAGGCCGGCTAAAGTGAATAATGAGTAGTGCTAGGGTAGGGTAGGGGTATGATAGTGTGATAGTGGGGGTAGGTTGACTGGGGTAGATCAAAACGGGGGGGGGGAAGACAGGGGAGGGGGACTGGTGGAGATGAGATCCGAAGTGAGTTTTGGGTGTGGTCTGAAAGTGAAAATGCAGTGAATTTCTCATAAATGATCGACGTATTTGGCATGGTTGCGGTTGTCGACCGCCTTGGGGCCGCCATGGGTCCGGCAGAGGTAAGGGCCCGCTCTGTTAAGCACGCAAAGACGGGACGGAGCAGGATCAGATGGGGCAGATGGGCAAGACGGGTAAGATGGGGCAGGGTGGGGATGAGGATGAGGCAGGGGAAAGGAGGGCAGGGTAGTGGACCTGGCCAAGCTGACAATTGGGGAGGGAAGGGGGATGGGGATAATGGGGCGATGGGCGCGAAGAAGGGGCTATGGAGTGGATGGGGACAGTGAGAACAACGGGGACCAAGAAGAGCTTGAATTCAACAATAGAGACAGACAGAGGAATAACAGGGAAGGAGCAAAGGGCGAACTAACAAAAGAAAATATAAGTTACAATGGGCGGGCATGAGAATTACTAATATTCTGCAGTCTAGTACACGTAGTTGTAGTGTCAGTGTGTAATTATACGACAATTACTAGCAGGAAAGCGAGTAATGCAAGGTAAAAAATGATATTTATTAGCCTTGTTTATCACTGTTTATTGTTATTCGTTGCTAGTGTTGATATTTGATGGGGTTGGAGTGTTTTTGGTGTTGATTTCAGCAATTATGACGCAAGGCGTGGCTGAAATTCGAAATCGCTGCCAAGCCATATAGCACCTTATAGCATCACAACTTCCAAATAAGCGCGTCCACTCTCCCTCCACTATACGCCCACTCGGACTATGCTAACTAAACTCAACCCCTAAACCGACCTTCATCTTTCGATTACAGGCCCTCCCTGGCTATGATCGTCCCTAATTGATGCCATCTTCAGATCCTCAATTCTGCATACAGATGATGATGATCTTCCCAATCCAGCCCGGAGTGCACGGTTGGGATCATGGCAGCGCAGGACAGGACAGGACAGGGAAGCCCAGTCAGTCCGGCCTGGCGGTAGAACGGTAAGAACTCGGTGCTATGTAGGATGTAGAGGGTCGACAGGCTTCAACAGTCTTCGACACCCTTTAACCGCAAATCTTATGCCCCTTTCACTCAGCCTTGCCCTGTCAATCGCCGCCTCTTCATTTTAACCTCATCGCATCCTCATTGGGGCATCATGGCATCTTTGCCTGACATCTCCGCGCATCTTGGAGCATCTTGCACATCTTCTCATCTCGGCGCATCTCTGCCCATCATCTCATCATCAGTCTCATCTCGTTTCTTCCACTCCAGGAGTGATCTTCAAGCCTTCTGCTCATCTTCCCTTCCTGCCCTGGCATTTCTGCCTAGCCAGCTGTCACGTCACCTGTTAGCTGCTGCAAATGTCTCAGCCAGTTCCTGAGTTGGCATCCTCGCCGTCTCCTCCGGGTCGCCACCCCGACGACGAGCTATCGATGCCATGCATCTGCTCAGTGCACATCCTTCATCTCCATCATCCATATTCCCCCATCCCCCCCCCCTGCCAGTTCTATCTTCTCCATTCCCATCATTTCCCCTCTCCCGGCTCCCCGTCACGCCGTCCCCAATCCATTCAGGGTCATCCGGCACTGAGATCCTGCTCCTGCATCGTCGATCCTTACTCTAATCAAGCTTTCCTCCATCGTTCCCCACCGTTCCTTCTCCCCTCACCCTCGTCGTTTTTTTATATTCTCCTTTCCACCTCGATGGCGACATTGAGATAGCTTCACGGATACCCAGAAAAAATCCGGAAAACCCTCATTTTCCACCACAAAGCTCCGAAGCACGTCTTTTATTGATTCTTGGCATCGGATTGCTGACCGAAGGAGCCCCCACGCTCGTGTCGGTGAGGTTGAAGAGAAAAGGGGCGAGGGCAGTTCTTGATCTTCTATATAAGTCGAGGGAATTGGCTCAATCCTGCTCATCTCATCACTCACTCACATCAACTCGCTCAATACCTTCTCAATACCTTCTCAATACCTTCTCACCTTTCCACTATCCACCCACACCACCAGCTGTCATCATTGTCATGGCTCGCGCCGCTCTTGCTCTCGCCGCCTTGGCCTCCGTGGCCTTTGCCAACCCGGTCCCTGACCTCAGCCTGCCACCTCTGATCCCCTACATCTCGGGCATCAGTGAGCTTCTGTACCAAGTTGTGCCACCAACCCCAATCCTGCAGGCACCCCTTCCTCCGATCCCCGCAGCAAAGATCCCCAGCAGCAACCTCAAGCCCAAGAAGGTCGGCTACTTCTGGACTGGATCAGCTGATCAGAGATATGCGGATTTCCTGGCCACCTACAGTTTGGATGATGTGAGTTTGATTTCAAGTTTCGCCACCCCCCTGCATCAGTACTAACATGTGACAAGGATACCTTTGGTGAATTCATCCACTTGACTGAGGTGCCCAGCAGCGGCAACAGCCCTCATCACTTGGGCCCCAGCCTTGACGGCAAGACCATCGTTGGTGGTGGTCTCCTGTCGCTCTTGAAGACCCAAGACACGGCCTTCTACTTCGACACCACCGACCCTTACAGGCCCACCTTCAAGAAGAGCAACCGTGCTGTGCTCTCTTCCATCGCTGATGAGATCCGCGCCAAGCCAGATGGAGGATTCTTCATCACCTACATGGGCTGTAAGTACCATCGCTTCTATTGCCCATTTGACCAATTCTAACACCTCCCAGCCACCGTCGGTACCTCCCCAGGTCGCCTCGTCGAGACCGACAAGGACTTCAACATCATCGCTGAACACCCGCAAGATTTGGCCAGCACCATCAACATCCTCGGCGAGACCTTTGCCCCCCACGGTCTCTCCATCGACTGGGATGCCAACCTGATCCTCACCTCTGACTTCGTCGTCCCCGTCACCATCCTCAAGCCCAGCGCAGGCATCATCCACGCCAACACTCTCCGCCTGTGGAACCTCGAGAAGCGCTCCATCATCCGCACCCTGACCATCCCCAACGGTGGCGGTATCCAGGATGTCAAGTTCATCCCCGGCAACAAGGAGTCCGCCGCCATCGCCACCGCCGTCCACCTCGGACAAGTCTGGATCATCTACCCCTTCCGCACCGACAAGGACGGCAAGCAGGGCACCATCGAGCTCCTCTATGACCTCGGCGAGAAGGCCCGCGACACCATCGCCATCTACTCCGATCTCACCCAGGACGGCCGCTTCGCCTACTTCACCCTCACCACCGCTAACCACATCGCCGCCCTCGACATCTCCGACCTCGACAACGTCAAGCGCCTCGACGACCCCAACGTCACCCAGCCCACCATCGGCCCCCACTACCTTAAGGTTTCCCCCGACCAGAAGCACCTCGTCGTTACCGACTACTTCGTCCAGACCGGCGAGATCGGCATCATCAACACCCCCGCCGACTTCAAGGCCCTCTACATCGATATCGAGGACAATGGCGCTCTGAACTTCAACCGCACCATCGACTTCACCGATTTCTACAAGACTCGTGGTGGAGCTAAACCCCACTCTGTCGTCATCTACGATTTCACCGACCCGGAGAAGCCAATCTACTACTAGATACTCTTACGCATCTTGGATAGATAGAGAGATAATTGGATGGACGGAGAGACGCGCAGCTGGAGAGGGGGAGTAGCTGCGCGCAGTTTTAGATAATGGGAGGGCTTGGTGGGATGGGAGGTGGTCTTTGGGGATGCGCTAATTCTAATTTTTTCATGTGCTTGGGTTCCCATCTGATGTGGACAGGGGCCTGGCCATGTATACATACAGACGTAATAAATATTCCCTATACTATTGGCTTCGTTCTTTTGGATTGTGATTATTCTGCGTGATTGGGATTGTGAAATGTACTTTTGCTTCGTATCATCGATCTTTGTAGCTTGTTTCCTTGGGATAAATTATGTGCAAAGTCTGACTATTGTTATGGTGAGAATTCAAGTTGTTGGTGAATGGCTGGCGTTGGTTGGTTGTTTTCTATCCGTAGATGTCCTGAGTCAAGGTACGACTCAGCGTGGCTTCCCATTTAGATAAGACCGCTCCTTCCTAAAATAGTAGTTGTGTGAATATAGAAATTTAAGAAAATAAGAATGAATGAGAATGTACATTGATCTACTGATATATTTTATGGTGTGGGATAAATTGTTAAAAACTAATACTTGTAGTTGATTCTTTACTTCAAATAAATTTCGGTAATAAATAAATTTATTAAAAATCTGAATATATACTTCGTATAGATGATATTTGTATACACTGAAAAGCCACTTAAATCAATAGAAGACAGTAAAAACTGTTTTACAATTGTTAACAACTACCTTAGTTTTGTTGTCGTGGGTTGCGACTGCCTCGTGCTGTAAGTTCATATGAGAAGTGTCAAGGAAGGAGCGTTAGAGATATTGTCCTATCTGCAACGCTCTTTCCGTTTTAGACAAACTTGGTTATTACTTCTTTACTGCGGGATATACTGCTCATATCCTGCGGAATTGAACATCAAGCACCAGGAATCAAGAGCCCACAGCCAAACACCTATCTCGTACACTTCAGAATATTGCATACCATCAATCATTCCCTTTTACTGTCAATTAAACTCCCCCATCCATCTTCACAATGAACGACCCTCAAGATCCGCTTTTTGAAGACGGCATCGACCTCTTAAACACAGACCCACAAGCCACAACACATGCCGCTGAACCCTCAAACACAGACACAGGCGCCATAATACATACCATCGAGCTATCAGACACAGACTCAGAAGCCACTATCCGCGCTTCCTCCCATGATCACCGAAAACCAGTTGGCGCCACCCCTCCCCCCGAAACTCCGGCCACAGCCCAGCCCACAGAAACGACCCGCGTCGCCGGTTTCTACACAGAAACTCCTCCATACAGCCCGCCCAACCCTGTTATCACACAACAACCAGTACCCCACCGCATCTTGACTGTCGGGACAAGCACTCCGCCACCCACGCCTCTAATTAATCCCTCAGATATTGTGCTACCGCCTATTAATAACGCCGCCGGACGTACGCGTGTATATTCGCGGGTAGAGAGAAACCTAGCCAGGATAAGGGAGAAGCTATACATAAGAGTGGCGCAAAATGCAGCGGTGGTGACGTGGAATCAACAGGAGAGATATGCGAAGGTGTGGATGTGCACGCTGGGGGTGTATTTGCTCGCGGGAGTTGCGTTGGTTATCCTTGCGGGGGTGCAATTTTGGAAAGCGAAAAACGCACGTTGAGAGGCTGGCGGATCAGGAGGCGAATTGAGAGTCTGAAGTGGATGGGGTGTGGGCTGGTTGAGTGGCTGGAGACGTCGAGGATATAGTATTCTTTGACCAGGAGAATCGACGCGGCTTTGGTGTTGGGGAGACTGGAAGGAGGGATGCCACTAGCGTTTGTTATTAGTTTTGAACCGTTTTGGGGATGCTGGGCCATTTTGTTTTGGCAGCGCTTTGGAAATACGATCTGGTCACATTGGAGATGATACCACACAGCGAGCGTGGAGCATGGTTATACATAGACGGACCTGCAGCGGATAGTTAGCATAATTCAGAATACAAAAGGTATTCCTTGCCCTCTCATAGTCCACCTAAACCCTTCAAATACTACTCAGTACTTTATATTACCAACACGGAGTGAAGGTACGAAGTTAGGAATTGCTGGGTTGCATCGAAGCGCCGTAGGACTGAGAACAATGCTAGTGACCAGGTTGCATCCTCCCATTTTAAGTAATGGTTATAAACACAGATGGCTAGGAATAGGAGGGTCAGATCTATAAACGTGGCTGGAGATGCGATATCGTATCTTATTGGCTTATGCTATCTTAGACTCCTTTACATCTCAGCGTCTCCCTTATTAGAGTTGCACCTCGGAACAATCCTATCCCCTACTACCCAACATCCGAGGCATTAATCCATCGTTCTTCGGAGCCTTTAATCAACATCTCATAGGTCCATTCTGGTTTGCAATATGGTTGTCTTTTAACCGCCGTTAGCAATTAAACTATAACTCTCAAGAATAGAGACCTACTTAGAATAACTGAGCTCGTGACATCCTTTGAACCGTCCTTACAGGTTCCAGTCAACACACCGTTCTTCAATTTGCCATTACGACAGTGCGAGCTGAAGCCACCACTGTAGATACGTATTAGTTAATTATATTATTTTAACCAAATGACGTGGGACATCTCACTTCGCCTTAATGATGATTTTGCCTTTGGAAACACCGAAACACTTGTCAAGCGCGAGTTGTGTATCAACGTTGTAGACGGTGTTGGTTTGCTTGCAATTGGCCACAATTATCCATGATGACCCTCTGGTGGGATGGTCGGTAAATCGAATTGAATTGCAGGTCTTCGTGTAGCCGTTCGTTGCAGCTTCTCCAAGAGAGAGGTGGCCTAGGAGCAGAAGAGCAATGGTTGGAAAGGTATTGAACTGCATAATGTAGTATTCAGGCGGGTGCTTAGAAATTTTGATAGGATGATGGAACTAAACAGATATTGTACTCGAGGGAACTTGCGTCCTTTTATAAGCATTCTATATCATGGGGTAATTGTCTAGCTTTCCAAAATGTCGCTTTCGGTGGTTCTATTTCATCGTACGCACGTCTACACAAGATTGCGGTGCATGGAATGATCTACATCTTCAACTAAAGTAAAAATCAAAGCAACCAATTACGAGGTGTGATACATGGCTGGGGATGAGACATTTCAAGCCCAAGATATCAATACGAAGAGGTGGATTAACTACATGATTGCACCCAAATGATAACCTTCTTGGGGGCGGACCGTAACTTGTATGCTGGCTGACCTGATCCTTCGCCGAAGGATCATTATAATGCTGATCTAATTCACACAAGAGCAGGGGTACACAGCTCAAACCAACTGGGTTAACCCAAAGGGGTAGCTGACGAACCTAGGTTGACATCTTGGCGTACAAACCTAACCTACTTTAGCAGAGGCTCCGAGTGAGCTGCCCCTACGTTAAGTTAATGTTCACCTAAAGCTCCACATCGGCTGACCTAACCCCGGACGGGATTTGGCGTTTTTACCTTCTTCCACGCCTTACCGCCACATATGGCTCGAAACGGCCTTGCTAAGCATCTCTGCATTACCAAATGTATGAGCACAGGCCCCTACATGCGAGGTATTTCATCTTATTTTATACGAGCACAAAGCGGTTTTCCCCTGTGGCCTCATAAACATTATGATTTATCTACAGGACTACTCGTGTTACTGCTCTCGGCGGACTATTTCCCCAAAATGATTTCAACGGTAGGACATAGAATGTAATACCAGAATATCTACGGCGCGAGATCTTCCTGGGTTTGACGATTGAGACGAGCTGGAGACCTCGGAGTTAGGGACATGAGTTACTCTGGTGCCCCACGGGTCGGAGGCCAGACAAGGGCAATGGAGCGGATTGGCTTTGCCGGTTTTGCGGCCTTTTTGGTTTATAGTGCTCCATAGAGATAGTTGTCCATAATTGTGGGCCAGAAACCACGTATTAATCACTCCACTGGTCGAAATCTAGCATTTTGAGTTGGCAGAGACGCTGGGAACATAGATCCAGCGGAGAAAGAGCTGTCTAGGCATAATGGGAAGGTCGCTCTTGTGATATATTGGAACCCACTCAATGATGTGAAAAATTATATCGTCAGGGATTTTGTTGATGGATTAAGTCTTTGGGAATACTAGCTGATCTTGAGACATCGCCAGGAATTCTTCCCAAAACCGATGTTGATGAGAGCTTGTCGCCTAATTATAGTTTTAGTGCCAACCGGAAAATCATTTCGCCATTGCCCGACATCGGGTGTGTGTGGGGTATGGGGTTCAGATGAGGGGTAAAAAGGTAACGTATTTCACATACGAGTGGCGCACACAAACGAGTGGCGCACCAAAACACCAAAATGTGACTATTACTACTACTATACTACCACCACCCTACATAATGACCCTTATTCCATTGCAATTGATTCCTAGCGCCTCTCGCACGTACGAGCATTATGCCCCATATTACCACATGTGCCACATCGCCGCTGTCGGCCTGTAGAACCCTCCTGCCGAGTAGTCTCACTTGCTACCTCCGTACGGACTTGAGCATCAACCTCAGCACTCTGAAGTATATCCTCTGCATCTCGTACGGAGAGACTGCCCCCTTGCATTATACGCCTCTTACGCTTCCTTTCCCTCCTCTTTTTCTGTTCATTTGCAGCCTGTAGAGCCTTAACTTCTGCCTTAAGTAGAATAGCAGAATGCATCATCATTTCCGCCCCTTTAACAAGGCAGCTAACAGCATCATTAATTGAGGTAGGAGAGCTGTTCTAATGTTGTACAATGCGGTTCTTAATGTGCTCTGTTTGAAAGTTAAGCTCCCTTATAGTTTGAGGAGTCTTTGAGGTCTAGTTGTTACTCTCAACTATAGGAGGGGTTGGAGTCCTTAAGTGTAGATTCAAGTGAGAGAGGACATTCTGCGGCTCGTACGGAACTAGCCCTATAGCTCGGAATCCGCTCTTAATGTTCTGCTCTATAAATGTAGCTTTGAATGCTTCTTTAAATGCAGAGAGGAACTTAAGCTTTGTGATATGGTTTAGCCTATTCCGTACGAAGGTTTCAATCTAACGTCCGTACGAAAGCTTTAGCGGAGTAAAGCAGCTAACGTCAAGTGGTTGAAGAATGTGCGAGGAGTGTAGTGGCATATAGAGGGTGATTATCTTCCGTTCTATACAGTAGTGTTGAAATTGAGCAGAGAGGTGGCTCTCATGTCCGTTAAGAATAAGAAGGCGATAGGTTCCAATCGTACGAGCATTTGTATGTTGATCGAAGTGTTGAATCCACTTGTACCCAATTGAATTTGAGGTCCACCCATTCTCACTTAGTGTAATCACCTAATTGTCTAGCAATCCCGAGTCCTCATACCATGTAGAGAGGTGATTCTACGCCTTAAAAATAATGAACGGCGGGAGTGCCCATCTGTACGAATTGACACCTTAGATAATTGACACCCACTCTCTATTCCCTAGCTGTATAGTCTTTAGACGGCTCTTTGCTTCTAAGCTTGTGACTACCTTTGCAGTAGCAATAACTCCCATTGCGAAACCTGCTTCATTAAAGTTATAGATATCCTGCTCTAGAATTCCATATTTTGCAACTGTGTTTCGTACGAGGGAGAAGCACCCTTTAATTATCTTTAGATCTTCACATTTTGCTCGTTTATAATCGTACTTCTGACTAAACTTTGCTTTGATTTCCGTACGGCGCTTTATAAAGTTTGTAGTCTAGTTCTTCCCAACAGGGCCCTCGCCTCGTTTAGAGAGTAGAAGGTCAGCCATTTCTTGCACATCTTGCGGCTAGGGCGGAAATCCACGCGAATCTAGGTCGAGGATATACTGAACAAGAGCTGACTCTTCGTACGGAGTCAATTTTTGTAAGTTAGGGGTAGAGTCGCGTCGAGAAATACCACCACGGGCGCGTCGTCTAAGTGTTGTTTCAGGGACATCGTACGACATTGCAGCAGCTCGAACACTTTGAATATGGCCTTCTTTAATTGATTGAATAGCTAGAAGTATCCTACCCTCTTGATTAGAGGACTTAGGTTGAGTTGGTGGTGCCATTGTTTATGTAAGTAAGTTGACGCGTTTTTGGTGTTTTGGTGCGCCACTCGTTTGTATGCGCCACTCGTATGTGAAATACGTTACCCCAAAAGCCCTTTAGAGATAATTTACAGAATTTATGGAATGATACTTATTATATAACCACATAAATAAATAACTGAATCCTAATGTATCGCTCGAATATTGAACAAATTAAGTAGAACGCCACTGAAAGTGATTGTTAGGAACTCAAAATCATAATATAATTCCATTGCCAGTAACTGCCGATATATGGGGCTGACTGGTGCTAGTGAGTTGTCACAAATATGGGGAACGAATCCTCTATAAATACTAAAAGTTGACGACTTTATAGGCACAAACATACATCGCACTGTAAATATGGCAAAAATTAAGACTGTTGAGTACTTCCGCCTTCCGCCTCGGTGGCTATTCGTGAAAATAGTAGACGAAGATGGCAATGCGGGGTGGGGAGAAGCAAGCCTGGAGGGTCACACACAGGCGGTCGAGGGATGTCTCGACGCATACAGATCGAGAGTAATTGGCATGGAGGCAGAGTATGCACCAGCAACTAAACGCAGTATAGACTGAAGAGTGTTATTAACTATTTCTACAGTGACATCGAGCATATCTGGCAGCTTCTTTATCGCTTCGGCTTCTACAGAGGCGGCCCAGTCTTGATGAGCGCCCTATCTGGCATTGACATAGCGTTGTGGGACCTGAAGGCTAGAAAACTCAATGTCCCAATTTACCAATTGCTCGGGGGCAAGGTCCGAGACACTATCAAAGTGTATGCCTGGATCGGTGGCGACCGTCCCGGCGACGTGGAAATCCAAGCGTAAGTATCTCCATCGTACCAATGGCCTCCCTCAGCGCTAACTACGAACAGCAAAGCCAGAAAGGCCCAGGGCTTTACAGCAGTCAAAATGAATGCCACCGAAGACCTCGGTTGGATGGACTCTCCATCCGCCCTCGCCAGCTGTGTTGAGCGTGTCAAGGCTGTGAAGGCGCTCGGCCTCGATGCTGGTGTCGACTTCCATGGCCGTGTGCACAAGCCGATGGCCAAGCAGCTCGCACGCCTTCTGGAGCCCCACCAGCCAATGTTCCTCGAGGAGCCACTGCTGTCGGAGAACATGGAGGGCATTAAGGAGATCAGCCGGCTGACGACGGCGCCGATTGCTCTGGGCGAAAGGTTGCATTCGAGGTGGGATTTTAAGAGATTCCTCGAGGCGGGCGCTGTGGATATTGCGCAGCCGGATATCTCGCATTGTGGAGGGATTTCAGAAATGAGGCGAATTGCGACGATGTGTGAAGCTTATGGTGTGTAAATATCCCGTGCCGGCTCAGATCTCGACTCCGAATCCCCCAGTGTATGAAAGTCTCCGATGCTCGCATACTGACTACTTCACATAGACGTGGCGCTGGCACCCCACTGCCCTCTTGGACCTATTGCTCTCGCAGCGAATATCCAAGTCGATGCGGTTTCTGCAAACTTTGCTATCCAGGAGATGAGTCTTGGGATCCACTACAACGCCGGGAGCCAGGACCTGTCTAGCTACACAACTAACCCGGAGGTTTGGGACGTCAAGGATGGATACATTGGGTTGCTGAAGGGCCCTGGGCTGGGGATCGAGATTGATGAGGACATGGTGAGACGTTTGAGCGTGGATGCCGAGGCATGGGTCAGTCCTGGGTTTGTGGGACCCGGGGGCGAGGTGAGAGAATGGTAGATATGCGAAACTGGGAAACTGCGGTATGCCTGGCAGCATGATATAGTAATTCATTGTCTATATCTTGAACGTGAAATCACAGGCCAAGTATGTCCCTCCATAATTGGAAGACAGAATAATCTGCCAAACTACAAGGAGCCCATTAGACTCGACCACAAAGTCGAGTCTAATGGGCTCCTTGAACGAAGGTGCAACTTTATTCGCTTTTATTAAGTGGTTTGGACAGTAGCTGCGGGAGGGGATTCGTTTTTCATCAGTGGTGCTACACTGAAGAACGGATTGGACCTCATATCTCTCGTCACATTGACGGAATTCGCCCTTCTGGACGTATCCGCACGTGTAGAGATATAAATCGCGAGAGCACATCTCTTCAGGATCCAGAATAAGGTGTCGGGGGGTCTAGAAGAAGAAAAAGATGGATAAATCTTCTTGCTCAAGTGTGAATACTTGACAGGTGTACAACGCGTTTGCTCACCCTGCGTTTACGCGTTACAGTGTCTGATTTAGGCCTGAGGCACTAATATAGAATCTGCGAGAAAGTTAGGCCAGGGAAAGGCCTCAGCTCAGAAGTAAAAGCGACAAAGCATCATCGTCGTATATGCACCTACCGACACTTTGATATAAAGGTTCTCATAATACCATCTCTACATATACGCGCATCTTTATATTCTATCAGTCAATCCGGATAACTACGGTGCCTTTCCCCCCTTTTACCCATTGGGGTCTCTTGCCAGGAAGCGCGACCCAGCCTTTGGTGCCATGCGGCGTATCCCACACAACTGTGACTTTTTTCTTTTCAACCTTGAATTTCGCGAAAAACTTGCCGAGGCTTGTGGTAAATCCGGCCTCAGCTGTCGAGAGATGGGTAAATGTGGCTGGTGTCAACTCCCATTCCTCCCCGCCAGGCTTGGTGACTGACAACCCAACTATATACTCCGTGAGCGCAGAGGTAGGGCCGCTGCTCCAGCCATGGGCGTGCGATGTATAAGAGGGATCGTTGCGATATCCACGATCGCCGCGGTAACCAAACGTGCCATCCAACAGATAACCCTCGATAACAGTCGATTCTGTGCCATTCGGGTTGCCGAGGTACCAGCCCCAAAGCGTTCTCATCAACTCCAGTGCTCTATCTGGTCTCCCGGCTTGGAAATGGCCTTCTACTTCAATGCTAGATATAAATGGCGATACATTCTTGGGAAGCTCTGGGCAAATGGGACCGATTGGGGTCCAGTTATTCGCCAGGTAGTCCGAAACGCGTTTTGCGTAATTGCCCTTTGGTGGGACGACCGAAAACGCGATTGCCATGCTATTTGCATCTTGGGGGTATAGCGATATATTTGATGGGCTGTCTTTGAAAGCACCGCGCGTATCGTTCCAGAATTGTTCCATGATTGCTACCTGCAGATTGTCTGCCTTCTCGGTGTATTCAGCTGTGATGTTGGTTTTCAGTAATTCAGGTGCCCAAGACGTCAGAGCGGCGCCAGTTCGTAGTGTTCGGTAAAGCCTTGATGTAAGGCATCAGCATTTTTCACGTGTACGGAAATCTAGAATACTACTTACAGCATACTTGCTGAGCTGGCTTCGGTATTATATGTCCATCTGCCCCAGTCACCCTGGCCTGTGGCGTTCATGATGCCTGCTGGTGTTACCTTGTCATAGACAAATTTCATGGCTTTTAGGTAGCGAGGCCAGTTCTGTGTGAGGAATTCATAGTCCTTGGTATACAAAATATAGTTATATGTACCAATCATAGTCCACATGTGGTAGGCTAACGAGAATTATCAGCATTGACGAAACGAGGAACTGGGATCTGGAGTCCACATACTGTCACTATCTGAACTCAAATATGGGGGCCCTGCCTTGGGCAAGGCACCGCTTGTTAACTAAACCGTGTAAGTAAAACATATGTGTATAAGTAGGCATCTGCAGGATGCTCACCTGATTGCTCCAGATAACCTGGAGTGCATTTTTTGTGCTTTCCATGTCGCCAGTGCTCACAAAAGAGCTCGGCACGGCAACCCCCATGTCTCCTATCCAGACCCATCTATCACGTTTTGCTCCATCAAGAAGAACAGTATCCCCTGGGCCACAGGTTACGTCGTTCAGCCAACCGCTTTTGAGGTTCGTAGTGTGGCGACAGGTATTAGCCGGTGCTGTATTACTCTGTAGTGTATAAGCGCCAGCGTACCATATCTTATTGAGAGGCTCATCATTGCTGTGAAAGTAGCCCTGGTAGGCTCTCAAGTCTGACCATGTCGGCTGGAAGCTGAGTTCAAGACTGATACCATTTATCTCAATTGTAGTACCAGCTAAAGCATCAGAAAATACTGTTAAATATCGGAAGCCGCCACGTAAATGCGTATCATTCATAACGTACGATCCACGGCCAGCAGAGGTGATATTGGTGACTAAGGCACCATCTGCTCCAGAACCGCCATTGGAATTATCAGACTTTCGGCCAATCCACTGCTTCCCTTCTGTGAATGCGAGCCCCAGAGTTGCAGAAGGGCCATGGAGCGTGTAGTTAATTGTTATAATTCCTCCAACCTCGAGGCCAAAGTCAAAAACCACGCCTTGCCCATCATTGGTCTGGAGGGAAATATTAGAACCGGCTATGTATTGCGAAACAATGTCTCCGAGCGGCAGCGAAAGAACAGACTTTGGAATGAGTGTCCGGGACGCTGGGGCAAATATGTTAGACTCCCACGGGCCCGGGAATGACGTGCGAGAAGGGCCTGCACATGGCGTATCCCTCCAGCATGAAGCAGCAAAGGCTGTGGCTGTGAGGATTTGCACAATGCACATAGACAGTAGCATTCTGGCCAGAGCTGGGCGATTGAGATATGCGACTTTGAACTATGGGAGAAAGATCTGTCTTGCGTGTCAGCTACCGTCCCGAGGAAAAAAACATTCGCAGGCGCAGGATACCATTTTCATGAAATGCAACTGCCAAGTTTGAGTTCGGGCACCGGGATACCAGAATCCGACCTTCGGTATAAGTGCTGTGTCATTGCAACAAAAAACACGGTCAGTTGTTCGGCTAAACCACATTCGCCGGGGCTACGATGCGGCACTTGGTAGAGCAACCAATTAATTTCCGCTGGCCCGATCATATCTTCCAGCAGAGCGGTGGTATGTATTTAGAGTTAATGGGCTTCTATGGCGAGCATAGTTACTCCTTTTCGTTGCTGGTGGTACCCCACATCCCCCACACCTCGCTACAATGCGGGGTTCATGTCAAGCTGCGGTACTCGGGTAACCTTAGATCTCCTCCGCAATCCAAGTCCCCTAGCGCCATTACAGAGCTAAAACCACTTTGACGCCAGGCGCAAATTTAGATGCCCATTTCTTCCTCCAATTACATGGCCAATTACATGTTAGGGAGGCGCTATTCGGTGCTATAACCTGCTTGGTATTCTTGGAAATGTAGCCTTCGGCGCCACTGTCAGACTCGAATATCAAAGGTCGGCTGAACATGTACCGAGTGTAGAATATAGGTGTCGAGCTTGGTACCCGCTGAGAATCTAATGTTAAGTGTTTATTGAACGGTGTCTATTGTGACTGCCCTCTTTTCAGTATTATGCTCACTCCATTGCCTTTTCTCGCGTTGTGGGCGCTTGCAGCTCCCATAGTCACTGCTGCAGCCACTACCACGAGGGGACCTGGCGTTCATGTATCGACTGTCCATGGCCATCATACTTGCACCGTCTTGCCTCGAGGTAATAAAAAAGATGATGCTCATAACATTCGTAAAGCATTCGAAAAGTGTGCTCGTGATTCAACAATCGTCTTCCCAGACGATCAAGTTTACTGGATAGGGGAGAAGGTCCATGCAGCTCTGCACAATGTCAAAGTCGAATGGCGGGGCAAGTGGCTGGTTTGTTCCCCTTTCTCTTCATATCAATAGAAGCTGTTTTCGAATTATCAACACTACAGTTTTCCGATGATACTTCGTATTGGCGCCAGAATTCATACTACATCGCCTTTCAAAACCATCGGGCTGGCTTCATTCTGTCGGGGGATAATATCCACGTAGATGGATACAATAGCGGAGGCATCAATGGCAACGGAGATGTTTGGTACGATGAAGACAAGGGCAAATCAACAGAAGGGCGTCCCATGGTATGTTTTGGAAGTACAGCACCTGATATGGCGAATTCATTCTAACGCCCCTATCACAGCCATTTGTGCTATGGAATATCACGGATTCTTCTGTGGACAATTTTTTTGTCAAGCAGCCACAGTTTTGGGCTATCAATATTATGAACGGCACCAACCTGTCGTTTGAAAACATCACCAGTAGCGCAGTCTCAAATAACGCACCAGCGGGATCTAATTGGGTTCAAAATGCTGATGGGTTTAGTAAGTACACAGTCTTCCTCATGTTTGCCAATTAGGCTGGTCATATCTAATATTATCACCTGTAGATACAATGGATGCACACAACATAACTCTGAAGAACTTCTTATACCAAGGCGGTGACGACTGCGTCGCTATTAAACCGCGTTCTTTCGATATAACCATTGACGGCATTACCTGCGAAGGAGGCAATGGTATCGCAATAGGTAGTCTTGGTCAATATCTTGAGGACAACTCGGTTGAAAACGTCACAATAAACAATGCTAAGGTGGGCCCCAAATACTTCTATCGCTGAGAACATATCATCTAATTAACTACAGATGGTTCGGTCTGGCTTTCCTATGCGATGGTGTGTCTATATTAAGACCTGGATGGGCGACCTTGTTCCACAGACATCCTACGAAAGCGAAGGCCAACCACGCGGTGGCGGCTGGGGCAAAGTAAGAAACTTGCTTTTCTCCAACTTTGAACTCGTTGGTGTGGAGCGTGGTCCATACATTACCCAGGACAACGGCGGCAACGCCGAGAATAAAGGTACGAGCAAGATGGAAATATCCGACATTACGTTCCGTGGCTTCACGGGGACGCTTAGTAGCACGTCCGGACGTTTGGGCGAAATTAGCTGCAGCAAGAATCTCCCGTGTTATAATATCTATTTTGAGGATATAGACCTACAATCGGCCTCGGGTACTTGTCATTGGACAAAGAGCGGTACCATATTTGGCTTGCCGGGTTGCTAGGAGACAATGCAAGAGAATGCATTGTTTATTTACCACGAGGCATTGGGATAATTTCAATATAGGAAGCTACAACCATGATGTTTACAACGACGAGGTTTTTTGTGTGATAACACCATGATTTCATTATCTAATAGGGTATATAACTATAACTAATATACTAGCATTGCTCCTGGCTACTACCAAGCTGCCATCGGTGCAGTTTGCGATGCATATGATCCATCCGAGATCAGCACGCGGCCAGAGCATTCAGCTCCATTCCCCATCCCAAGCATCTTTAAAGGGTATCCTAGACTACACATCTCAATCCAGAAGAAGACCTGAAAATACAGGCGTAACCTTCCAAGCAATTATCATTATAATTTAATAACACAAGGCAGATGCCAGAGACGGCCAGCCCTGGTCGCGAGCCACAATCGAATGTCTTTCATCAGTCGTATCCAGCTTGAAGTGGATTAACCGTCGCAAAAGCGATGCTAGCGGTGGCAGCATGTTCGGTGATTGGTGCAAAATAACTGCCTGCCTAGCAAACAGCTTGATTTCGTCGCACATTCCTTTCCCTCTACTTAAACTGAACAATCAATTGCCGTGCTTCGAAAAGTAGCGCTGCATATTCCCCTTTTGTTCTCGCCACAACTTCCGCAGATCTTGTGGCCCAGTTTTCCAGAATTTTTCGTGCAGTGTTACCACGTGCCCTTCAACATCTCCAGAATTTGGCCAAGTGGCGCTCCATTTGTAATGCATCTCTCTCCAAGGCATCGGGCCGTCTCGTCGGAAGGCGTAGTTGAGGAGGCTCTGCTCCATAGTATGGGGATCAAAGCGGCGATAATGTTTCAAAATTGACAGAAAATAGTCAAATAGCTCTTGAGAAGGTGCTGCTATCCAAAAGCCGGCGCTGAAGACTTCAGTGTTCAATGGCGGAAATGGATGGCGACGTTCGCCAGTGAATTGGTTGTCAGATCTCGCGGCGAACATATACTGCGCTGGTAACGGTGCTTCGTCTGCCCGTCGTACGCGATGAGAAAGCGTCTGCGCAGGCCTCTGAACTTCAAGCTCGTTGAATATCTCATCCAACTTTCCTCTAATCAACGTGTCTGCATCAACGAACAATAGCCGATCATACTGAGTCATCTCAAACAATCGCAGCTTGAGAAATTGGTCTTTCCATCTTGTGACGCCAGTGCTGACCCACCAACTGAGAGGAATATCTTTTGCTTCAACCACCACAGCACCATCTGCGGTCAGCTGATCTCTGGTGTACTTGGGCACGTTTGGCGTGACCAGAACGACAAAGTCGACAGAAGCGTTGCAGCGCGTCTCCTCAGCGTGCAGAAGTTGGTATGCAAGAACACGTGTGGCAATGTTGTAAGGGTTTGAGTCCAAATCCTTGGCGTTGAGTGATTTTTTATTTCCCCCTGTGAGGAACGTGGCGATTGCATATTTCGACTCCGATGTAGTGTTTCTCACAAGGCCGAACTCAGGGTCAATCAATGGCGGTCTCCGACATGAAGATAAGAAAAGCCAAAGCAAAGTAAGGGTAACCACAGCAATAGTGGCTTTCCTGCGCAAATAGAATGCTCGAAATACCAGGCGCAGCGAAGCCTTCAACGCCAGAAAAGGTTGTGTCAGCATGGCTTTGGGCATGCGCAAAACCCCTGCGCAGGGCTATAAAACAGCAAAAACGATAAGAGCGCAGCTTTGTGAAATGATTCCAAAGGGACTGAGACAAACTTGGCGTATGGGTCTTATAGGGCTAAAAGCCAAGACCACCAAGATCAAACAAGCAATTTGTTTCCGTGTGGCATGTACAGATTTCGTGTCAGTCAAATGTTTAGCGCTGTCTTGGCCAAAACAGACTAGCGCCGCGGCACGCGGTTGCGCTCCTTCCTGCCCCGGAAATCCCACAAAAACCAGGAACAACGCTAACTTAGCTAGGGTCACCAAGCGAGACTACCCGTTTTAGTGGTTTTAGTTGTTTTAGTACGGTGTCAGGGGTTTACCATAGATCCGACGATTTTACAGCTCCATCATAAATCGACAGTTGTGTTAAATAGAATTGAATACTATAGTATATATCTTTTAAACTATACTATAAACTATAGACTATAAACTCTATAGTGTGCTGTTACATATAAAACCTCTCCTATCATGGTCGCGCTTACTGCAGCTTGGCGCCAATTGGTAACGCGTAGACCTGGCTGTTGGTCTCGAACTTGCAAGTTTCTGTGGTAATTTGTCCATTCCCACCTTCAGTAAGACATTTTCCGGTGCCCTCGTTCGTGAGATCTCCAGAAAGAGCATACGACCAGTTCTGGTTTGGGTTACCCTTGCAAGGAGCAATGGTGATGGGGCCGTTTCCAGAGTCAGTGAGGCACTTGGACTGTTCCGCAAGGTTGCGAATGCTTCCATCAGACTTCACCTGCCAGACCTGGGAGCTTGGGAAATTGCAGCTTGCGGACGAAACCTCGCTACCCTTTGCAGCTCCTGCGGTCAGACAGGTCATCGAGAAGGTGTTCATGATGAGGCCAGTTGGGATGACAGTCTTGCACGAGTTCTTCGATGGTGTCAGGCGGTATACGACGGTTCCGTGGGATGGGACATTCTTAATCTTGAACTCGCCAGACACAAGACCAGTAGCGTCACCAGTCCAAAGATCCTTGACTGCAAAGTTGCAAGTCGACGAGAGTCCAAGCTGTGCAAGAGGGATTGAGGTGCTGGCAGCGGCAGGGGAGCGGTTCAGTACCGTTAGCAGGCGGTCTCCGCTGCCAAGGCTCTTTGTAAGTACGTCCCAGGTGCTATCACGGCTGGCCAACGTAGCTTGCTGGCTGAGGGCGTCCTGGTCAACGTCGATGAGATCTTTGTTGGTAAGGAAGGCAAGCTCATCTTTGCCGAGGTCGGGAATGTGAGCGCTGATAATGAGCGGGGCGGAGAACGACGCCCACAGGGCAAACTGGGAACGCTTCTCATCGATGGTGAGCTCCGGGTAGTCTGAGACCAAGAAATCGGGGTCGTTGAAGAACCCAGGCGATTGGTACCGAGCTAGGCGAATCTGTTGGTCATAGTTGGACATGATGCTTGACCATGGGTTTGCGTCGCCCCAGGTAGCGACATCATATGAATGGCGCGCAAGCTCTCCGTTGTCTGCCAGCCAGTCCATTACTGTATACCAGTCCGTTAGGTTATCCGTACCACAGAAGTAGGCTGGTGCTGATTCGGAGAAGATGAGAGGGTTGGCTTGTTTGCTAAGGATCTCATGCCAGTGGGAATATATATCCTTGTAAGTCTCCACGTCAGTCCTCCCGGGAGCTGTGGGGACATTGCAGCCATCTAACTTAAGGTAGTCGATTCCCCAGTTGGTGAAAGTATCAGCATCAATCTGCTCGAATCCAAGGGAACCCGGATAGCCGCCACACGTCTGTGTACCGGCATCCTGGTAGATACCAAGGTGGAATCCTTTCTCCTTGAGGTAGCGGCCTAACCATGGCAACCCCTGTGGGAACTTCTCTGTGTCCCACAAAAGAGTGCCGTTATCAGTCCTGCTCATCTGCATCCAGCAATCGTCAAGGTTGATGCGGTCGTATCCAGCAGCGAGCAGCCCACTGCTGGCCATGGCGTCTGCAGTTTGAGTGAAAAGCGTCTCGTTGAGGTTACACATGAACCGTGCCCAGTTGTTGAAGCCCATCGGAGGGGTAGCAAGCACCTCCTTGGAGGCTTTGGCAACCGCAATGGCGGCGGCTGCTGTGAGAAGTGTCTGGGAACGCATCTTGATAAAAGGCAAGGCTGAGTATAAAGTCCTAGTTGGATTGATTTCGCTTTATTTAAATTGACAAGTGGGCAAGCGCATCTTATGTAGTGGATTGAATAATTATGACCATAGTAAGTTGAGATGTCAACTTCGAGGTCTCCACAGTGTATGCTACCGGGTTCACCTACCTTCCCTACCGAAAGCTTCACGGCATATCAGCGATGCAACGTTTCCGCCATCTGGTCCTGGCAGTTGGATTTGGTTTGTATAATAGCAATAAGTGGTAGCTATGGTATGCTCTCTGGTGAGTGCCGGTCACGGCAACAACGATCTTCAACCAAGGTTCCCCGCAATTCAGGATATCGATACGAGCAGCGAGGCCAGTCGAGTGCAAAGTGGATACTGATCTCATCTCCCCGCTTTTGATTGTAACTGTAATTCAGCACAGTCTCCGCAATCTTCTCTGCGACTTGCCTAACGGGATTGGATTGAGGTTACACTTACAAGCCATGAGCTGCTGTCTGCGATAACCGCGGCACGTATGGTATGATGAGTTAAAATGCAGATAACGGCCAGAAAACTGCTATCAGGGTCTGCTCTTAAGCGTGTTCGGAGGGCCGAAATATGTTTATCTCTCACTATACCACTTTCTCTCGTGGACCACAATATGGGATACCAGGTGTATCTAATGTCGTCTGTTCTCTTGCCTCATGCAGTAATAACACCATGAACCGCGGTACCGATGTTTCCAGGTAGTCAGCAGCCCTGACAACATGAACTTTACAGTCCATGTGCCTCGACATACATTCGCCCTGGGAAAAAGTAGTGCATACTTGGCTTTGATGCGCGCCCTCGCTGGTAGAATGACATGCGGCTGGAGTTTGTAGACCGGATAATATAAATTTACCACCGTAAATTCAAAGTTCGGATCAATATCAAAACCAACCCCAATGCAGTAATTTTGTACCTGTTGATTCCTAAATGGGAAGGATAGTATCACGTGTAGAAAAGCAAGGAATCGAAGCTTATTCGCGTGCGAAGTCGGGTCGCGCAAGAAACCTCTTTAGGAATTAATCAGCGACAAGAGTTGGCAGCAGAGACCGGCGAAGCATTATCGAGCTGCCAATATAGGATGAGTTCGGACTATCCAAAGATGGGGCAGCGCCGGTTAAACTGTTGGCGCTAAGCGATGTTTGGTTGGAGCTCCTCAGAAGGGTTCGAGAAGCCAACACAGAACTTCAGGGTGCAACAGCAAAACAAGCTGCATTCGCTGCGGTTTGGTGCTTCCGTAGGGTTATAGGGACGGTGATCGTTTTCCCCGCAGGTGATGTAACGTTATGGAAGAAGAGCCCTCTCGCCGTCCATGTAACCTCTCTATATAACTTGCCAAACGAAGTTGAAAGAGAGGAAGAGGCCGCACGGCAAGGTAGGAGTCGTCACTTTAGAGTTCCTTGGCTTCTTGGCCCGACGGACGGCAGTGGCAACGCCCAGAAATTGGAATCTAACCAGTCACAAATACTACGACTACGAATTGGCAGCTCTCGAGCCCATGGCCACCGGAGTTACCCTCTTCAGCATTCCGTCGTCGCTGTCCTCGTAGATATGTCTGGTACAATCCACAACATGATATGCTATCACTCGGACGAGTGTTCGAATACCGAGTTTATCCGCACAGGGAAAAGGAAGGAAATGGCATGGCTATCATGAGAGGTACTAGAGTCACTGTTGATTCACATAATCCTCACCATTGTCAGGAAGAACACGTGCAGAAATATAAGGATATATGAAAAGCATAGATAAGAAGAAGAAGGAGGAAAATGGACGAAAAGCGAGTACGGCCAGTCTCCAATACAATCAAGATTCCGTGATATACACCACGAGGGCAATAAGTGAAACTCCCATGCTATTTATAGTACCATAATTCACGTGATCACGTGATTGTGATATCTCCCCAACCACCGCCAAGCCACATAATTCCCCAAGATAATCTATAATTAGGTATAATTAGCTTCCACTTCCACTTCATGAGCTCCAATTCTTGCCGTCAGCATACCCAAGCTTGCTCCTACACAACAACTCTTCCGCCAATAACAAAGTCCCTGCGGTTAACTTTTCTATCTTGGGCGCTTACTTCGCTTCTATCCGTTGCTGGGATGTGAATTGAACCCTTGACAAGGAAGGATCAAACCTGAACTTTCTGATTGTTGGCTTACAAGCTGACAAGTATGGAAACTCTATGGGCTGAGACGTGGACCACTAAAACAAAGCGCTTGTAGCCGTAGGATTCAAGCGGACTGTCTAAGCTGCGCCGATAGGTTCTTTCATTGGAATGCCTGAAAATTGCCGTCTGGATAGGGCGGAAATGCTGACCCATTTCACAGCTCTCATATACCTGAACGCAGGGTAGAAGGGCGAAGGATGCGGCGAAGCATCGTGCACTATTCCTCAACTGGATTTAAGGATAGCTTTCTTCGTCTCAGAAGCTTGTCCAGTACGTAAAAAGCTTCGCTCTGACCCCTTTGGCCCACGACAAGAAATATCGAGTAGTATATAATAATCAAACCATATTCCCTTTCACTCCATCATATCCTCCATTATCCACACACTCCAAGAAACATAAGCTACGCCAAGTTGCACTTTCTCCGCCCCGTGTGACCATGAAGTCTGCCACGATGAGACTCGTAGAGCTGAGCCTGCTGCTGGCATCTGCTGATGCTCTAACCCTCCGACCAGCACGAGCAAACCCCAAAGTCGTTGGTTATGGCATAAATCGCCGTGATACATCTCCATATTCTACTCCGATATACAATTACTTTGTAAGTCTACACTTGGAATTAAGTTGAATTAATTCTAACCAGAGCATAGGCAGGATTTGATTATACCATCAATATCACAATCGGAAGTCCTCCACAATCCGTTATGGTTGTGGTCGACACTGGAAGCTCAAACCTCATCGTCAACTCGCCGCAAAGCGATTTCTGTCAAGGCGGCAACTGCACCCAATATGGATCCTATGATCCTACAACTTCGGATACGTCAAAATGGTATAATAACCTCATGTACACCCAGTACGAAATTGAAACCCAGAAAGGAGCTTGGGTCACGGATGATGTTACCTTTGGAGGAAAGACATTGACTCAAATTCCGATTGGGTCAGGAAATGAGTCGTCGAACAGCGATATCAACATTTGGGGATTCGGCGGCAATGGCCAGTTAGGTGCAGCCCTTCCCGGGATCCCATCAAACGATACGACTCTTAAGAGCATACACAAGTCCGGCGTCATAAACTCCGCCTCTGTTAGCATCTATCTCAACCAAACTGGCTCTGAGACTGGTTCAATGTTGTTCGGCGGAGTGGATACTTCGCTTTACACTGGCACCCTGCAAACTCTGCCAGTCATTCCAAGGGATGGCTTCTACGATCGACTGACCGTCAACCTCACCACGATCTCGTACAATGATGGAAAGACGACCAAGTCCATAGAAACCCATCTCCCAACCAGAGTCATGCTCGACACTGGAAACTTCGATATCAAGCTCCCGCTTGAGATTGCAACAGCCATTCAAAAATCGTTTGGTATCACCCAGCAGTTCCACTTAAAGGAATATGATTTCGCCCTGACTGCATGCTCCATGGCCGATAGCCCTGCAGTGGTTAGCTTTGGATTTGGAGGCGAACTTATTAATGTTCCAATGAGCTCCCTCGTTGTCAACCCACCGGAGAGTATCTTAGCCAGCTATGGTCTGCCGCCAGGAACCCTTCCAGAGGGAGTCTGCCTATTCCTCATCAACGGCTTCAAAGATGAGTTAGTTGAGTCTGGACAATTGGTGTATATCCTCGGCGGCGCGTTCCTCGCCAACGCTTATTTTGTCTCCGACGAGGATTCTCAGGAAATCGGCCTTGCCCAGGCCAATTTCAACCCCGGCCCAAGCAACATTTTGGAGATTGCTCCAGCAAACGGTGGCATCGCGGGTATCAACAATAGCACAGCTGGCAGCGGCGCAAGCAAGCCAGGTGGAACCCCGACTCCAACTGGAGGTGCTGTGCCATCCGCCACTCAGACGGGCGATGCGATGAAGGCGTGGCATTCTCCAACGGGGTGGATCGTCGCGGCTGCAGGAGCCTTTGGTTTACTTCTCTCCTTTTAAATGTCTATGGTAGTGGGGAATCCAATAGGTAGTTTGGCGCAATTTGTTCGATTGAGGCATATCAATTCCTTGTCTTTGCAGCCGCTTGGTAAAAATGTAGTATAATGAATATTAAGAATCATAACAGGACAAACACTTAAGTGACTAGCATAAATTTCGCCAGACAGCAACAGGCCAAAACATTGGAGAAAAAAGAGAAATTCTATAAGACAACTCCAACCTCGAGTGATTTTCTAGATTTGAACCTCTTTTGGTTTAAGATGTTTTTTTTTAGGTATAATCAAAATGAGAATTTTCATCATGACTTATATAATTAATGTTCTCAACACCACAAACACAACAACAAAGTTAGCTCTTAAATGCCTTCAGACCGATTTCAGTTTCCAAAGGTATTTTCATACTATCTTGATCTAGAAGGTAAATACAAGCTTCTCTGCGCTAACTTTCCCCTCACGCATATGCTGCAACCCCTGGACTACACCTTCTAGTCCCTTGCCAAACTTGTTTACAGATGGCTTATGCACCTTCACCTTCCCATCCGCTAGCAGCTTTGCCGACAGCTCCCAGAAGATCTTGCCGAACTCAAAATCCGCAGGCACAGCAGGGATCTCCGTCGACTTGTACTTGAATGACTCGCCTACAACGGTATACGCCAAAGTCATTTTAAGCTGAACATTCTTGTTGATGCTAGTCACTGTCTTTTCGTCAAGGGTTAGCAAGGTGCTATAGACACCGCCATCCGAGCTCATGGCTTCTACACAGATTTTGGTGCTGTTTCCCTCGGAAATGCAATCGAAAACGTGCTCCAACTGGCCCTTAGTGTACTCTTTGATATCCTTGGAGCATGACGGGGAGTTGTAATCATATGCGGCGTCAGCGCCGAGGCTCTTGACGTACGCGAAGTTCCGTGGCGAGCATGTCACGACGACGGTCAACCCGGAGAGCTTGGCATATTGGATCGCGAGGGATCCTGTGGCTGTACTTCCACCGTAGATCAAAAGTGGGGTCTTCACGGTTTGTGGCTTCCCTGGTAATGGAAGTTGGAGCGATTGGTAGAGTCCTTGGCCGACAGTGGTAATTCCGACACCCTAAATGAGCAATGTCAGTTTTTGATAGCGGATAAAGGTACTATCGTTTGACATATTCCATACCAAAGTCGACGCCTCTTCAAAGCTCAGGTTGTCCGGGATCTTAATCTGGACATCGCCTTTCGCAGTAAGAATTTCCTGGAAAGCGCCTATGATCTTCCGCGTTAGATTGCCCCACCCCAGTCCGGACGAAGCCCTGTCACTCACCGTCTTCATGGTAAACTGCATTGGCGCCATGACAAAATCCTGCAACACGGTCTCCCTTCTTGAAGTCCTTGGTAACTTTAGAGCCAACTTCAAGAACGGTGCCAGCATAGTCACAGCCCACGCGGGCGCCAGCGTCCGGGAGATAGTCGACGTGCTTCCAGTCTGTGGGATTAAGAGCTACGGCGTGGTTCTTGACTAGAATATAATCATCACGGAGCTTTGGGACGGTGACCTCATTGATCTGCACCTCGCCCTTGGCGACAATGACAACAGCGCGGTTCGACATGGCAAGTAGGGTGAGAAAATGGAATTAGGGAAGGCGAAGGCAACTAATTTGAATTTGAATTTGAAATTTGAAAATGACGGAAGAGAGAGATAAGAGAGAGAGAGATTTGCAGAATATATAGCGGTAACAGCCTCGGAGTCCATTACCTCACCATTCCTGCTTGGTAAGTATAAAGCTTCCCGAGCCGTGCCACCCCGCAACGACCCACCTTAGCAGAAGTGACGACATTTAGTTGGCTAAACCTTTGGTTCATATCAGTAAATAAGTTATATTATTAGCAAGTGCGCCCAACGCCAAGCGGGGAATGTTTGAAAATAAAACCATAGATAGAAAAGATGGCTTTTCAGGAAGTAGAAGGTCTGCAAACAGCACAGTGTTTACTAGCCGGCTGGACGGGTAATGACGTCTTAAATTTAGCCCCGACTGAAACCAGCAACAGCTCGGAAGGAAGGCATGGGAAAGCACCTTGAAATAAAGATGCAGGTAATTAACTCTGGATAAAGACATGTAAACTGTAAAGAGCCGCCAGCCTACCGTACCTGATATGTTTTTAATTATAACCGCCGGGGGATGGGATAGGGATAGGATATGAAGTGTCGTATCCAACATCATGCATCTCGAATCTAACCGACCGGGTACCGGCCTAAAGACGGCCCGGGCATGGGGTGGTTGTTGAACTGCCGAATCTCCGATAAGGAGTATTACATAAGCATAACAGACTAAGACTAATTGGCGTGAGGCGCGGCAGTTCGATTTAATTCAGGAACCATGGGGCGGTGAGACTAATTAGGTTAGTCAGAGCGGTGCACAGGGGACCCAGAAGACCCCTGTAATTGAAACTGGTGTATCCAGGTACATACGTACACTTAAACGCCAGCCGCCACTTCCACAGCATCCGAACCCCCCCAGGCTGCGCATATTCCATTAATTTTCTCTCCATTCTCTCCAACGTCGATAGTATCTCCCTCCTCAATCCAATTTACTATATCCCCGGACTTGCGCATCACTGTCTAGCCACCGCACACCAATCAGCCTAATGAACTGAACCCCCTCGAAGGGCGAAGCGCGCCCGATCACAGTCGCCATGGCTGTAGAATACGACCTCATCCCCCTCTCTGACTTCGACGACATAGACTCCGCGCGCTATAAGTCCAAGCACTGGGCTCGACGTCGGCGATGTTCCCCCGCCCTCCACCTCTTCCGCAGAACCCCGCGCCTATTTAGGCCCGTCTACCTCATCATCGCATTCTTTGCCTTCCTCAACTGGCAGATCATCTTCAACGCCTCGTACCAAAGCCCTCCGCCATTCACCATCCCCCGCGAAGGGAACGTATACATCGCCGCGAACATCATCAATGCGGACCTCATAACGGGTGCTTGGGGCGACTCACTCAACGACTTGGTGGATTTGATTGGGAAGGACAGGGTCTATGTGTCCATATACGGCGGCCCGTCCGCTGCGCTCAAGACCCTCGAGAGCAAGCTGGACTGCGACAACAGTCTCGTATCCGAAGAAGACGACCCTATAGACCTGGACACTCTCCCACACATTACCCTCTCGAACGGTAAACAAAAAACCAAGCGAATCACATTCTTGGCAGAAGTGAGGAACAGGGCACTGGAGCCACTGAATACCCTGGACAAGAAGTTTGACAAGGTGCTGTTCATCAATGACGTATTCTTCTCAGCAGCCGGTGCAGCGAGGATCTTGTGGGGCACCAATGTCAACGCCCAGGGTGTGTCGGAATACAAAGCCGCATGCGCAATGGACTTCATCAACAGCTGGAAATACTACGACACCTTCGCGACGAGAGACTTCGAAGGCTATAGTATGGGACTGCCGATCTATCCGTGGTTCTCGAGTGAAGGAAATGCAGTCAGCAGGAGGGATGTGCTGGCGGGCCTCGACGCTGTCCGAGTCAAGAGTTGCTGGGGCGGCATGGTCGCGTTCGATGCGCGGTATCTTCAGCGCGACCTTTCGTCTACGACCAAGACCAGAGCGACGCGTGAGAAGCCCAAGAACTTGTCTTCAAGGAAAGTCGAGCCTCCGAAGCTGCCGATCCGCTTCCGCTCGGAGCCAGAACCTTTCTGGGACTCTAGCGAGTGTTGTCTCATCCACGCTGATATTATGGCTGCCACGCCGTTCCAAGCTCCGTCCAAAGAGCTTAGTAAGACATACGGCGATGGGATCTTTATGAATCCTTATGTGCGCGTGACATACGACGCGAGCACATATAATTATCTCTGGCTAGCGCAGCGCTTTGAGAGGCTATTCAGGGGACCCCAGTCGATCATCAACAGCATTGCGAAGCTGCCAAGATACAACTACAGGAGGGCAGAGGCAGAAGGTGATATAGTTGATGATAGGGAGTGGGTCCCGAATACAACATCTCGCACTCGAAGTGATGTCGGAGAGAGCTCTTGGCAATCCTCGGAGATGGCAAGTAGCAGAGTGAAGCGTGGCTCCACGGAGGCAGCGAAGGGAAAGGAGTATTGGGATAAAAAGGGGCATTACGTCGACGTGAAGAGAGAGGCGACGCGGGGTGCGTACTGTGGGGTCAGATCACTATTGGTGCTGAAAGAGAGCAAAGGGGAAGGGGAAGGGAACTGGGACACCATGCTTGACGAGGTGCCACCCTTGGAGAACTGATGTTAGTTTCCTGGGGATTTATTACGCGGACTCGGTCCCATCTGGGGATTGGGTTGTATTTGGACATGGCGTTAACCAGCGATATGTGGAATATTGTACATGATATATGGAGGAACTTGTAACTAAGTTGTTAATACAGGCCATGCGAACCATTTGCCGTGGTAGTTTTCGTCGTATATAATAATCAACCATTGTATATAGCTATGAATAGAGCCAAAAGACATTGTGCCTCGGAAAGAGGGTTATATTCTCAGATGGCAAGGGTAATTTTCTCTACAAAATATGTTTTTCGTATATCTCTTCCTTTAGGCACAAAGTGGGTAAATACAGTCAGTGGCTTGTTTTGTTGATATGTGCTTCATACATAACAATGAGGGGAATAGGCTGTTTCCTAGATATCTGAACCCATCTCGTTAACACATCGTATAGTAAGTATGAAATGAAACTAACGCCAGCTAATACATTTTGCGGGACTTTTGGAGGTAGCATTGAGTTAGAACCACGAACACGGTTTCGTTGAGGTAAACCGGGTTAATTCAATCCAGAGTAATAGGGGTCCCAATTCATGCGGTTATTCGGTTCGCTCAGCGACTCAACCAACGAAACCTTGAAGGCCTTGGCGACCTCTTCTGCGATAGAATTAGCAAGCGCATCAACAGCATAGCATGATGTGCAACGTACCTCTCATTCCATCTACAGCCTCAAAAGCACTCGCATAATTTTCCAGCCCGCTTAAAATACGCCCCAGACCGTGGCGAAGTGCACCCTCATAAGGCGAGAGCGCAAGGGTGATCTCTGAATTTGGGGACTCCAGCTGCCCGTTGCGCAGCTTGTATATGAGCAACGTAAGAGCATAAGCGCCCATGAGGGCGCAGCACATGAATGTGGGCATTGTGCGGGGCGGCAGGGCGCTCAGCGGGGTGCTTAGGAGGCCAGCGGGGTCAACCATACCAGAGGGGTTGGGATAGGGGAGTGCGTGTAGGGTTTCGGAGATGTCCAGGGCGGCTTTGCGGGCGATATTCGTCGAGTAAAGGGCGCTGAATGGAAGCTGCGAGTCACCTGGTGGCGACAGGATGGGTGGGGGACGACCTCCAGTGCTGGCATGGGTCAGGCTGCTGGATGACTGCCCGGGCTGTAATTGCCTGGAGGGATCGTGAGATATATCGACGCTCGGGCTGTTCGAGGCGAGGACGGGGGTGCTATTGGACGTAGTTGGTTGCAGCCCACAGTGTAGCTTTGTAAATATCGGAGTGTTCATAAATGCAGGGTAGCGATGGATTTTGATCCGCGCACTATTGAGAAAAGTCAGACTCGAACAGATAAGACCAACCAGGAGATTGACCTATTTATCTTAACACGTCCCATTAATCGGAGAGACTTCGCCACAACCGCTTCGCTGGAAGTAACCGGCATGTTGCATGGTGTTTTATCGAACCAAGCGTCTGCTATCTGACTGAGACTTTCCAGCCTTGCTTCCATATCGAGCGTGCGCATATACAGGACTGATAAGTCACCACCATTCTCAATAATCTTGCCGAGGTCGTTGGTATATTTTGACGCATCTAAAATCGCGTACTGGCATTGGACGAAAAATGGAATGGCCTAATAATTTAGCATATGCACGTTTTTAGAGAGGTGTCAGCTATTACAAACCTCGGGGTCTGCAGCGAGGGTCGGATAAGGCAGAGAATATTTTGGGTCCCGGATATCAATTGCAGTTTCCTGGAGACAGCAAGTTAGCTAAGGTCGGTCTGCGGCAGTTTGGAGGGCTTACAGTGCCGCTTATAGTTGCGACCTCGCAAACGTTGATGTACTACACAATATTAGACCTATTTCATGGGTCAATAGGAGAGTCTTACAGTTGCCCACCAGACTCGGCGCCTTGCTTCGACAAACTGGTCCACTATTGGCGAGTATAGCTTGGCTTCCAATGCCAGCATCAATGACTGTCCGGAGCGATTCAGCATCTTCTTCATGTTTCCTCGTTGGCCATATTCATAGATACTCAGTATCATTAGCGCCACATTGGATTCTAGGTCCAATGGTAGATCCTGATGGAAGGGTGCTCGATATGTGCGCGGACTTCCATTAGAAAGAGCATCCTTGGGGTTGATAATCGAGTCAACAAGCTCAGTCTCATTATCGAGCGCTTCAAAAGCCGCCTGTGCAAATTTATGGGCCTGGATCCTGCGGTTCCAAGTTGAGTTCTCGCCCTTTGGATCAGGGTCGTCGGGGAGAGGTATGAGAGCAAGCATTGCCGAGAGTGCGAGTGGAAGCGGTGTACTGGGTCCATAGCCACCTGTAAGACTTCCAAGCGCCACGGGCCGATCAACCGGTGGCCGGATTGGGGGTGGCAGAGCCGGGAAATAGGCGTGGCAGTAGACATAATACGCATCTAGTCTACAGTCGGTGGTATCAGCTTCCGGTGTCTGGAAGACAGTACTCAAGTAGCAATGCAATGGATACAACTCACATATCAGCATCAGTCTCATAGGTTCGTACGTCACTCGTGTTCTCGTCAGATCCACTTGTAAGGGATGCACTGTTGAAGCTATCCCAGGCACTGCTTTCACTGTCCCCGAGTGGATCGAATTGCATGCCAGAGAAACCATGCACCTGGTTCAACTGATCTATGCCATATAATGGCGCGCCCGCATTGGTCTGGGCGTCGGAAAGCACGACGTCCTCCCCAGAGAATTCGTCGATCTGCCGGAGGCCAACGCCAGTGTCGGAGATGATAGACGCTTCTAAAAATTCTGCATATAGCCATTAGAATGTGCAAAATAGACGGGGCGTAATGCTTACGCTCTGGGACTGATAGGGGAGACTCCTGCTTGAGGATGTCGGCGGTAGATATCCGCGGCTTTTCTTTTGAGCGCCGGCCATGTAGGGAAACACGGGGCCCGCCTCGTTTGCTTCGAGTATATAGACACTCCTTCCCCTTTTCCAAGCACTGGCCATATGCCGTTAGTATGTTCATATTCCCATCGCGGGGATCTATGCATTCTCACCTTTGAACAATCTTGCTTCCCGTCACATCTTATGCGGGAGCTCCGACTAAAGTTAAAGATGGTGGATCAGCACTAGCAGCTTCATCTGCTACCTGGGGAGATAGTAACAAGGGGGATTGGCCATACCACGACAAGCAAGCGAGCTTCACCGGCGGCTTTGCGAATTTTTTGCGTGTCTGGGAATCCATATCATGTGATTGAATAGAGATGGGGCCGAACAACGTGGTTCTTGGCGGGCAGCGCGTGGGAATGGGGCAGCGTATGCGCTACAGCTATGCAAGTCTACGCTTTAGCTAGCCCAGGCTCGGCGGGTAACACCAGCGGATGAAGTGGAATTGTGGATTTAGGATGAATAGAACTACCCAGTAATATAGCTGCAACCGAGATATAAAAATAACGGCGGAGAGACAGGACGGCGGCAACAAGATGAGGCGGCAAAAATACCGAGAGTGTGGAAGTGGATGCGCATGGCATTGAGGGGGAGGGTCCACCGGAGACGTATTAATCCGGTAAAACCCCGCGCTGTTGTCACCATGTTGATTACCAAATATGCGTCCATACATAGGAGTACTCCATACATAGCCTCAGCCATTTTTGACTTTTTGGGATTTTCAAATCCACTCTCTTTGTCAGGAGCGGAAGCGGTCAATAAAGCAATAAATAGCGTTCCATGAGACCTGAAACCATTGATTACCGTCGATCACGTGATGATATTCGGCATGTCTTAACTAACTGCTGTGAATTATATTCCCCCTGACATACACGTTGACAATGTTTCTGTCGTCAGCCGTCATCATGAATTTTTCAAACACTGTTTTCATCCCGTCCCCAGCCTCTATCCCAGTGCTGGCTAAATTGAGTTTGTCTCCATCCACCGATGCCATCTGGACGTGCAACGCATCGAAGAGCTTGCCAATAGCGAAGTTACCAGACTCCTGCTCTATGCCACATACTCGCGCCCCTCCTAGTGTTGCCAAGTAGAAGCACTCTTCGAGGGAGAGGCTCTTGTCTTCGCCCTTGGTCATCATCTCCCTCGCGTTCGACACTATGAACGCCTGCCGCATAGCGTCCAAGATGGAGCTTGAGAAACCACCGCCGCTATCGGTCCCAAGTCCGACCTTGATATCTCGGCGCAGGAACTCGCGGATCGGAGCTGCCATGAAGCCTCCACCCACCGTGGTGTTGGCGATGGGACAATGAGCGACTCCACAGTCCAGGGCCTTGAGGCGCTCCATCTCGTAAGGCGTCATATGGCAGCAGTGTGCGAGGACGCTGCGGTTCGTGAGTAATCCGAAGTGGGCATATAGGTCTGCTTCATTGTCAAACTCGGGGAATAGCGTGAGTGTCGCTGCGATCTCAGACTCGGCTTCGTTAAAATGTGTCTGAATGGGAAGACCTGCGTTCTCTGCCGCTATCTTGCCGAGCCCCTTGAGAAGCTCTCGCGTGCAGGAGATGGCAAAACGGGGGGTGATAATGGGCGTAATCTGCGAAAAGGTTGGATCGCGGCTGCGGACGTGGGAGATGAAGTCCTCTGTCACTCTGAGCGACTCCTCGGCGCTGGCGTCGGTGTAGTAGGCTGGGCTATTCTTGTCCATGTTGCACTTCCCAATGAACGCGCGCTGGCCCTTCGCCAGACATATATCCGCTAGGATTTTCGTGGCTTCGCCGTGCAGTGATCCGTAGTAGCATGATGTGGTGATTCCCTGTTTGATGGACCCGTTGATACACGACTCATACACCTTTCTGGCATAATCCTTGTCCTCAAATTTGGCTTCATTTGGAAATGTAACTGTGTCTAGCCACTCTAGAATCTGAAGACCTCGCCCAAGGCCTCTTTGGGCCCACTGAGGCGCATGGTTGTGCGTATCGACAAATCCGGGGATCATGAAACCAGGATTGATCTTATCCCTCGATATTACCGATATACGGTACTCGCCGGCTAGAATGTTAAGGCCGTCGAGAGCCGTCCGGGTTTCCTCCACCGGGATGTTATGAAGGAAGTGCACAATGCGCCCGTCAGGGCCTACCACGAGCATACCATCGTGAACAATCTCAATAGAACCTGGCGACGTCGAATGTATGAACGTGCCATGAAACACCTGATAAATTCCCGTTCGATCAGACATAGTGGCAGATGTTGTTGATGTTGATGTCGGCAACTATATTGGTTAGTTGTGCTGGCGTGGTGAGGTTGTTGGTTGGTAATGTCGAGTGCTGATGCATCTGCATCCAACCTGGACAGACCAAAGATCTAAACCTTGTTAACAACTGCGTACATGCCTCAGACGGAATAATACATCATGCCACAACACCAGAAATTCGTTAGGTGTTTATTCATACACTATAAATACATATAAGTTTATATAAAATACATAATTATCATCCTTGTGTTGTTCCCAGTATTTTCTTCTCCAATTCGTCCTCCGTCCTGCGCATCGTTTGGATCGCGTTCAGGGTCAACGGACAATGTTGGTCTACATATTTCAGTACATGGTAAGCCTGTCCAGCTGCTGAATATGAGCCCTCCATATCCAGGTAGGCCCTCGATAACATAAGAATGGTATGGTAGATGGGGCGGAGATAAGTTGGATCTCTCTTTCGGGCGCGGTCCTTGAGCGACAAGCGGTTCCGGCGTGGCTCTACTTGACGAATCATTGCCCATCCAAGCCACCCCGGCATGAGACGTTTCTCGCATACGCCGAATGCTTCCTGGTACTTGTATGCCTTGGTAAGGGCTTGGACGTACAGGTTCCAGTTGTTGGAGTCCAGTTCGAACCCGAAAGCTCGAATATCGGCAATCGTCTCTTTCAGCTGGGTCAGCTTGTCCTGCGCTGCTAGCGATTTGATTAGAGTTGACAGAGGGCGGCAGAGCGAAAGGCGATGTGAATATAATAGCACATTGTTCCCCGATATTGGCTTCCCTCTTTCCTTGGCACGCATCAAAGCAAACTCCCACGCTTCTTGCACACCGTCATGGTCATTTTCCTTCAACCTAGATACCATCAAAGCGTTCAATATCCGGATAGGAGGCTGAGATCGACGGTCTTCAGGTAGCCGCTGCAAAAAATTATCGTAAAGCTGCTTAACCCGATCGAATGCTTTGTGTTGGCCACAGACGAACATGTAGAAGTCAAAGTATGCCGCTGAGTATGCAACATCAAGCGGCTCATAACCCATACCTTTCCTTGGGTTGCTTGCTAGTTCTTGCCTGTCGGCATTCATCAAGAACTGGAAGAAATAATCTTCTGCCTTTGCGAAGTCCGTGTCGGCATCGCCCGATTGTATGCGGCGTGAATCATCCATGACGGCGGCCTTAAGGGTCTGGATGTTGGAAGACACGGCTGGCTTGAGGCCTTCGGGCCGGCTTAGCATATGGTCTCTGACGTGAAATACCATGTCCAGCTCTTTCGTAGCAATAAAACCACCCATAACAACCGCATAATGAAACTCGGTGGCTTGTATACCGGCTTCAGGCATCACGTCGGTCAAGATCTTCCAAGCGCGACTCGGCTGCCCTGCAACAGCCAAAGCCTGCATCAGTGCAGAGTAGGTGTAAGTGTCGGGTGAGACGTTTGAAGATTCCATGATCCGGTGTACCCGAGAAACGTTCTCAAGATCACGCCCCATGGCATAGGCAACCAGCAAGTAGTTCCACATTCTTGTTTTTGGACCATCCAGTGCCATAGTCAGTGCTTTCATGCATGTCTCTTCGGCTTTATTAATGTTGCCATTCTGGATATCTCCAAGGACCAAGCAATCAACCATGGCGGTATTCGGACGGATTCCCAAGCTTGCAGCTGAATTGTAGAGTTCACGCGCTGCCATAGCGTCGCCACGCTGTGTGCAGATTCCCATCATCGTTCCAATCGTGATCTTATCGGGGTGAACATCAGAATCAAGCAGCTTATTATAATGCTCGAAAGCCTTGTCAACAGCATGAGCTTTCCCATAAGCGTTCAAAAGAATGTTCGAATGCTTGATGTTCGGAACGACGTTATAGTCGGACTCGATGCTTTCAAAAATGTTGACGACTTCATCCACCTCTCCCCGCTTGGCATGCACATGCATTAAAGGTAGAAGATCGTCTGCGTTTCGAATCTGCCCGTACGTTTGCCGTTCCAGGTATTTCTTCCACAATCCTTTGACAGCCTCGATATTTCCTTGCGAGGCAAATGCCGTCATTACCATCCTGTAGGCAGGAGAAGATGGCTTATCGAAATGTCGTACCCAATCCTCCAGAATTTGATGCATCCCCATGTTGCTCTTATATTTACAGAAAATCTTCAGGATAGCGTCGAGGATATGCGTCGTGGGTATGCCATCTGTCTGCCGGAATTTCCGGTACAGGCGAACAGCCATCTTCGTGCGGTCCATCTTCAAAAGCTTGAGTATCGTGTTTTGGTAAATTGACTCCGTGGCTAATCCCAGCCTTTCAAGCCGAGAAAAAACGGACAGGAAGTTTGCTTCCGAGAAGTCGTCCTGTGGAAAAAGAGCTATTGACAGCGCTTCGGTGATGAAAGTAACTTTATCAACTGGCAATTCCCGAGAGATATCCAAATCAGGTGTATCAGACAAATGACCGGTTAAGCCTGACACCATCTGCAGCACCTTCTCGTTGAGATTCGGCAAATAAACCACACGTGCCCATATATCCTGACCATTTCTGGGGCTTGCGGTCCCCAGGTCCTTGACAGATTTCCAAGCATCAAATGCCATGTGCCATCGACCGTATTGAATGAGCAGGCCAAGTAGCCTATCCGACGACGTTGGTTTTCGGAAGGTAGCTAGAGATTCCGAATGCACATTGGCGGCATCTTCATAGTTTCGTAGAACCACATGGGCATTTACCAATGCTTCGTAACTGCTGTGGCCGGCTTGGTCTCTGATGGTATCGAAAACCGAAACTATACGGTCCGCATCGATCGGTCGATTTGAGGTGATGAGATAGCTGAGAAGCTGTGGCGCAAGCGCTAGCTTGTTGTCGGAGTTCAGCTGCCCAAATTTCCTCCAGGCTTCTTCATAATCGTTCGTGCGCGCCGATTCGCTTATTAACTGTAGAAAAGCCGATGTTTGTCCAGTCCCATCGCTCTTCAAATGCTGCACCTCCCAATCAACACGGTGTTCCATTGACCTGACTTCATATTGACTTCCAACTTCCTCGGCGCGCCTCGACATCATCACAGAACCATCACCCGCTGCCGATGTATAGAGTCTCTGCCCAATCCTGCCAAGGCCCCTTGGCCTCCTGAACTCGGTCCTATCCGGCGTCCACGGCGAGTATTGTCGGATGAGATTCAAGGCGCCAGATGGATAGAGAAAATCGAGCATCATTCCTCCAGAATGATCGTGTTCGTTCGTTTCTATCGGTCTGTCGTTGTGTGCAGTTCCCTGGATTAACACCTGCCATAAAGGAGAGAGCTCCAGTTCCATCGCACCATGGTTCCAGAACGCAGAATGCAGCATCCGGCGACTCTTCATCGATTTAGACCCGGGCACGAATCGTCGCACGCTGCCGAGTTCGAGACATCCCGCCGTACGCTCCAGCATGCCCCAAGCCCAACAGTGTATCGTGCCGCGCACTGGAGACCTCGTCGAAATAGTCTATAATACAAGAGAACACGTCAAACTAAAATCTAGCAGTATCCATTAGCAGGGTTCCATGATCACAGTGCGCGTCAGCTTACACAATAACATGCTTCTCGGCTTTAAACAAAGTTCTGCATGCCGCGGAGCTCGGTCGTCGTGCGTTTTCGAAGCTCGTCGAGGCCGCTAAGGGACTAAATGCGAATACAGAGCAACAAATCGAGCGACAGTAAGATAGTGGGTGATATTTGATACAGTGCGGGAGCGTAACAATGGGTTTGGCCCGACTGCGTTGAGGATATCGAGAAATAACCGTCAAATGAACGATTCTTGAATGTTTTAGCACTCCTCGGCGACAAGGGAACGGAATTATTATTTTGCCGATTGACCCATCCAGACCACCCCAGGCGAAGCTGTCTAGCTGCTTATGTAAGCTTGATATTCCCACCAAGAAACCTCACCTGTCAACCCCGCCATGTGGCCTCGAAGAAGTAAACAGAACCATGGACATAACTAAATTCATCGTCACCGGACGCGATGAGGCGCTTCTTTACGGTGATTACAGCACTTACCGCGCCCAATTATCAAGAAAACTGCTCTCAGCACGCAAGAAATTGGGGCTAGCGACGAGAAAGGGAGCCAAATATGCGAAACGGCCAGCTGTGGCAGCGGAAGATATTGCCAGGAACCATGAGTATGTGCAGTTGAATAATTGGAAGTTTTTTTAACTAACTTTGGCAGGTATCTTCGTATCCAGCTCCTCACGTCGGAGCGTGCCTGGGCTCATGCGATGTACATGAAGTCCGCTCATTCTTCCGACGCCAAAGGTATCACAGGCGCCGCTCGATCTCACATTATTTCGCGACTTCACAAGGCTTATAAAGTTCAAGAGGGTGTGTTGGAGGCTCTGTCAGATCGATCGGTGTCTGGCGCGACGGAAACGGATCTTCTTGAGGCACGCGCATATGCCACGTCTCTTGCTGGCGCCGAGCAATTCGAGAAGCAAAGCTGGCAAGCTTGCGTCACGGATTACTCTATTGTCTGGGCTATATATACCGCCCTCACTACATCTACGAAAAGCGACATATTTAAGGACCTGGTTACATCTACCGTTGAGCCGAGCATACGTTATGGGGCATATCAGTTGAAGCTTGCTCGAACGATGGCAATCCCGGTAATTGTGCGGAAATTCTTCCCCATGGATGATCAACCCCTTGTCAAGGCGGTGGAGAAACTGGATCCCACGATCTTGAAGGATACGTCAAAGCCTAAGCCAGAGCTGGCTGAGAGTGATGCAGCGTCAAGGACGATCACCTGGAGGTCACGGACAGTGGACTTGGAAGACGCATCAATTGCCGTAGCCCTATCAGCAGTTACGACAGCAGCGAAGCATCTGAGCGAGACACTATCTTCGACCTCTACTTCACACCCTAGAGAGCGCGCATCGGCGTATGACGACATCCTCATTGCGAGCCAGGATGCGGTTGATGCAACAAAACACTCCATCGACGAGTTGGTCGCGGAAGGCATCTCACAGGGCGATAAACGGATACAGAGCCTCCAGATCACCAGAACTGCCATTGGCTACGATTTGATCAGCTGGCGGATAGGCCGGAACCGAGTCCTCACGGGCGACCACGACGGCGCATTACCAGACAGCGCGCCAATTGCAAAGTCTCGCAAGTCCAAACAGGCAGATGAGGTGACAGTCGACAAGGAGGAGGGCACTGGTCGCAAATTAGCAAAGTTACGAGAGCGAGTCGTACTCTACGATTCAACTCTTCAGAGCTTGGATTCTATCAAGGAGTTACCCGGAGTGTCTTCCGACACAGAGTTCCTGGGAGAGCTAGAAGCCAAGTACAACTACTTCCGCGCCCTGAAGTATGTCATCTTCACTTTTGTATAATTCCTATTGAGCAAAGCTGACTAATTTTTCTAGATGCCTCGCCATCGCCCGATCACACTCCGTTCTCTCCTCATATGTGGAAGCCCTTAGCCTTCTAGCCCGGGCAACCGCTCTTCTTACCCCATCCCTGCCCCACCTCTCCGCCGCAGCAGCACCCTCACCCACCGCTCCCCCAAATCTCGCAATCTCCCCTGCATCGGTATCCTTCTTCGCATCGGTCTTAAACGCCGAGCTACAGCGCCACCGCGCACTCGTCGAAATAACCACAGTCAGCGGTACTGTCGCCAAGCTGCCACCCTCTTTGCCATTGGTGGAGACGTTGGAGCACTATCCGACCAGCGGTGATGTTGATCTGAGCAATCTGGTATCTTACCCGACGAAACTGGAGGCGGTGCCGGTGAAGCCATTGTTCTTCGACGTGGCGTGGAATTATATCGAGTATCCAGGGCGCAGCTCGCAGGCTACAGCACAGGTAGATGAGGAGGAGATACCTAGCTCGCGCGGAGAGGAGAAGCAGGAGGCGAAGAAGGGGTGGTTTGGGTTTGGAAGGTCTTGAGGGAGAGTGGGGCGCAATCGTGAGGCGGGACGTGTTGGTTGTTGGATGTGGTGCATACAGTATAGTACAGATGATCATGCTGATGAAGACTACAACGAAATTAATGGCCACATTTATGCCTCAGTGGTGTACCTGATATTATCCGTGTTTTTGTGCTGTTCCTGTTGAAGCTGGTGATTGATGACTGACTTTTGGGTTTGGTTATTTCGGGATATTTTGGGATATGGTTTTATTTCCACTCTTCACAATAATATTTTACCGTTCAAAATTTAACGGGATTCTGTACGTACATCACAACAAATATCATATAAAACCTCCAAGGCAGCAGCAATAAAGGACGATACAGATATAGAACCTTAATATCGCCAGCGCCCTTGTTGGCTAGTGAGGCGGGAGATTTTACGTATGTAACTTACATTTGTTGGTTCTAGGCGGCCATCACTGACTTCGTTCGGTAATCATCGCCTGCACAATTCACATGGTTGGTAAATCAACATTAACAACACAACTGGTAGCATGGTAATATATCAAGCATACGCGTAGGCTCTGCGTATTTTATTATACTTCACGCGGCGATGATGTTGGATATCCACTTCAACAACGATTATACCCGCTTGAAGCGCATCAGCCAACTACAGTCAACGGGACGGAACGTCTCTGTGGCTGTGTCTTTCGCTTCATGCACTTCGCCATACAGAGCTCCCTGCCCGTCGCCGTTGGATCCTGCAAATCTCACCATCCATGTGGATTCCTTGCAACACCCGCATTCATTCATTCGCCTGCACACGGACTGGCCGCCTGTCCCTCTGCAGCCCGTCCTTCTCCAGCCCTATGAGATCCATCGCTGACTCTAGGAACCGCCAATTCGACGGGTCGCGGCTATGAGACCCTGTCAGCCTCGCCGCCGCTGTACCCAATCTATCCACCGGCGACCCCTTTCGGGCGTTTTTTATCAGGCGTCTGTAGCAGTCGAGATGGGATCATTGGACGAGGACATGTCTTGGTGCTGAGTCACCGTTCATCAGCTCACCGGGTTACAGATTATGCAAGCTCTTTGATCTAGTTGTATACACGAGGTACGAGTGACATGTTTCTGGTTGTTGCCTTGGAGCTGTGACAGAGATGCAAGTGCAAGCCTGCTCTTGTCTTTTTTGCTTGCGACGCGATCCTATCATCAGCCTGCTGGCTGGTAACGTGACAGCAGTTAGTATAAATACTCCCATCAGCTTTCCTTCATCCATTTTTTTTCCTTTCTTTCTTTTCACTTCATTCTTAAAGAGAAGTCCCTGATGAGCTATTTCTTAATATTCCTTTGTTCTCTGTTGTCGCTCGTGTCTCTGTTGGTCGTGTGCTGCTCCGAATAGACGACTGAAGCCTGGGACAAACGACCCCGCCGATTATTCGTAATGTCAATCCCTACAGCATTCGCAAACGCCTCTGGCGACGACAACCTCCTGCCTCCAGTGAATCAGCTCGCCATCCTCGATGTCTTCTTCCCCGGCTTCTCCACGGTCTCTGCTGGCCTGTCTAAATACCTGCAGATCGACATATCCTTTTACCTCCCTTTCATCGTCATCTGCGGCGTTGTTATCTACGCCTCAAATTATGTCTCTGAGCACCTCTGGTCCAGTCTCCAACACTACCTGATGTCCACGGCCGATATCCGCATCGACGACGAGATGTACAATTACGTTATGGGATGGGTGACCCAGCAGAAGTTCTCGCAGGTCAATCGTCGGTTCATCGCGAGCACGAATGTAAACTCCCGCAGCTGGTTCATGTGGGTCGAGAGCCGCGATAATGAGCGTGAGGGAGAGGGGGTGGATGAAGTCGACGAGAACGGCATCCCAATAGAGAAGCGAAAGCACAGAAAATTGCAATATACACCCGGCCTCGGAACGCACATTTTCTGGTACAAGGGAAGGCTCATGGTATTTCGCCGCAATGCCCACGAACGAGCATATGGCCCTATCTCGGAGCGCGAGGAGATCTCGATCTCGAGCTTCGGGCGCGACCCGACTAAGCTGAAGGAGCTGCTGAACGAGTGCCGCAAATTATTCCTCGACTCCGATGAAGATAAGACTGTCATATTTCGCGGTGGGAACAAGCCGGGAACCATGTCGGAGACAGCTTGGGTGCGCAGCACAGCGAGAGTGTCTCGGCCCATGTCAACGGTGGTTATGGACGAATCGGTCAAGACGGATCTGCTGGAAGACATGCGAGACTACCTACACCCGCACACGCAACGCTGGTACTGGAATCGTGGAATCCCATATCGTCGGGGTTACTTGCTGTACGGAGCACCAGGGACAGGCAAATCGTCTCTAAGTCTCGCGATCGCAGGATACTTCAAGCTGAAGATCTACATTGTCAGCCTCAACTCGCCGTCAATGAACGAAGAGACTCTTGGGACGCTGTTCTCCGAGCTGCCGCAGCGTTGCGTCGTATTGCTTGAAGATATTGATACAGCTGGCTTAACGAACGCAAGGAATAGTGAAGCTTCTGAAGATGCAGCTGCAGCAATGGCGGTCAAGAAAGTACAGAAAGATCCTTCGCAGCCGCCCTCACTTGTCGCCGGAGCTCCGCCAGCAGGCCGGATCAGTCTCTCTGCTCTATTAAACGTGCTTGATGGTGTATCTAGCCAGGAGGGTCGTATTCTGATCATGACGACTAATCACATTGAGAAGCTGGATGACGCCCTTATCAGGCCTGGCAGGGTGGACATGACAATTAAGTTCCAGCTATCCGATGCGGCGATGATGAGGAAACTGTTCACGAGTATTTTCACGAAGCTAGAAGGCGACTTTCCACAGAAGAAGACCGCACTGCTCGATTCTCATGTGAATGGTGCTCTGCCTTTGAAGGGCGCTAACCTCCAAAATGGGCATGCAAAGTCAAGTGGTGTAGAAAAATACAATGCTGCCGATCAAAATATAGATGAGGATGAAGAGCGCCAAAAACTTGAGGCCAGAAAAATAGAAGCTCTTGCAGAGTCATTCACGCTGGCGATGCCAGAAGGCGTCTTCAGCCCGGCTGAGGTCCAGGGCTACCTGCTGAAGCACAAGAGAAGCCCCGAAATCGCCGCGCGGGAGGCGGCAAAGTGGGCTAAAGACATGATAGACGAGCGAAAGAGGAAGAAGGAAGAAGAGGAGCGCAAAACGAGGAAGAGGCTTGAAGACGCACAGGTTGCTGTCATGACTGCACAGGCGGCAGCAGAAAAGAGGATAGAGGAGGCAGGAAAGAAGGGGGAGGACGATAAGAAGGATAGTGATGACACTGATGATACCTAATGGTTTATGACTGACATTGAAAAATATCCACGGCTACTACTAATAACTCAATCATCTCCCCATATTCTAGATGATATAATTTGTAGGGAAATAAGAAAGAAATATTATTTGGATCGAGCTGTCTGATTGAAATCACGTGACCAAAGCCATCACAACAGCACCCGTGCACCTAACATGGCATCAAGGGGCATGTCGTCCAATAACCACGACACCAGCATCGCCATGGCAAAAGCACTCCTTCCCCTAACTCTCACGGGGGGTTTCTTGGGTGTGCTGAGTACAGCATGGCTCCGTGCGGTCAACAGCAATGTCCCGTCTCCTTACATGGTACTATACGACCGACTCGCCATATTCCACTGAAACACGTGCTGACGAACATAGGACGAGATATTCCACATTCCCCAGGCGCAGCAGTACTGTGCATCTGATTTCTACACCTGGGACCCGAAGCTTACCACGCCGCCGGGACTGTACGTCTTTTCGCTGCTGCTGAAGCCTGCGACACGCGCGGGGTGCACGGCCGCGGAGTTGCGTGAAATCGGTGCTGTGGCGCTCGCGGCATTATTGGTGGTGTGCTATTTTCTACGGAGGTCATTGAGTGGTGATGGGAAGCGTGTGAATCGGTCGTGGCAAGTCGCGCATGAGGCGTTGAATGTGTGCCTATTCCCGCCGTTGTTCTTTTTTTCAGGGCTGTATTATACGGACGTGCTGTCTACACTTGTGATTGTGGTGGCGTATTTTGCATTCCAGCGGGGCGCAGGTGGTGCATCTGTTGGAGGGGGGCTGCTAGCTTATGGGCTGGGCGTTGTAGGATTGGTGATGCGGCAAACGAATGTTTTCTGGGTAGGCGTCTTTCTGGCAGGGATGGAGTGGGTTAGAACTTGTACGGATATGGCAGCAAAAGGGCCAACTCGGGGAGGGCAAGGGAAAGACGCAAGTTTGATAGAAAGGGTGCTAGGCCCGTATACGCGTGGCGAACTGCATGATCCGTCAATCGAGGAAGCCGGTCCTTTGGGTAAGTCTACTATCCACATCGTGAGAATGATGCTAACGAAGCAGATTTTCTCTACTGCCTCATTAGCATCGGCATATCAGCCGTAAGCCACCCGATAATCGTAATTTCTCGGCTATGGCCCCAGATCGCACTCCTCCTTTCCTTCGGGGCCTTTGTCGTCTGGAATGGCGGCGTCGTATTAGGTACTCTCCCTAACCCCCTTTCAACTCCAACTCTGACAGAACTAGGCGACAAATCAAACCACGTTGCGACCCTCCATCTGACGCAAATGCTCTATCTTTGGCCTTTCATAGCCTTCTTCTCCTTCCCCCTATTTCTTCCTACCGTCATCACCGCCCTCTCTCCGACCTTCCCTAGAGCCAGCACTCTCGCCTGGGCCCTCCTCGCTATTGCGCTCAGCCTGGTCATCGTCCATTTCAACACGCTCATTCATCCTTTTACCCTCGCCGACAATCGGCACTACATGTTCTACGTCTTCCGGTACACGATCTTGCGGCACCCACTAATAAAATACGCGCTCGCACCGATATACATCCTCTTCGGGTGGTTCGTACTACGTACGCTCTATAGACATGAGCCAATTTCCTTTGGTACTACTACAGGCCTACAAGAAACACGACGACAGGGGAAACCGTCCTGTTCTGCAATGCAAAAGAGCGAGAGAAATCCAGCAGCGGAGACGAAGACATCGTTTGCGCTCATCTGGCTCCTTACCACAGCTTTGTCACTAATTACCGCCCCTCTTGTCGAGCCACGATATTTTATTCTTCCGTGGGTGATATGGCGGCTGCATGTACGGCCTAGCCACGGGTCCCTCGCAAGTGTGAGTGTGGAGTGGACTAGGTTATGGGGAGAGACGCTGTGGTTTCTCGTAGTGAATGTTGGAACATGTGCTGTGTTTTTGGGGAAGGAGTTTGAGTGGGCGAGTGAGCCAGGGAGAGTGCAGAGGTTTATGTGGTAATGGAGGGCTGTAATAGGACGTGGGAGTGTTTTTGTTGTTGATGGGCCTTGGTTGAAGGGGGCAACTGGACTTGTAAATTATGCCACCGACAAGAAAAATATTGGTACAGTAGAGATAGATATGAGCTCATCTAATTCAGGACAAGAACTATCCATTCGACTGCAGTTCTCAGAATGTCCCGGACTATTTTATTCACTCCCATCATAACTAAGAAAATAAAGCTTATAGGGGCGGGCTGTGATAGGGGGAGAAGCCAAGCGCGATAAGTAAAGTAGGAGTTTTGTAAAAATTCCTAAAAAGGATATGGAACATGTAAAATAAAAGAAAGGACGCCTTACTAGTGTTTTGTCTGAGAAATATCTGAAAATATAAAGCTTACATGATTTTTCACAGTTTATAGTTCGTATATCTACAGATTTATTTATCACATAACATAATCTTATATCTCAATGGCACGTTGCGCGTAACGTGGGGAGTTTGATTGAGGGGTATAAGGTACGAGAGAAGTACTATAATTGTCGGCTAGACTGATAGAGATTTGAGGTACTAGCCAAGTATCTCCCGCCAATTGTGTCTCATGATTCGTGGAGCGGTTGTCTCTCCGACGAACCCCACTGCGGGATATGGCCTATCGATTTTCTGCCCCCCTCACGACCCCTCATCATCCTGCCCTCTTAACGTCTCCTCCTGCTCTTCTTTGATTTTTATATATCTCAGTATATAATTACTTGTATCCTGCCTTCTGTATAATATTCCCAGCGAGTTTAGCTGAGGCCCAGCAACCATGCCAGACGCAATCCTCGACGATATCTCACATCGCCGCTACAACCCGTTGCGGGGGAGCTGGCTACTCGTCTCTCCGCACCGGACGAAGAGGCCATGGCAGTGAGTTCCCATTATTTACTGCGCCTACTGATGGCCATTTATCTTCAATACGCGCGCTTCAGCTAACAATTGCCAGGGGCCAGCAAGAGACAGCCTCGAAGACCACCCTGCCCGAGTACGATCCGGCATGCTACCTCTGCCCCAAAAATAAGCGCGCCCAGGGCGATCAGAACCCAGACTACAAAAACACCTTTGTATTCGTGAATGACTACAGCGCCGTCAAGGAATCCCAAGCCGAGTACCACCCAGAAGCAAAGGAAGGCGACCTCTCATCCCTCCTCCTCCGCGCCGAACCAGTCACAGGGAAATGCTACGTCCTCACCTTCTCCCCCCAACACAACCTCACCCTCGCCGACCTGACTCCCGCGCAAATCCTCCCTGTCGTCCAGATGTGGAGCAAAATCTACGCCGCCCACCTCTCGCCCAAGTCGCCCTTATACTCCCTTCAGCCCGCAACGTCCGCTGCCTCCGATCCTGACTACGGCGTCTCGGCCCCCACTGCACAATACCGGTGGATGCAAATCTTTGAGAACAAAGGCGCCGCCATGGGTTGCTCGAATCCCCATCCCCACGGCCAGGTCTGGACCACCACCGGCACACCCGAAGAGCCAGGCCAGGAACTCGAACAGCTGCAGAAGTACCGCTGCGAGCACGCTGGCCAGAATCTGCTGGCTGACTATGCCAAGCTCGAGATGGAAAAGAAGGAGCGTATCGTTTTCCAGAATGCCTCCTTCCTTGTCGTCTGCCCTTGGTGGGCCGTCTGGCCATTTGAGACGCTCGTTCTAGCAAAGACTCACAAGCGCGCGCTCGTCGACCTCAATGACGCAGAGAAGCTCGACTTCGCGGAGGCGATTGCGGAGGTGACACGCCGTTATGATAACCTCTTCGAGACGAGCTTCCCGTATAGCTCGGGGATTCACCAGGCTCCGCTGGAGGGGACCGAGGAGGAGATCAACGCCTCGCACCTCCACATGCACTTCTACCCACCGCTATTGCGCAGCGCTACGGTGAGGAAGTTCTTGGTGGGTTATGAGCTGATGGCTGAGCCACAGCGGGATATCACGCCTGAACAGGCCGCGGCGAAGTTGAGGGATGCCGGAGGGGAGCTGTATAGGAATTCGTTGTGATTTAGCCCGATTAGATTTAGATGGTGAGGGTGCATATCGTTGATGTCTATATTGTGGAACTTCGGCCAAATTCAACTGCTCAGTGTGATGCAAGTGAGCGAAGTGAAGGTCATTTCAAAGTCTGATGAATATGTGAGATATCGAGGATCAGCGGTGAGGAGTAGTCAAGATTGAATTGGACACAACATCCAACTGGAGTTTGGGATATTAGGGTCATTAAATTATAACTTGCTTATGAAGAAATGCCGGGTCTTTGTTCACCCAGCCTCCTGCCAACTAACTCTATCCAAACCTCTATGCAGCAACATAGAACTCCTTCTGCATCAACATCCATGTTATAGTTGAGGTGCTGACGACTATTGGCCCAGCAAGCGGCGAACCCCACTCCGCAGTTCCGAAAATGAGCCACTCGCTCGCGAAGTGCGCGAAGGCAACGGCGTATGTGCAGAGCGCAAGGGCGTAGAAAGCCGGGTTATCAATGTTGTAAGAGGCGAAAAGGCGGACAAGGGCAGCGATGAAGGTCCAGGTTCCGAAGGTGCGAGCGGAAAGGGGGGTGACGAGCGGGGAGTGCGGGACAGGGGCCGAGGGGGTGGCAGGGAGGGCCTTGGGGCGCGCGGGGTCGATGTTGTAGATGCGGCGAGTGTAATAGAGGGTTGCGAAGGATTGGACGGAGTTGCCAATTGCGACTATGGAGGTCTGGTAGCAGTTAGTTGGTGATGCGTTGGGATGAAGCTTGGAGCTTCGTTGTGACGCGGATAGGGGTTGCGACGTACAAAGAGCATCCACTTTGGGAGGAAGCCCGCATGTTGGGGCAGGTATGGGAGTATAGCGTCCATTGCTTCGTGTAGTGCAGCGTCACAGCTTGTTTGTGTGGGTGAGAGGAGGAAGCGTTATTAATTAATATGTTGAGGGCCAGGAATATCATCAAATGTTTACATTTTTCGGACACTGTACAGCAATATCCCATGTGAACCGTGCACGGACCATCAATGATGCGGTACCTGTCGTGTACGACACAAGCTCTCCCAACATATTTCAAAACTGAAATCAGCCCAAGAAACATTCGACAGATAATTCACTAATACCACCGCCATACGACCAGCAAAATGGCAATCGACGATATCTTGGCTGCGATTCCGAAGCCGGTTACGGTTGGATTCGCTGCATTGGGTGCTTTGTGGCTGGGCAGGAAGGTCGTCAGCTACATCGCCCTCCTCTTGGACCTCTTCATCCTCAGCGGCACCAATGTAAGGATAACTCCGCAGAATTTCTTTCTGGAACAGAATAAGCTCTGACACATCTATAGCTTCGCAAGTATGGGCCAAAGGGCACCTGGGCAGTCATCACCGGCGCCTCCGACGGCCTTGGCAAGGAATACGCCCTCCAGCTCGCCGCGAAGGGCTTCAACATCCTCCTCGTCTCCCGCACCGAATCCAAGCTCGCCACCCTCTCCCAGGAGATTGAGACGAGGACGCCAGCCATCAAGACGAAATACCTTGCCATGGACTTCTCCAAGGATAATGCGACCGACTATGCCAAGCTGAAGGCGCTTGTTGACGACCTCGATGTCGGAATCCTCATCAATAACGTCGGACAGAGCCACTCATACCCCGTCCCGTTCCTCCTGACGCCGCACAAGGAGATGCGCGACATCATCACGATCAACTGCCTTGGCACGCTCGAGGTGACTCGCCTCATCGCACCTGGAATGGCCCAGCGCAAGCGTGGACTCATCCTGACAATGGGCTCCTTCGGCGGACTTCTCCCCACGCCGCTTCTCGCTACGTACTCGGGATCCAAGGCATTCCTCCAGCACTGGTCGACGTCTCTTGCATCTGAGCTCGGCCCGCAAGGTGTGGACGTGCAGCTTGTGCTCTCTTACCTCGTGACTTCCGCCATGTCCAAGATCAGACGCCCATCGGCTATGATTCCCAACGCTCGCAACTTTGTCAAGTCGGCTCTCGGTAGTGTGGGCCGCTCAGGTGGTGCAAGGAAGACCGCGAACACGTCGACACCGTACTGGAGCCACGCCCTCATGCAGTGGTGGATTGAGAACACGAGCGGCACGAGCAGCCCAACAACGGTGGCTATTAACAAGAAGCTCCACCAGGATATCCGAACGAGGGCATTGAAGAAGATTGAGAGGGATGCGAAGAAGAGTACTTGAGACATGAAGGGTACTTAATTAACTTGGCGAAAAGATTGAAGTGTGGATGGACGGCTTATTTTAAAAATAGGGGTGATGACACTGTATGAGATAGGGATATGGGATGGCATAGTTTAGCTTGGGGAGTATAGGGGGGGAGGGGTAATGGCGGCGGTAAATTTATGGAAGAGGTTGAGTCTCATAACGTAACCAACAAGCTACGAGTTCAGTATATATCATTGTTCTGTTAGACATCGTGACTCCTTTGCCCTTTCTAAGCCTGGTGATAGCATCAACTCAGAATAATCAGGATAGACCCGTTGTATGCTCTCCTTTTATATTGTACTCGTAAACTACTGTTTGGAGACTATTTCGATGGGAGGAAGGCGGCTGTAAACCGTCTTACCGCCTGCTGCGCCACACCTGTCAAAGTTCTTATCGGCTAATTCGCCACACTGATAGCGCGGGGTACATGGGCCTTGAGGGGACTCGTCAGCTAGTACGTAAGTACAGTACAGCCCTCGACGACGACGACGCCTGTTTCTTTAGTGGTACGAGTTTGAAAACTCTCTTCTTTCCATCTTTATATTTATACAGTTCTCCTGTGCAGTCACCGACAGCAGCACGAGAGATACTGGTTTACATTTACAGAGACGGCGAGAGGAGAGAAAAGAAGAGAAGAGGATAGTACTGATCAGATCATTCAACATGCCCGTTCACGTTGCCAAAGGTACGCTTGTCAGCTCTCCTTCCGTTCAGTGATCAAAAACCCGGCTATGGCCCGATTTGCGGTGGCGGTATACGCAAGCATCAAGTAGCCTAGTCGCTCGAATTCGCTCTCTTCAATACTCCCATCTGCTTCCGTTGATTCATACTTTCTCACATCACATTCCATACCCATTTTCACAATCCTCCGAGTCGTACGACAATAACCATGAACTGTCCCAACCGTCCAACGAATCCCTCTTCTAACTCGGTGCCTACAGGCGCCATAATCGCCATCTCCGTTATTGCCGCCACCGCCGTCGCCGTCTACGAATCCCCCGAGGTGCGCCAGTTTATTCTCAACCTCCGTCGACAAGCGGCACATACCCTACACAACCTCGGCGACAATATCGAGCCTAGAGAGCGCCGCGAGGAGGAATACAATCAACAGCCTCTATTCAATAGACCCGAGGATGCAGAGGGCGTGGTAGAAAGAGACGGCGTTGACGCCGACGATGCGAGCAGGAAGAGACAGATGGAGGAGCTGGCGTATTGGAACAGGCTGAGGGAAGAAAAAGAAAAAGAAAGGGAACAGAACCCACCGGCCGAAGGGCAGAGGAAACGCACACGCTCATCGAGCTTCGGTGACTTCCTCGCGCAGGATGGCGACCAGGGAACCTACGTCCTTCGCAGTGGAGCGGAGCCTGTAGCAGCAGAGAACCTTGTGCACCGTCATGCTGGAAGAGGCATCGATCGCGGCGCCATGTTTGCCAACCCCTTTGGTGACGAGCACGGTATTGAGCTCAGCTCGCGCGAGGCAGGGTGGGGGTCGCAGATTGATCAGTCGCAGACCCTGATGACGCCTGGGAAGGACGAAGTGATGTCCGTGGCCGATAGTGATGGGCTGTACTGCGCGTCTGACAATGTGATCCGTCGACCTGCTGGGATTACTGGGGCTTCCGCGCTATTTACTGCGCCCGTGCCGTTCCAGGTAGGCGAGAGGCCTGTTGGGATAGTCGAGACGCCATCGCTATTCAGCGCGCCTACACCTTCGATGAACCAAGAGCTACTCATCGACGCGTCTGAGTCTAATGATGCAGCGCCAGTGGTCTCTGAACGGGCAGTACCCGACGAAGCCGAAGAGACACAATATGCGACATCTGCCTCGCGCATGCACGCGGATGGCGAGACCGACGCGTATGCTGCCATCCACGCTTGGGCTGACGGTGCAAACAGCACGGCAGGCTTCTACTCGCCGCTCCCGGCCACACCGCAAGTGATCTCCGAGGCGTCAGATGGTGGATTTGGGAGCGACGCCGCATCATCGAATGGTGCTGCGACGCCGAAGACGTCGGATTCCGTGTCTCTCGTCGGAGGGGAGAGTGGGAGCGAAGGCAGGAATACGCCAGGGAGTTGGACGGAGGTCGGGAGTGTCGTTAGTAGCATCGAGGGAAGGGTTGTATAACTTCTTAATTATGAATAGGAATCGGAATTAGTGTAGGCGTAAGGAATCATTTCTTCTATAAGGGAAACTATAGTCTAGAAATAAGAACTTTTATTACTATTACCTTTACTCTTACTCTTCTTTATTAGAATGTAAAGCCGTTTCCTTGTCTTAGGCGTGCAGCAAAGCTATGCCCATCTGCTAATATATACAAGGATGCCTTCTAATACAGTGCTATAATAATGTTTCCTAAGCATGCTATACTATGCTATGCTATGCTATGGAATGAGGCTGCTGTAGCAATGGGGGTTTTAAACCTCGTGATTCTAAATACACAATCATTTGGTATACCGGCATGGACTAGATGGCATTCCCGCGCACCTTCGATACTAAGCAACCACAAAACTTCAACGACGTCGATATCTTTCTGGGCTCTACTAGACCGATCAAACCTCGTGATGGGCCGACGGAAATGGGCTTTATCCTTATCATCACATCGTGTGATGGATACGTGATGGATTCAAGGCAAGCTGGTGCAGGGGATCAGACTTAGACGAGTAAAAACTTTCTAGACTTAGAACAAGTGCTTCAAGAGATGGAACGAAGATACATCAACGCTTTAGTGGGTGGTGTTCACGTACTGGCATTGGCATTCCGGTCAATTGTCTTGACAAACCTTCTAAACATCCTTAACTCATCGAACCCACGACTTCAACAAGGCGACGTCATGTTCACACCCGAATACGCATTCCACAAAGCTAAGTCTATAGAAAACGACCGCATCGGCGATATCTTCGCATGCATGACCAAGTATGGCTACCTTTGGTTTGCTCGGCAACATTTTCAGCATTATGTTCCTGTCGGTCTGAATAGCCATTTGCGTGGGAAGCTGACAGAACTCATATCTGATCATCTCCATCGAGAACAAATATCATGGTAAAACTAAGCCGTCAATTTTAAAGTAGAGGGGATTACTAGGATACCTGAATTCTAGTGTTGCATAGCAATGACTATATAGCGTTATCTTCTCATTTGCTTTCCGCCATATTGTATTCTCAGCCTGGCAGAGCTGTGTGGAGTACGCCGGCTAGTTTCTGCGGGATGTAACAATAGGAAGATCAAGGTGAGTCAGAGTGGAAAGTTAAAACCTAGCTTTTCGGCCGTATCATAGTTTCATACAGCATAAACCTTATTTCTACCGTACATGATCGCTTTTGCGGTGGCAAATCGGTGCCTAGTCTACTTCTCGTCTCCGTCACAGAATCAACGACTGGACCTTTGGCTTCGGTCATGCAAGGACATCTGTACCTCGACAAGGGCGTCAGTGCAGAGTACCCATGATCAAGCCTAGGGGTAGGCATAGAGGTCAACAGAGTGCTAGATAGATCTCGTCCATTACTATATCGGAACAATACTTCTGTCCCCTGTTTCCCCGAGACATTGGTTGAAGACCTCTATCCCTGGGCCGTCATGAATGCTATCGATCCACATGGCTTGCCTCAAATTATTCTTTCCTTCGAACCACGTCCTCCCTAGACTGTCCCGGATTAGAGGGCGCAGTCTTTGCAGAAGCCAGGTCTGATCAGGGCCTCGGAACACAGACGTTGCCCCCACCATCAAGGCCCACGCGAAGAGATAGCTCTCTCCGGCGGTGCTGGGTGTAAAGGTCATGCAAGCTTGTCGGAGTTGGTTGGCCAGACGCGGGTACTCGAATTTGACACCAGGAAAACCCCAGAAGATAGTTGTTAAGAAAGCGAGGAGTGATAACCGGAGAAGCTCGGGGAAAATGTCGTTGTCCTCAAATTCGAGCATGAGCAGTCGGGATTGAATGTATGTTATGAGATCCTCGAGAGACATCTCCCTTATCCTGTGACCGGAATCGTGGCTATCGTTGATAAGCTGTGAGAGGTCCTGGACATCCTTCAAGATAGCATAGAGCCTCCTTTCTAAAGTCCGCACCACAGAGCGCGAGCGGGAGAAGCAGGACGCGTCCGATGGCTTGAGCCGGGCAAGTTCAGGTGAACTGTCGAAAGCTGAGTCGAACGACGCAGCATCTTGGTGAAAGGCTAGATTCGCGCCGGTGCAGATGCTGTGGACTAGACCAGTTCTTCCGGCGTTGGCAGGTCAGCGATTGGCCGGAGCCCGAGAAGCTGAATATAAGAGAGAACTAGCGACTTACCGGTGAAGTTTGGATTGAAGCAGAGGGTGACTTGCAAACGATTCTATGCCACCACGCAGGTCGACGATTTTCTTGAGACCCATCACGTGCATGTGGGCGGACTCTACGTCTCCAAAGGACTCGGCGATCAAGGCCAAGGCCATGACGACAATGGTTGTCGAGTCGGTCAGTGCAGTGTTCGGATCAGATAGTTGCTTGTTAAGCTCGTGAATCATCCTGTAGGCGTGAAACTCCGTCCTCTTACTCTTCTGCCCCCTCAAACTATCTAAAGAAAAAGACGTCATGTAAAGGATGGAGTGCAGGTAGGCCAAGTCGAGAAGGGCCCAGTGAAACCAGTGTGTCTTGGGAGTGTCAGGGCGAGAGTACCTCACGATCGGGTACATTTCATCTTTCATGTACGAAAAATCTGGAGGACAGAAGGCGTCAGGGGCAGGGCGTGCTCATGGTCGGAGGGGAGAGACGTACATGCGCATAGCAAGCTGCGCGAACTACTATCGATGTCTTCAGGGAACTTAATGAAAGTGAACATGTCGGCAGCACCGGGGACCATTTCTGCATGTCTGATGCGGGCCAGAGCATCCTCGTCAGAGTCGAGCAGCTCACTTCGTGTCCGAGCTCCGTGGGACTCTTCAGAAGAATCACTGTCTCCTGCAGCATGCTGCGGCCGTTGTATTCCCACGGCGGTAGCCGCGGAACGGCCCTTCACTCGACCAGGAAGAGCTCGTGTACGGGTATTCTTCCCCCGCATGACGTGACTCCGTATGAGCTTACGATCTCCAGCAGCCGCCTGACCATAGGCGTCGGCGGCGACAAAGACAAACCCCTTAGCCGCTCGTGGCCCCTCGAGCATCGTTCCGTTGGAATGTACCGGTACCTTTAGACGGGGACAGAATCTACCCGGGCACACCGTTGCAAGGCTGTTTGCTGGCAAGAAGTAAGTTTGCCAAGGTGCCAGTATCACTCAGATGGAAGCTAAACCACGGGGTATCTGCCCAGGTGGGGCTGCAAGCGTGCTCTCGTCCATATGAAGAATGTATATGGTGCCAAATATCGGCATTAAAACGGCGATGGGATGGGTGGCGGTATGTTCGGCTGGTTGTCGTCCGAATTAGGGAAACAATTGAAGGAGGTAAGTTGCCGAGAAATTCAGAAGATCCTTGCTGTGATATTTAGTTTGCCCCGGAGATAAGATTGTTTCCCTTTTGTGGCCTTAGCGTAAACGCTATGCCACCACCCCACAGTTTCGGATCCTCCTCCCTGCGAATCTAGTAGGTACCTGTTGAGAAATATGGAGCTAAGCTACTACGTAGATCTTAGGCACCGTCGCTTTATTAATAGCTTCTTACCGTTTTAGGGAAACAATCAACTGGGCTTATCAAGCAGTGCCATGGCTTAGTGCAAAATGCTAGTTGCAGGTAGAGTTCTTGGATTGTTTACTTAATGAGGATAGGATATTCGGTGCAAGCTACGGCAAAACTAAGTTGGTCTAATCTAGGCATAGAAGCATGCAAGAGCCAAAGGCCATGCGCCCTACACCAGTGGCTGTTGATGAGAACACGCCATGGCAGTGGGATTTGAGTAATTCACCCCTAATATACGGATCATAGACATGACACAGACACTTCATGCGCTTCGAGGCTTCCGGTTCTAGGCATGTGTGAGCTTGAGCTTATAAATCCGACATTTAGTGGAACCGCTCTGTAGGAGCTCAAACGCACTGCTGGTATAAAACGACTTGCTTCCTCTCTCAAACTGACAGTCACACATCATCAACCTACCACAACAACACCATCCCATCCTCTTACTGCACAAGTCAGACCCCATAAGAAATCCATCGCAATGTCTAGATACACCGCCTCCCACGCTAACCCCCAGGGTCCTGGAGATGCGCGGCCTACGGCTCTTCAGGTCGTTGAGGACGAATGCCTCATCGGCAAGCTCACTGGCAAGGTCGCCCTTGTGGCGGGCACAAACTCTGGTATCGGTGTCGAAACAGCGCGAGCTCTCCACGCCGCCGGTGCCACTCTCTACCTTACTGCCAGAGACGCCGTCAAGGCCCAGCAGGCCGTCGACAAAGTCAAGAACGGACCCGGCCCCAAATCGGATGCGCCCGTCCACGGCATAGAGCTGCGGCTGGATTCCCTCGCCTCGGTGCGAGCAGCTGCCATGGCCTTCCACGAGAAGAGCGACAAGCTTAATCTGCTCATCCTCAACGCGGGCGTTATGGCCACGCCCGAAGGGAGGACCGAGGATGGCTTCGAGACACAGTTTGGCACGAACCACTTAGGCCACTTCCTCCTCTTCCAACTGTTAAAGTCCGATCTGCTCGCAGCCTCCACGCCTGAGTTCCAATCGCGGGTAGTTGTTGTGGCCTCCGCCGGCCATCGTTACGGCAAGGTCCGCTTCCATGACTTCAACTTCGAAAAGGACCCTTACGACCCCTGGGCGTCATATGGTCAATCCAAGACGGCCACTATCTACCTCGCCAACGAGATAGAAAGACGGTACGGGTCTAAGGGACTGCACGCCCTCCCTGTGCACCCGGGTATTGTCGCCACCAATCTCTCTCAGTATCTCAGCCAGGAGATAGTAGAGGGGATGTTAAATGATGAAACAAGGCATAAGACCATAAAGAGCGAACCCCAGGGAGCGGCCGCGGCTGTTTATGCTGGGCTGAGTAGGGAATGGGAAGGTCGAGGCGGCAAGTACCTCAGCAACCTCGTCGACGAGGGACCGGCGGATACTACGGGAGACTGGTTGAATAACGAGGTTGGATATGCCCCGTGGATTTACGACGAGGAGTCTGCAAGCAAGCTTTGGAAGGCATCGAACGAGCTGGTAGGCTTTAAGAGCAAGTGATAGGATCAGCCCTAGCACACTCGGTTCTTAGTCTACGTATCTGCCATGTATCCTTCTAGACTAAAACGCAGGAACAGAGCTAGTAGCATTTATCTAGTTCTACATTTAAATTCAGTTTTAGTGTTTTAGTACCTCTTGTTTTCTCTATATACTATAGTCCTACATTTATTATACTGTCTCTATAGCCTAATAGTACTCTATCTTTATTATTTATAATCTCAGTCGCGAGGTATGCCATGTGGGGTTTGGCGCCCTCCCGATCAGGGAAGGTGCGTGTACAGGCCTGCCGCCGCTTTCAACTATAAGAAGGTCGCTCCATCCCCCAACTCTGTCCCTCTCCACTATTGCTCCTTCCCTCCCAACATTCTCGCACCTGCTTCGCTCATTTGTGCGACGCTTAGCCCCCTCCGTCCCCTTCAACACCACACTGCATGACCCCGCCTAACGGATCCCCCTGCTCAGCCTCGCTGCAGCTGAAAACCCGCAGTGGCACATAAACGCTTCTGCAGAGCCACAACCTCAATTTACGCCCTTTATACCAAGCTCTCTGCGATGGCAGCAAGCTCTTTGAGCATCAACCTCTTAGTCGTCAGATCAGTCAAGATGCGAGTTCGAGCTGAGCTGCGTTCCACTCGACCTGCCTCTATTACGCCCTTCCTCCTCCCTGTGCACATCTGAATCCCTGGCATGTGCAATCTGCCTCGAGTGCCTTGCGTGTCAATGTGTGCAGTTGGCGAGCGAAATCGACGACCTTCGATAATTCTGCAACAGTGGCAACAATGGTCTCGTACCCAGCCTAGGGAACAGCTGCAATACCTCCAACAATGGAGTCGATTGCAAGGATAAGTCAGTGGATACCTGGTGTAGGTTCATTGAGGCCATCGGGTGCTGACCCTCAAGTTTGAGATGCCAGAATTACTGGAAGGATTAGATCTTTGACATCTTTAAGTAGCTGTGGCTTGCCCTAAAATGCCAGTGACAGTCTACGGCTATCTATTTCTAGTTATAACTCTCAAAATTACAGGAGACATTACACCCTCTCTCTGCCTAATAGACTCCATTGCAACATGAGCAACAAATAAAAACGCTAAAGCCAGAATTCATCTAGGAGGAGAAGCACTTTAACAAACAAGGTATATGTGTACATAGAACTATACAGCGCAGATGTTGCTTTAATCATCTATTAGAAGGGGCGCTATTATACTTATGTATCTGCTAGCAACCCTTGTTTCCAGCACCTAAGAAAGAAATTGTAGGTTCTCCTCTGACTTTTATAACATTTACTAAATAGTGACAAGATGAATTCTTTTCCAATTCTAATAAATATATTGCCACATAACGCTAATGCGAAATATCAACCTAAACGTAATCTAGAAGATTCAGAGCAAGTGGGGAGTAAAGATAAGGGGTGCGCAGATGCAAGTAGACGGGATGAGGCCCCTACCACATGAGCGATAGCATGGATAGCCTCCCGACCAAGTGGTCCGATGAACTCACTGGGCCAACATTGCAGGTTCATCCACGTAAATCAAATGTGTTGCCATAGTTGGCTCTAGATAGTGGAGAGGATGTATAATCAACTTCAATTCATATCTGCTGTCGTCAGGCTCTAAATCCTCGCCTGAAACAGGACAGATCATCTCATTAAATTTAAGACTGCTTCCTTGCATTTGTTGCAAACTGGCTGTTCAAATGTGAAGAGACTGCCAACGACGGAATGAGATCGTGGTGGGCAATTGTAAATAATCGTAACCGACAGGAAACAGAGTGAGGGAGCGACGTGGACGGAATAAAGATGGGTGGTCGTCGATCGCGCCACCCCATGGGGCCACCACCATGGTTCTAATGGCACACTGGAGACTACGTACTGGTACGTACTGCCTACGTCACCCTGTAGTTGTGAGAATTTCAGCCAAGGGTAAGTTGGTAGGCACAGAGCTTCGCAACCCCAAAGGTCACAAAGCGCGAACTCAGGGTAAGTTGCAGTGTGAGTCATATTGTTCCTCGCCTTCTATAGTCCTCTATCGCCAAGCAGGTACGTCTTCTTACGAAAGCCCTTTTACTACACCCCCATCTCTCTCCATCTCTACTGATATATAATCAGCCCGACTAGGTCAAAGTCTAGGGAGTAGCGTCTACGAGCATCTTCATTGTTAGTAAACCCATGGGATGAGATCTCTCTCAGTATGATGAATAAACAGGTAAAGACTGATTAACTTTCGACCCCACACCTAACTGACTATTAGTTCGTGGTCGGAGCTTGAGGTTATCAATCGACAATGGTTTCTAATCATAGCGTAAAGACACTCAATTACGAGTGTAGAGAGGCATAAATAGAACAGACGTTGTGCACCCAATATCGTTTACTTCCCTGTGTAGTCAGTAGTTACTGACCACTCTGTACTTATTCCTATTTTGTACCCTGTTTATCACTGTCACGCTATAGCGACCACCTCCAACTTCCCCCGCACTCCATCACCACCCCACAGCCATGACGACTCCTACCAACATTGATCCTAAGGATATTCAAGCACACTGGGCCAAATATCAGGGCGACAAGTATGTTAAGGGCTGGGCCTCCCTCTGGGACAAATCTGATAATCTGCCCTGGGATCGTGGCTTCCCCAACCCCGCGCTAAAAGACACCCTGGTCCAACGAGCTGGCACGATTGGCGGGCCCATCGCCAAGGACGGTCAGAGGCGGAAGGCCCTGGTGCCGGGCTGTGGACGTGGAGTCGACGTGCTCTTATTCGCGAGCTTTGGGTATGATGCCTATGGCCTGGAGTGCAGCGCCGCGGCTGTCGAAGCGTGCAAGAAGGGGGAGAAGGAGAACCATAGCCGGTACCGCGTGCAAGATGAGAAAGTTGGGAAAGGGAAGGTCACTTTCGTCCAGGGGGATTTCTTTGACGATACCTGGTTGAAGGAAATTGGAGTACCTCGAAATGGATTTGATGTCATTTATGATTACACGGTATGTATACTCACTGCCGCTATTGGACTCCATTCCGTCATTGCTATTATTTTCTCTCCACTTGTACTCTGCGTCCTATAGAGGGACCTGCAAGATGCTTCACTCTGTCTTTAGAATTTTGATGTGCCATTTCCAACCTACCCTGGATCCTTCTGGTCTTTCTGGAGTTTCCTTCTAATAACCATCTAGTTTTTCTGTGCTCTGAACCCAGAGCTCCGTCCTAAATGGGCTCTCCGACATACCGAGCTCCTTGCTTCCTTACATGCAGGCAATGTAATCTGTCTGGAATCTCCTCGTCACAAGGACCCCTTGGCCCCCGGCCCTCCATTTGCCTGTCCCTCCGAGGCCTACATGGAGCATCTAAGCCACCCCGGTAAGAAGATCTCCTACAACGATAAGGGTCTTGTCGATGCGGACCCGTTGCGAGAGCCCAGCAAGGCGGGCCTGGAGAGAGTGGCGTACTGGCAGCCAGAGCGCACTCACACTGTGGGCAAGGATACGAATGGGGTAATCCAGGACAGAGTCTCTATTTGGCGGCGACGTGACTAGAAATGTGTCTGCGCATTTGTGTGACCAAAAAAGGGAGAAAATGTAAATGGAAAATATAGGAGAACTTGAAGTCCGGCCCTGGGTTTTAAAGGCCAGCTCCTAGACGCTAAAGTGACAGTCAAAATGAAGGACCGGGATGCAAAGGGCGCTTTTTTAAAGAAATTTCGCGGACATAGGGAACATATACACTAGAAGGATTTCCTCCACTCCACAGCGGCATCCTGTTTCTAATCGTCGCATCATGCAAAGTAAGCGGACATTATATCTATTATAGACAATTATTGTTATTATACATAATTATTGTTATTATACATAATTCATGGTATTTCACACACAGGGTTAAACGCCCAAGGATCATCAAGAGTTGCAAAGCGAATGGCATTCTCAACATCGGGCTTTCGGAACGCTGGTCCGCGACCGAGACAGATAGTGCAGAGGGAAAGATCTACGACAAGGTCAGTAAAGGCACGGACAAGAAGACACGAAGAACCATTGATCTCGGCGTTACTCACATTTAATGAAGATAGCTGCGTTGAGCTGCGGAGCCGAATTGAACCGGGGACTGGAGAGGGGCGAGCTTGGGTCCTGAATACAAATCCCTCTCTGCTGTAGCAGCCTTTGCACACCACTAGCATCCATCCACTCATTAGCACCCGATTCATTGACAATTTGCCACGTTCGAGAGGAAACGGCGAGTCGTTCAGGCGAGTAGCTGTTCCTCCTTGAACTGAGAACTTTTGTCCTCAACTCGATCGTGTCTCCTATTTCGTCGTGCATGACGGCGACGAATCCGGAGATCAAGCAGTTGCGCTCGTCGATGGCCAATCGTTTGCCGAAGATTGCTTTGACCCTTGGATCGTCTCCAGATAGGCTTGTTAATAGATAGTATCCAGTCTCGCAGCATTGTCGGACTATAAGGTGTGAGAGTGTCCAGCGCCCTTGCTTTAAGAGATTGTCGGGCGATACTATGGTCGGGAAATTCAAGGCGGGACTAGGGACGGATGAGAAGGGGATATTCGGACACGACAAGGGTATTCCGAACGGCAGAATTGCTTGTTCTTGGAAAGGAGGCGCGGGGGATAGTCCAGGCCATTGAGCCGCGAGGTCCGACGAGGACTGGAAAGTATCACCGATTATTGGCAATGAATCAAGTTGCGTTATGAGCGGATTGGAATTTGAGATTATATCTTGTGTATCGCTAAGCGTGGGAGACGTCGATGGCGATACGTCCGCCGGGGCTGCAGGTTGTTCAGCCTCGTCGCAGCCCTTTTTGGCAAGCGACACGCATTGCTGTGTAATTTTTTGCAGAGCAACTGTGACACGAGTCTGATTTTGAAGAATCCCGGCCTCCAACAGAAGATTACTGAAGGAAAGGAACGACTCGCTGAGCTCTTCGATGCCCGACTCGAGTTCCTGTTCGCGAGATTGCAGATTGACGATCGTGGTCTCTTTTCTCTTGCGATATGCTTGCTGCGCGACGCGAAGCTGCCTTCGACGTCTCTGGATTCCTTGAGTCAGTTCCAACTTGCTCTGTAGTTGCTGGGGATGTGCCCACCTCGGGAGCTTGCTGATCGTGCGTCGCATTTCGTGGCCGGCCTCTCTTGCGAGGCGTGGGCGCGTCAGTCATTGCTTCGACCATGGTGTATTGCTTTTGAGTCCTCTTCTCTATCTTGAAGACATGCTGTGATGTAATGGATAATCTGAGAATGCGAAAAGGACGTGACGGCGTTGCTTTACTCATCGGGCGGGGCGTCGGGACTGTTGAATAATCGAAAAATCGGTGGGTCGCCACGATTGGCCCGAACTGCGCCCAAAGTTGGAGATAACGGGCTCTCATGCTGCGTCATCAACTCATCATCAAGACCAAGCGCGGCGCAACAAGGAATATAAATAGAATCATCGACCTCAGTTTACTCTATAATTCTCCATCTCCAATGCTCTGAAATACCTTCATCTGCAGCGTACAGCTCTCGCAACATGTCTTCATTCACTCAGCCGATGCCAGTAGTTGCCTGCGGCAAGATACCCGCGATGGGGAAATCAATCTCCCAGCACATGGTGCCTGAATATGAAGGTTCTTGATATACATTCCTGAAATTAGCAAAGTATGGTGCTAATGCTCCTCAGTCATCCACTTCATGCTGTCATATGAGGCTGCAGAGGCTGAGCTCCCGCATCTGCTTGCAGGTCGCGATCCTCAGTCTCGGAGCCCCAATGAGATCGGAACCCACGATTACAGCCGGCCCCCTTGCGCGGTAATATTCGGTCGCGGCTATGATCCTCAGCAGGTTGAAGAGCTTAAGAAGAAATTCGCGGGTGTTGCTAAAGAACCTGTTGCTTGGGTGAGGGGGAACCCAGCGGATTTGCCTGCCGGGGCCGCTGGGCCTGACTACGCTCAGAATATCGTGGCGGATATGAAGAAGGTGCTTAAAAAATGGAGGGACGGGGGAGGAAACGATGAGGAGATTTTGGTGTACTAGTTGCTTTATCGGGGAGAGATTATCTGATGCCTTGCTTTTTGCCAGTTCGAATCTCACAAACACAAATTCAAGGGCCGATATCAAGGATATTTGTAACTGGTCATGGACTTTGCTAGTTGGTTCCCTAGGCTTCGATCTTTTGGCGGTCGATGTACTTCTTCTAGTCGAGGCATAGAATGAGAATGGGAGATTGAGCATCTAAATGTTTACACCAAAATCCATACATTAAAGCTGATGTTTCATCCGCAACATGGGAAGTACCATTGTTGTTCACTTTCTCCTTCGCTAGTTTAAGTGAACAATTCCACTTCCCGGAGTATCGTATTCTACAGCTACTCTTGAACACCCCAGACCACTGCGTTAAGAAAATTATGTTTGCATTGTTGCCCTCGCGCCTAACCTGCAGAGGGTCTGCTTTTATAGTGAAGCAGACTTCCTCAACCATAGCTCCACCACTCAGCTCTTACTATTTCCAAAGCATATAGTGAGATTATACCTAAGCTCTAAGGCCTCATTCCTACGCCGGAGGTCGTCATTAACCTTGTGGCGGCTATACGGGGCAAATTCATGAATGGTTGCTATGAAAATCAATACCTCGAGTGGAAGCGCCAACGATTTTTGGCGTTGTCGATGGATAGACCGCGAACCAATACTTGGCACTTCGCCCCCCACCAAACAAACATGTAGTCAGTTCAGGTGTTGGGTCGAAAGTTAATCAATCTTTACCTGTTTATTCATCATACTGAGAGATCCTGCCGTCCTCCAAGAATTACGCCGCTCTCTATTTCTAGTCACCATTCTCTCCTTGACATTTTTTCCCTAAAGGCTTAACTGTTATTAGGGCCGGCTATAACCCACACTCGCTCAAATCTGCCATGCGAAGTCAGGACGTTATGATTGGTGGTGACGCAACCGGGCACTAAAAATATAAGGGTTTGACTGATGACTTAAATGCTGCGCCCACCCGGAAATATGAATAAACATTTCGACGCAAAGGTCCAATGTCTGATCCGAAGGGAGTAGTAGTTAGTGGCGATGGCAAATTAATAATCAAGCCGATAGGTTATTAGTAGCTTAACTTGGGATGAGACAAAGAAATTCCCATGGAAGAAAGATGAGCATGACCATTGAGGATAAGTGGGTTCAGTCGGTCTTCATTGACTCACGGAATTGATTCTAGTCGTTCGATTATCGTAGCTCGTAATAAATTTGATTAATTAGTCAGTCTAACTGTCGATCTACGGGGCTACCCGCCTAAATAGGGCAGGGGGGCTCCAGCAATCAAGTCCCGCTAGTCATCGTATCTACTCCGTAATGAGTTAGTGAGTTAGTTAACCTTAACTAGAGCCGGGAATGTATAATAATCACTCCGAGCGGAGATGCCTGATGATTCAACAAAGACGGTTGAACTGACTGAGGGCTTCTTTGGGCTCCGGGCCTTGAGTCGGGTTATTAATCAGAAGCTAAGTTATGGTCATATATCTCATTACTTCATTGTTCTTATATCCTGTGCGTGATGTTGCTACTCTCCCACCGGCAACTCCAGTCGTCTGATCTCCAGCACTTTTTTCCATCGAAGTTCTTCTGCTGTCAAAGTCTGGCAAATTAGCGAATCTGAAGAGCTACAACATGGAGGTCAATCGCGACCCCGAGAAAGCGATGTACCAGGCGAGTTCGCTCGGAAAGCCCTCCGGGCAATCTCCCTCCCCAATGGCGGACCCTATCGTCAACTCCAGCGCGGAGCAGTCAGACGACGAGTCCGGCAAAAAGACCGACCCCCGAGACATCTCACAATGGCCCATCACTCCAGATATACTACAAATACGACAACGTAACGAGACCAACGGTGGGAAATCGAAGAAACTGGGTGTGACATGGCAGAACCTCATAGTAAAGGGCATCAGCAGTGATGCGCTTTACAACGAAAATGTTCTCTCTCAATTCAACCCATTCGGGAAGGGCAGTAAGAGCCCACCCCTGAAGACTATTATCGACAACTCTTCTGGATGTGTCAAACCCGGTGAGATGTTGCTTGTTCTTGGAAACCCAGGAGCCGGATGCACAACACTACTTAGCGTTCTATCAAACCATAGACATGGCTTCGCAGAAATTACTGGCGACGTCTCGTTCGGTTCCATGACCAGTCAAGAAGCCAAGCAATATCATGGACAGATCATCATGAACACAGAAGAGGAGATCTTCTTTCCAGCTCTTTCAGTTAGTGACACCATCGATTTCGCCACACGTTTGAAGGTGCCCTTCCACCTGCCACCGGACATTAAGAACGAGGAGAAGTATGCCCAAATATACAAAGAATTCCTCATGAAGTCTCTCGGTATCACACACACAAAGGATACCAAGGTCGGAGATGAGTTTATTCGTGGTGTTTCGGGTGGCGAGCGCAAGCGAGTGTCCATTCTCGAATGCCTTGCGACTAGAGGCAGCGTCTTCTCCTGGGATAACTCTACTCGTGGTCTCGACGCGAGCACTGCGCTAGATTGGACGAAAGCCATGCGCGCCATGACAGATATTCTTGGTCTCACTACAATTGCCAGTCTGTACCAAGCTGGTAATGGCATCTACGAGCAGTTCGACAAGATTCTGATTCTCGATAACGGCAAGCAGGTCTTTTACGGACCTCGAGGTGAAGCTGTGCCATACATGGAGGATCTTGGCTTCCTATGCGACCCTGCAGCCAACAAGTCAGATTTTCTCACGAGCGTATCGGCACCTGCTGTACGCTCAATTGCCCCAGACTTTGAGGACCGATTTCCTCGATCAAACGAGGAGCTGCTCGCTGCTTATAACAACTCGCCCATCAAGCCAAGGATGATGGCCGAGCTCGACTACCCCAATAGCCCCGAAGCTCTGCAGAATACGGCAGACTTCAAGGAACAGGAGGCTCAAGACAAGCACAAGAACCTCCCAAAGAATGCTGCGGAGTCCGCAGGATATTTCCATCAGGTGCAGACGGCTACCATACGCCAATTTCAGATCCTCTGGGGCGACAAGCAAACCCTGTTCATCAAGCAAGCCACAACTATCGTTCAGGCGCTGATCGGTGGCTCACTGTTCTATAATGCTCCGGACAATACAGCGGGCTTGTTCATCAAGGGAGGCTCACTCTTCTTCTCTCTACTATATCCTACCTTCATCGCTCTCGCCGAGGTTACGGATTCGTTCGTCGGTCGACCCGTCTTAGCCAAACACCGAGACTTCGCTCTCCACCATCCATCTGCCTTTGTCTTCGCCCAGGTCATTACCGACATCCCGATCATGCTCTTCCAAATCTCGCACTTTGGAATTGTGCTGTACTTCATGACTGGATTCCAGTACACCGCCCAGGCTTTCTTCATCTTCTGGCTCATCAACTTGATCTCGGCCCTGGCTATGACACAGCTGTTCAGGTTCATCGGTGCCGCTTTCCCGAATTTCGACGCAGCAACTAAAGCTTCTGGATTCACCATCGTCGCTGCCTTCACATATGCAGGATACATGATTCCCAAGCCCGACATGCACCCTTGGTTCGTTTGGTTCTTCTGGATCGACCCCATGGCATACGCGTTCGAAGCATTGCTCGCGAACGAGTTTCACGATCAGGTGATTCCTTGTGTTGGCCCATTCCTGGTTCCAAATGGCGAAGGATATAGCCCCGAAACAGGAGGCGGACAAGCATGTACCGGCGTCCGTGGTGCGCCTCCTGGAGCAACCAGCGTTACTGGTGACCAATACCTGGCTTCCATGTCCTTCAGCCACAGCAATCTTTGGCGCAACTTTGGCATTCTCTGCGCGTGGTACGTTTTCTTCCTGGCAATGACCGTCTTCTTTACTTCCAGGTGGAAGCAGATGGGCGAAGGTGGTCGCGGCCTCCTCATCCCTCGTGAGAAGCAGAAGAAGGTACCTAAGGCCGGGGTTGCGGATGAGGAATCCCAGGCTGTCGAGAAGCCATCCGAGAGCTCCAGCTCCGATTCCAAGAAGTCTGACGCAACCATCGATAATCAGCTCGTTAATAATACATCGGTCTTTACCTGGAAGAATCTGACTTACACCGTCAAGACACCGCATGGCGATCGCCTTCTTCTCGACAACGTTCAAGGATTTATCAAGCCCGGTACGCTCGGTGCTCTTATGGGATCTTCAGGTGTAAGGACACTATCAATGCGATTGACAGATGGATATACGCTAACATTTTCACTCAGGCCGGAAAGACTACATTGCTCGATGTTCTAGCTCAACGCAAAACTGATGGTACCATTCATGGCTCCGTTCTAGTCGATGGTCGCCCGCTCCCTGTGTCCTTCCAACGATCTGCTGGCTACGTCGAACAGATGGATGTCCACGAGTCATTGTCCACGGTACGCGAGGCTTTGGAATTTTCTGCTCTTCTTCGTCAGAATCGTGAAATTCCCCGCGAGGAGAAGCTCCGCTATGTGGACACGATCGTCAGGCTTCTACAGTTGGAAGATCTCGAGCACACCCTCATCGGTCGGCCTAGTGCCGGTCTTTCAGTTGAACAGCGCAAGCGTAAGTCTGAATCCATCGAACAGAGTCGAGGCAGACACTAATAACTTATCAGGTCTCACAATTGGTGTTGAGCTCGTAGCTAAGCCCAGTATTTTGATCTTCCTCGACGAACCTACCTCTGGTCTCGATGGCCAAGCTGCAAACAACACGGTACGCTTCTTGCGCAAACTCGCGGAAGTCGGACAAGCTGTCCTCGTCACAATTCATCAGCCATCGGCCGACCTCTTTGCCCAATTCGACAGCCTCCTCCTACTGGCGAAGGGTGGCAAGACCGTATACTTTGGCGATATCGGCCATCATGCAAGGATCGTCAAGAAATACTTCGCTGATCATGGCGCACCGTGCCCTCGAGAGGCCAACCCTGCTGAGCACATGATTGAGGTCGTATCAGGAAGTCTTTCCAAGGGCAAGGACTGGAACCAAGTCTGGCTCAACTCGCCAGAACACGAGAAGATCACTCAAGAGCTTGACACTCTTGTCGCTGATGCTGCCGCCAAACAGCCTGGAACTTTCGACGATGGCCATCAATTCGCAGCGCCCATGTGGGAGCAGGTAAAGCTTGTCACACATCGCATGAACATCTCCTTGTTCCGCAACACCGAGTACATCAACAACAAGCTCATCTTGCATATACTCCTGTCTCTTTACAACGGCTTTTCGTTCTGGTCGATTGGTAACAGCGTCAGCGATCTCCAGCAACGCCTCTTCACGGTCTTCAGTTTCCTGTTTGTCGCCCCCGGTCTCATCTCCCAGCTTCAACCTATCTTCATCGATCGTCGCAATGTGTATGAAACGCGCGAGAAGAAGAGTAAGACCTACCACTGGGTGCCATTTGTCACTGGCTTGATCGTTTCTGAGCTGCCCTACCTGGTCGTCTGCGCTGTGCTGTACTTTGTGTGTTGGTACTGGACTGCCGGATTGCCAAATGATACCAAGTGGGCAGGCAGCACATTCTTCGTTGCAGTAAGTTCTCTCTTCTTTGGTTGACTCCTCGCTCCAAATTAACAAACCGTCTAGATGTTTTACGAGATGTTGTACACCGGTATTGGACAATCGATCGCCGCGTACGCTCCTAACGCAACCTTTGCATCTCTCGTCAACCCACTGGTCATCACCACCCTCGTATCATTCTGCGGTGTCTTCGCTCCTTACTCCCAGATCACGGCGTTCTGGAGATACTGGTAAGCCTCATACAACTATCAACACCCACGAGATCAATGCTAACATCACATTTTAGGCTCTACTACCTCGATCCCTTCAACTACCTCTTCGGCGCCTTCCTCACCTTTACCACCTTCTCCGTCGATATCACTTGCGAACGGGGCGAGCTTGCGGTCTTCAATCCTCCTGCGAACGAGACATGTGGCGACTATCTTTCCACCTATCAGCATGGCATGGGACGTGGTACGAACCTTCTGAACCCAGGCGCTACGGAGAACTGCGAAGTGTGCCGATACACTACTGGACAAGACTACTTGAAGACACTCAACTTGAACGAAGAGTACTACGGCTGGAGGAATGCGGGGCTGCTTGTATTGTGGGCTGGAGTGTTCTACGCCCTGGTGTTCTTGATGATGAAGTTGCGAACCAAGGCGACGAAGAGGGCGTCTGCGTAGACGAATGGTGTTTGCTGAAGAGTGAAAGATTGCCAAGGTACCCTACTCGAAGGAGAGTAAAGACGGAGTGCGAAATTGAGCGCATATGTGTTAGAACAGATAATAGATTATTCAAAACGAGCTTCACTGGACGAGACAAAGGTTACATTCTACTTTCACCCATTACGGCCGGGATACAACTCTGTCAATATCTAGATGCGGCGTATAGCAAAGTAGAGCGAGCACTGGGCGAGCAATCCCTTGCTAAGGACGTTAAAAAGCGGAAACGGTCGGAAACACCTCCTGAAGATATTAGGGCAGGTGATGAAGCAAGGTATGCCGAGCAAGAGGAGAGAGCAGCGAAGCGCGCGGATCATGACATGGATTACCAGGAGAAATTATCAACCAAGAGCCTCCCAAACTAGAATACCAAATATGTTCCGCTCTGCTAATGTGCTGGAAGGACAGAAGGCGAACCCAGGCAGCTCGCACCCCAACAGATCACCAGTCACTACAGCTAGGAAGCTTTGAGAATGCAATATGGTCTTAATTACCTAATGAAACTATTACAACAGTCTAAGCTTGGCGCAAGTGCGTAATTTTATGATCTAGGATTTAAATCTTCCTTTATGCAGCTTTAATACCACACCTGAAGCGAAGCCCTCTAGCATACCGACTGAATTGTCAAACTGATCTGGAGTTTGGTGCTTTCTTTTTGGCCGAAGAAACAGAATGTAGCAAGCTAACTATCATTAATGTTCGCAGAAACTTCGGCAATTTGGAACTATCTATGGTCCCTAAACACAAATACGCTGAAAACTAACAATGACACCTTTGATGATAGATGGCCTTATTACTACCTCCTAGAAAAGCCTAGGTTATACCTCGATGAGATTACTGTCTTTCTCTAGGATAGGTCCAAAACTATAGTCACGACCTCTAGTATTAGACGAGCCTTTATTGCCAAAGGTTGGTCTAAAAAGACCGCCTAGCAATGCACAAGCGAGCAGAATGCTAATTTCCGAGTCTATTACCTACATAGTCTGTCTTAGCTTTTAATTGTACTACCTAGTATATAGTGATGAATTAGGATGCAATAAATGGGCTGAATTTAGGGCGACTAGTTAAGCACTACTTAGTAGAATACCTTTGCAAGCAGTTTCACTTAGACCACAATAGCAGATACTGCTTATATGTGCCTAGGATAAGATCGTTCTCTAGTCTATTTTCTACTGCCCTATAGATACTATTGTGTTTAAGGACTTTATAGCCTATCTTCTCTAGCACTATAGAAGATCGCTAGAGTATAAATCTATATTAGTAATAGGCAATACATCTTTCTGTTACTTAGAGTCTTAACACATCTCTACTCTAATGCTTCCACCTATATAAAACTATAGACATAGGGTATTATATAGCCCCTAGATTAAATTAATCCTATTATGCTTAGAAATTAGGAAAGTATATGTTTTTAGATATAGATATTATAGTATTAACGTTCTTTTAAAATATAGCACATATATAACGCTAGGTCTTAAGCTATAAGACTTATAAAGGTTTTGTTATGTTAGTTTACTTAATAGAGG